TTATTATTTTATTACATGAAATAAACATACCACGAATTTGCACTGCAAAATCTTCAGAGCTATAAGTTCACACCGTGAAAATTGGTATGTTGAAACAGGATAATTTGAAATTGTGAGTTACAAGTGTCTAACTCTAAGGCTTTGTTTCAGAATTTTCTTAGATTCACAACCAGAAAATGTACGTTCCTCTCTTAAAAACATGAATGGTGCTCATTTTTTCCCTCTTCTAAATTGACTGCCAATTTCTAAACAGAAAATTGGAGCCGGAGTGGAGAATATTGTATTCATGCCAATTAAATAATCTAAAATGTTACTATCAATTGTAAATATTATTTCTGTGTTTTCTAAAGTGCCTTTAAATTTGTGAAGTTGTTAAAAGCATTTCTGTACTATGTGTGTGCCCCGTAGCATTGAAATATTTGAATTTGAAAAAAGGTCTTTCACTGAAATAAAAGAAGAATTGTAGAATGTATTTTTGCTGGTAGGATATTCTAATTGTGTTCTTTTCATAGAAAAAGTAGCTGTCGAGTTCGTTAATTTAAACCACTATTTCAATACCTCAAATTCCAAAAGAGTACCGCATGTCACCAACCAAACTGCCATTTTCATTTAATGTTCTTTACATTCCTGGCGTTTCTCCAGGCATTAAAATACCACAAGGCAATGTTGTCTTTTATTCCTAATCCTATCAGGGTCCAAGTCCTTCATTTTTGAGGGATTCTCTGGACAGGGATTAGTCAAATTCAGAGTCTGTTTTCAAATCTCCGTGATTCTCAAAATCCGTGTTCATTCGCCTGCACCGTTGGCCGTAGTCCCACGGTTAATGCACCCATGGAGCTCCCGGACGTAATAGGGATGTTGTTCGTACAATGGCTTCCTTCCCTGGGGCGAAGTGTCAAGACCTGTAAGTTATGAATGTACCGAGTGAAACAATTTCTTGTGACGATATTATGCCCAAAACACAGCCACACACCAAGTAAAGGCTTCGTGTTGAGTTCAGGATCTTGCCCTCAAGACCCAATCTATCAAAAATGCAAGGAGGATCTTAATTTGGCCCACCTCTTTCCAATACTTTGTTACTTTCCTACTAAAATTCTATTGTCCTGTTATGGGCGTGTCTAAGATTATGCAATGAATATTCATTATTTGTCCGTTGGTTTTGGCGGGATGTTGTCTATATTTAAGGTGTTACGTAATGTTTAAGACCCTGCGTTTGTTGTCTGGATCATGTCTGGATGAAAAGAACCTTCGGCCTTGGGATGGAGGGTCGACAAAAATGGGTTCAAAAGGGGACTAAGAAATCCAGGCTCAGTATCAGAAAGTAGGGGAAATGAGAATATGCCCCTCACTTTTGGTGGGAAAAAGCAAGAAGTGCTCGGATCATTGAAAATGGTTTACATCTGAAGTTGTCAACTATATCAATGAATGATGATGTATTACAGAGAGAGAGAATTGTAGTTATCGAGTGGAATATATTGTGCCGAAAATGTAAGGTTGTAGCAATATGGTGGAATTAACGTAGATCCGTGGAACATCAACTAGTGGTAAAAAAAATGCCAAAATTCAGGAAAAGTATTAAACTAATTTAAAGGGGCCGTGAAACGAATGGAAAGAATGTTGCAACCTGACGCAACGCGGTTGTGTACAAAGTCTATGAAGAGTCAAGACAATATTTCTTAAGTATTTCCTAACAAAATTGGAAATGTTTCTCAGTCCCAGATTCACGTCTTATCATTTTTGCAATTACTGACCTTCATTGAGATGATAATTATATGAAGGAAAAAGCAGCGTCAGGTTGCAACATTCTTTCCAAACGAATTTTTATGAGGAACATATTTTGTGCAACTTTCTACTAAATGTATGGAAACTATTTGACATCCCTTTTTTGTCAACTAAAAGTGCACTTCTTTAAACATTTAAAATTATTCATGCTTTTCCGGCCAACTGAGGGCGCTGATGTTGCTGTGATGTCATTTCAGGAAGACACTGCACAGTTTAGAGGTTTTGACAGGAAAATATCCAAAATTCTGGCAACTTTTTGTGCTGAAATAGCTGCAACATTGAGGTATCTACCTGAAATATGACACCATGATCATCATCTGGCATTTGCTCATGAATATGGAAATTGGCATTAGCTTAACAACCAAACAGGCACCAAAATACCCTTGAAAATTGCAAAACGAAAATTGGACAAATGTTTAAATGGGACACAAAGGTGGATTTTCAAGGATTGCATTAAAAACATTACGTTGCATGGGACCTTAAAATTCCTTCAAACTTGAGGAACTACGCGCACCGCTCTTTTCTTCAGTTATCGACGGCATCTTCCAGAAAGCCTCTAATTAAATTACATACATTTGATTCTATTTTCCTCTAGTGATTAAGTTATCTGCCAATGCGTAACACTAGTAGCTTCTCCAAGATAAACCAAGATACTTGAGCGCTATCAGCCGTACCAGGGCAAATCGGTTGGTCATGGAGCGTTCAACCATGTCTAATAAGACACAAGTCATATATCCGGGTGATTTATGACGTGTGAACATTTTATTACTGGGCTACCGTCAACAAATGTGACTTACTTGTTTGTTTTGGAAGTCCTAGGACGTGTTTATTTACTCTGCCGCCGTACAAGGGGGAAAGCAGGGTAATGATGGATTGAACGCGGTAGAGAATTGTACCCTGGCCCAAATCTGTTGTAACTATCACACCCCAGGAACTTCGCAACAGGTCGCTAGGAGATTTTGTTTTACGGAGTGGTGCAAAAAGAAGGAAACCCAGTTTTGACTGGGAATTTGAACCTAGGAGCTACTTACTTAACTTATTTGAAATGTTTTAAAGTAAAGTGAAGTATAGCTCTCCAACCATGGTGAAAGAATTCTCAAAAAAATCGCAAAACTAGTGTTATTATGCTACTTTGAATACAAGTCACCAAAATCACTATTTTCCACGTTTAGTGCACTAGTGAGTAGTGTTTTTTGGTCTTCAAATTAAACGCCGGAGCTCAGTCAAGCGGATGGAATACAGCCGTCCGTGGACAAACAGGTTTGGCACATGACATTTTTAAACTATACCATATCGCAGAGACAAAACATGCACTTGCAATGCATTCATTTTTGTCGTCACTTATGTTTAAAGATCAATATTTGAATACCATTAAATTGAATTTCTGAAATATGCTCAACAAATAGGTGAACATTGCTGTCAAAAGTGGTGTTCCTTCTTTTTGCACCATTATGTGGGGTGGGGGGGGGGGGGCAAAGCACTCACCTAAAGCGAATTAAGGGAGAAATCAATGGCCGAGTGGAAAAGTTGACACCGATTTTGTTAAATATACATGAAATAAACAGTAATAATTATGTTTCGCCCCTCGTCATTTGGACACCCCCCCCCCCTCGCTATGCCCATGGTTAAAGCGGATTGTTTTTGAAACAAAAATGAAAACATTGAAATTCAATCCGAACCGCCCCTTTGACGCAGGCGAGTTGTCCATGTGCCCCGTATCAGTTTTTTAAGTTCGATAAAAGAACAAAAATATCACTCCACAACTTTACAAGGAAATTAAAGTTTAGAAAGTGTATGGAAATGTCGCCATTATGTTCTTGGAACTCGTTTTATTTTCGTCCTGCTTGAGTCATGTTCTTCATTGACTTCGCATGGTTGAATGTCACTGTTGCGTCAATCGGTGGGGGGCGGGGAGACATGACCCGACCCCCTCCCCACATTTTAAAGTTGGGGGTATCACATCGTTTGGTCCCCCCCACACTTTTTTCGTCCCCGAATAAATATTGTAGCCTTTAGGCCAAAAAAAAAAAGTCTCCGGTTTCTGGTATGCGCGCGCGTCGCCGCAGCCATGCGCGTCGGCAAAATGAAAAAGGTTTTTTTTCAATACAAGATGATGTCTCAAAACCGCCAAACTCACTGGTTTGACTGGAATCCTGCTGCTGCACAATTTTAACGTGTTTTCAGATGGGGTTATGATCGAGAATAAGCTTTATGTGGCCTCTCTGGACTCCCATATATTTGCACTAAGTTTAGTCGGGCACCATTTGCAGTCATCAGCCGACATTTGAAGCCAAAAAAAAAAAAAAAAAAAAAGTTAAAAAAAAAAAAGCCGCGTCGCCGCACCACTTTTGGGGCAAGCTCCATACCAGAAACCGGAGACTTTTTTTTTTGGCCTTATATGATTCTGTAGCTCAGAATAGCTGATTCAGTGACTCCAAACTCGAAAATGATGGTTAAATGATGATCTTTTACTCAAAAAAATTTGGTTAAAGTAGTCAGAACTTGCCTCTGATCGCGGAACCACAGAGACCAAAATTCCTTCAGCGGGCCCCGGACCCCACGCCATAAGGGCTTTGTGCTCGCATTTTTCTGATCAAAAGCATGGAGCTAGAAAAACATAGATGGATCAAGGTAATATATATTGTCCGCCCCGTCCCCCCCCCCTCCTTTGAGAAGAGATTGTATGACGCCCTGAGTATTAAACAGACATAAAAATGCAACTTATTGAACTTAACCAGAAATATTTGAAAACAAGCGACGGCCCTGGTACAACCTTGCACCAACATTCTTTTCAAAGAATATTTACCCTGTGGCAAATATGATGCTATAATAGATTACTATTCCATCGTAAAGGTCCAGAAGAAATGGAGATTTCCGTGTAAAGTTTACAAATAAATTTACAAAATAACGGGAGAATCACCAAAGCATGAGTTTCTTACTCACACTTGATTCATAAATTACTGGAATGATACAAAATGAAACCACTAATACTTTGGGAATTCCACCAATTTTGGAGGTCATTTTGGTACGGCGTTCAATAAGTGACGTACAATTGTACATGTACATTGTACAGTATATGACCGACGGCTATTTTCGAAGCAAATACCGTGACCTCATTATGCAAGTCACACCTGCCACCCCTGTGAGCACAATGGTTGCTTCCGCCCCGCCTACTCATGAATATTACGCATGCTATTGGCACGCAGCGCGCCGGGAATACGAAATAGGATCTGGCGACGGCTTTCTGTACTGTGAGGTATTTTTTTATATCGACCTCCCCAATCGGAATCGTACGAGGCAAATAGGTGAAGAAAATCCAGTGTTGGATTTTCGGAACGATTTTCGTCTCCCAAGGAACAGAATTTCATCGCTAAGGAACGCTTTGAATCCGCCAAGATCTTGCGGTGATTTCTACGTCAAATTTTATCCCTGAAAAGGGTTGCTGTATTTTATCGGGAGGTTTTTTGAAGCGAACTCGCAACCATCATGTTATCGCAAACAGTGAAAGTCTTATGGAGTGTGGTGCTGTTGCAGTTGTACGTGCACCGCGGTGATGCGGGAGTAGTCAGCATTGGTAAGTAGACTTCATCTAAAAATGAACAAATAAATCTGCCTTTTTCCAATATTAATTGGGACTATATTATAATCGGGTGTTGAAAGTGGTGACGCACTTGTATTAGACAAATCGGCCATTTTGAAATGTGGGCAAGTAGTGATGATTGTTCGTTTAATTCTAATTGAAAAAATGATTGAAGTTTTGTGAAATATTATGCTTTTAACATGTAGTTTCAATTAAAACAAATCAATAAAAAGAACTGTTTTGTTTGAAATATAAATACGGCTTCTTTCGCTACACTACCCTGATGTCATGAAAGCATTTTTATCGTCCGACATTTTGTTTTCGTCAACTACCTGACTTGCTCCCACTGTACTGTTGCACTGCGCGGCGCTACTCCGTCACACCATGGTCACACACGAATGATCAACTCACAATAGTTGTATCTATATGCAAATTAGGGCGGTTGGTGTAGGCTTACGTGCACACAGCGGATTTTATTAGCACAATTCCAACCGACATGCCGCCATTTTCCTTGAATATATTTATTATAGGCCTACTACTTTAATGATGCATAATGTACTTCATAATAAATACATTGTCGAGGTGGGTGCGATTTTTGTGCGTCACTGCGTGCATAAATTTGATACGTAAATTCCTTTTTCCATGAAACATCTTGTAAGTTGTATACATTTCATGCAATAATTAGTCATTTGTAAGAAATTTATCATGTTTGTAGGAAAATCGACCTGTAATTTTGTGTTGAGTGACTGAATCAATGACAATAGGCCTACGAGTAGTACTACCTATGACTATGAGAACGGAGGAGTTTTATAAAGCAAATGGAATTATGTTTGTATCATTTTCCATCATAATCTGCATTACAAATAATTTACTTGATAATGATATTTCATGATCGTATAGGGAGACCACTAGTTAAAGCTAGTATCATGTTCTTCCTGGTCAAAGAAAATAATAACCGACATCCTTGAAATGATGCACTTATCCAACAAAATGTCCCCATCCTGTTTTTGTATGCATTACATTTACAAATTTCCTGATTTCATTATTCTTCACACTTCACCCAAAACGATTTTCTTTTATAGTTAAACCATAGAGCTGTTCCTTGCTCTATGGTTAAATAACTTTCGTTTTTGCGAACTGAGTTCCGAGGCGCAAATTGTTTAGTGTCTTTCCGGTCTCAGAACTGTGTATGAAATAAACTTGCCTATTTTATTTCGTGTGATTTAAAATCGGTTGTACCCTAAAGCTAAATTTTTTTTTGGCTTGTTAAATTTAAACCATAACAAATATGTGTTTTGGGAGAATTGTTCGGATGACTCTCCGATTACGCATTTTAAAATCCTCGATTAGTGCAAGGTTCATATACATGTAAGTGTATCGGAAAGAACGTAGTATTCATGCACCAGTTCGTTAGTTGTGTACAAAGTCTATGAAGAGTCAAGTATTTTTAAACAAAATTGGAAATGTTTCTCCATCTCAGATTCATATCTTTTCAAAATGTTTGCAATAACTGACCTTCATTGAGATAAGTTATGCTTAAGTGGCGTCGGGATGCAACATTCTTTCCCATGTGACTTTGTTCTTCGTATTGTGAGTCAGGAAAAAGCTGCTTACAAAAAAATCTTTTACAAAAAAAAAGTTCCGCAAACAAAAAATCCCGACCAATAATTTGTTCAGGCGATCCCTTGCTTTTGCATTCACGAGTTTTTATCCTAGTTTTTTTTAGTAATCCCCACACGGCGTTGCTAGGTAACATGATTAAATGCCGAAATTATGATAGTTAGAACTGCGTGTGTCTAAAGTTATATTCAGACTAAATTATAAGATCCAAATTTTTGTAATGCCAGACGATGTCTCTGTTGTTTGTAGGGTTTTCAAATTTCGAAGTGGGAAAAGTATGTTGGCTTTGTTGATATGTACGGTACAAGAAATAGTAGTCCGAAAATTTGGGACTCTCAATACTGTGTATGAGAGTCCCAAAACTTAAGGTATCCATATCGTGCAAATGCTGCGACGTCGCGCTGCTGACAAAAGTTTCAAAAACATTTACGTTAATTCTCCGTTTTAGTTTGCTGGAAAGTCTAGCAAGTTACAAATACAGTGGAAATAGATTTGGATAGAACACATCGTTCATAGGCAGAAATCAGGCGACACATCAATACAATCCAAAAGCCTGGACATGCGATGTGCATTGTATGAGCTAGAATTAAAGGAAGTTTATTTTTTTGCGGGCCGGGGCTTCGGCAGACTCGCACTACAAACCTCAATTTCAACCCAGTTTGTATGTACAAGTTGGCCATTTAGGCAGTTTCAAGCCTATATAAAGGAAAAGTTAACCTAAAATCATGCGAAAATTGCAAAACATTTTTCGACCAATAGTTGGCCCAGAAGGCTGTAAAATGCACCACAGAGCATCTACCTTTCAACATTTTCACGGGGCCCTTGGGCGGGCCCTGGACCCCACGCCGTAAGGGTTTCGCGCTACGCGCTCGCAGGTTCGGCAATTTACAGCTTTTTTCAGCTATTTTTTTTTAAGCTTCACTCAAACCTCTGTGGAATTCTCTTGAATGAATTGTTTTTCGAAAAGTTAAGCAATGCTTTATCAGAAAATGTGCGTGATTCCGGGTGATTCTGGCTCAAACAATGATTTTCTCGTAATTTTTTTTTCGCGCGATGCAATATTTGTTCGATTCGGATCTGATTAAACCTATCCAGAACTGGGAAAAAGGGCATCGGTACTGTTGACGTCGCAAACTCAAAATTAAAGAGCTTAAATTTGGCAAATTATATTGTAGTATCTCCATCATTCAAGGTAAACTTTGTAACCAGTGTCACTTGAATTCGTGGATTAATTTAGCCGAAAGCAGACTGAATAATGATTGCTATCCGAAACTAGGAAAGCGACTGTACCAAGCAGTGTGATTGGTAGATTTTGGCGGACTTGGTTAGGAAAAGACAATAGGGAGTTAGGTTAAGGAATAGTTTGACTAAGGCCAACAAAAAATATGTCGGTCTCTGGTCATCGCGCGCGTCGATTTTAATCATGCGCGTCAATCTTTTTTTTCCCCAAAATGTTCCGCGATAGCTCGAACAGCGCCCTCTATTGCCGCACCTCCTCATTTTTTTTTTTTACCAAAGAGCACCGTGCAAGGAATGGGAAATTGCACCAAGGCAAATGATCGAGAGCACCAAGGCAAATTATGGAGGACACCAATGTACATGAGGACACCAAAAAAGCAAAAGAGTACCCCACCTTTTCTGTACAATCCAAGCTTGAAGAGAAAAAAAAAAGCAAAAAAAAACAAAACAAAGCCGCGTCCCCGCGTCAATTCCGGAACTTTGGTGTGACCAGAGACCGAATTTTTTTTTTTTTTTGGTCTAACCTTGCGCTGTTTTCGACTAGCATTTGGCTAGACCGTGAAAAGTGTTGGGGAAAAGGAACAGGAAATTAAAAAGAGAGTAGTTTTCTTTTCACCGATCAAACTGTCTTTTTTATGCCCCGCGGCGAAGCCGAAGGGGCATACTGTTTCCGCCTTGTCCTTCCGTGGGTGGGTGGGTGGGTGGGTGGGTGGGTGTGTGGGTGTGTGTGTGGGTGGGTGGGTGTGTGTGTCCGGACAAATCTTGTCAGCACGATAACTTGAGAAATACTTAACATATGAACTTCAAATTTGGTCTGTGTATTGTTCTTGGTAATCCTAAGAGGCCTATTGCATTTGGGGCCGAAAGGTCAAGGGTCAAGGTCACAGTGGCTGAAACAATAGAAATTTTGTCAGCGCGATAACTTGAGAAATACTTTACATATGAACTTCAAATTTGGTTTGTGGATTGTCCTTGGCAATCCTGAGAAGCCTTTTGCATTTGGGGCCGAAAGGTCAAGGGTCAAGGTCACAGTGGCTAAAACAAAAGAAATTTTGTCAGCGTGATAACTTGAGATATACTTTACATATGAACTTCAAATTTGGTTTGTGGATTGTCCTTGGCAATCCTAAGAGGCCTATTGCATTTGGGGCCAAAAGGTCAAGGGTCAAGGTCACAGTGGCTGAAACAATAGAAATTTTGTCAACGCGATAACTTGAGAAATACTTTACATATGAACTTCAAATTTGGTTTGTGGATTGTCCTTGGCAATCCTGAGAAGCCTATTGCATTTGGGGCCGAAAGGTCAAGGGTCAAGGTCACAGTGGCTAAAACAAAAGAAATGTTGTCAGCGTGATAACTTGAGATATACTTTACATATGAACTTCAAATTTGGTTTGTGGATTGTCCTTGGCAATCCTAAGAAGCCTATTGCATTTGGGGCCGAAATGTCAAGGGTCAAGGTCACAGTGGCTGAAACAAAAGAAATTTTGTCAGCGCGATAACTTGAGAAATACTTTACATATGAATTTCAAATTTGGTTTGTGTATTGTTCTTGGTAATCCTAAGAAGCCTATTGCATTTGGGGCCGAAAGGTCAAGGGTCAAGGTCACAGTGGCTGAAACAATAGAAATTTTGTCAGCGCGATAACTTGAGAAATACTTTACATATGAACTTCAAATTTGGTTTGTGGATTGTCCTTGGTAATCCTAAGAAGCCTTTTGCATTTGGGGTCAAGGGTCAAGGGCACAGTGGCTAAAACAATCGAAATCTTGTATTTATTCTGAGATCATAGGGATTAGGGATTAATTCATATAAAACCTACAGAAGACACTAATGCTGTCAATGAACATTCCATGTGACCAAGGTACATGTAAGTTGATGTTAAAAGAGTGGTGTTATGTCATGGGAACAGTCACGGTTGCGGGGCATTTGTGTTTGTAAACACACCTGACTTGTTTCTTTCTACCCCTACAGCGGCGCTGTTTGGTACTGAGTCTACAGACGTGAAATCGGTCATCCAAGATGGCGTCCAGTACATCAACAGAAACACCAGTATTCTCTCGGAGGTGCACAGTATCGAGTACACGGGCATTGTTGGCGTCAAGACCTCCAATTCCGTCTTCTCTGCCTTGGATGATGGTAAGTCTCTTGGGATCAAGGATGTTTGTGGTTGGCTGAAAGGGTTGATGCGCATGCGTCAAGCAAGGATTATCGTAATTTGATTAGTGAATTGATCTTAAATTGATCGAATTAATGTTTGGATTGTAAGGTCAGGTCGACATTAAAAGGCTAATGTGATGGACTTTTTTTTTAAATGCAGTCCCATTTAAAATTCTGTCCCATTTAACCTCATTTTCAAATTTCGTTTTGCCATTTTGGACGGTATTTTGGTGCCTTTTTGGTTTTTATGCTAATGTGAATTTTTTCTTAGCAAAAGCATGGATATATTCCTCCATGGCAAAACTGTGATGTCATTACGGGCAGAAACCTCAATGTTACAGCTATTTCAGCACACAAAAAACGTGCTAGAATATTGGATATTTTACCGTCAATAAGTTTCTTTTCTTTGGTGATTCGTTGTTGTGTCAGTACATGGCAGTAAGCCAATGAGCAACCTTTCTCACAAATGTTTTTAATGAGCAAATTTGGGATTCACAATTTGAACAGAAAACCACTACAAAACTGTACAGTGTCTTCCTGAAATGACATTGTAGCTACAACGCCTTCAATTGTCCGGAAAAGCATGCACATTATTAAATGTTTCAAGAAGTCCATTTTGCAAAAAACACATAGCCAAAAAGGGATGTCTAATGGTTTTCATACATTTATTATGATGAGTAGAAAGCCGCACAAAAGTGTTACTAAGAAAAATTCATCGCATGAACCCTTTAGTTTAAGGGCGGTTTTTGTATGCTAATGCAAATTTCCATATTCATGAGTAAAACTGTGATGTATTTCAAGACAGAAACATCGGTTTCACATCTGCTTCAGCATAAAAGTCAGCAGAATTTTTGTTGTGTCATTATATTACAGTAAGACAATGAGAAAACTATATGCACAACATGTTTTCAAAAAGCAGAATTTCGGGTTTACAATTTGAAGAGGCGAACCCTAATCTGAAAAGTGTGTTGTCGGGAAAAGCACGAAACGTTTTAAATATTTGTAAAATTGCACTTTGCAGATATATTAACCGAAAAGGGATGTTTCATACTTGTTTTTATACATTTCAGAGGAATTGATATTGCAACAAATATGTTCCAGTGTAAAATTTATTTCATCAACTATTTAAAGATAAATAAAGTTAATTATGATTTTTTTTGGAATGTATGACCGATTTTTACAATAGTGCAATTTATACACCCGCTCCAACCCCCACCCCCCCCCAAAAAAAAGGCATGGAAAACTTATTAACTGTCAAGAAATCGTTTCAGTATTTTTAGATTTGTGTTTAGAAAATTATTTTTAAAAATACTCAAAACACTCCAAGGTGTTTGCGACACACATCAAATTAAAGTTTACTTCGTCATCTTTAATTTTCTGTTCTATTTTTTTGGTTAACCATTTACTTATGGGAGAAAATTCCATCTAAAGATGATCACCCCTAAAGCTGTCCTGAAGCCCATCGCCATTTTGAAAGTGGACGCCTATGCTCCATTGCAAAATAGAACCATTTTAGGGCCCGATTTCATCAAAATTTCACAGAAATAAAAGCTCGCAGTCCTCTGCACAGCTTCCACCCTTCTTTATTTTTTTATTTTTTTTTTAGAATCCTCAAGTTCATGGCCCTCCAAATGCCTCAATGTGGCCGGCGTAGGCAATTTCGGACCTATTTTATATGTCTGCACCCTTAAATCACTCGGAATGCACCCCTGTATTAAAATTCCCTTTTTGAACATTAGTGCTAAATGCCCGTACTTCTAAATTCTTTTTAAAATACTCAAAAGTCTCACAGGCGTTCAGGCAGCACAGAAAAATGATGATCGACATGTCATCTTTAATTTTCTTTTCAATTTTTGGTGGGTTTGACCATTGACTTTTCGAGAAAATCTCACCGAAAGAAGACGACCCCTATTTTTTCCCAAAGCGGAAAAGAAGCAATCTTGAAAAACGATCCCTGCACAACATGGCTAAATAGCGCCACTTTCAGGCCCAATTGCATCCAAAATGCTCCGAATTGGAAGCCCCAAGTCCGGGCCAGAGGTTCATTTCCATATTTCTTCAATTCCCCAATTTCATGGCTCTCAGAACTCTCTAATATGTTGAGGGTATAACTTCTATTCATGAGCTCGGCTGACCCCTCAATTTTAAGTGTCCGCCATCTTGTCAAAAACGCAACCTCTTTCCCACTCAGTTTGCAACCTCATCAGTGGGGAGCGGCCCTCGGCTATGATCCTCCCGGAGGATAAGTGCCCTGATTGCGAGGATATCGCAGGCATCGCAAGCCACGCCTCCAATCCTGTCTTCTCCCTGGATCATGGATCCTACGACTCGGGCTCCCTCGCCTTCAAGATGCACCCGTCTCCCGAAGACACCAATAACTTATTCGTGGACATCCTGGAGTACTTCGAGTGGCGGAACTTCATCATCGTTCACGATGGTGGCAATGGTAAGAACACTCACAGACAGTCAATAGTCCCATCCACTTCCCCTACCATGCCTTTAACACAGGCTAGTCGCAAACCGTCAGGTCATATTTTAAGCAAGCACTCTGACTAGTCAAATTCAGTCAACAGACAAAAGCAGGAAGCTGGTGTCACAGCTGTCTTATCGATCGCCCACAGGCAAAACACAGCTGTACCAAGTTACATAAACAGCCAGAGCCAGTCAATGCTTTATGTAGGCTGGGAGCTCTTAACTGTTGAAAACAGTCACTTGATTAATTGGGACTAAAAGGACTACTTGGCGCAGAATATGTGCGTTTGCATAGAAGGGTTAAACCTTCCTGAAACGACACTTTTACCTAAGTATTTGGTTTGCGATTTAAAACACTCATATCACGTCAGTCCCGTTTTGGTATGAAATTATACGCTTGCCTCAGTATACTCAGTAAATATCGAGATCTGATCTTACAGTAACTGGCAGATTTTTTTCCATGGTTGATATTAACCTTTTTCATTACACAAAACTTGAAATGTTTCAATGTTCATCTTTCCTTGTAAGAACAATTCTGTGTGTCCTTTGTTCTACAAGTTTTATGCAAGATATTGTTTAAGGTTTGGCACACTCTACTTGCCTTTATTTATTTATTTATTCATTTACTCATTTACTCATTTACATGTATTCATTTAATTACGTTTACATTTTGCCATGAAAATTAACGAAAACAAGTGGTTTCGAAAGTAAACACTATTATTAAAATTCGACCTAGATCATTACACTTACTCATGTGTTGTCCCCTCCTCTTTTAGAAGAATTCCGAAAGATTTTACTGACAAGCTGTCAAACTCCTTGTCAGTCAAGGCAAAGTTTGTGTTGATCGATCAAAATCCCAAACACGCATTAGCCAAAAATCCTTCCTCATTTTTATTTAACAAAAAAAAAGTGATGCCATTATATTTACTTAAATTTAAAGGCACGTAGGAACTTCTAAGGCCTTTTACACACACAAAAAGTGACACACAGACATCAGACAAACACCACACAAACACCACGACAGACACAACGACCAACAGACAGACAGCATTGGATCTTTTAACAAAGGACAACAACGACTTTATGGTGACTCTTTTCCCCAACTATAGCCCTGGAGTTCTTGCAGGAAGTTCTGAACATTCAGCGGGTGAATGAGTGGAATATCACGGCCATCGAGCTCGGAGAGAGAGGCAACCACGAAGGCTACATGGAGCTCGCCGGCAAGATCAAAGCCGAGTCTTCAAGAAACCTCTTCCTCTTCTGTTCCTCAGAAGCCAACGCTAAGGCATTCATAGTCTGGGTAAGACACATAAATTATGACAAAGATTTTATAACAGCTGGAGAAAAGTATCAATACAGTAAATATTGTAATAAAAATAATGTGCTGTATGCTACTTTAAAATTTCAAGAATCGTCGTCACAATTGTCTTCAAACATCACAAATATTCAGCAAAGTCCTTTTGAAGGCCCGTCTTTTAAAAAAAAAAAGTGTATTTTCAAAATATAATTTTTGCCTAACCAGGGTTGTTATTAAAGATATTGTGTACTACAGTTGTTGACAGTTGTTGAAACGAGTATTCTGTGTCATTTTCTTTGTTGTTCCAAACAGTCAGAATACACACTAAACTGCTTTTTTTGGACGAAAGAGGTTTTACGGTCATTGCGTTTAAATGGTGATATTCTTTGAACGGATTGAGCAATTACAGTACATGTATTTGTTTCATCTAAAAGTAGCGTATGAAATTGGCTTTCCAGTCATTATTATGTTTGGTGCTACATATATTTTTAAATATGAAATATATTTTTTGGGGGGGGGGGTTGGGTTTCGCTTTTTTGGACTCACCCTGTATGACTAGATTTTGCATAATAATGTGTTAATCGTTTTTATAGCTAGAGAACAGTATTGATGTTGAAAGTAAAAAATACTCTACTACTCTGATGGTAGAAGCAATTGACGTTTGTTAGTGTTTGACATTGATTGTATTGCTAGCGGTATGTCAACATATTTTATGCCAAATTATCGTTGTACAATACCATTATCTACTTTTCTATTTTGCAGGCTCAAGCGAACCCCTCGGCACAGATTTTGAATGCCAAGTACCACTGGGTCCTTGGAAATATTGTAAGTAAAGAATAGAAATAAACTATTTTCATATTTTGCTTATTTGTTAATAATATATCCTCTGATGTATTACATCAATAATTTTTTTATATATACATTGTTATTTGAGATTCATACACTGTAATGGCACATTTATTTAGTTTATAGAATTATTTGGTAAAACCTTTTTTTTTCAAGATTCATACACTGTAATGGTATGTGACCATTTTATTTAGTTTATAAAATTATTTGGTAAAACATGTTTTTTTTTTCGAGATTCATACACTGCAATGGTACATTTATTTAGTTTATAGAATTATTTGGTAAAACATGTTTTTTTTTTTCAAGACTCATGCACTGTAATGGTACATTTATTTAGTTTATAGAATTATTTGGTAAAACATGTTGTTTTTTTCAAGAATAATACACTGTAATGGTACATTTATTTAGTTTATAGAATTATTTGGTAAAACATGTTGTTTTTTTCAAGAATAATACACTGTAATGGTACATTTATTTAGTTTATAGAATTATTTGGTAAAACATGTTGTTTTTTTTCAAGAATAATACACTGTAATGGTACATTTATTTAGTTTATAGAATTATTTGGTAAAACATGTTGTTTTTTTTCAAGAATAATACACTGTAATGGTACATTTATTTAGTTTATAGAATTATTTGGTAAAACATGTTTCTTCGAGATTCATACACTGCAATTGTACATTTATTTAGTTATAGAATTATTTGGTAAAACATGTTGTTTTTTTTTCAAGAATAATACACTGTAATGGTACATTTATGTAGTTTATAGAATTATTTGGTAAAACATGTTTTTTTTTCGAGATTCATACACTGCCATGGTACATTTATTTAGTTTAAGGAATTATTTGGTAAAAAACATGTTTTTTTTCAAGATTCATGCACTGTAATGGTACATTTATTTAGTTTATAGAATTATTTAATAAAACATGTTTTTTTCAAGAATCATACACTTTAATGGTACATTTATTTAGTTGATAGAATTATTTGGTAAAAGTTTTTTTTTCAAGAATAATATACTGTAATGGTACATTTATGTAGTTTATAGAATTATTTGGTAAAACATGTTTTTTTTTTCGAGATTCATACACTGCCATGGTACATTTATTTAGTTTATAGAATTACAGTCGACTCTCGTTAGTACAAGCTCTGTTAATACAAAATTCTGGTTATAACAAACATAAAGCCTTGGTCCCGACTGTGCATTTATGTGCACAATGAATGGGACTGATGTTCCTCTTAATACAAATTTCTGATATAACAACCAATTTGGCTAGGTCCGAATGAGTTTGTTGTAACGAGACTTGACTGTATTTGGTAAAACATGGGTTTTTTTTCTCGAGATTCATACACTGTAATGGTATATTTATTTAGTTTATAGAATTATTTGGTAAAACATGTTTTTTCGAGATTCATACACTGTAATGGTACATTTATTTAGTTTATCTTTGGTTATATGAATGTATTTGGTGTTTCTATCGGCATAATGCATCGTTTTACTGTATTGTTCTCACTTTTTGTCACTCCTTTTCAATTCTAAATTTCAATTTTTCAAATTTTCTCACATTTCCCATAATTTTTTTTTTCATGTAACATTTTGACAGGACATATCTCTGGACCGAACCTTCAGAACCGAGCTGGAGAAAACCAACGCGTACATCACGCGCTTTGGCATGAACTACACGCGTGAAATCCAGTACGCCCAGCCCACCTCCATATCGACGTCGACCACCGAGTGGCCAATGAGAAACCGCCTGGCCTTTGACGCCGTCATCGCCGTAGGCCACGCCCTCAGGCTGTATCGTGAATGGAGAGAGGACAATGGCGAGTCTGGCACAGCCGTGTTGCCTGGCGACACCCAGATGCCGCCCTGCCCAACCTCCTCGGCCACGCCCACTGAAAATGCCCTCAGCAGATACCTTAAACAGGTACGTAAACACTTTGACAGTTTAAATGTTTGCAATAACTAATTTGCATAATTTTCAATTACATGTTGTGATAAGTTTTAGTAATACCCCAAAACGGGTAAAAAGACCTCAATTTTTGAGGTCTTTTTAACCGTTTTAATTGAGCTAGAATAGCTGATTTATTTTTAAATTGATCCACTTGCAGGTTGCTTTCGAAGGAATTAGCGGAAACGTTGAATTTGACAGCAAAGGCAATCGCGTCAACTACACGATTTCTATTTACAGTGGACAGTTCCGGACCCTGGACCAAATGGTGAGATACTTTAAAATGAAGAGTAAAACGATATAGCCTCATAAAATTGCTTTGCATTATATTAGTACCACACAATCTCTTGTAATGATATTCAGTCTTTATTTTTGAATTCTTTGTGTCCATGTGTGTGTGTTCCAGTTCACTGTAAGTTCAGTCATCAATCTCAACCAAACTTGAAAAGTGGTCTGTGGAGAAAAGGCTGAGGTTAAAGAAAAACTCTTTCCAATATGGATATTTACGAGGTCCCTGGAGAGATACTAATGACTCTAACACTCTCCATTCAACCCAAACTCCCCATTCAACTGAGAACTGGTGTCTGCCGGTTGGACATGTACAAGTATACAAACTGGAAGGATGGCGGGGGATCGCGCAAGTTTTACTTGCAGTTTTTTTTTTGGGTTGTTTTCAGAGAGGAGAATGGACGCAGAACAAGGCTTACTGGGAGCAAAAATGGAAGAGAAAATGGGAGAGCGAAGGACACCTCAATGTGACCTATCACAACTATGCCTCAGAACGAACCATCAAAATTGTCACAATTGAGGTGAGTTTTAAGCAACTTGAAACTACATGTTTTTGTTATCAAGGTGGATTATTACTAAATTTGTAATAAAATACCTAGGACCTTGGTTATTTTAGTGGGGACTCATTTTCTTCAACATGTTATGAAAATACACAGTGTGCCAAAACAAAAAAAGTGCAACATTCAGAAAATAAATAATTAAAACTGTTTAATGTTTTTTTTCTTCAATGAAATTTTATATTACATTAAAGCCTGACTATTTCTCAATCCACTCCTTTTTATCCCACGGATCACAAAAAAGGCTTGTGTTCTTTCAGCAAAACGAAAACAATTCACATACATCCCTATGTGAATTGTTTTCGTTTTGCTAAAAGAACACTTATCTTTTTTTGTGATCCATGGACAGAACTTTAAAACGGTGTTTGTGTTCAAACTTCTGTAAATTGAAAAGTACATGAGTGATTTGAACGATTCTTGTACTAAAAGAAAGCTTATTATTTGGGCTTTCATATCCTAGATTTGGAAGTGCTACATGCACCTGCCATTTGGGTTTCCTTTTTTTCCCCACTCACCCTGTATTATGTGCATAATGAATGGGATCGGCACTCCACGTAATACAAAATTCTGATATAACAAACATTTTGGCTTTGGCTGGCTGAGTTTTGTATTAACAAAAGTCGAGGGCATCACTTTTTTTTGACTGAGATAGTGACCAATTGGTAAGTAAATTTGTTTGTTTTTATTTGACCGTCAGTCCAAGCCATTCCTGATGTTGAAGGGTAACGATACCCTGACCGATCAGGGTAGCTACGCCGGCAACAACCGCTTCGAGGGTTACATCATCGACCTGATGGAGCGCATCAAGACCCACATCAAGGGCATTGACTTTGACTACCAGGTGGAGCTGGTCGCGGACGGGAAATTCGGCAGCAGCCACCCCTATAGTAAGATCTGGGACGGCATGGTCGGGGACGTGGTTCGTAAGGTGAGTTTGGTGTTGCTTAATAACCCTTACCCTGCTAAATGCAACAGAAAGCCAACAAATTAAAAAAGTTGTTGCAATTTGTTGCATTTATCAGCCAACTCAAGTCCCCATGCTTAATTGCATCTTGCTCCAATTAGGTTTAGCAGGGTAACTGCTCATAGTGCCAAGGCGATACAAGATCATCCACTGTTGCAGTTTGTTGCATTTAGCAGGGTAACTGCTTGGTGCCAAGGCTGGTATGCACTGGGTTCACTGCACAATGCAACAGAATCCACTGTTGCAGTTTGTTGTATTTAGCAGGGCTCTCATTTGAGTTGAGCTGGATATTGTTGCATTTAGCAGGGTGTTTAGTTGCATTTAGCAGGGTGTTTGGTTGCATTAACCCTAACCCTGCCAGATGCAGCACAGTGCATCAGGTGGAAAAGTCTGGTGCACTTTGATGGAAAATGCTACCAACACCAGTGCAGAAACCGGCCACTTCTGAGACACTGAGAGCTAGTCCCATGGAACAATGCCCGAGTTGTATCCTGCTGCAGTGGGTGACCACAGACTCTGAGGCAGTTTGGCCTCGAGACTTTTGACCTGATGGATCTTGCTACACTGGGCAGGCTTGTCACTTAGACAAGTGTTGCATGTTGCTGCGTTTGGCAGGTTTTCTAGCCAAAATACCCTGGAGGGTTAGGGTTAAGCATGATATGGGGGTTAGAGTTAAAAATGTTTATTCCTTGAAATTTGTATCACGATGATTACAGTTTTAATTAATTTAACCCTAACCCTGACACATGCAACACAGTGCATCAGGTGGAAAAGTCTGCACTTTGATGCATTCAGCTACCAACACCAGTGCATAAACACCCGCTTCTGAGACAATGAGAGCTAGTCCCATAGAACAATGCCACAGTTGTATCCTGCTGCATTCGGGGACCACAAACTCTGAGGCAGTTTCGCCTTAAGACTTGACCTAATGGATCTTGCTGCACTGGGCAGGCTTATCATTTAAACAAGTGTTGCATGTTGCTGCGTTTGGCAGGGTTTCTAGCCAAAATACTCTGGAGGGTTAGGGTTTTAACTTGCAGTTTGTGGATATTATGACACGAGCAACAACCTGATGAAGAAATTAATCATAATCCATATAGGGTGTGTGTAACCAATATTAATCAATTTGAGCAATCAGGACCGTTAGGGTTAATATTCATTTAGCAGTGAGCAGGTGCTGCGTTGGGCTGTCTTTATTTTGACCTCGGTACACAATTGCACATTAAGTTGGGATGAACAGCTTTGACAAGTTTCAGAGTAAAAAGTTACTCTGAAAATATTGATTAAGCTGCAGAATTTACCCTCCCTTTTTAACAAGAATGTATCTTTAAATGTTCAGTCCAAATTCTGCCATAACAAAAAGTGGAAAACATTATATTCAGTAAACATTATGCAGGCCTATGGCTATAGGTCTTGTTTCAGTTCTAATCAGTGCTGTGGTTGATTCCATCACAAGTCTTATTTTTTCATGTTCGTATACAGAAAGCCGATATTGCAGCAGGACCTCTGACTGTCACCCCTGACCGTGCGGCGGCCATAGATTTCACTTACCCCTTCATGAGCTCCGGTATCACCATCCTGATGAAACACCCTAACTACGTCCAGCACAATCCTTTCCGTATCATGTACCCGTTCGGTATCGAGGTCTGGTTCATCAACCTAGTCGCTTTCTTCATCATCAGCGCCATGTTGTATTTCTTCAACTACTTCGATCCTTACGAGTGGCGAGCAGCGGCAGAGAGGCGAGAGACCTTCGAGGAGAACGCCGAGAACTTCACCATGAAGAACTCGCTGTGGTTCGCCACTACCACCATGTTCCTGCAGAGTTTTGATGCTTCACCGCGCTCCAACGCCGGTCGCTGCCTCGCTGCCTTCTGGTGGGTCTTTACGATCATCATGGTCTTCCTGTATCTGCTGAACCTCACCCACTTTGTCACCACCAACAAGAGGCTTGCCTACGCCAAGACGGCAGAAGATCTCTTGGATCAGACCGAGGTGGCTTTTGGCAGCGTCGAGAAGGGTTCCACTTATTTCTACTTCAAGAAGTCCAGCGTGCCTGAGTTCCAACGTCTGTGGCAGCACATGAATACCCGTATTCCTTCCCCCTGGGTGAAGAACGTTCCTGAGGGCATCCAACGAGTCCGGGACAGCAATGGTTACTACGCTTTCATAGGTGAGGCTGGTGAGCTCAACTTCCTGGCTAGCAAGAGGCCATGTGACCTCCTTGTGTCTGGTACCTACATCACTCGCACCACCTATGCACTGGCTGTGCAGAAGGGCTCCCCGCTTCGTGATCAGCTCTCCAGTGCCATCGAGTCTCTGCGTGACACCGGGGTTTTGGAGGATCTTGAGAGGGAGTGGTGGGATCTGGACATACGTCACCAAGAATGCGCCAACTTGACCACCTGGGAGAGGCAGGGTGTCTTCTCTCTGACTACAGTCGATCTTCAAGGCGTCTACTACATCCTTGTGATTGGTATCATCTTGGCCGCGGTCACTTTCATCTTGGAATCCATCTCATATTCTTGCAGCGGTGGTAAGAAAAAGAGTAGCAGCAGCGCTCGTAATGGTGGTATGGGAGGTGGCATGAGTGGCCCGCGTGGCGGAGGCGGTGGTGCTGTTGGTGGACCGGCAAGTGGCGGTGGAGACGAAAAGATGTGGATCTAGACCTACAGTTTTGGGGTTTTGACGGAAAAAGATCTTTCCAAAACTGACCGGCGCCTATCACCAAAAACTCCTTACATGTTTTTATTTTTAACGTAGCAAAATTTAAAGACAACTTTTCCGAGCAAAAGCCCATGTTCTTTTTAATGAGAAACAGTTTCGATATCAACAACAATAAGAGAAAGTTTAATGCAGAGTCTTGTAAGACCTGACTCATCAAAGTTGCTACGAATGAAAAAAGAAGAATTTTCTTTTTTAGGTTGAACCAGAAACATGTAATGAAGTGTATATTCTAATTCGCACATTTATGTTTACTCAAGCTAACCCGAGCAACACTGCATTGCTTTATTGGCGTAGATGTTATACTCAGAAAAAACAAGCACTGTATTTATAAGCTTTTTTCCAAATTTAGGTATTTGATTAATTTAAACGGAATTATGGAACAAAAGAACTCTTTTTTACAATAATGAGCAAGGTTCTGTAATTGTTTGAAAAATGAAGCACATTGTCTTAGTAAGGTTTAATAAATTTAGATGTTTTGAAAAGGCTGAAACACTTTTTACAGGGTGAGAAATTTTACGCTCTCAACAATAAAGTTTGAAATCCAGTATTGTGCGAGTTGCAAGTGGTTTGTAGTATGTAAAAATCTCAATTTTTTGTACAAAATGGTAATGGGGCAAAGTTGTACATATATCTGCGATTAGTTAGTTATACGTTATTTGTATGTGAGCTTCGTTATATACTTGTTTCCAATTACATTTAGATGACACCATGTTAATATTGTTCGTTTAATGTTTTCGTTTTTTGTTTTCGTTGAAGAATCACATAGTATGTATGTTTGTATGTGGTATTTTGGTTAAAGTTTTGTAATTAGTCTCATTTCAAAAGTTGAAGTCCAATTGGAACCAAACTTGGGTCATAGATGCAACATGGGAACCTGCATATGATAATGATGTCAAAGGTCGCATACCAAGGTCAAAGGTCATCTGGGGTCAAGTTGTAAAATAGGCTGAACATGTAAAATTGGTCTCATTTTATTTGAAAAGTCGAAGTCCAGTTGGAACCAAACTTTGGTCATAGCTGCAACATGGCAACCTTCATACTGATTAGTCACTCTTTAAAAATAATCGCGAAAGTAGGAGATGCATGGTTCGCGAACCATCTTGTTTATATTGTCGTTCGTGAAGCTTTTTCCATTTTCCCCAGCTTTTGAAATACATGTACATGTAACTGTATGTGTTAAAAAAAAGTTACCAATTAATTTAGTTCTTTGCAATTGTCAACTTTGAAAAAGTCAAGCGAATAGTTGTTACTGTTGTTGGTGTAATCATTTGCAATATCATAGTTATGCTTTGAAATGACGGTAGACGGAAATTTCATTTGTTTACTAATTTGTCTAACTTCCCATACTATATTCATAACCATATCATTTAGATTTATGTTAATCAGCATTGTAGATAAGCATTTTTTATGAAGTGTGTATAAATTTCTGGTTTGTCAAAAAAAAAAAATCATGCTTTGTTGGTTAATGCGTTTAAATAAAAATTACTCAGCTACATTTTATACAGGATGTCACGTTGTTAAAATTGATGGCGTTGTTTTGGTTTTATTTGTAAGACGACCAGGTTTTTTTTCCCCAAAAAATTGTCGAAAAATAATTGAGTTGATAATCAGTGATTGAAGACATGCTCATACGGGACCCCCCCCCCCCCATTAGTCAATTATGTCGGCAAAATAATGGTGATGTCGGCAAAATAGAAAATGAAGAATGGAGAAGGAAGGGGAAAGGAACAGTCGGAGAGTGAAGAAGAAAAAATGGAAAATGTAAATAATAACACACCCCTGTCCAAAACCCCGCGAAGCTAAAATCAGGTTCTGCAACCCATGGCAAAAGATTATACATGTACATGTAGGCCTATTGTGTCATGTTGGCACGAGCTGCCGCGCGAGGTCGCTTCATATCCATAGCTGCCAACTATTACGAATTTTTTGTAATTATTACGAATTGTTTGTTAAATTACGAAAATACGATTTGCCACTAAAAAACATTACGAATTTCCCATTTTCTACCTAACGAAAAAAAAATACTTGTAAAGTATCGTTTTTGACCGAAAACTTCTGGCGAAATGTCGCGATAATGGATGGACTGGTGACAAGTCTAAGAAGAATGCAGTCAAGCACCTGATAGACATCAATGCAGTGTGCGCAGTGGAGTACTTGAGGACCAGACTAAAAATAGTTTTCAATGGTGTGTCATTTGTGTGCATCTCGTGGATGTGTGGTTGTGTGTACTGTATGTGAGTACTTTTCAGTGACGATCGTGAGCACATTTGGTCGCCTATTGCCGGGATGAGACCCATCAGTGCGAGATTTTAATCATGGAATTTAATAAGAGTATGTTTGGAATAATTGGTAATAGAGTTTGAGTTTCTAATTCTACCTCCATGGTCACAACGTCCAGAAAAGATAAATCAGCATGCGTTTGCAAGGTATGTTGACGGGATATTTCTATTGCATACGGTGGCCCTAAATCATTGTGTGTATTAAACATGATACGAACTCGAAACTTCCACATCGATAGCATGTATCTCAAAAAAAAAATGCGCACGTGATTATTGTTATTATTTATTTGACTTCAACACTCAAATACAGACATTAAAACAAAATTAATTTAAATAAAAAAAAATTAAGTTTTTTTTTTTTTTTTATTATTATCTTTTAGCCTACAGTACATTATTATTCACAACAAGAAGGGTATGCACATGTATACATGTAAACCATGTACCTGTACTCGATGTTGGTAAAGCTTTTGATAAAACGAGCAGTTGAAAATGACCGCGCGGGTTGATTACTAATTGGGATTTTGAAAAGTTGGCAGCTATGTACATGTATTACGAATTAAGCTGATTTTTAGTGACGACTCAAAATCATGGATTAAGCTAAAGAGGGCAAATCTCGAAAGAGAGTCAAGCTACACTTTTGATGTGATGTTTGTGATGTCATATATCAACTTTGATGACCCACCCCCGTCTTCCTATAAAACACGAGCACATTTCATTCAAAGAGTAAGGGAAAGTGGCCAGGAAGTTGCCTCGGATTGCACCACAGAGCATCTAGAATGTCCTTAAGCGGTCCCCGGACCCCACGCCTAGGCCTTCATAGCTTCGCGCTCTGCGCTCGCGTAAAAAAAAGTTTCACTTAAGGATTTAAAGACGCCCCCCCCCCCCCCAGTCTGGGATCAGAAAATGGGCCTGAACAAGGTATGCATACGAATACTGTACATGTACTGAGCGTACACGCAGTTTTGAGACGAGCAAGATTTACTTTTGAAGTTGAACTTATCCCACTGAATTTTTTTTAACCTTTTTAATGTCATCAACATAATTAACCATTCATTTATTTGTGGAGGAATTAGAAATGAAAAATTCCCATTCAAAATTGTCTAGCGACGCCCGTGGTTAAATGGGACTCAAGCTATCTCCCAAAAGAATTCAACCAAAATAAACCTTGGGGAAATATGTTAATTAATTAAAAGACAACAGGGATGAACAATATTTATTGAAAGGCATGCATTTCCTATCCGAAATCCTACCCTGTGAATAAATAGGCAAGGATCCTTGCAAGTTTTCAACTTGAAATAATATATAAAATGGCAAAGGCGCAACTTTTGTTGAACACAAGTACCGTTTTAAAGTTCTGTCCACGGATCACAAAAAAGTAAGTGTTCTGTCAACAAAACGAAACCAATTCACATACATCTCTACATCCCTTTGTTGTCGTTAAAAGAACACATCCTTTTTGTGATCCGTGGATAGAGCATATAAAACGGTGTTTGTGTTTACTTGAAAAGTACACGAGTGATTTGAATGATTCTTGTACTGAAAGAAAACTCATTGGTTTGGGCTTTCTTATCCTAGATCTTGAAAGTGCTACATGCAAAACTTCATTCAACAATTAGTCCTGCCATTTGGGATGCGTGTTTTTTTTACTCGCCCTGTATAATCAAGCCAGGGCAAACTGGTATGTTCCTAGTAATCTAAAAGCCTGTTGGCACCAAGGCCGATTTTCTGGACAACGTGACTTCATTTTGGCAGTTTTGTCGGTGTTACAAAATATGATATTGTCGCCGATAATCTGTGTGTTTTTGATCCTTGTGTTGCCAGTCATGCCCAACCTCTAGAAAAAAATGTCAATCAAATAAAATGAATATTTTTTGAGTTATCGTGTGACATAGGTGTGATTGTTTTTCTGTTTAGCAGTTAGGCCGATTTTCTGTAGACCGTGACTTCACTTTGGATGGGTTTTGTCCGTGTTACTAAAAACTATATTGACGCCGATAATCTGTGTTTTCTCTCAATATTTAGCATGCTTGTGTTGCCAGTCATGCTGAACCTCTAGGGAAAATGTCAATCCAATAAAATGAATGGTTTTTGAGTTATCGTGCGACATCTGTGATTGTTTTTCAGTGTAATAGTAAGGCAGATTGTCTAGACACCGTGACTTCATTTTGGCAGTTTTGTCGGTATTACAAAAAATATATATATTGACACCGATAATCTGTGCATGTGAACATGCTTGTATTGCCAGTCATGCTCAACCTCTAAGAAAACTTTCTGTCGAATAAAATAAATTGTTTTTGAGCTATCGTGTGACATTGTTGTGATAGTTTCTGTTAAATAGTAAGGCCGAATTTTTGGAGACCGTGACTTCATTTTGGCAGTTTTTTTCTGTTTTACAAAAAATATATATTGACGCCGATAATCTCTACATTTTCTCTCAATATTTTACAGGCTTGTGTTGACAGTCATACTTAACATCCAGCCAACATTCCAATCCAATAAAACAAATAGCTTTTTTGTCGATCGGGGAAATATGTATTGGAAAATGTATTCTGCCAGGTACATACAGATGTTCCCTTAATACTGATACTTGTGTGCTTCCCCACTGTATTTAGACTGATCGGCAAGAAGTACATGTACTGGGGCATCAACAATCAAAACATTTTTTATAGTTTCTTGATCTGAACAACAGAATCAGTCCGGCAAGCAACAACTCAAGAAATGGTACGATTTGCTGCAACTAGAGGCGATTTTATTTCAATACAAACATAGTCGTCAAAGTTTTTACATCGATCAGTTTAGTTAAAAATACAAATATCTTCTTAAAAGCATATTCATGAAAAAAAATCGGTTTGCTCATCTAAGTCAAAAATTAACTACGAAACCAGAACAAGATGGTTCGCGAACAATGCGTCTCGCCTGCTTTCGCGATTATCTTTAAAGCGTAACTAATCAGTGTGAAGGTTGCCATGTTGCATCTATGACCCAAGTTTGGTTCCAATTGGACTTCAACTTCTGAAATGAGACAAATTTTACGAAACTTTAACCAAAATACCACATACATATGTACACAAATACTACGTACGTAGAAACATAGTGATTGCATAGTCTCTTTCCTAAACAAAGTTTAGGCGAGACAAAAAAAAAATTCGAATTAACTGGGCTTGTCGATTTGATTTTGAATTCAATTTTTGTTCCCAAGTTCTACCCAATTTGACATTTCGTCATGCTTTGGCATTACACTTTAAATGTAGGCCTAATTCCTGCTGCAATCTCGTACTATCAAAGCTCGTATTAAACAATTTGTTCCTCATAGGAATGTCTACCCTTAGGTCGAGCCTACTGCGAAATATGCTCGTCTTAACCGGAATATATTCGTAGCCAAGCTCGTATTAACGATAATCGACTGTACATGTATGATGTTTTAAACTACACATAGCCTATGGTTACATTCTTTGTATCAAGTTAAACAAAAAGAACAATTACATGTATAATCAAATGGTTTGTTTTAAACATTACAAGAACGATGTACGTGTACATGTAAATAAAGTCAAATACATTTGTACCAAGTCTTTTGTTTTAAAAACATCAAATAGTGCCATCTTCAATTTATATTTAATTAAAAAAAAAAAAAAAGCAGAAACACAAAATACTAATAAGCCCTCATATTTTGGTTTTGTAAAAAATTTACATAACTCCGAGTAATATTTTTTATTCTACTGTCGCGGTTCGTTTTCTCTCTATAGTATGCTTGCTGGTGATTTAAAAGCATTTGCCGATTACTGCGAATACATTTGAGCTTGTTCATCAACTTAATTTAAACGCAAATAGGAATAAGAGCATAAAACACTAGTACATTTGAATATACAACCGAAAACCAATATATACAGGTAGGTAATACGAAATCAATCGATTAAAATAACTATGCCAACCAAAAAAAGACTAGTACTAATCAAAAAGAGTATTAATTCCAAATATATACAAAATATAACGTATACAACGCTTACTGAAACAACCCCGTTTCCAACAATTTATTTCCTCTTTTGTTGTCATTTTTTACACAGCATGAATGACACCAATGTGATTTACGTTATTGAATGATATTATGAGAAACTTTGAAATGATTATCTGAGTTGCTGCTTATGTTGAATGTTTCGATCATTGAACGTTTTGATCATTACTTGTATTTATTATTTGGTTTAGTGTTAACATTCCTATTAGCGACTGTAATTTTGTAAATATTTTTAAAAGACATTCCAATGCTAACCGGAGCCGAGGGAACACATTGTCTAATCGGGTTCTCTTTCCCTTATTTCCATCTTTCAGTGAGAATAAATCACTACAGAACTGAAAAGCCGAGTCCTCTTCCCCTTTATTACTGACTCTAATAAAACCAAGGGTCACACTCACTGTCCCTGTTATTGAGATTCTAAATCCACAAGTTAGGGGACTTTTCCTCAGGTGGTTTGCCATAGTCGCGCTCATCTCTCGGCTTATCACGTGGGTTGAGGGTCATGGTGAATCCATCCCCCCGGGGGTTACTGGGACGAGGATCCCCCGCGGAGGAGCAGCTTCCAAACACCCAGTAGCACAAGACATCTATGAAGAAGATGATGGCACTCAGAACCAAGCCAATAGCCAAGACGTAATAGATGCCTTCCAGATCGTTGGCATTGATGGACAGGACGCTCTCGGACTCCCAGAGACTCTCCTCTTCGCATTTCTGATCCCCGAACCACTTCTTCTCCACAAGTTCCTTGATGGTTCCGTTCTGTTTGAGCTTGTTGATGGCGTAGGTGATCTGGTCTCGCAGGGGGGAGCCAGACGGGGTGGCGAAGGCGTACTTCATCTTCTTGACCGGATCCCCCACGATGTAGAGGTCACACCAAGGTCCACTCTGGGTGTAGTAAGTCAACAAGAGCTCCTCACTAACCAGGGCATAGTGGCCATTATCATTACGGACTCTCAGAGCGCCATCACGCATCCTCTCCACAAACGGGTCGCGGTCTAGGACTCCCATGATGGACATGAGTTGCTGGTCGCTTGCCTTGGATGACATCGAGTAGTAGTCGTGGGTAGGACCATGGCGCACCATCCCAATCTTCAACAGAGGCTCGTTCAGGAGATCGACAGGATCGTTAATGGTCAGGATGTCCTTGTCGATAGCGATGAAATCAGTCAGGTTCAGCATGTAGGTGAAGACCATGACTAAGGAGAAGAAGAACCAGGCTGCCAGGAGGATCCTTCCAGCGATGGATGCTGGGGAGAGCTTGTGCCCACGAAGGAAGACGACCCCGGTCAGCATCCAGGCCACGTTACGGAGCGTGAACTCCGTGGATTGCTCGCGAGTGGCCTGGCCGATTTCCGACTGTTTGCGGTACTCCAGAGGGTGGAAACGCATCAAGGCCCAGAAAACCAGGATGGTGATCCCAAAGGCGAACAGGTTGACCAACCAGGTGTCCCAGTCGTGGGCGAAGGCGAAGTTGAAGGGGAAATCTCGAACCCAGTTAGGATGCTTGATCAGGGTCTTGATGTTTCCCTTGTAGAAATCCTTGGTGAAATCAATGACTTCTTCACGGGCTTGGGTCACAGTGAAGGCACCGGCTGCAAGATCAGCATCCTGGACAAGGAAGAAACCAAAATATTCCGCCTGAGTCACTTAACTTCTAAGTCACTTTCTCAGTGCCATTGGGGCCTATGTGTCACATATTGAAACTAAATGACACGAAATGGATGTGCTATTTTAATGCAACTAAAAAGGACACTGCTGATCATATGTCTTAGTCTGAATGGAAATATGAAAAGGTAAAAATAGGCCCAAGTTGTCTTCCTTTTTAGCTGCGGTTGAGCAGCTCAACAAGTCAGCCTGTCTCTCCGTTAGTTCGTTTGTAGCAAACGTTGGAATGCACACCTGTGCACTGTACATCAACTTGGCCAACTCCTGCCGGAGGCCCCGTGTCACTTTAATGGGTCTCCAGTGAGGGAGGACAGAGTTGCATTATCGAGGTTACTAAGTCTGCATTGTGACGTTCAACAAATGGAAAATCTCTTCTTTCTATTGGCAATCACGACCAATTGAGTAGCTTGCTCACTTTTATGGGTCTCCACTGACCGCCCACCAATTTATGCAGTCATGGAAAAGGCGTCACTTATACTATAGGGTCAAAAGCATGAAGTTTGTCCTGAAAACACTACTCCTTCCAGAAATTACATGGCACAATTACGTCACACATGCATGAACACAAATGCGTTGTCCCGTAGCTTCCAATATCATTTCGAGCTTGTTTTTTAGGAGGAGAATTTGACTGAACTTGGGTTATGCATTTAATACACAGAGCAATTGGCACATATTACGACAAGCAACACAGCTTCGGCAATTGGACCGTTCGATACCATTATCTAATGGGACCTGGCTCTACGGACGACAGATATTACTACATGAACAGGAAACCGTCTCCGCTTACCGAGTCTTGAAGCTCCTTGACCATCCCATCCCAGTCTCCGGTATTAGGGTTTCTCTTCCCATAATACCCTTCCGCAATCAGCTCGATCTTGTACTTGAATTCCATGCCCATGTCGTGCTCGAAGATGTACTGGATGTATACCAGTAGCTCCGGGATGATGCCATAGTAGCGGTCCAGCCCGAGCTCATCCGAGCTCTGGCGACGCGCCCGGGTGTAGTCGTGGTCCCTTAACATCAGCAATGGCGGCTCCTGCAAAAAGAATTTGAAATGATTGTACACGTATTCGAATGTTTGCTTCAAAATCTCTCTCTCTCTCTATTTTTGGTTTATCAGATACGACGTGTGTTTTATGCTGGACCAAAGGGACTAGCCGTATGTCCTCTGACTGAGTCACTATCTGACTGACAGACTGAATGGCTGAGTTACCAGCCATTTGTGGTTTTGTTTGTTTGTGTATTTGTTTGTTTGTGTTTGATTCTCAGTTCTTTTTGGACTCTTGACTACTGATAAGTCGGGTTCATCACTTAAATCATCAGTTCTGTCACTGTTCAAACAAACGTATCAGGACAGTATTATAGATCACGCGGTAGTCAGATGAATATGAATATTCACGATATGATACATATTCATGACCTCCCTGACCTCGATGGAGAGTATCTTGATGTATGATGGGTCGGACTGCCTGAACGGAGTCATATGAAGACGACCGGTGTTTTTCGGCCATTTCTCGCCGTACTTCCGTTCGTAATGGTCGATGTTCTGAGTCCAGACTCCCGCCTGCAATAGAGAAGCGTGAAACACGAGTCAACGGAAAAGGTAGCCATACTATAGCCAAACCGGCTGCAGCGGGTTTTGAACCAGCGTCCATTGGAATACAGGATCAATGCTCTACCGACTGAGCTATCCAGCCCTATTTTGCAAGTGTCCCTTAATTGGGCTAGTCAGAAACCAGAAATCTGTGTGGTATGACGCCCAAAGTCACGGAGCTAGAAACAATTGAAATGCTGCAAACCTGACGAATGTTGTGTTTGTCCTTGCCGAAGAAGATGTTGATGGTGTAATTCACGCGATCACCGTCTGAGTTGAATGCAACCTCCCCGCTCAATCCTTCGTAGCTGACCTACAAAAACAAATAAGTAGCCTGATGAAATGGTAAGAATAAAATTTGTCGTCTTATTCAGTTTTTTTTTAATCGAGCCATTATCTTTTTTGAGGGAGCAAATACATCTAGGGTTTTTTAGTCTCCATTTATTGTTATAACCATTGACAGACGGTACATGGTTCCAAACTTTCAGGAATCCTGTAAGAAAAAGATTCTAAAAGTTTCCTATAGGCCTTTCGTCACATGCTATAGGATACCACATGGTTCCTATAGGTTTGTCGTCACATCCTACAGGATCCTACAGGTATCCTATAAGATTTCATCACAATGTTCACATCCTATACGTTTCCTATAGCTTTTTCGTCACATCTGGATACAGGATCCTACAGGTATCCTACAGGTGTTTTTCATCACAATGATCACATTCTATGGGTTTCCTACAGGTTTGTTGTCACATCCTACATGATCCTACAGGTATCATATAGGTTTTTTTTTATCACATCCTACAGGTTTCCTGTAGGTTTCTAGTCAAATCCTATAGGTTTGTCGTCACATCCTACAGGATCCTACAGGTGTTTTTCATCACAATGATCACATTCTATGGGTTTCCTACAGGTTTGTTGTCACATCCTACATGATCCTACAGGTATCCTATAGGTTTTTTTTTATCACATCCTACAGGTTTCCTGTAGGTTTCTAGTCAAATCCTATAGGTTTGTCGTCACATCCTACAGGATCCTACGGGTTTCCTATAGGTTTTTCATCACAATGATCACACCTATACAGTTTCCTATAGGTTTTTAGTCAAATCCTATAGGTTTTTCGTCACATCCTATAGGGTCCTATAGGTGGTCCTAAGGTATTTTGTGAGTGTGTGATAAGAAAGGACTTTAAAATAACAGGAAATATAGAGCCCGTAGATGACGAACATGCTATAGGATCCCTTCAGATATCCTATGGCCATAGGATACCTTAAGGACTTATTTTAAGGGTGACTTGATCGTTTTGATGACAACAGTCGTGTCGATTTAACACCAACCTTTTGCATGACAGTTCCCAACTGACTGCTGAGATCGTCCCCACACTTAGGCACAGCTTCAGGATACCTCCCGTTCTCCTCTCTATACACCGTCATGGCCTTGGCGAAGAACAACATGGAGTCGTAGGCCGTCCTCTCTCTGAAAGGCCAGTTCCTGGTGGGAATCGGGTTCCTGGTCAGGACCTTGGACTCCACCCCTTCCACGATTTTCATCTTGAAGCGAGTCAAGAAAGACGTGTGGATACGGAGCTTGTCGTCAAGAAATTGACGGCTGATTGGCGGCTCCTAAAGCCGGCACGGAAAACGAAGAAAAAGTGTTTTCAACCTCTACAGGGTGAGTGAAAATACACGAAATCCAAATGTCGGGACCATTGTTTCAGTGAAGTTCTGCATGTAGCACTTTCAAAATCTAGGATATGAAAGCCCAATTCATAAGCTTTCTTTTAGTACAAGAATCATTCAAATCACTCATGTAATTTTCAAGTTACGGAATTTTAAACACGAACACCGTTTTAAAGTTCTGTCCACGGATCTCCAGAAGGTTCTTTCAGCAAAACGAAATGAAAGAACGCACACCTTTTTTTTGTGATCCATGAAGAGAACTTTAAAAGAGTGGTGTGTTTAAAATCCGTAACTTGAAAAGGACATGAGTGATTTGAGTGATTCTTTTACTACAAGAAAGCTTATGAATTGGGCTTTCATATTCTAGATGTTGAAAGTGCTACATGCAGAACTTCACTAAAACAATAGTCCCGACATTTGGGTTTCGCTTGTCTTAACTCACGAAATCTTTAGCATATTGAAAATTTGACAAGCATAGCTGTATGCAAGGCGTTGTTCCATCTGCAAAGGTGTGAATATTGTTTTACAAACTTTTTGTATGAAAAAAAAATGTATGACCTCCTTGTCTCCTTGAAGCATGCTGCAAATATACACCATGAAAAGCTACCAATGTGAGAACTTGTTTTCAAAATGGCTCACTTTTTTTTCCTGACTCGGTGAAAACTTACCAGGTTTCCGAAGATCCAGTGGTACTTGTCACCAAACATGCCACTGTCCAACATCTACGGGAGTAAATTGTCATAATGATTATTTGTAATGCAGGGTGATTCAGAAGAAGTGGAACCAAATCCCCCAAAGGTTTTATCGCTAGTAATGTTTGAAGAACAATTGTGACGACGATTCTTGTAATCGCATTTTTGGACGGATGAGTTTTACGGATTGTTGAAATGATGATATGCTTTGAACGGATTGAACAATTAAGTATTTTTTTTCATCTAAACGTTGTTTACGAAATTGGCTTTCCAGTCATTATTAACTTTGGTGATTTTGGTGCTACCCAATTCCTAATCACCTATTTAATATATCTACTCATTCCCAAATTACCGATTTAATGAACCTGCCCAATTCATAATCACCCATTTAAAGAATCTTCCCAAGTCATAATCACCCATTTTTATAACCTTCCTAAATCCCAATTCATTACCACCAATTTGAAGAACTAATGCCCAATTCATATTCCCCATAAAATGAAGCTACCCAATTCCGAAATGCCCATCTAATGAACGAACCCAATTCCGAATTACCCATGCAATGAATCTACCCAATTCTGAATTACCCATCTAATGAACCTTCCCAATTCCGAATTACCCATCTAATGAACCTACCCAATTAACGAATCCAGGCAGTCGTTCCTCCTCGTGTAAAAACAGCAGGTAGTTTTGAGTTCTGCGTTTCTTCAGGTCCTTGGCCATCTCAGCATAATCTGCCTCATCGTAGATCTGGTACGGAACCACGTGCCACTTGTTCTGATTCTCCATCTCCAGCAGAATCCAGGCCATTGAGTAAGCTAAATGTAAATGGCAAAAAAAAACAATTCAACAAATGGTAATCCCAAAACGGAACGGGTTCTTAAACCACACACGATTGCCGAACAAAATGGTGACATTTTCCCAAAATCACTTAGACGGCACGATCTTCACCACCGTTTGTCGGTTTTGAGAACTACATGTATCAGGACGTTACCGTAGGGTTGTTTGTTTGTTTGTTGGGTGTTTGTTTGTTTGTTTGTTTTTTAAATGTCCCCATTTTGTGCCCAAAAAATCGTATTAAACTAAAATTAGGTTTATAAGCCAGATCATTAATTGGATCACTTTTACAAATTTGAAACTCTTCATTTTGCCCGATTTGGGAAAGATTGTTATTTGTTTGTATTAACCAGTTCTTTTCTTTTCTTTTCTTTTGGTTCATTTTTTTTCTCTATCACTGGCTGAGGACCAGGTCATTGATGATGTCATCGTTGTTCATTCTGAGCAAGCTCAGCAGAGAGTTTGACTCTCATGAGATTCTACGAACATCCCCGAGAATAGGGGCGGGGCCAGCCGGGGGGGAGGGGTTCAGCTAGGTTTTTTTTTCTCAGCACACTTACCTGAATCTCCATCATGGATGAAGATGAAGTCTTGCCACTTGTAGTGATTGATGACACTAACCCACAACTCCAACAAGTCGCTGTCTGTAGGCAACATCTTGTAAGCTTTAGATCCCGAGGCCTGATCTAGAGCGATGACTGGGGCGAAGGCATTACCCACGATCCTGCCGGTATGCCCGCTACAGCCCGGGCAGACATCGGAGGGAACGATCAGTCCATGCATGTCCACCGAACTGGCGAAAGTACAAGCTGGCGAACAAAGCGAAGACCATTTATATTGTTTAATACTGAGTTTACTGACTTTTCTCCGTTCACAGAGAGATACTCAGTGTGGCCTAGTCTAAGAGCATGCAGGAATCTAGAAATCTTAAAAAACTTAATCCAGCTTTCTTAAGTTGATTGTCATCGCAGACGTCGTCATCAGTGACACCACGAAGTACCACCCAAGTGGACTTTAGCGCTCGCTACGCGCGCGTATTTTACAGAACCCTCCGATTTTCGTTTTCACGAAGTGACACTGATCACGTACACTGTGCGCTGAATCGGTCATTTTTGTTTTTACGAAGTAACATCTTTCTTTCATCAGTCTGAAGGCTATTTACTAAAAGTTTCTGTTATCGTACAAGAATAAGTATTAATTACAAACTGTCAAGCGTTTTAACCTTTAATCCAAATAGTATTTCTGTAACAGTGTGAAAACGAAAATAGTTCCCGCCAGTGTCCGGTGTGCGCGCGCACACTTGAGTGTTAATTCGTGAAACAAACATTGTCACGGTTTTCACGAAGCAACACTGAGGAGGACTTGGGCGTGGTGTCGGTGACGGTTTATCTCCAATATGTTGGTTAATGATTGTGGTTGCTTTATCAGAATCGAACCGGTCAGCAACCACGCCCACTTGTGGGGTCGACATGCAAATTGAGGTCAAAGTGCTACATTAGTATAATGTCTATGACCCCACCCAGCTGGTATGATAGACAGATGACAACACCAGGAAAGAGGGCAATCTCAGCACGCAAACATTTTCATCACGGGCCTACCTGCTCTCAGTGCCTGTGGTGCGTTGGGCAGTGACCAGTTGGTCCCAGCGATGGGTCTATAGTTGTAGACATTTAGGGTTTCCCTGTTCCCGTTCATAAATTCAGGATCTCGGTTGATGTAAGTCGTTGCATCAACAAACAGCTCCTTATAATGGTTGTCCATGTTTGTATTTGCTCCGTACATCGCACCTGAAAAAGAAAAAAGAAGTCAAGGAAGGCCTTGTATAGCTGTTCCCAGAGTGTGTAATATTATACAGGGACTAAGTTACTGCAAGTAAAACTTGCGCAATCCCCCTGGCATCCTGCCAGTTTGTATACATGTACAGGCAGTTAGTCAGGGCAATTTTCAGTGACGGCCTTGATTGTCCACCCAGCAGGTACCAGTTCTCAGTTGAATGGAAAGTTTCAGTGCGACTGTGACACCGGACTAACATCTCACTGAAACTCTCCGTTCAACCCAAACTCCCCATTTAGAGTCTTTAGTACACGTTTCTCTACAGAGCCCTCGTAAATATCCATATTGGAAAGGGTTTTTTTGATGTCGGCCTTCTCTCCACAGACCACCTTTCCAGTTTGGTTGAGATTGATGACTGAACTTTACAGTGAAGTAAAGCACACATCCAAAGACACACTGAAGGAATACACGATCGCAATATCCCCCGTCTGGCTTGAAATGCAGGGGGTAAAAACATGGCAGATGGCGCCCCTTTGTTTTTCTAAGGAGTTCTGCGTGACTGTATGACATTCATGCAAAATCGGGGAAAAAATGCAAGAGGTCAGCCTTGCTAGAGGTACAGCTTCTAGGGGCTACCGTTATAGATCAACACGGATGTCATGACTTCGAGTAAAAAGAATACACTCATGGTTCGGGCAATATCTCAAGAAATACTGAATGAATTAACACATTATTTCGTTGAGTAATTATTGTTCATAATGTGTCACGATCGCCAGTTTAATTTCAAGAGAACTCTTCAACCAACAAAAATAATATGACCGTACCAACTAAGTGTTTTAACCGTCCAAAATACTCTATGGTTCGGGTGATAAATAGCGATTTACCTATTGAATTGAATCGAAAGTCCGTCCATAACTCTTCATAATGTATCACATTCAGGAGTATATTTTCAATCATGGGGATTTGTCCAGCAGGAAAGCACTTGAGATCGAAACAATTAAGTGTTTTAAAAGTAAAAAATAAAATCCGAATGAAAGCAACCTAGATGGCAAAAAGTCGCACTCCATTCTACGAGCAATATCGTCTTTATATTCGTCTATCGCGTAATCCCTATGAATTTTTTTGAAAGTTGTTCTCTGCGTGACTTTTTATTTAACATCCTAAAACGATATTTTTTGAAAAAATCGACCATTACACTGCTTTTGTACTTATATTTTGTTTCCCTATATTATATCCCTCCTTATATTTTGTTTCCCGTCAGGGTTCTTTTGAATCAGAGTGTTTAACAAGAACACTATTTTTTTAGTTGCCATGTGCCCTGACTTAGCCATCAAGATCACTCTGATTATAATTATGAGCGCATGCGCGCAGACGTACTTTTTTTAATTCAAACGCCAGTTGCCACGAACAACCTTGGCAAAATAGCGCATATGCGCGCCAAACTTTTTTTTTTAATTGCGCAATTACTTCCGAGCCTTTATATTTTAAATCAAACTGTCTTATGTGGGCAGTGCGCAATAGCCTTGTGGTAGGCAACCTAGCGCTCAACTGAGAGGTAACGGGTTCGACACCCGCTGAGTACCCAACAGCGCATTTTATTTATTTTTACTTTTTAAGTTTTTCCATCAAAAAAGGTTAAAAATTTATCATCCAAAATTCACTATGGTAAGGTCTAACCATTGCATTTTTGTCAAAAGTGGCACGAACGTCAATTTTCATCGAAAGTTCATGTGGTGAGGGGTTAGCCTTGTCTTTTTTTTTGTACAGAAAATGGCACGAAAGTAAATTTTCGTCCAAGATTCAATATGGTAAGGGGTTAGCATTGCATTTTTATCAAAAATGGCACGAAAGTCAATTTTCATCAAAAGTTCATGTAGCAAGGGGTTAGCCTTACATTTTTATTAAAAATGGCACGAAAGTTGATTTTCATCCAAAGTACAAGATGGTACTGGGTCAGCCTTGCATTATTACCTCTAGGGTTCGTACCTCTAGGGGCGACCATTAATCGCCCCTAGTGTAACGTACCGCTAGAGGCGACCATCAATAGTCGCCCCAAGAGGTACATACCGCTAGAGGCGACCATCAATAGTCGCCCCCAGAGGTAAATACCGCTAGAGGCGACCATTAATAGTCGCCCCCAGAAGTACGTACCGCTAGAGGCGACCATCAATAGTCGCCCCCAGAGGTACATACTGCTAGAGGCGACCATTAATAGTCGCCCCCAGAGGTAAATACCGCTAGAGGCGACCATTAATAGTCGCCCCCAGAGGTACATACCGCTAGAGGCGACCATCAATAGTCGCCCCCAGAGGTACATACCGCTAGGGGCGCCCCCAGCGGTACATACCACTAGGGGCGGCCCTAGAGTAACGTACCGCTGGAGGCGACCATCAATAGTCGCCCCCAGTGGTACATACCGCTAGAGGCGACCATCAATAGTCAATAGGTGTGTACCATCAATAGGTGTGTACCTCTAGGGGCGACCAATAACGGCGGGTCTGAGTACCGTATTGCTAGACGAGGGTATTATATTAAAAAAAAAAAAAAATAATTAAAATAAAATCGCATTTTACCCTTTTTAATAGAAATAATTATCAAGTAAACATAAATAAAATGCGCTGCAGGGTACTCAGCGGGTCTCGAACCCGTTACCTCTCGGTTGAGCGCCAGTTTGCCTACCACTAGGCTATTGCGCTCTGCCTGCATATCTTAGTTGGATTTAAAATATAAAGGCTCGGAAGTAATTGCGCTATTAAAAAAAAAAAACGTTGGCGGGCATGTGCTATTTTGCCAAGGTTGTTCGTGGTAACTGGCGTTTACATTAACATTTTCACCAAATTTTGGAAATTCATGGTAATACACCTGTGTACCGTAGAGGGCGCTCAACAGTCAAGTTACGCGGATATTGTTTTGGGAAATATTGGGGGAAACGTTAATGGGTAAATAGTTCTTGTAATAATTTGAATCTGGAACACTTAGCAAGTTGTGTTTAATCTTTGTAAAAAGTACACCAAACATCAACTTGTGCAGGTGGGGCTTTGCAACCGTGCGAGCAGTGGACAAAACGGAGGTGTACTTTTCAAATTTATTAAGTAATTTTGGATATAATTATTCAAGCCACCACGTGACATACATATAAACACTGTAATTAATCAATACATTCAACCGAAACAATGTAGCGTGTTAAGCGCGATCAATACAAGCCGAATTCAAGTCAAGTTTTATGGAACAAAATACGACACACTCCTTGTGGAGACGATATCTCAAGAAATATGAAATGTATTGAAGTTAAAATGTTGTTGAGTGATTGGTCGTCATAGGCTACACAAACTGTTTGAAATTGGAGACGAATCGTCAAAGAGTAAAAATGATATAACCCGAACAATTTAGCGTGTTAAGCGTGAAAAATACAAGGCGAATTTCACTCAACTTCCATGACAAGAAAGCAACACACTGGGCTTCCAGAAAATAACTCAAGAAGTATCTCTTGCATTGAATTGAAATTTCGTATACTGATTAAAGTACATAGATAACACAAATCTGTTGAAACTGAAAGGGAATCGATTATTAATAAATTTACTATAACCGAAACAATGTAGCGTGTTAAGCGCGATCAATACAAGCCGAATTCAAGTCAACTTTCTTGGAACAAAAATGACACACTCGTTGTGGAGACGATATCTCAAGGAATATTCAATGTATTGAAGTTAAATTTTGTTGAATGATTGGTCATCATATGTAACACAACGTGTTCGAAAATGGAGAAGAATCGTCAAACAATAAAAATAATATAACCCGAACAATTAAGCGTGCAAAGCGCGAAAAATACAAGGCGAATTCGAGTCAACTTTCATGACACACAACAACACACTCGGTTTCCAGAAGATAGCTTAAGACGTATCTGTTGCATTGAATCGAAATTTGGTACATTAATTAAAATGTGATAGATTACAAAAATCTGTTGAATATGAGGAGAAAGTGTTGGCTTATGAAAATAACATAACCAAAGGCAATTTAGTGTGTTAAACGCGAAAAATGCAGGTGAATTTAAGTCAATTTTCTTAAAACATAAAAATACCCTCTTTGAGGAGACAATAACTCAAGAAACATTATTTTGTTGTATTGGAGCGAAATTGTTTCTCCTGATTGGTCGAAATAGATAAAACAACACTTCTAAATTTGGAGAGGAATCGTCGAAAAATAAAATTGATATACCCCGAAAATGTAATGTGTTAAGCGCCACAAATAACTGGCAATTTTGAGTCAACTTATTTCATGACACAAAAACAACACACTCGGTTTCCTGAAGATAGCTCAAGACAGATCCGTTGCATTAAATTGAAATTGCGTTTATTGATTAAACTAGATGGATAACACAAATCTATTGAATTCAGAAAAGAATCATAAATTAATACAATAATTATAACCGACATAATGTAGCGTGTTAAGCGCGAAAAATACAAGGTGAATTTGAGTCAACCTTCATGACACGAAAGCAACATATTCGGTTTCCAGATGATAACTTAAGCAGTATTCGCTGCATTGAATTTAAATTTCGTACATTGATTAAATTAGAAAGATAACACAAATCGGATGAATTTGGGAATAAATCATTAAATTAATAAAAATTATTATAAACGAAACAATGTAGCTTGTTAAGCGCGAAATATAACTGAACATGTTGAGTAAACGTTCATGACACGAAAACAACACACTCGGTTTCCAAAAAATAGCTGTAGAAATATCCGTTGCATTAAATTGAAATTGCGTATATTGATTAAACTAGATAGATAACACAAATCTGATGAAATTGGAGGGGAATCAATAAATTAATAAATTTATTATAACCGAAACAATGTAGCGTGTTAAGCGCGATCAATACAAGCCGAATTCGAGTCAACTTACATGGAACAAAAACAACACTCTCGTTGTCCAGACGATATCTCAAGGAATGTGTAATAAATTGAAGTAAAATATTATTGAGTGATTGGTCGTCATAGGCAGCACAAAGTGTTCGAAATTGGAGACGGATCGTGCAACGTATTAAGCGTGAAATATACACACCAAATTTGAAGATTTGGACAAATTGACTGATTGAGAAAATAATATCATTCTGAACCGATTTCCCCCAAATTTTCGACACAATTTTCGGTTGAGAAGCACATGAGTCCAGAAATTCAGTCGGGATGTGTTCAAATGTCCTCTGAGTACCTATTATTTGGCAAAAATCGAAAACAAAAATGCCAGGGGTTAACCTCACATTTATATTTAAATTCGCAACAAAATTGACTTTTCTTTAAACGACTCAGATATACTTTTCGATGACAGTTGAGCACCATAGGTATTTAAACACCAATTACTTTTGAAGATTTGGGCAACAATTACTGATTCATTGAGAAGAATAAAATATACTTTTGACCACTTTTCACCCAAAAGGTGGAATGAGAGGCACATGCGTCCATAAATCCAGTGAGAATGAGGGCGCTGCAGGCATCTGCTCAGCAATTTCAAACAGTTTCATTTTGGGGGCCAAATTCGAACAAATTACAAAGGGTTCGCCTTATACATTTAAAAAGATATTTTTTTCCCCAAACTACTTCAAAGGTATTCATTTTGATGACAGATATCAATCAATATTCAAACACCCATTATTTTGAAGAGTCGGGCAAAAATTACCGATAATTTGATAAGCAAGATGGTTCTCAAACCATGCGTTTCGCCTGCTTTCGTGATTATCTGCAAAGAGTGACTAATCAGTATGAAGGTTCCCATAATCCCATGTTGCAGCTATGACCCAAGTTTGGTTCCAATTGGACTTCAACTTTTCAAATGAGACCAATTTTACATTTTCAGCCTATTTTACAACTTGACCTCAGATGACCTTAGACCTTGGTGTGTGACCTTTGACATCATTATCATATGAAGGTTGCCATGTTGCATCTATGACCCAAGTTTGGTTCCAATTGGACTTCAACGTTTGAAAAGAGATCAATTTTATGAAACTTTAACCAAAATATCACACACATACATGAACATACTACAGATGTACAGACATAGTGATTGCATAGTCTCTTTCCTGAACAAATGTCAGGCGAGACAAATGATTTTCTTGACCAAACGACTCAGAAATACCCATTGATGAGCAATCATTTCACATTCACACACCAATTATTTCGAGATTCGGGCAAAAATAATTGAAATACTCCGAAGTCTTTGATGAATGAAATCTAGAAAATATGAAATCTAGAATTGAATCATAAATTCCTCACACAAGCTCCAATAACCACACATTCCACTTTTTTTCCTATTTATCTAGTAATACTGTGTACAAAATGCGTTCCTGAAGCGTGAGTCACCGCGCAATGAGTCGCCATCGTCAATAGGCTGACATCTACCCAAGCCCCTTCCACTCGCAGTTTTCAACCAATCACAATGATCGTTTGAATGAGGCCAGGCCAAATAACAATACGCCAAAACTGGTGCGTACTTGCGATGTTTTATACAATTTAGTCCTATGTATTACTATTGTGTCAATTTCCCTATTGATGCTATTATAAGCGTATTGATGGCTCTGGTTTACCGCTTTCATTTTGATATTTAAAACAAAACATGCTTGTAAACTAGGCTCTTAAAATAACTGTGGATATCGAAACTAATAGCTTGATAAAAAAAAAGAAATCATGATGACCTGATAAAAAAACCTCACGCGGATATTCCTGTAGGGCAAATCCCTTTATGTTTAAAAGAGAAACATAACATTACATTTGGACATTATAAAATTCCGTACGCAAAGATGAATAAGAACAGGTTTGATTGGTTTGACAATGTGTCGTGGTCATGTCACTGAAGATGCAATGACCACGACATAAAGTTAATCTATAAAGATGCCGTCACTGCCATCTTTAGTGTCAGATACTCAGATTGAAATAATATCCACCATGTTTTCCATTAACTCGTCAAATATCACCACCAGATCACAACCATATCAGTCACCATCCTCCTCAATAGTGTTTACAACAACGGAGACAATATTTACAGTTTGTTTATCATCCTCATTATCATCCTCATCATCATCCATGAACATGATTATTATCACCCGTCACAGTTTAGCACACCGATCATCATCGGATGTAGAGTTTGTAGAACTATAAAACAACGATGATCTAAAACTGAAAATAGAAAATGTTTAAACTTCCTTTGCAACAAGCACACTGTTTGAATTGTCCAGTGACAAATTCTTAAAACTCGTCGTTATTAGTTGTGCGTCATTATTTCTCTGAGCGCACCATGCCAGCCTCAATTTACACGGATTGCGGTTAGCAGACTTACCTATCTTATAACTTTGTGATGTCGTGCTGCCGATGAACGACATGATGAATAGGGCCGCTAGTCCCCAAATCACCGCCATGCTTGTCACAATCTCCTCCTCGAATTATAGAAACTTTGCCCCGACAACCAGTCAAGATTCCTCGCCGAGATCACTCCTAAAAACTCGATGAAACTCGGTGAAAAACGCGAGCAATGGCGGCCAATCCCTTGGTGCTAAAAACCTCCCTGCCAAAATGTCACAGTCGGAGCAGGAAAATAACCGTTCTGTATGTCGTCGGCGGCTTGATATCTGCAAACCTCACTGGTCGCTTGACTTCCAACACTATGCAGATTTTGTCATACACTGCCAAGAAAGTAGTCCCTGTCTGTCATTGGTTGCAGGTGATGACGGAGTAATCACCTGACTAACGTAAGCTTGTCGCTTATGATGATTTATCGTGGTTCAATCTTTGGGGGCGTTCCCACCACGCGCAGTTGATCGCCGAAAGACACGACGCTCACAACTGACCCCTTTTGGAAAAAAAAATGGGGGACAATAGTACACATTCAAAGTAGCCTAACCTCTGAAAACAAATACCCACACGACGGTTTTTGCACGCCAACCTTGGTCTGTCAAACCCACAAATGAAAATGAATTATTGCTTCTATTTTGCCTTTATGACGCGGAAGGGGAAAAAATATGCAAATTGGATGCAGAATAATTGTTCGTCCCGAGCATCACGATTAACCATGCAAACAACGCCCTGTGTTTAGAAACTGGCCAATGGTTGCAACCTATACGACAAAAGTATCTGATTTCGATTGCAATAATGTCCACCATTTTGAAGAAAACAATTGTGGAACTGCAGTAAATATTCGCAGTGCATTTTATCGCCACAGCCATCTCAAAACACAGCTGTCTGAAAAACTCAACCGCGGAGCCAACTCGTCATCTTGTTCGGCATTCCAAACGTTGCTCGTTGAGTGCAAAATGGCGTTCGAATCATAAAATACCCCCAATTTCCAGTTAAATAAGCACCATCAATTCATGGCGAATCCAGCTCACTTTGCAGGATCGAAGACTCTGTCTTCAGACCCTGATCCGAGCACAGGCCGCGTGCCCTCAGCCGACCCGACATGCCCGAACCACCGGGCCTCCCGAGCCCACTTCCACCTGAAACTCATGCCGCAGACCCCGGGAGGGGCAACAAAGAGGTCGCGGTGAGGAAATTGTTTCTCCCCGGTTGCCTAAGGAGGAGAGGGGAGGTGGTCCCAAGTTCACGGAAGGAGCGCACTCAGCCAGCTTCATCAGTTCAACTGCTGACAGACATCGCTAGATGGGGCCAGAACAAGCCAGCTTTTATCATACCGTCGAACGCGTCTAGACGCCCCGTGGTTAGAGTCAAAACGCGGCCGCAGTGGGTGAGCCCGAACAACGGGAGTAACTAACATAGTGGAAAAAGTCAGTCGCTGGAAATAGGTAAGTCGGTTTTATCCCGTGTTGCAGATATATAAGACTCATATTTTTCCAGCTTTGTAGATTTTCAAGGTGTAGAACTCTTACTATATAGTTATGTTCACAAAAATGGGACAAGATGAAAGTTAACTTCAATAATTAAATGTTCGGTTGTGATCTATAAAAACTGAAATATTCGGCAGTAGGTCTACACCGACTGTCTTTCTTTGCATCAATAGCCATTACCGTGCTTGTCTTCGTTAATCTGTCTGTCTTTGCAAGTGAAGTGACTCTTCCTAAACCACACCGAACTGTCAGAATCGAAATACATGTATTACATTTTGACTCTAAATTTCATGTGTCTAAGTTAACTTTCATTACCGTCAAAAAGAAATTCAGAATTTTTAAAATAACATATCGTACTTCCGCAGTTAATCGTGTATGAGGAACTTCAATGTAAATAATGTTTCTGTCTCCTTTCTGTATTTTTCCTGAATACACACAAAAACTCCAGAGTTTCCTCTTTTTCCTCGTGTCATTTGCCCTCAATACATCGATTGCTTTCCTTCTTTACACAGAGACCAATTGTCTACACCTCCGCCTATTCAAGATTTCTTCAGGTTTCTACTCAAGACACCAGTTTACGAGGTAAGTTTTATTGATATGGATGGAAATAACTCTGGTTTGAATAACGACGCAACCAGGACAACATAGAGGTTCGATTCTTCTCAACAGTTAACGACTGTTATTTCTGAGGTTGGTCGCTGTTGAAGCTCTTTCCCACAAGGTTGCAATAAACGTAAAGTCTCTCTTAGTACACGAGAGACATTGTTACAGACACCGTCATGAAGATCGGGACAGTTTTGTAACAGGTTTGCATGTCGTTAGAACTCGCGTGATAAATACTCGGGCGAGTTTTGGGACAATTATTATGGGGGGTAAAAAAAAATGTGTATCCTTCTTTTTTCCCCCTTCAATTGCTAAGAATTTTAAGTCATTTTTATTTTTGAGTAGATGAGTACGGCAGAACAAATTGGACGAAATTGCATTCCCGCTCGCCCCAAAGGAAATGAAATATTTTCCTAATGTCCAAACAATCCTTCACACCAAAGGATCAACCCACTATATTGGTCCCCCGGAAACATATCAATAATTTCCTAACCCAATCCTGTCAAGTCTGACAGAGTGGAAATTAACACTAAGACGAAAACACCCAAACCTGTACATATTTTACGGGTATTGTCAGTCTATAAGAAAGAGCGTCTCTGAATGGGTCTGAGCAACCATTCTCATTATCCTTTTTTGAAAAAAATAAAGGTAGAATAACAAGGCATTTTCTAAAATTTTCAAAATGGCTGCCATTGCTTGTTATGCTACCTATGATTTTTTGAAAGGACAAATCTGCGACGGCCCTATAAAGCCAAGCATCTGTGTCATGACATACTCTGACTGTGTGCGAAATGCCATGCTTGTATCATCAAAGGCACAATCCCATCGCCTTTCTGCCGTACTATATCGACGAAATCGGTTTTCATGATCAAAAGGTTGTGTATGTTTTTCCTCCACTGTTTTCTCGAAAAAAGTGTTTTATCCACTGAGCTGAAACTTCAACAGGTTAGTTTTGACACATTCGTCTGTGGATATTGAGCGGTATTATTGGGAGCGAACAAAATGCATGAAAAGCAAACGATCACATATGCATTTATAAATGGTGGACAAAAGCAGTTGTTCAGTTGCTACAGCTGCACTTCCATCCGCTGAGTAATATTCTTAGAGTGCAAAAGATGACAGCAAATCTTTAATAATGTTTTCCTAGCCTTTAACCTTTAAATTCTGTCTCCGGTTCCTCCTGCACAGCATTGTTGTGATTTGAACTACTCCCAGGGACCTATAGTATTCATTTCATTAATTTAAGAGTCCCCAGAAATTTGATTCCGATCAATTCATGTTATGCGATTCTCACACGCTTGACATTGTAATGTGGAATGTGGATGCGCGAGTAGTTGGGTCTACATGACGAACTCTTACAGCAGGAAATTAGAAACTCCACCGGCTAAGTCGGTTGGAAATTAAAAATAAACCGAATATAGTCTGAACCTTGAGGAGTTTTGGAGTCTACAAGTCTATCTTGCATTTTTTGTTGATTTCATTTTTTTTCATTTGCCGACAAGAATACTTTTAAGCACAGGAGATACATTTACAAGGAAATCTAAGTTCATTCTCAACCATATTTAAAAATGAACGAGCTATGCCAATGGTTAATGTCCAATCGAAAATCGAAATCGTTGGAACGAAAAAACAAAATTTGATTTGATTTACAGTGGAGTGCATGAAACATAATTTTATAATAACCAAAAGAAAAAACAACAACCAGATGTCTTTAAACTAGCAGACGACAGCTATGTTTTAAGTGATTTAGGCTTGATTATTTCCCGTTAACGAGTTTGATTTATAAGTTTGAAATAAGAGCACAAGTTTGAGTAGTCTGGGTCTTTGAGAAGAAGACTTCAATTCGAGAAACGAGAACTGCTAACAAATCCCCAGACAGACATTTTCTTTAACATTCTCTTGCGGTGTGATATAAAAATGAAAATCCAATCAAGATGTTGGCCCCATAACAACTGAACTGCGTTGCCCCTTCGTTCCCCCTTTCGTTTCTAATCAAACCTCGGTCGGTTTTGAGGGATTTATTGCCGGGATACAGAACAAAAGTAGGTCAGACACTATCGAGAAAAAAAAGCTGGCACTTGATAAGAAAATTCACAGTCAGTCAAGTCCGGCGTGCCCGTCTGATATCAAAAGGGTTCAGAAATTCGGGGACAAAGCACCCTGAGGCACGTCTGGCAATATTCCTTTCTCCATGCATTGAATAACAAAAACCTTCAGAAAAAAATCCTGTGAGCCACTTATTGTTTGCAGCGCGACAAAGCGAAGCTTGATCCAAATTCCAAAGAGAAGAAATTGAATTCAGGTGTTCTGACTGAACCTCAACTTCGAAGTGGTTCGAGGATTAGGCTTCACACCACACACATTCAGATCGAAGTGTTGGAGGTTTTGTGTGGGCTAAACACCCCTGGCAAGTCAACAACTTTCTTTCTATACATATTTTGTATTAAGCTGAAAACCACGAGCATTATTAGTGATTTGAACCTGTTGAACTTCGGACGAGGTGGTGGCGGGCGGGCCGGGGGAAAAACGGTCATTGTGCAGTGTTCGAAATAATTGGGCTTTCATACCGACTTGTAATGAGTACGGATAGAGAGGGCAAGGGTCCCGAGCGATTATGTCGACTGGCACGCTAGTGCAGAAGGGTTGAAATTGAAAATAAAATAGTGAAAGGAGCACAAAAAATTTTTTGGCACAAACTCGGTACACACAAAATCGGTGTCAAAAGACAATCCTTATCAATACAGGGTGAGTAAAAAAAAACCGAAACCCAAATGGCAGGACCAATTTTTGAATAAAGTTTTGCCTGTGGCACTTTCAAAATCTAGGACACAAAAGCGCTTTCTTTTAGTACAAGAATCATTCAAATCACGCTTTTCAAGTTAAGTTTGAACACAAACACCGTTTTCAAGTTCTGTCCATGGTTCACAAACAAGGTATGTGAAAACATTTCACATGCAATTGCTTGCTAGCAGTTTGTAAACATGTTTACGTGGTAAACATTTTAGCATGAGGTGTTAGCAAGAAAGTGTTTAGAATTGTGTTTAACACTTTTGAAGGCCAGGCAAATATCCACACACAGGCAATTTAGGCTACCTTTGTCCCAATGCCTAAAATTGAAAACTTGGTCCCATGGTCAGTTTGACCTCTCTTGGAGAATTACTCATAGCTCTGTCAAAATTTATCAGATTTGAACGTTTGATGTCTCATTTTAAAGTGGAAAATCGTATCTTTCAAACCAAACCTATATAATATATGTTGGTTACACATTCTATGTCTGGCATTCCGTTAATTGTTGTTCGCATTTGTTTGATACTGTATTGGCAAAATTCAAACTCAAACACATATGCTTAAAATAAGGCGGTATTTCGATGCATCTACGTTTCATGGGAAATTCAAAATGGCGGCTCTGTAATTTGCATATTAAGGGTTTGCATATTCATGAGCGTCGCTCGCGATAATAACCTACCAGCATTATGGACCAAAACCATCATCAAAATGCTATAATTTCTACCAAGGGAACAACTGCATACAACTGGGCCAGTCAGCATAGCTCTGCATAATTTATGACGATTATTTTCCGAGTACAACTGCCCGCCACCTGGTCTTGAATGCCGTATCAATTCTGGGGTTGGCTTTCCCCAAATGCGTCTGATTTATGACGTTGTTTGTGGACTGAGATTCCTGATCTTTCTACCAGATTTCCTTCATTTCTTTTTTAATACACATATTTGAATCGCTGTTTTTTTTTGTTTACAAATATACCAGTCTTGTTTATTGATGAATGTTTGTGGTTATATTTATAACAATATTGTACAACTGACTTTTATTATTGGAAATAATGTTGCAACCTGACGCCACTTCCGCGAGTGTGTACAAAGTCTATGGAGAGTCAAGAAAATTGTCAAAGTATTTCCTAACAATATTGGAAATGTTTCTCAGTCTTCGGATTCATGTCTTATCTACATTTGTGCAATGAATGACCTTCATTGAGATGATATATGAAGAAAAAAGTGGCGTCAGGTTGCAACATTATTTTTCATAATTATTAATCAATTCAATTTTTTTTTTTTTTTTATAAATAAAATCAAGTATTCTTCTATTTAAAGCTCCCCGGTACAGTACAGGATGCCCCCCCCCCCAAAAAAAAAACCCCCCAACAACTGGCACTTATCCTTTAATTTCTCACAAAATGCTTAAAGGGAAAATACAACATTTGCAAACATAAAAAAATACAACTACCAAATCATTTTGAAATACCTTGCTGGACTGTTAGTGAATGACAGTGTAAAGCATCCTGTAAAATCATGGCACCTGGTATGCTGTCATTTTCAAGAAAAGTGGTATTTTTGTATCAATTTCCAACGCTGATCGGCCGATCAGCGTTGGAAAAAACTGGCTTTTTTTCAAATACTGGCCCCAATTGACCATCGCACTTGTTTGCAATCGATTACAAACCTATAAACGGGTACGAGCCAGCTAGACTGGTTCCCTGACCTTACAATTCCCCAATGTATGTAAACTGCTCTGTTTCTTCTTATATGGAGTCAGGGAACCAGACTACAGGAAAATGATCGTTTTTCTTGGTTTTTATAGCGTTTTCGAACCCAAAACCTCAAAAAAGTCAGTGTAACTATATTTGCTATATATTTCCAACCCCCCAATTCCATCCATTTCTGAAAATTACAGCAAAAGCAAATGATGTATATTCCCTTTAACATGAGTATTTCATCTGGATGGAGAAAAATTAATTATACTTTTATGTATAATCAATGAAAATGCCATGGAAATCCGTTTATGCAAACCAGAGATCTAACAGATTATAAAAGGCTATGAGTTTTCACCCATTCCAATGGGATTTACACAGTTAGTGATATCAGGGCATCAGATTGCCATGGGCCTTTTCACTCTGATGTATATGCATCCTTTTGGAATGGGTGAAAAACCCATAGCCTTTTATAATTTGTTAGATCTCTGGTTTGCATGAACGGATTTCCATGGCATTTTGGACGAACATACACAAGAGTATAATTAATATGCTCCATCAAGATGAGAAATTAAAGGATATCTGCTTGCACAGCTTTTTGGGACGCCCTGTGTAAGGTTATAGACGCCAAAATAAACCTGTGGAGAGAAGCCAATGAACAAATAGTCAAATGTTAATATTATAGATAGGGGAAGACAACCCAGATAATATCCTACGTAACTAACGGAATTATGTGGGGACTGAGCACCCATTTCACATGTTGACCTGGCCGGGGATCGAGCCAGGGTCACCGAGGCGGAAGGCGAGGAATAACCACTGCACCAACCTAACTCCCCGATAAATATCTGAGACTTTTGAAACCTGTTTATCCGTTCCACATTTTCCTCCAGGGACCTGTTTTCTTTTTGGTTTGTTTGACAAGGACAGATTCATTTTGTCACTGTACAATGTGGTTCCAGACGGCTTGGCCCAATTGACCACGCTTCATTTGTGAAATCAAAACAACCATTCTCCTCACACACGCCATGCATTAAATACACCACAGATCCTAGACACCAGGATAAACGACTGTTCTGAGCCCTAGTACTTTAGTAGTACAAAATGCACTGAGCGGACTTGCCTTAATTGGATAGACGCGTGATAACGGGCATTAATACCCGTTGGCGCGTAATCGCGAATTTTCCAGGTGTCCTATTGTGTTGGGTTTTTGCAAGACATCTAAAACGGAAATATTCATAAAACTGTAAGCAAAACTACTCCTTATTTAAGATTTAATTGTTCCAAAATTGTTTAAAAATAAATACTTCAGGATATAACAGATGGTATTGTGCAGTTTTTGTCGTCATAGATGAATTATTATCGTTTTTAATTAGGCTTTTATTAAAAAAGTTTTAGAGAGATAAGATGCCGAACCGATGAAAGTTGAAACAAAAGCGACGTTTCATTGTTCATCTTAAAGCTAAAGATATTGTGCTCGGCATTACCATGGTTATGTAGTTATCACTTATCAGAATTCAACAATAATGACCAAAAACGTAGACTCATGAATTTTCAAAAATATAATTCGCTGGCTTGACAGACTTCGAGGCCAGATCGGGCGAATTGCCTTGCAAATCTGAAAGCCACCGCGCGCATTGGTCTTTGTTGAAAAGTATTCATGGTATTTGCCACCAGTACAGGCCGTTATCACGCTTCTAACCAGGAGTTTGGCCGAGTCGTTAATCCTTGTGTGTAGGATCCGTGAATACACGGAAAAACTGTGTTTCGCGATTCGCTACGGGAATTTGGTTTTCACTCCCGTACTGGCTGCAGGGAGTCAAAAATTGACAATACCGAAGTGTGAAACTAAAAAAAGAAAAGAATTCCTACAAAAGGATTAATGTTTTGTGGTTGAGCATTTTTAGATTTAGAAGTACAGTCGAACACCTTTATATCAAGGTCCTTGGGACTTTACAAATTGTTATAACAGGTAACTTGTATTAACAGTGATGGAAAACAAAGAAAAACAAAGACTTGGGGCCTAACATTTTCCATGTTATAAGCAGGATGTTGTATTAACAGTGCTCTTTTTTTTATCAGGGTTCGACTGTATAGACAAACGCGCCTTAGCTTTGAATCTGGGCTGACGAGGTTCTTGTTTATTTTTTTTTCACCACTTTGTTTCTCCTTAATAGCAAGAGAGCTGCCGATGATTGAAGTCAAGTTGTGGAGATGAATAATCAGATGGGCGGACAAACTAACACACCACATTTCGCAACAAGTTCGTCTGAAAGGTACGTGCTCTCACCACCCGACGGCGATTTCATGTATGAATTTTTAAAAAATGACGCTTGATAATCGATTAAAATCAGGGCTAAACTGACAATTCCCTTTGTCCTCCATAGCTCCGAATTATTACTTCCGCCAAAGAGGTTATGTTTTCATTAGATTTGGTTAGTTTGTTGGTTGGTTGCCGTTGGTTAGATAGTTTGTTGGTTGGTTGGGGTGTTGGTGGTTGGTTTGTCTGTCAACACGATACTCAAAATGTTATGGACGGATTCGCATGAAAATTGTTTAAGGGGTGATCCTTGGTATAAGTACGAATCATGTAGATTTTTGGAAGTGATCCGGATCTGGGTCTGGATCCAGGAATTTTTTTTGAGGATTCTTCACTATTTCTGCGAGTATTTCTTTTGGGTGAAGGGTGAAGGAATTGTCAGTTTAGCCTTGGCGGAGGTTTGCGCTCTCCGGAGTGCTTTCTAGTTATACATTGAATTAATAATATTGCTTCATTTCAATTCAGAAAAATAATAGTTCCTCTGGACGTGGAATATTCTAACCTATTTTTAAAGAAAAAAAATACTATGTGAGAAAAATGAATTACTTGAAGTACACTCAACCAAAAAAGAAAGTCCCCCTCTTCCAATACTATTTTGTCTAACTTAAAAACTACTGAGCACCTCTAGCTCAAATAACAACTAATCAGTACAGAAATTCCTTAGCAATCCAGCCATACTCTTTATTTGGCGCAAAACGGTAATAATGTGTACGAATTTATGCAATTTAGGACAAATGATACCGAAAACAGTTGCACTTTTGTATACGTGCATGTTGCGGTTCAAACTCACCTTGCAAGTGTAAAAAAGTGCAACTTTTTTCGGTACCACTTGTCATAAATTGCAACATTTTGTACACATTATCACTGTTTTCAGCCAAACAAAGAGTATGGCTGGATTGCTGAGGAATTTTTGTACTGATCAGTCGTAATTTGAGCAAGATGTGCCCAGTAGTTTTTGAGTTAGATAAAAAAGTATTAAGGGGGACTTTCTTTTTTGGTTGAGTGTATGACGTTCTTGTAAAACCCGGCAAAATGTCGTAAATATGACATGGTGGTATTTTAGCCTGTTTTTTTTGCTTCACGTGAGAAAGAATTTAGATAAGTCCCATTGCATGCATTGATCCCCAACTAGGGGGCGATAAAAAGAAGAAGTGGCCCCGAATTGACTGCTAGGCAGCGCGGAACATTGGCCAGACCACCCGTGCAAGGTTCAGTTTTGTCCCCGCGACCTCGCTGTTTTGCACGGTCCATTGTTGCGAACCGCATTTCAGAATCATTCATTGAAGGTGGAAATAATACTCCCTCGATCTCATTTATTTTCCCAATCGTTTTCCTTGAGGATTAAAATGTGCTGTAGGCTTTCTTCAAACCAAGTTGTCTATAGGTCTAATAAGGTAGATTGTGAGACATTTTGTTAACTTTTTAAGGAAGGAGTTTTCACCCCATGGATGTTTTTAACTGAGTTAAATTAGCTTGGGGATGCAAACATTTCGTTCAATAGATGTTCGTTTAGAAGTAAAATGTGACAAGAATCAGTAACAGTAATATGGGATTGCATTAACGCCACCCAAACGGCAAAATTATCTTGGAAAGTAATTTGTTTTCGCGAAAATCCGAATTCGGAATTCTTCAGTTTGTACATACAGTCAACCCCGTCTTCTCTTTCAAACGTTACTTTAATAAATGAACATGTGTAGGTCTACCGGACGATTTCGTACCGAAAGAAAATTACGGGCTGCCTGCAAAAAAGAACAGTTTCGTCGAAGTTAATAAAACCCCAAGATAGGCGAGTTCGTTCAATAAGCCCTTTTGTTTTTAACATCTTTAAAATTAAACTTTACAAAAAAATACTTGAACAATACATGTACAATGTACATGTATACGGCTCGTGCTATGAATCACAGTTCTATGTTTCGGCCGGATTTAACTTTGCACTTGAAACAACGTCCTGCAAAAAATATATCAACAGGTAATATGTATGGAAATTCTTCACGTTATATGCATACTTCTACATGCAGTACACATGTACTTGTTTCGTAGTTGGGGGGCATACACTCGTCTGATCTGGTACACGGTACCCTGTGGAGACATGTGCATAATAGGGAACAAAAGATCGTATATGTCTGCACGGGGCAATTTCTATAGATGAGTACGTCTCCACAAGGTTATCACGAAAAAGATACATTGCATGTGGATTTTACATGTATTTTAAGTAAGGGAATTTCAGCACAGGAAATTAATTCTGGTTAAAATAGGAGCATTTTGAAACTACACTTTCAAACTCGAAAACTTTAGTACATGTACACGAGAACAAAGAATGACTCCACAAAGATACAAATTCCAGTATGGGTGTACGAAAATACTGTGAGGACATCAGAAAAGTCCAATAACTCGGCCCTAATTTGCTTAACAATAAAAAAAACTTCCCCATAACGCGGTGTAGGCCTACACACTCAATAACAGTTGAAACAAAACGGAACAAAACGCGACTAGTTACAAAATATTCAAAGTTAGTTTATTTCCTTCCACCAAATTGTCACTTTACAAGCTTAAAAGAACGAAGGCGATTTAAAAAAAACATGTGAAATGCAACTAAATAAGCAAACTCAATTCGTTACCAAAAAAACACATCAGTGCGAAAATTGGACAACATGAAGGAGCCGAGATTGTCAATAACAAAGCCTTGTTTTAAAGAAATAGCAGAATTTCCATTTCTAAGTGGTTTGGGCCAGAAAGTGCTTAGTTTCCTTCACTGGTCTCCTACAACTCAGAGGGGGCGGTGTTTAGACGCTCACGAATGGGCGTTCGAAAAAAAACAACCATTTTTGATTTTTTTTTTTTGCAAGACTGATGTTTTAGGACAGATAATATGCTTATTTCCAACGTATTATGTACACAAAGTGCGACTAAAATTACCCCTTATATACATTTTTTGTGCACAGCCTAAAAGCCTTTTAAAATTTTGAAAATACAAATCGCTTACAAGTTATAAAAAGAAATCTAAAAATTGTACTTTTACTTACATAAATGATATACTGAGTAAACATTAACAAAATTATACATGTAAACGAATCAAATACAGCTAAAAATTGTGTTGTGAGAAATCTAACATTATTTTGGAAAAAAAAATGTTTTCGGTCTTCAAAATTATGGATTTGGTTACAACATGTACAGAGCTATGACACTCTAGTTTTATCTAAAACGATTTTGTGAAAGCAATGAATTTGTTTATTACAAACAAATTCAGAATGGTTCCTTCTCGATGGGGAATTTAAATTTTTGGTCACCACGACAAGTCAGTAACTAAAATTGCATTTCTGTAACATAAAGTATAAATCAACATGAACTACTCATGCGCACTAATTGGAGTTGACATGAATATGCAAATATCTTTACTCCAGAAAGTAACAGGTGTCATCTATACGGTTATATCGCAGCTTTAGACATACCTAAAAATTGATTTTAAAATACAAAAAATTTCTAAAAATTGTGTACAGCCGTAGGTTTCATTAATCCAAAGTTAGATCTAAAAACAAAAACGTAAGTGTAAATTAACTCTTTTTTCCAGATACAGAATACATCACAAAAAGATCAATCACAACTAACGTATATACAAAATAATATTTTACACTAAAAAGCAAAATGTAGCCAAATTTTTTTCAAATGCATCACAAAAGATTTACATCAAAATAGCAAACTTTGTCAGGCCAAGCCTGATTCTCCTTTTTTTTCAAACACATTTCGTGGAGATACTAACAGCAGATTTATTTTTAACATTCTTCATTCTATTCCAGAATATTTTTGAAATACTTTGTTCTTGTTAGAGTTACAACTGATGACGTTAGCTTTACACTGAGTACTACAAAATTGTCTAAGGAAGATTTCTTCAAATTTGTCTTCAGGTCATGTTGGTTGCATAAGTTATTTTGTCTTTGGCAAATATGGATATTTCTGTCTACATGTATGTGAATATTCCCTGATGTTTCTGAATATGCATATGCATTACAACTCGTGAATTTATGATTATCTTGCTGAGTATTCATGAGTATGCCTACATTGTTGAGTATTCATGACCTATATCCACATCTTCTCGTTACCGCCCACATCTGCCCCGCCCATGGGCCCGCCCATGCCTCCCCCGCCCCCAGTGCGCCTGTCACTGCCTCTCAGGTTCTGCATCTCCTGCCGGCTGCCAGTGTGTCCGGGAGACGAAGACCCAAATCCAAGCTGGAAAGCCAAGACTTCGATTAGGAATATGATGACAGCCAATCCCATGCCGAGTAGGAGCAAGAAGTATATCCCCTTCATGTCGACGGTGGTCAGAGAGTACAGACCTTGGATTTCCCAGATGGTTGCATTTTCTTGGCAGCTACCTTCCTTGTTCAGCTCCACCCAGAGAGGATTATCGGTGTTGTTCTTCCAGATTTCATCGATGATGCCCTTCTCTTGAAGGCGTCTTACGGCATAGGTCAGTTGATCCCGGAGAGGTGAGCCAGATTGGACTGCCAGACCATACTCCACCAGAGCGAAGTGACCCCCGGTGATGTAGAGATCACATGGCCATCGAGCAGCTTCTTTCTTCAAAACCTCCTTGTCGTGGATCAGGGCGTAGCGACCATTCGACAGGCGGACCCTCTGTACAGCCTCCTCAACGCGGAACTCGATTGTCGTCTCGTCTCCATACATGGAGTTGGCAGCATGGATGTACTCCCAGAATCGAGTGAAGTCCTCGATGTCGGAATACTTAAAGAAGTCATAAGCCGGACTATCCTTGATGAAGCCAACATCCACCGTGGTCTCATCCAACAGGTCGCCGACATCCCGAACGATACCGATGCTCTTAGAAGACGTCAGGAAAGGAGTGAGGTTGAAGAGGAAGAGGAACACCATGACGATGCAGTAGAAGAACCAGAAAGCTGCCAAGACTCGGCCTGTCACAGAGCGGGGAGACGAATCAAAACTCTGCAGGAACAAGGTGGACACGTTGAACCAGAAGGTGTTCCAGACGTTGAAGCTCTGGCTCTGTTCCTGGGACGCCTCGCCTCTCTCCGCAGCCCGGGACCATTCCTGGGGGTTGTACCGACCGATGAGAGTCATGGCTACCGTCACCACGACAAAGGCGAGGAGGTTGACCATCCAAACATCCCAGCGAAAGGGGAAGACAGGAGCGAAGGGGTACTCCCAGATCCAGCTGGGATGCTTGATCAGGACGCCCAGCTCACTCTTGATGAAGGGCACAGTGAAGTCCACGTACCTATCTCGCTGGGGTGTGATGGCCATGGGTGCAGCGGCAATGTCGGCATACTGTGACACACATGAAAATATAGATTGAACATTGATTAACTCTTTGAATTGAATGTGGTGCTATACCATATTCAGCCACAGTTTTAGTTGTACACAGTTGTGGTGAATACCACATGACAACTGTCGAGTCTTGTACGACAGTGACAAAGACTTTCGACACAGTTTAGTGTAGGCTTGTAAATATCATTGAGGAGTCCTGAAGCCGTGTGCTTTCTGGATTATTTTAAGCCGATGTCTTAAAATCAAGAAGTCAATGAAGTGCAGTTCTTTTTGCTGGAGTCGAAAGGCCAGCCTACTGACTGAGTCACTGACTGAGTCACCGACTGAGTAAAGTCAATGAGTATCAACCCAGATCGGTGTAGGGAAGCCTATGTTTTTTCGAGATGGAATTTTGCAAGCAGCAACTGTTTCAGGCTTGTTGAGCCTTGGGCAACATACCCCGTTGACTAGTCTCCCCATCAAGCCGCTCCAACTATTGGTCACGATGTCGTATCTTCCGTAGTCTCCCTCAGACACCAACTCCAGCTCGTATTCGAAATTCTGACCCAGTTCCTCCTCCATGACGCGCTTGAGATGAATGAGGAATTCTTTGATGAAGCCCTGGATACCTACTCGGCTGTCGTCAAGGAGATAAGGAGGCTCCTAAAATGGACGGTAGCGAGAGTGACACAGCACAATTATTTTCACCATTTTAATTTTATTACCTTTAATTTTCCATTGTTTTTTTTTTTATTCTCAACACTATTTTAATGCTGTATTTCAATTCAATTAAATTTAATGTAACATTCATTTCAATGATGTCATTCTTTACAGTATGTACAAACATGTATACAAACAAACATAAGTAGTACAATAATATGATATTTGATATGCACACAGTGATAAATAATAAAGTAGCAAATTAAATGACAACATTTAGGTATAAGGTTAAGCAGAACGCTTTTTGTGCCCTTACCTATGGTCAGACAAACATACAACCGAGATACCGAAACATGGACATGGGACAAACAACACACAGCGTGAGACAGACAAGACAAGTGTGGGACAAGTGTGTGTACATTGTATATGTACATGTTTCTTAATTTAAAGGGAAAATACATTTGCAAGCATCAAAAAATAAAACTACCAAGTTTTTACAAAATACCTTACTAGGATGCTGGTAAATGACAGTGTAAAGCATCCTGTAAAATTAGGGCACCTGGTGTGAAGTCGTTTTCAAGAAAGTTGTATTTTTGAATTTTGTATTTTTTATTGCTATTGGTTACATGTTCCTGAACGGATGCAGGCCAGCTAGACTGGTTCCCTTACCTTACAATTTTCCGGCATCTATAAATTGATCCACTTCATCTTCAGTGGAGTCAGAGAACCAGACTACTTGAACATTTGTCTTTTTTTCTTGGTTTTCCAGCATTTTCGAAAACAAAACTTCACACATGTCAGTGTATCAACATTTGATCTATTATACTAACCCCTCAAATAGTTCATTTCTGAAAATTACAGCAAAAGCCAATGATGTACACTCCCTTTAAGTCAGGTTTAGGACGTTTAGGTTGGCGCAGTGGTTCCTTTCATCGCTATGATGGCCCGGGTTCGATTCCTGCCCTGGCCACATGTGGATTGGGTTTGCAGTCCCTACCTGATTCTGTGGGTTTTCCCCAGAATATACTTCTAGGGTTTTCCTCCCACCTCTAATGTCATCTCATTGTCTTCTCTCAAACTGGTTTCTTCAGGCTTTCGAGCTACAGTGCCCAGGGCACTTTGGAGGAATGCTTGAATTCATTACCGGAAAATAACCCCCCCCCCAAAAAAAATCTCAAAATCCCAGTGTCTCTCGTTTGATTCCGATTGAGATGTTCTCTAACTTACAATGAATTTATCATTAGGTGAAAAAAACCTTTTTCCTTAACCCTAACACCCTAAGGGCTCTTTGGGGGTCAAGTACAAAATACCACAGAATACGACATGTGTTGTGCATGCTTTGTACGGAAAGAAATACATACTACAGGTTACTTCTTAGGCGTATTTTGTAGAGTGAAGTTAGGGTTAAAATAAAGAAGGTTTTTGAGGTTCATTTAAACTTTCTTGAAGGGTACGTGGGTCAAGTTATCCAAACTACTCCATATATCATTCAAATCAACACTCATATGAAAACCATTTGACATATTCCTCACAATCTGTCAAATCCTTAAGCATAGCAGAAAAAAATACTTTATGGACAATGGTTACTGGGAGTGGAATAATAACATCTGGATTTATCCCAGCAGCTGCAAAAAGGCTTTTTTGTCCTTTCTTTCTAACGGGGCAATAATGGCGGGCCATAATTCTCAGCAACAGTGCCAGCTTTTTTATTGGTGGGCTTTCCGCGGCCACATTGTCCCATGCGGGTATAGAGTGCACCGTGTCAGGCCATGTCTTTTACCGGGTTCGCACACCGGGCATTGTCACTTGTCAACACGTGTCCCCAGAGGGTGTGAGTTCAAACAAACAACTCGGTGTTACAAACAAACTGACTAAAAGGTATTTTGGCGCCTTCATTTCTGCCCTACTTTATTGCAGCTGGAAATACAGAACGGTCGTCTTGGGAACGGTCAAGTCGATGTAATAAAATAAAACCATCCTGATTAACATTTCAATAACAAAACAGGTTTTGGGTTCGATCAAATGTTCTTAAAAACGATAACTCACAATAGCATTGGGTAAAATGCATTTGAAGTGATGAATGTTTGTCATTAATTACATGTACTTCAAATTCAATACAATAAAATGGAAGGCGTCCAAACTTGTATTCTCATTCAAACAAGCTCGATTGAAAATATCTCGGAAGCTGTGGGCCAACGAATTTGTGTTCATGCATGAGTCACGTGATTGTTTTGAGTAAACAAAATTAGGTTTTTGACACCAGCGAGCCTATGATGACCTTTGACCCCAGTTTGGTCATGTGAAATGTTGGGGCTGGGCTACTTATACTGTTGTAAAGTTTGGTTGAAATCGGTGACAATATGTAGGAGCAATAGACAATGTCAACGTTTGTTACTAACTAACTAACGTACTAACGGAGAGACATGATGACTTGTTGAGATGCTATCCAAGAGCTCAACATATCAAAATCATACAATGAACGATACTGTTATGCTTTGTTGGTTACTTTCACTTCAGGCATGCAGCTGGGTATTTAGAAAAAAAACGAGGAAATGCAAAAATACACAAGACTTTTAACAGTATTTTTTAATTTGTAATGGCATTCATGAGAAGTCAAAAACGATCAAAACGAAATTGTAAGTATTTTTGGTTTCGGATTCCGTAATGCATTTTCCTATCTAAAGCAAGAGTCAAACACCAATTGGAAAGGTTTCATAGGTTGCTAGGCAACTGACATCTGGAAAATGTCAACCACTAGAGGGCGCCCTATCGTCTTACCTCCAGAGAGACAATCTTGATGGTGTCGACCTGGGCGTTTCTGAAGGGACCCATGTTGAGGCGCTCTTTGCTTTGCCATTGTCGTCCGTACTTCAGCTCCCAATGTTTGATGTTCTGTGTCCACGTACCAAGAGGTTGGATCTCCTACGAATTCAATTGAAAACAAAAAATAAGAACATTTAAAAGTGGTTAGGACAAAATGTGTTTAAACGGGGAACATCCACATTTGTTGCTGATAAAAATCCTTCAAAAGCCAACAAATTCCGAAAATCTTAATACAGAAATATTAATAAATATACAGTGTTCGTCTTAACAGAGTTCTTGCATTAGTTTTGGGTTGATTTTCCACATATGAATTATTCATGAGTTACCTCGACGTCATTGTGCACGTAGACGGTTGTTCCTTTGCCCATGTAGATTCTGATGGTGTAATTTACACGGTCTCCGTGTTCGTTAAAGGCCACCTCCCCACTCAAGCCTTCGAAGCTGACCTGCAATGTAAAGACAAACAGAACGTGCCTTGCGAAAATGAAGTGTTTATTTAACATGGTTTGCCTAATTAGTTCAGGTTTAATAGGTTAATTTGCTGATGGATATGTAAGCTTATTGTGAAGTGGGTGAGAAAAAAAATCAGCCACGATTTAAACTCGTGTCAACTCTTCTTTTAAAAAAAATTAATTATACATTTTTGAATTAAATGATACCTACAAAGTGAAGTACATGTACATGTACATGTATACTCTAGGTCAAGGAGTCTAGCATTACAAAAAAAAGTGAAAGGTATGGATATAGCTTTTGCAGTGGAGTGAAGCAAGACAGAAAGTTGGTTGACAGTTTCGTGGTAAGAGATGGTTAACCCTATCTCTCCAAGATGCAACAGATTCCAGATTTTGTAGGATTTGGTAGGATTGAGAAAGGTAGACCCAAAGCCACTACACGTATTACTTTACATCGGGCTTGATACATCTTGAAACCTAGTACATGTAAGTACAAAGAGTGTGCCATTGAGTTCCTGCACAATGAATGATTTTGTAGGATTGAGGAAGGTAGATCTTAAGCCAGGTACTTTACACGAGGCTTTATACACCTTGAAACTTGGTAGGTACAAAGAGTGTGCCCTTGGGTTCATGCACAGTGGAGGATTTTGTAGGATTGAGGAAGGTAGATCCGAAGCCAGTTACTTTGGGGCTTAATTGATGCACCTGAAACTTGGTAGCTACAAAGAGTGTGCATTGGGTTCCTGCACAGTGGAGGATTTTGTAGGATTGAGGAAGGTAGATCTGAAGCCAGTTACTTTACACGAGGCTTGATACACCTGAAACTTGGTAGGTACAAAGTGTGTGCCACTGAGCTGACGCAGAATAGTTTATTTTGGAGGGGAGAAAAGCTTTCTATCTAAAAATTTCGAGGGAATTCAATATAACATACACTTTTGATTTCGGGGTCCAAGGGACTGTATGTGTATTCCTCAGTCGTCTGACAGAAGACTCGCTCTGTAGGAAACCGACCAGTTCTCTGCTTGTACCGCTGGAGGGCGTTTGAGAACAGAAGCACAGCGTCATAGGCTAGCCGTAGCCGGTAGGGCCACTCGTCCAGTGGCTCCGGCTTCTGGGTTTGAAAGTCCGAAGCCACGTTGTTCTTGGTCTCCACTTGGAGGCGGGTGATGTAGGCCCCGCTCCTCCGGATCGCTGAGACGTGGTCCCACGTCAGAGGCATATTCTACGGATCAGAAGTTTAAATTCATAAACGGTGGAATGAGCAGGCCGTTTTCAAACCCTCTTGATGAAGTACTCAACAAAGTTTCATGGGCTCCACATTTAATGATGTTGATAACCGGACCATTAGCCATACATTTTAACAAATAGGCGTCGGTAAGTCACAATGTTGCCTTCGGACGAAATGTTCCTGCCATTTTATTAATTGAGACTTTTCCTCTGCGGAAAGTTGCTTCAAATAACATATTTCTTCTTACCAGGTTGCCCAGCATCCAGTGATACGAATCTTCCATCATGCCTTCTTCAATAGCCTAAAAGTAAGGGGAGTAAGCTTGTTAAATGTAACAGCATACAAGAACTACTGTTTTGATTCGCAATAATCTATAATATATCTAAATAATTTCGTAATTGACGTGAAGTACCAATGCAAGGTGTCAGAATCGACATTATTCACATTAAGTACAAAAAGTTATTGAAAAAAAAATCAATACAATTTACTGACGAGATTTCGATCGAAAGCAAATTGACAGCGCCCTCTCTTGAGTGTGCACACACACAATGGAGACTTACCAAGCGCACGACGTCCATGGCGTTTTCTTGGTACTCGCAGTACAGGAGGAGATTCCTGACCCTGGATGCCTTCAGTGTCTTTGTCAGCATATCGTGGTCATTAACATTCTGCATCTTGACGTTCCAGCCGTATATATCGGCATACCCCATCATCGACACAGCAACATCCAGACCTGGTTAAATCAATCAGGCATCAGAATGTTTACTTTTAAAGGGAATATACAACATTTGCAAACATCGAAAAACAAAACTACCAAATTTTTACAAAATACCGTACTAAGATGTTGGTAAATGACAGTCTAAAGCATCCTGTAAAATTATGACACCTGGTGTGAAGCCATTTTCAACAAAAAAAGGTATTTTTGTATAAATTTCCAACCTGGTCGGCCGACCACCGTTGGAAAAACCTAACTATTTTTCAACTACTGCTCCAAATTTACCTTTTTTCAGTCCAAATTCTGTTTGCTATTGATTACATGTTCATGAACGGGTGCAGGCCAGCTAGACTGGTTCCCTTACCTTACAATTTTCCGGCATCTATAAATTGATCCATTTCATCTTTAGTGGAGTCGGGGAACCAGACTACTTGAACAGTATTGTTTTCTTGGTTTTTCCAGCATTTTCGAACACAAAACTTCAAACATGTCAGTGTAACAATAATTGATCTATTGTACTAACCCCTCAAATAGTTCATTTCTGAAAATTACAGCAAAAGCCAATTAAGAACATCCCCTTTAAGGTTCCTTCATATTTCCCCCATAAAATCTGAAATGTGTGGTCAACTAAGGTAAAACAGAAAGGCCACTGCCTCTTATGTACTTATGTCGGTGTACTGATCTAAGCCGAATTTATAAATTATAAAAAGGGTTAGGCCTACACAATTTGACAACATACAAGTACATGTACATGTAGTTTTTCAACATTCTCCTTAAGTTGTTCCTTTTTGTTTGATTGCTCGTTGTGCATTTCTTTCTTTATTTTAATTGAAGAGATATGTAAATGCAATTGAAAAGGAAAATTGATTCACGTGTCAGCAGTCAAAATACCTGACAATGAAAGTAAATTTTAATTGAAGATCTTGGAGGAAAATGAAGATGATATTCATGTATTTCTAAGATGAATTTGCGTCGGGGTGATGTGAATCAATATTAGGTTTTGCCCTTTACCGCCGTATAAACACCGTGTGGCGTATACATGTCATGTACTCAGTGTGTTACCCTCCGAGAGAAAGTTGGAAAATTATGATTTTCACAAGTAAAACGAGAAAAAATCCGACCACTTACCGGAGTATTGATCATACAAGACGATGAAATCATACCACTTGGTATAATTAATGAGATGTACGAAGAGATCCACCATTTCTGATGTGGTAGGCAGCATCTTGATTGCCTTGGATCCCTCGGCTTGGTCTAGAGCGATGGTTGGATTGACCGCGTTGCCAACCATGGCACCGACTGACCGGCACTCGTAGCAGACATCGTTGGGGACGATTAGTCCCTGGGCTCCGGCCGAGAAGATGCCGGGACACACGTCTGCCAAAATGAATACGAGAGCAATTAGGGTCCATGAAGCGAAGTTTTCGGAGGAAAATATTTTGTTCAACTTTCTTCTACTCCCCTGAAATGTATGAAAAATATTTGACATCCTTTTTGGTTTAATTTTAATGAAAATTGCACTTCTTTAAACATTTAAAATTGCCCATGCTTTTCTGGACAACTGGGAGCGCTCAGCGCTGTTGCCGTGATGTAAGTTCATGAAGATACTTTTAAGTTAAGGGGTTTTCTGTTCACATTGTGAACCAAAACAATTGCTCATTGAAAATATTTGTGCGTCACATTTGCTCACTGGCTTACTGGCATATACTGACACAACAACGAATCGCCAATAAAAGAAAATCTACAACCAAATTATCAAAAATACTGGCAACTGTTGGTGCTGAAATAGCTGTAACATGGATGTTTCTGCCTGAAATGACATCACACTTCTGCTCATGAATATGGACAATAGTATTAGCACAAAAAACAAAAAGTACACTAAATGGCAAAACGAAAATTGAAAAATAAGGTTAAATGGGACAAAAAGGTAAATTTTCAAGGATTGCATTAAAAAATTACATTGCATGGCATTGCAGTTAAAGAGCTACCTGCCAGAAGCGCACTGGAAAATTTCTTACCCAATTTGAGAGCTTGGAATGAGTTGGTGCTGAATAGTTTCTCAGCAGAATTCGCTGCCCGACGAGGCTGGAAGTGGGTGACACGGAGCGAGTCTTGGGGATACTCCTTGTTGACGTCTTCTTTTGCATCATCTATAATCCGCTTGTACTCATCGTCAATGTCGGATGTGTTCCCGTAGAAGGCCTCTGTGAAAATGAAGATTAAAAAACGAGAAATAAAATCCGGACAAGTATAAATAACTGTACAAACTACTACATTTTCTTATTTTCTAAGAGTAAATTTTGACTCTGTCGTACATCTACATGCACTCAGGCTGGGAGTACGGACCATACGATTTGGTGGGAAAAACTCAATTTAATACCAGATTGAAAGCGTTTGAAAAATGGACAATTTCGAGGGGATTCTTGATTAAATTGATAAATTACTCTTGAAGTCTATTCATAAGATGGAATCTGCGTCGGGTGATGGAAATTCAATTTTAGGTTTTGCCCTTCATCGACGCATAAACACTGTCTCTAAAAGTCGCATCTTCGATTTATGTGAAACACAGTGTTATCATGGAAAAGGAAAACCACCTGGCCAAAATAGTCAAGGACTTTGAATTAAAACGACATATTTCTTGACTTTGGTGTGTTTCTGTGCAGGGATTTAGACTCATTTGTTGCAATGTTGTTTTTTAATTTGTACAGATGGAAGCAGTGTTCTTCGGGCCTTCCAGTTGAGGACTGCACGTACAGTTAAAATGAGGTACCAGTTTGTTTTGAACAATCTAATTGAGATAAAAATTAATATCCTCCACTGACGATCATATGCTTAAAAAAATGGGTCCGCTTTGGAATAACATCTACTTCATGACGTCAAAAGGGCTGAATGTATACATTTCGATTGACAGTGACGTAAAACGAGCTTCAAGAGTCCTATGATTGTATGTGAATAAGAGCGCCCTCTTCGGCGCAAGGCAGTGCTTGACGGCTGAAGTGTCTAAGATCAGACAGTTCATTCTTCGCATTTTTGGGCATAGCAGAAATGTTTTTAAGACAGAAATACTGTCCCAACCTTCAATTGTGATTCTTAGTGCCAGGATTTCGTTATTTTTCAATTCACAAGATGTGGAACATGGCTATTGAAAAAAAAAACAAATAAGTGAGTTCCCTAAAAGTTTCCTACTATGGAATGAGAATATTTTTTTCTCCGAAAGGCCGTACATAAACGGTGCTTAGCTGTTCAAAACTTTTCTTTTACCCTTTTTTTTCACATGTTTAGTCTGAGACATGTTTAGGATTGAGCACGGTATGAAAGCCTGATACTGCCATTAATAATAACTTATATAAAAAAGTCAAATATACATTTTAATGTTCATTTTTCGTAGAGAGATGATAGTGTGACATGCACTTAGCCTGTCATTTAACTGCAACCCGATGAAGTCATTTGTGTTTACTGTTACAATTTATACTGATGGTACTAATGGGCTTTCGTACGTGCATAAACATGTCACAAACATCCATCAATCTAAATATGTCGTGGATTTAAACATGTAGTATACGAGTTCCCAGTACTAAATCCCAAAAAATTGCACAAAATTAATTTACTTGGAAAAGAACATTCCCGCCTTCTGGTGGTGACGGTTGAAAAATTATTATGTCTGGATGGGTTGGGAAAAAAGGCGCCCTTTAGGCCTTGTGTTCAAAAGTCCTTTGTCATGCGCTATGCAGATGTATACGTGAACAATACACTGTACCGATACATCAGCAGGCGTTCATCTTTTGTGCGTGCTTACTGAACCGAATTGTGCGGTTTTGCCTCGTGTGTGCGCGTACCAGGCACAGGTAGCCATTCAAAATATGCAAATCACATACCACTGCTATGTAAAACCACTGACTGACCACACCCTGAGCAGTGACTAACAGTAGCAAGCTACATGTACATGTACATTGTACATGTTTTGTGCATGATGCAGTCTTAATTGTGTAAAATGGACGATGGGCATATAAGCCTTCAATATGGAATTTTGGAGATCAAAATGAAACGCATGTACATGTACACTAAAGTCATGAATACAAAGCGAAGGTCCCTTTGGTGTTCGATTGAAAGATACCCTCAACTTCTTGCACATTTTCAGATAACGATTATAACCGTTTGGGTTTGGAATTGTTGGTGTTGACATGGAGGAAAGACTGTGTATTCCTTCCTCCATTTCCTTGCTCCATGCTTCCTCCAACTTGGTGTTGACAACTTGTGAGTGCAATTGTCCTAGAAGGAATGAAATCCTCGTAAAATATGGATGAGTCCCTTGGAAACGCAACATAACTTGCAGTCCAAAAGTTTCATCTTTTAGTGGGTTTTATTTAGTTGATTGTCAAGAATGTCCACTTCTGTATTTCTTCCCGGATAACATTTAATCCAAAATTGTATTGCAATTGTACAAATGACATACTATTCCCAACGAATATTTGAGAAATTTCAGGGACAAGCCAAATTTTGGAGAAGCCAAAAAGATTTCATGTTTCATTTGCAAAACTTTATTGGGGTTAATTTCTGAAGCTTTCGTTCAAATCCAGACTGTTGGTTGGTTATCTGGAAATTGACTTTGCAACACAGTAGCCGATTCCCACTTAAAGGGAATATACAACATTTGCAAACATCGAAAAATATAACTACCCAGTTTTTACGAAATACCTTACTAGGATGTTAGTAAATGACAGTGTAAAACATCCTGTAAAATTATGGCACCTGGAGTGAAGTCATTTTCAGGAAAAGTGGTATTTTTGTATACACTTCCAACGGTGGTCGGCCGACCACCGTTGGAAAAATCTAACTACATGTATTTTTTAACTACTGCGCCAAATTGACCATTTTTTCAGACCAAATTTTGTTTGCTATTGGTTACATGTTCATGCTGAAAATTACAGCAAAACCCAATGATGTACATGTACATTCCCTTTAACACACTCGCATTGGTTACCAATTACCACATCAAACAGCAGACATTTGATTGGACAATTCAACAGGATATTGTTCGTCTGAGTTCGAAAGAATTTGCTCAATGTATTTCAATTTTTGTTTCAGAAAAGATGACACAGTCAGTTCAGTGAGAGAGGCACGTGACAAGTTGCTCTATATAAAGCCAAGGTACCGATTACTCATTAAACTCGTATCTTTATCCTTATACAGGCAATCGAATTAAACGGGGGAAAAAGGTCTTTAGACTTATTGATGATAAAAAGTTTCTTGAAGGATTTTAACTCGCGGATGAACAAAGTGAGATTTCTCAACGAATCGACAGTTACTCCAATGAAAAAGTAATCGCTTGGCTTGACAAAATGCTTATTTCATGAAAATGACAAAAACAAGAAATGCAAGATTCTTTCAAGGAAGCACAGGGCAAATGAGATGTCATTTTCCTACTTGCAAAACATCACAGTTCTCAGAAATATACACAGAAAGTTTGTAAACACAACTTCATGAGAATCGAAGCCCGAGGTCCGTAACCACAAACGACAGTTTGACCGCATATATTACTGGCCCACCCGCCGCCATGTTGCTCCCTCTTGCAAATACAAAAACAAGTGTGTCCTCCCCATAGCGTTGCTATGGCAACAGCTGACCCGCTGGTAATCTACTCCCCAATTCCATGCGGGGTACCAATTATAGTGAAATGCCAAACCCCTGGCGCTGAAAGCTACACTCAAAAACACGCCGACCTGTACTTTTTAGGGAAGGCACCCCACCCAAAATGTAATCTGGGTTTCAGATGTTTCAGAATTCCAGAGACGAATAGGATTTTTGGTGCATGCAAACCTTTTTTGAAGCTTCCCTTACATTCGAAAACATGCACGGTAGTTGTCTTAAACTTGCTTGGAGATTATATGATTTTATACAGTACAACTAACACAATTATTTTTAATAAAACAAAATAACATGTTCAACGCGAGAACCATGTTTAACTTTCCGAATAGTTTGATTCTGCTAAATAAGCTACATTTGTTTCATCCATCCGTAACCAAAAGCCTTACACGATAGGGAATATACAATATTTGCAAACATCAAAAAACAAAATTACCAAATTATCATGAAATACCTTACTGGACTGTTTAGTGAATGACAGTCTAAAATCACGGCACCTGGTGTGCTGGAAGTTTCAAGAAAAGTGGTATTTTTGTATCAATTTCCAAAACAAAAACCCTGACTTTTTCAAATACTGCCCCAATTTACCATATTTAGTTAGTCTGAATTTGTTTTTGCAAGCGATTACACATCTATGAACAGGTACAAGCCTTCTAGATTGGTTCCCTGACCTTACAATTCCCGACGTCTATAAATTGCTCCAATTCAATCTAAGTGGGGTCAGGGAACAGACCACAAGAACACAATTGTTTTTCTTGGTTTTTCCAGCATAGATAGTATACAAACAAAAATTCAAACAAGTCAGTGTTACAAAATTTGCTATGAAATACTACCCCCCCCCAATCCATCCATTTCTGAAAATTACAGCAAAAGCAAATGTTGTACAACCAGAAACATAAACTACGCACGACATATTTCCATGGGGAATTCTTACTAGCAAAGTAATAGCTATGACGTAAATCATAAAACACGAAGCCAAACTATAGTTCTTCTTCTTGTTGTAAATTACAAAGCATAACGGTATTCTAGTTATTCTATACAACAGTTTCTCATACCAGGAACTAATAAATTTAATTGTGAAAGTTTATGGTCTACGTGCCAAACAAGCGCAACCCCATTGAATAAATACCAAACATCAGCCGTTTTTCTTGGCCATTATATTCAGGATTTGAAAAGTAATTCTTTCACGGTGACTAAACCCCGAACACAATGAAACGGCCTTGTTATAAAAGGTAGACCTGTGCATTTCAATGACGGGGGTGTTTCGTTTGCCCCTCACTGAGGGGCTGCTTCACTTGTCATTTTTAATGGCTCTCTTTGTGTCGATAATGAAGTTGGTCACAACATTTTCCTTGCAAAAAAGCAACAGGGTGTTGCTGATGGTTTTTATATTCGGTTCAAAACCCCACATCACGATAAGAAACTTGTCAATAAAACTACAATCGGAACTAATATTCATGAAAATGTGTTTTACAGTTTTAGAACCATTCTAAACCATTAAATGAAAAACAAAATGGGGGGAAAAGAACTAAAATAATACACATTTAAAATAATATTATGAATATACAATGAACGTGAGAGATTTTAGTTGTTTTCTGTAGTTTTGTGCTGTAAATATCCACTAAAGCCGGAAGAATATTGCATTCTGACGCCACTTTTTTCATCATAGTACATGTATGTATATCATCTCAATGAAGGTCAGTCATTGCAAAATGTAAGAAAAAAACATGACTCTGGGACTCAGAAACAGTTCCAATTTTGTTGGGAAATACTTTGAAAATGCACTCCACTCTCCATAGAATTTAAACACAACCAAAGAAATGGCGTCTGGAGACTACATTCTTTCCTAAAATAAAACTGTCGTTTGTGTTTTGTTTGGAACAGAAAAATGCAGGTTTGTATTGAGTTGTTTTCCGAAACCCTCCCGTGGGGCATTTCCTTTCGTGAATCGAATTTCTATACATTTTTCAAAGCCTTTTCATGCCGAAGTTCAAATGATTTATTCAAGCAAAAACTACCTTATTCTATACGTGGGAATATGTGGTGGGAACCACGATTTTTCACGGTGAGCCATCGCACGCCAACGAGCAAACATAAAAACGAAAATTCTTTGCAGGAATTTATTTATGGTAATTCGACAACAAAGGCTCGCACCGTGAAAACCACACGGAATAAAACAGCTGCACTTCCAGCTTTGGATTATAGCGATGTACATGCAAGAGCCAACAAAATGGCCGACAGTAAATGACCATCCGATCATTCAAAAATGGCATTCAATGTCAGTTCAGTTGGTTTAACTCTTAAAGTTTCATTATTATTTCCAACAAGAATTGCACCTTTAAGGGATAAGGGGAACCCAAGGAATAAATAATCTTTCCTTTATTTTGTTACTCTTTATTCTTCAAAGGATAAAAAAGGAAAAACGAATCATGGTAAATTAGGAGAATAACATCGGACAAATTTTGCTAATTTCTTTATTTTTTTTAATTTTACGGTTAAAAATGTGTCAAATGAATTAAAAGCAGCCATTTCATATTTTATAAATATGATTATTTTTTTTCTGTAAAGCAAGTCATGGCTTCCTACTCGGAAAGAATCTTGCATCCTGACGCCACTTTTTTCATCAAATATTATCTCAAAGAAGGTCAGTCATTGCAAAAATGTTGAAAAGACATGAAGTTGGGACTGAGAAACATTTCCAAGTTTGTTAGAAAATACTTTGAAAATGCACTCAACTCTCCATAGACTTTGTACACAACCACAGGAGTGGCGTCAGGATACTACATGTACATTCTTTCCTGATTGTCTTGCTACAAGAAATATTGGGGAAAAATGGTGCAACCTGACGCCACTGTTTTCTTCATATATCATCATATATCATCTCAATGAAGGTCATTCATTGCCAAAATGATGATAAGACATGAATCTTGGACTGAGAAACATTTCCAATTTTGTTGGGAAATACTTCTTGACTCTCCATAGACTTTGTAGTAAATTGTACACAATCGCGCAAGTGACGTCAGGTTGCAACATTTTTTTTCGAAATGTTCAATTTATGTTTCGGGGAAAAAAAGCAATCGAGTTTAACCTTTTAAAAATAATTCTACCTTTTATTAAAAAGAATGCAAAGTTTCAATGTTACACAGTAGTTATTAAAATAAGGATATAATATCTACTGAGATATCTTTACCATTATTTTAAGAAGATCATAGTATGATTTCTTACATGTCTTACTACACATTCAAATTTAAATTAGTACAAATTAACTGCGAAATGAACGACATGAACGACATAGACATGATAGATATTTGTAATTCCATCATAATATCGTGATATTTATTCCGATTTTTGGAAGAAATGTATAGAAGACGATAAAGATGACTGTCGTTTTGTGTTCTAGTGTAATGACCAAGATATATAATGCCACTGAAATTAAGTGGACATCGATGGATGACGACTATAGGCGCAGCCATCTTGGATCGAGCGTGCCCACCTGGCCTTAACAGGAACATCATCCTCTCTATCAAATTAATTTTGATTCTCCTGAAATATTTACATTCTTCCCACATTCCATGCCAAACACACTAATTTATTTCCGCTTTTTATTTCTCTAGATACTCCAAGTCGGCGCTTCAATCATCAAGACGATGCGAAAACAGCAACTTGAACGCCATCCATCACTCAACGGGATATTCAGCCAGTGAAATTTTCAGAGAGAGGATTTTTTCGTTTTCTACTCACCGAAAGAGAACTCGAAAGCGGAGACTGTAACAAGCATAACTGTCATCATCTGCAGAAGCAGAGATACCCTCCATGTTCGCATGGTGAAGTTGCTCTTTGAACCACACTGCAAGAAGACTCTTTACATTCACCTAAAGATTGAAATCGTGCTGGCGAAAACTTGAGGAAATTCAGGGCTCTTGCTTGAACCTCAAGAAGGGCAAAATTCTTGACCAGTTTTTTTTTCTACTGGAAACACAATACCGCTAAGCGTTGTGGTTTTCGGCTATTCACAAACCACACACACACGCATTCCTCATTAGATATGCAGGGTTACGTCGTGTATTCTTCTTTGAAGCGATTTGTCATGCCGTCACTCACAAGAGACCACGCCCATTTCTTGAAGACGCCATTTGTGGACGGGGGTGCGCCTAATCACTGCCGGAGGGGCTCCGGTATTGTTTTAATTAACAACTAACACTGGTACATAATGGGAACACTTTTCTCGCCAGAGATCACTGACTGTTTTTCTTGACATATTTTGTCAGACTAGCGATTTTAAAACGTTAATTCAAGTGAATATGCTGACTAAAATATTTCGACTATTAAGAAATCATCGTTAGTGGTTGAATTGTGCGTTTTTCCCTAAATTTCTAGTTCTGTAAAACTGTTGTAAAAACGTAAAGTGAACCTCTTGTTCATGTAAATGCTTTTAAAGTTGTCGCCGAACAACATTGATTCCCCCCATGGCTATATCAAGCCGTGGCATAAAACTTAAGATCATAGAGGGCGCCATTCACGATTTACAGTAACCGTGCATTACAGTGTAAAAAAAAAAAATCCCGAAAGACAGCAGTGTTAAATCCCCATAATTCAAACATACTCAAAACTCTCACAGGTGTTCAGGCCGCACAAACAAAAAAAACAATGATGATCAACATGTCATCTTTCATTTTCTTTTCAATTTTTGGTGGGTTGGCCGCGTTCAGTGGAGAAATTCTCGCCCAAAGAAGACCACCCCTAAAACGAATGATATTTCCCAATCTGGAAAAGTAGCCGTTTTGAAAAGGATCTCTAAATAGCGCCACGTTAATATCCACAGCGGACTATAACTTGTATTCACGCTCGGCGGACGGATTGTTAAGCCCTGTCCGCACTGGACTTTTTTTGGTCAAACTAACCGAGACTATGGGTACTTTTCCCATTTTAAGTCCAGTGCGGACAGCCTAGGACGTTTTCCTCTCAGTTACTTTTCCTGAGTCCAGCGGTTACTTTTACTGGCCAACTGCTGCCCAGGAAAACTTCCCACGCGCCCAGGAAAACTGACCGAGTCGCTTTTCCCGAGACGATTAGTCCAGTGCGGACAGTGCGAGTCGGTAAAAGCGGCTCAGGAAAGCGTACATCCGGCCCGAGCGCCCTGTTATGCATACAGAGACCGCACGAACCTGCACGTGCAGTGGCCGAACATTTTGTAGAAACACGCTGCGGTGTATTATCAAGTCCGAGCGGTAAAATCTCGTTAAAATATATATTTCAACGGACAAATACATACACAGAGAAGAGAGATCACATTCTGAGAATTAATTTGCGGAAATTCTCTTTCTCCACCGATGTATGTTATTTTCTACGATCCAAATTCGTCCTGATACGCTACTGTAGTCATGCACGGAACATCATGGTCCGGTACCGTACGTAGGCCGTAGTCACTGGTTCCTGCCCACATCATAGCTTCGATTCTGTAAGCATGCGATGGGAACCAACGAATACTGATGGCACTGCTGCCGCACGGAATATCGTACAGCGGCATGGCTTCGACGACGTGCATCACAAATGCGTCAGAATTATAGGCCCTTTCGTCAAGATTTAGCGTGTCAAGATGAAATAATATCGCGTAAACGATTATGTTATGCATAATAGTAAAATGTGTAATATTACTGAGCGTATCGGTGGCTGAAAATGTGATCGGCAATTTGTTTTCTGCGTACGGTGAGTCATTATACTGACACTGTGACAGCTCGGTTACTTCTCCCACGCGGTCGGGGTAAAATTTCCCGCGTCGAAAGTCCAAGTGCGGACAGTGGTCACATTTGACCATTTTTCATTTTACCATCGTCTCGGTAAAACCTTCCCAAAAAAAAGTCCAGTGCGGACACGGCTTAAGCCTACTTACTTGGGTGCACCCTTAAGATTTTGACGAAATACAATCTACAAAGTTCAAACCTATACATCTGAATAATAAACCACAAGCTGCAAGAATTCTGAATGCTTTTTTATTTTTCGAATGCGAAATAAGCTTTTTTGTCTGGAAAGGGATTGGCTAAAAGAGGAAACATTTGATGGAATACGAATTACACCTGTACTTAAAATTATAATAATTTCAACGTAATGTACGCACATTTTAATGTCCTTGACTTTCCCAACATATAAGGAAATACTTTCCCAAATGTTGCAGTCAAAATAATTGTCATTTGTCAATTGTCAAAGGTAGCAGGCAAGATGATTGTTCTTTCAAAACTGAAATCAAAGTTTCATAATTAATTGAAATGTACAATTTATTTAATGAAGTCTGAGCTCCTAAGCTGACAGTAAACTTCAGAAGAAAAAAAATCATTATTTTTGAAAGATCACATCTTCTTTAAAGGAAATTTCTAAGATTCTGATTCACAAGAGAATGTACTACTGATAGAAATGTTTCATCTTAAATTGTCTTGCGAAACATCCATTACTTTAAATTGAGACACTGGTTGGTTTATAACAGTTTCATATACAGTGGTGTATCCAGCTTTTGATGTCAGGGGATGTGTGAAAAAGGGGGGGGGGCTGGTACACATCTTCCAAATGGGGGCGCTCTTCAAAACTGACCATTATTATGGTGTGAAGTCATTTTCAAGAAAATTGTATTTTTGTAAACATTTCCAACGGTGGTCGGCCGACCAGCGTTGGAAAAACCTAACTATTTTTCAACTACTGCTCCAAATTTACCATTTTTTTTCAGTCCAAATTTTGTTTGCTATTGGTTACATGTTCATGAACGGGTGCAGGCCAGCTAGACGGGTTCCCTTGCCTTACAATTTTCCATCATCTATAAATTGATCAATTTTATCTTTTGTGGAGTCAGGAACCAGACTACTTGAACATTTTTGTTTTTCTTGGTTTTTCCAACCTTTTCGAACACCAAACTTCACACATGTCAGTGTAACAACATTTGATCTATTATACTAACCTCTCAAATAGTTCATTTCTGAAAATTACAGCAAAAGCCAATGATGTACATTCCCTTTAATCAAAGTATTTATCACAATTTAGTAAGGCCTAAAAAGTTAATCCTAAACAAAACACTGTGACAGATTACATCAAATGAAAGATTTCCCACCATGGAAAATATGTCAGAAAGGCCAAAATAATCATATTTGCAATAAAAGTTTGGTGTTGAAAGAAGATTTCTGTTTTCCAAATTTACGGTTGTTTCATTTTCCTAGCCAGTGTCTCAACGCTGAAAACGCGGTGTCTAATGTTCCAAGCATCGGGTGCACCCCCTGGCATTGTAACAGCAAGGTGCCTGCGGCTGCCTCGTGACCTGCTGACCTCAGCTGACCCACCAAGACCTTGACCTTTGACCTTAGCTGGTCAGCATCTGCAGAGGTCAACAAGTAGTCGACCAGGGGCGCATAGTAAGGCGTGGTTACAATTTTTGCTGTTAGTTCGTTACTGATGAGAAGATGGAATAGCTTGTTGTCATAGCAACTTGGAGATACCTGCCAAAAAGATAAATTGCCATTAGTTTTCAATGCATATACATTCCATGAAATGCCCCTATGGCTAATCAACACGCCTCCAAATCCCCCCTAATTTCCACTAGCCCCGCCCCTTCCTACCTGCTTCTCAAGATGCATGTAGTCTAGCAGGACTGGATAAAGTCGGGTATCCTTCGTGATCAGGATGAGCTTCATGGCTGTCAGCATGGATCCCTTGCCGACTAACTCTTGGTACAAGACTTCAACACACTAGAATAAAAGAGGAATAAATCTGTAATTTAAACCTATTAATGTTGTCTTTCAGTATATTTGCGTGTCCTCCGGCATTAACTGGTTAGGCCAAATAAAAAAAAAACATGTTTAGCGTCCCCGCCCACTTCCTTATTGGAGGCCGCCTCTTTTTTTTCTTTTTTTTTTAAACACCAAAGAATGATAAATTTTAAACAGTGGCATCATTCTGGTCTCTTTGTCTGTTGCATCTAGCCCATATAAAGCTGGTATGTCATTCCTCAGTTCAAGTGGCGGCCGTTTTTAAAAAAAGCTGCCGGCCATCTTGAAAAACAGCCCGGTCAGGCGGCCATTTTAGATGGGGTAAAAAAAAAGGCCATTCCTCCTTCCTTTTTTTCAAAAAGCAGGACGCTAAACATGTTTCTTTTTTTTACTTGGCCTTAAGTGTCAAAGCTAGGCCTTAAGTGTCAAAGTCTATCCAAGCGTATGCAGAAATGCTCATCCCAACAGGAACGTTGGATTTGCATGGCTCAGGATTCGAACCTTGAACCAATAAGACAATATCAACAAACTCTCACCTCTGATGTAATAGTGCTGATCTCCCCAAAGTATTCGAACAGGCCCTGCAGCGCATCATTGTGATGCGAGCTGTCGGGATGCTGTATCCAAGCAACCAATAACTCCACCCAAGGATTATGGGAAGGATCATTGCTACGGGAACAAGACAGTACAAAATTTAATGAAAAGTCTGATGAAAGTAGACGCTTATTACTTGTATTGATAATTGATAAATTTTTTGATAACATGTAGAATTTTGGAATACAGGGTGAGTCAAAAAAAGCGGAACCTAAACCCCCAAAATTATATTTCATATTTAAAAAAATATGTAGCACCAAACATAATAATGGCTGAAAAACCAATTTCAAATTGCTACTTTTAGATGAAAAAATTACTAAAATTGCTCAATCCGTTCAAAGAATACCAACATTTAAACACAATGACCCTAAAACCTCTTTCGTCGTAAAATGTGATTTCAAGAATCGTCTTCACAATTGTCTTCAAATATCACCAGCGATAAAACCTCAGTTTAAAAGTTAAAATATTCAAAAAAGTCCTTTTAAAGGCCCGTCTTTTAAAAAAAAGTGCATTTTATAAATCATATCGTTTACATAACCAGGGTTGTTAAATAAAGGTATTGTGTACTACAGTTGTTTATAGTTGTTGAAACAAGTATTCTGTGTCATTTTCTTTGTTGTTCCAAACAGTCAGAATACACAATAAATTGCTTTTGAAATTGGCTTTCCAGTCATTATTATTTTTGGTGCTACATATTTGTCTAAATATGAAATACATTTTTGGGGTTTGGGTTCCGCTGTTTTTGACTTGCCCTGTATTTTAATATTGAGTTTAATGACGGCCGGTACCTTGATTTGGTTATCTGGAGTGGCGGCCATTGCTGTAGTAACCGTGACAACGTGATCAGCTGCTCCATGGAGTGACTGTTCTTGAGTAGAGATGTGAAGAGGTTATGACGAGATTCATCTGTTGCTACATCGACCTCCAAAACCTGACAAAGTTCACACAAAACCCGAACGAAATAGGGAAAGACATCTTTAATGTTCACTGGTTTAGTTGTGTCAAAAATATTTTTTATTGAATTGTGGGCATTTTTCGCCACCTGATCTTCAATAAGTTGTACAAATTATGAAAATTTAAGAAAAACGGTTTCAGGCATCAATTTTTGGGTGCTGAGATCTATCTCTGTTATAAGGGACAAAATATTTCCAAATATTTCTTGTTCAAGTTTCTAAACCCCAAAAAATTGCCACTTGGGATGTCGTATTAGAATTGTATCAGAACATAATTAGTTGACAATGGGGAAATTTAAATTATTAAGTTTTCACGAAGTGCAAGTCTGTGACTACCTCTTGTTTCCAGAGGGAGGAGACGAGAGCCTCCGTACGATAGAACAGCAGCAACAGCGCATCCTCCTCACCAAGCTCAAACGTCTGCACAGAATAGTTAATAAGAAACAAAATATTATTTATTCTTTAACCCTGTCTGTTACTCCCTGCACCGTCCTAAACCACCCTGGCAGTTACTGCCCCATATCGATATACCGCCCTGCCTGTTACTCCCTGTACAGGGTGAGTAAAAAAAACCAACGAAACCCAAATGTCGGGACTATTGTTTTAGTGAAGTTCTGAATGTAGCACTTTCAAAATCTAGGACATGAAAGCCCAATTCACAAGCTTTCTTTTAGTACAAGAATCATTCAAATCACTCATGTACTTTCCAAGTTACGGAGTTTTAAACACAAACACCGTTTTACAGTTCTGTCCACGGACGGAAGTGTGCGTTCTTTCAGCAAAACGAAGACTATTCACACACATCCGTATGTGAATTGTTTTCGTTTTGCTGAAAGAATACTTACCTTCGTGTGATCCGTGGACAGAAATTTAAAACGGTGGTTGTGTTTAACACTCTGTAACTTGGAAAGTACATGAGCGATTTGAATGATTCTTGTACTACAAGAAAGCTTATGAATTGGGCTTTCATATCCTAGATTCTGAAAGTGTTACACACAGAACTTCACTAAAACAATAGTCTTGACATTTGGGTTTCGGTTTTTTTACTCACCCTGTATTGCCCCAAACCACCCTGCCTGTCATTCCCTGTACCGTCCCAAACCACCCTGCCTGTTACTCCCTGTACTGCCCCAAACCACTCTGCCTGTTACTCCCTGTACTGCCCCAAACCACTCTGCCTGTTACTCCCTGTACTGCCCCAAACCACCCTGCCCGTTACTCCCTGTACCGCCCCAAACCACCCAGCCTGTTACTCCTTGTACTGCCCCAAACCACTCTGCCTGTTACTCCCTGTACTGCCCCAAACCACTCTGCCTGTTACTCCCTGTACTGCCCCAAACCACTCTGCCTGTTACTCCCTGTACTGCCCCAAACCACTCTGCCTGTTACTCCCTGTACTGCCCCAAACCACCCTGCCCGTTACTCCCTGTACCGCCCCAAACCACCCAGCCTGTTACCCCCTTTACTGCCCCAACCGCCCTGCCTGTTACTCCCTGTACTGCCCAAAACTGCCTTGCCTAAGTACTGTCCAAAAATTACCCAAGCACTTCATGTGTAATTGCAAGTCAAGTAATTTGAATGCAGCTAAAATAAAAACTGATACAACAACCTTTTCCAGGATAAGTAAGACATCAATGCGTAGCTTGGCATCGATGGAACTATCGCTGCAGAACGGTCTCAGAACATCTAGAACTTGACCTGCAGACACCATGCTACCCCTGAGGAAATAAATTGCCCAAAAAAAGAAGAAAAAAAACCCAAGCTCAAAATGATCTCGGAAGCTGCAGCCCAACTGTAGACCTGCTGTAGCCTATAAGTCATGCACATGATGTAAAAGTCTGTTCTTATAATGCACAGCTACTCACACGGTCGTGACTGTCAACTGAAAAGGATTCCCATTATTTTGTTGAACGTCAGTTGGTGCATGGAGCATTTTATAGCATGTGGAACACCCAGTTTGTGTGCAGTACAGTGCTAGCCCCAATGCAAAATAAGTGACCTCGTGATGAGTCGTGAACCTATTTTCCACGATTGCAAATAGTTGGTAACTCTGAATCACGAGACCTGAAGCATGTGACGTTGGGCGGGGGGCCTTAAGGGACAAGGTGATTGGTTGCCAAAAAGGGCATTTGGTGAAGTTTGTTACTAACCAACAGAGAGGCACGATCATTTCTTGAGCTGCTTTCTGCAGCTAAAAATACCCTAGTTAGCAACAACGATCCTTATTATTAAACAGTGTTGAGGTTGAGCTACTCTTGAGTGATCACAAGCACGTCATAATTCCAGTCACAAGTAATGGAGGATGAACAATAACCAAAGAATGCCTTTGACACAGTTCATTTGAATAGCTTGTGACTTGACTTAAGACTAGAGGACTTGTTGTGACTTGCAATTGACTTGTGATGGACTTGTGATGGACTTGTGATGGACTTGTGATGGACTTGTGATTGACTTGTGGTTGATTTGTGGTTGACTTGTTATGGACTTGCAATTGACTGTGATTGACTTGTGATGACTTGTGATGACTTGTGATGGACTTGTGATGGACTTGTGATGGACTTGTGATGGACTTGTTATGGACTTGTGATAGACTTGTGATGGACTTGTGATTGACTTGTGATTGACTTGTGATGGACTTGTGACTGACTTGCGATTGACTTGTGATAAATTACGATTTACTTGCAATTGACTTGTGATGGACTTGCGATTGACGTGATGGACTTGTGATTGACTTGCGATGGACTTGTGATTGACTTGTGATGGACTTGTGATGGACTTGTGATGGACTTGTGGTTGACTTGTGACTGACTTGCGATTGACATGTGATGGACTTGTGATTGACTTGTGACGGACTTGTGATTGACTTGTGGTTGACTTGTGACTGACTTGCGATTGATATGTGATGGACTTGTGATTGACTTGCCATGGATTTGTGATAGACTTGTGATGGACCTGTGATGGACTTGTGATGACTTGTGATGGACTTGTGATTGACTTGCGATTGACTTGTGATTGACTTGTGATTGACTTGTGATTGACTTGTGATGGACTTGTGATGGACTTGTAATGGACTTGTGATGGACTTGCGATTGACTTGTGATGGACTTGTGATGGATTTGTGATGGACTTGTGATTGACTTGTGATGGACTTGTGATGGACTTGTGATTGACTTGTGATCGACTTGTGATCGACTTGTGATGACATGTGATTGACTTGCGATTGACTTGTGATGGACTTGTCAGTCAGTCAGTCAGTCAGGTACCTTTACGTATGTACACGGAGGACACTCGGCTGGTCCTCTGGGATCAGCAAAGCTCAATAAAAGTTAAGGACTCAAGATGTATCGGAAGTTTAGAACCTACCCCAGTTGTTCATGTTTGCTGACAGTGCCCAATACAATCTTGACCATCTCTAAGGGTTCTTCTTTCAGCTCCACGCCCCTCGTGGCTTCGCTGCGTTCCCCTCTCAGTAGAGTCAGTAAGGTCTGTAAGGTGTGCTGGACGACAGACAGGGGCGTAGCTCGGTCCATAGGGGTCAGTTTGAGAAGTCCAGAGGCGAGCTCTAGGGTCGCACCTCCGGTCAAGAGAGTAACGAAGAAGGCCCTCAGCTGAAACAAAAAGGAAGAACAAAATCAAAATAGCTTCCTTCTTTGAAGAAGATCCAGTAGGATTGTAATGTAAGGCCCGATTCCACCTCTAAAAAATAAATACATAAATGTATACAAAAGTTATACATTTTTATGTACACATTTCAAAAATGTATACATAAAAAATGTACCAGGGTATACATTCGAATAGTTTGTACATTTAAAGAATGATTCTTTCTTGGGGGAAGATCCTGTAGGATTGTAATGTAAGGCCCGATTCCACCTCTAAAAATGTCTACATAAATGTATACAACAGTTATACATTTTTATGTACACATTTCGAAAATGTATACATTACAAATGTACTGGGGTATACATTTGAAAAGTTTGTACATTTACATAATGTTTATATTTCCAAAATGAATACATTTCAGGTCATTCCACTTGACCAGCTTTCAAATCAATTTAATTCTACTGAAACTAATTTAATTTTGCAATTTTACTCGAGAGAATTGACTGTATAGGATCTGCACTTGCCTTGTCCGTGTCGCCCTGCGTGAGATCATACTTGACGGTGTAACTAGACGACTTGTCCTGTAGTAGAAAAACAGACAGAATTAATGGTTTACTCTTAAAGTTGAAGATATATCAAGATGGGCACATGTGGTCTAGCAGTGGAGTACAGGATTCACGATCGTGAGGTTGTGGGTTTGAGCCCCGCGTGTTGTGGCCATGCGTGTGGCCATGCGTGTTGTGCCCTTGAGTAAGGCGCTTTACCTCAATTACTCCTCTCAACCCAGGTGTTAAATGGGTACCGGCATTATTCAGTGCTGGGAAGGTAACAGACTCGCTGTGGAGGAGGTGTGGCGATCCCCCCACAGCAGCAAATGAGTCTGGCCCAATCGCTAATGAAAGCGAGATGGGCACTCCGTTCCTGTGAACGCAGGTTCGCCCCCTTTACCTTTACCTTTTGTACCACATCCCCTCCCCCCACCCCACCCCCAGCCCGAAACAAACCATTTGCGACCCTCAAGCACAAAACCAGTCACTTGGACCACTTTTTGAAAAGTGGGATTTTGGGTTCATTGGAAAGATATAGAATAAACTTATCAACGATGTACAGAACATAAGAATTGGACAAAATTCTGATATATAGGTATTTTCAGTTCCCAAACTTTGGGCCTCAGAAAAAATGGGGAAAAAAATCAACAAAATTGTTGTTAAAGTGTCCAAAACAGATTCCTTAGGAAAATTTAAACATAGATTTCATTGAAAGTGAATTATATTCATTATTCTAGCTTCTAACGCCTAAACCTGAATTTTGATAATTTTTGCCTGTACAGTGTACAGCCTGTCTCAAAAAAAAATGGTACAATCAGAAAAAAAATTGGTTAAATATGAAATTTCAAAATAAGTCATTCTTACTTGGCATAATATTAAAGAACAAAGACTGGGCTTTCCAATAGTGTTTGTTTGATCTTATTTGCTTTTGTCAATTCAGAGATATAATCAATTTAGTGCGATACACCAAAATCGATTTTGTGCCACACATGGGCAGAGTTGTTTCGAGTACTGTGGCACAAACTCGATTTTTGTGTTCCGCAGTAAACTGGAGTTATCTCTGGATTGACAAAAGCAAATGAGATGAAACAAAAAGTATTGGAAAGCCTGGTCTTTTTTCTTTAATGTGATGCTCAAAACGACTTACTTGTGTTGAGATTTAATATTGAAAAACATCGTTTTCGATTGTACCATTTTTTTGAGACAGGCTGTATTACAGACTGTATCTCAAAATACAGTCGCTTGACTCCTGACTGGTTTTGTGCTTGAACGCCACATTTGTAGATTTCTTCCAATTTCCAAGTTTGTAAACCTTTCTGAATGAATACCTTGTCATACTGTATAAGTTCCTCCACTCCCTCAGACTCTAGACTTTGCAGATGACGGACATATTGTTGTAGTTTCTCCACGGCTGATTCTAACTTGAAACTCCCGGTCGACGCGGCTAGTTTCTGTTTTCCTGACTGCTGGCGGCTGAATTTCAAGGCCCGGTTGACGATTTTCTGACGACACTCTAGCTCCAACTAAACAAAATAAAAGAAGGGAAAAAATGCATGCTTGGGAGGTTTTAAACACTTTGTTTAAGACTGGTTGGAGTCTGCAATGCCAATAATTACCCGAGTCGGTAAAAAATATCAAAACTTTTCGGTCCAAATGTCAAAACAAGTCAGAAATTAATATTTCCACTGATTTTTTTTTACAATTTTACTTTCTGTTTTTTTAAAACACCCCTCTACTAGCTATATAATGCAGAGACCAGCTCGTGAGTAAGATGTAAACAACTCCTTGTATGGAGATTGGCACGCGCGTCGCGCGTACCGCGCGATGACGCGCAGATGCAGCTGTGGTGATCGTTGTGAATTTATTTATTATGACTATGAAATACTGACTCACTGGTAGTATTGCGCATGCCTACATGTACGTAAGGATTGTGAACGTTCAACCAATAAAATGGTAAAAGGCACTGGATTTCATAGGAGTCAAAATTCATGTGACACTGGAAAAGTGTTTAAGACCAGCTAGCCATGTCTTTATCATCCGTTTAAGACTGGCCACGTGATGGGCTCTCGACCAATGGGAATTGGTAAACTGTTAGGTATTTATGAATAAGGATTAAGGACAACATTTTATCAACTTTTCAAAGACAGAAGTTGTACTGGACGTGTGCTGAAAGGTCAATTGGGAAAAGAATTTGGAAAAATCTGAAAAAATGATGAGACAAACAAATATCATTTTGCAATCTTAATAATTTCGAGGGTTTTTCCCCATCAGTTAATCAAATGTCTTCACAGATCTCATTTCAAGATTTAAATTTGCTGAGATTAGCACTTGGTAATTTATCCCTGAGTAGTTTCGTTTAGAAAGAAGGTAATTTCCAAAGATGTGTCTTAAGATGCATTTTTAAAATTTCTGTTAGTAGTTCGTGTTTAATTCGGCGAGCCGTGAATGGGTGCGTGAAAGCGTTGCCACAATGCACACGGGCGCAGTTGCTATAATTTGTCGATTCAGTGTGTGACATCGCGTAGCTGCAATCAGCCGAATGAGAGCGTGTCCCGGACGCTGATTTCGGGCGCAATTCAAAACATGACTCTGCAACTTTTGAATTAAAATCAAGATCCTAGAATATTGTTTTCTCGGAATATACAGCATTCACTGAGCTGAAACTTCATCAGGTTAGTTGTTTAGCACCCGTTTTTAGATCTTGAGCACTTTTGTTGCTTCAAACGAAAAAAAAATGCACAAATGACGAATGATATACTCTACTTTTAATGGCGCATTCCTTTCAAACAAACAAAATACAATGCAAAATCTTTCACAGTTTTATGTTAATTTTCATTTCTTTTTTGACACATTGCAATGTATGGATGTGTAATACTGCCACATAAAAAAAAAAAGATGCCAGAAAATGTTTGTTATAACCAATTATAGCGCAACATTTCTGTTACAAAATAGCTAATCCTGTTTTTTCATTTATTTTTTAATTATAAAATTTAAAATAAAAGTTTTTTATTCGCTTACCTTCTGAATGGATTTTTCATTGAAGACGACACTTGCAATGAACGCGGTGAAATCGGCCGGACTGAGACGGGAGAAGAACTCCCCGCAGGCTTCGTAACGATGCAACCAGTCAGCCTGATGCAAATGAGGAGAACGAACAAGCCAAACCTCAACAACAGCCAAATGATGTCTACATCCCTAGTCTGGGTCCCAGACTGGATTTGGATTTGATTCCCCTTATACAGTCAAACAAGCCAAACGTCAACAACAGACTAATCATGCCTACATCCCTATAGTCTGGGTCCCAGACTGTATTTGGATTCGATTCCCCTTAAGATGAATCCAATTCAGTCTTGGCAATGTTGGCAGCGCTACCCGGGAAATCCGAAATACCTCATGCCAGTGTTGTAGGTCTCGAGACCGGTCTCTGTCTCGAGACCAGTCTCCAGATCAGTTTTTGGTGGTCTTGGTCTCGGTCTCGATATCCAGTGGTCTCGGTCTCGGATATTTTAGGTTTTAATATTTTTCCTGGTCTTGTTGGACTTGTTGGACTTCGAAAATAACAATACAAAACTAGAGGTTGTAGGAACAACCACACTGTGTTAGGGCCATTGATTACCGCAAAATATGCCACACTCATCAACTCAAAATGCATGCTTAGATGCATGTTTGACTTTGTCAACATGCCGCTAGAGGGCGCTCTCATATTTTATGACTGCACCTGTAATATTTTTGTAAAGTACAGCCTAGGCAGAGACTCACATTGCGAAAGAAGGTTCACATCTTTCGCCAATTTAAAATTATAAGGCACTTCCGGTTTCGAACGGAAGGAAGGGTCATGTGATTTTGCACTTCATACCAAACATAAGACCCTGGAATATTGTAGACAGACTTACCGTTGACTCTGGAGTCTTCTTATTCCCCTGGTCCCCTTCCCAGAAGAGTTTGATGATGTAGGCCAGGAATACTTGACTTGATGAAACATTACCACCACCCTGATGGAGGCAAAGGGAAAAATTGATTTCCAAATTGAAAATGATTATTTTTCAGGTAAAAACAAAATTGGTTCAAAACAAAATTGAAGAGAGTCAAGTCAAATTGGCAAAAAAGTGGGGTTTTTTTCGTCTTGGTTGCCGTGTTTGTTGTTCTTCGTTTGAGGTGAACTAATTTATAAAAATTATTTGTCCATTTCAGAAAGATCCTGCTTGCATCAAATAGCAGGCCTTAAAACTTGAAGGATTTGTATATTTTTTGGTCTATCTAGTCAGCAATTAGTTTGCAAAAGCTTTTTTTTCTCAAATGTTATATTTTTACAATATCACCTTTTCTTCTTACCTCATCAGTAAAGAAATGTATAAAAAGTTAAAAGTATGCGTTCAATTTCTGTACTGTCTCGTACCTGAAGTGGTATTTTGGCAGCCAGTTTAGCGATGACGTGTACGTTCGATCCACTCAACACTGGACCAATCACATCCACTGGATCAGTCTCACCGTCCAATAAACTCTTGTAATCCAGACCTGCAAATTACAATATATGAATATTCATTAGGGATCCCCTCAACACTGGACAAATCACATCCACTGGGTCAGTCTCACCGTCCAATAAACTCCTGTAATCTACACCTGTGAATCACAAGATATGAATATTCATTAGGGATCCACTCAACACTGGACCAATCACATCCACCGGGTCAGTCTTAATGTCCAATAAACTCTTGCAATCCAGACCTGCAAACCACAACATATGAATATTCATTGGGATCTACTCAACACTGGACAAACCAGGGTCAGTCTCACCGTCCAATAAATTCTTGAAATCCAGACCTGCAAACCACAAGATATGAATATTCATTAGGGATCCAAGATATGAATATTCATGTTCACTCCTTACCTGGTGCTGCTGCCTTCAACTTCTTCAGAGACTTGATGTGCACCTCCGGGGTCACTAAGCCACCTTTAACCTTTGACCCACAACTCTGGAGAAGCGTGTAGTAATAGATGAGTCGGTTGTGATCGCTGCCCTCTATTGTTGGGAAGACGTAGAGGTTTAGACGATCGTAGAAGTCCGCGGGTTGAGAGGCTAAAGTTGGCAGTATGTTGAGACTGGCGACGTACTCCTTGAGTTTTGGTGTCAAAAAGCTGTTGTGAAAAAAAAAGGTTTCTCATGGCCTACCATCCAAAATATCACATGATTACTCTTGACTGGTACGCCATTCAGTGTTTCAATTACTTGACAAATAATGTGCTCACAAGTTGTCAAATTTTCCACATAATTATCTTCGAAATTAAAAGCCAACAGGTCCAATGTCTTAGACTAGTTAAATTTTTTCTACATTTTTAAACCAGTTCTGTCCTCATCTATTGCTTCAAGTTTTCATGTACTGTGTCAATTAAAAACTGAAGACTTTTAACCAGGCACTAGTCAACTTTAATAATAATAGTAATAATGGGTATTTATAAAGTGCACGTATACACCATTATTGGTGCTCAAGGTGCTACATCATTATTACCCTACTCATTGGGCCAATGAAACATTCCAAATACCATCTCAGCTCCCTGGGGAGTAAACAGCTCCATGCTGCCATTTTTTTCGGCAAAAAGCAGCTTAAATCAACCACAATAACCATCTCTGCCCTCACAGGTATCCATTTACTCCTGGGTGGAGAGAAGCAATGAGTGACAAAGTGCCTTGCCCAAGGGCACATGCACCATAACCCCAGGCTGAACTCGAACCCACAACCTGCAGAATTACCCGCAGACCACGAGGCCACGGCACTCCACACTTTGGTCACATTTGGACAAACCTAGCGAATTAAATTAAAATAATTTTGTTGTTGTTATTGAAATCTGTAAATATTCTCACCCGCTGTCTGAGAAGACGAACTCTAGATGTGTCATGTAGACCTCCCACAGAGGCAACTGGTAACGCTGAGCCAATGAGATGGAAAGCTTGTAGACTTCCTCTTCCGTCGTCCTGAAATATGAAACAAAATTAATAACAAAATGTTTTAACAACTGAAACTTGATCTTAGAGTAAAAGATATATAACAAGAATAAACCAGTTCACTATTTCACCCGCGTGTGCGCTCATCACGAGTTGATGATTTGTCTTTTGGAATAGATTATTAGCCTGCCATGTGCGTGTAAAATGTTAACAAGCACCAAGTTCCACGCACCAAATTTACGAAAAAATTAAACAAAATGTTAGTACCTGTAAAAAAATAATTACACAAGCGTGCAGGTGCAGGACTTTCACTTAAAGGTAATGACATTCGGAAAAATCAAAATACAAAACTACCAAAAAAACCCCGACATATTCAATACTGCCCCCAATTCACTAAATAGTCCTCATTTTGTTTGCAATCGGAATACACATCTGTTAACAAGTGCACCCCAACTAGTCTGCTTCCCTGACCTGACTCTTCCCCGACGTTTAAAGTTGCTCCATTTCGTCTGAAGTAGGGTCAGGGAACCAGACTACAAGAACATAATTTTTTTTCTTGGTTTTCCCAGCATCCATGAACACAAAACTTTCAACAGGTCAGTTGGCTATAAAATACTAAGCCCCTAATCCATCCATTTCTGAAAATTACAGCAAAAGCAAATGCTGTACATTCCCTAATTACAATGTGAAGATAAAGATTAGATTAGATTAGATAAGATTTCTTTATTGTCATGCTCAAAATTACATGAAAATTGATTTCCCAGAGTACAATTAAAATTGTATAAATATTGTATACATACAATAATTTTAAAAATACACAAAACACGACAAGACCAAAATATATCATGACATGTACATTGTACATATATAAAACACAGTTACTACTATACAATCATAAAAACTCTAGGAGCAGTAAAGTAGGATTTCGGGCTGTGGGTGATTAGGGAAGGAAATAAGGAAAAATAGGACGGGACAGGATGGAAACAGCTGGGTCTGGCAATGTGCAAAATGTATAGGGCAGGGTATGATTGAGGGAAAAAGGGGGTGAGAAGGGAAAAGGGGAGGAGAGCATGGAAAGAGAGGGTAGGATAAGGGAAACATTGGAACAGGGTAGGGTAGTGTAGGGAGGGGCAGGGCTGAGTAGAGTTGGGTATGGAATAACTGAGTTATCAAACACAGCTAAAAGCAACTTATCTAGGGCATCACACAAAGTGAGATCAAATTTCAAACTTACATAGCCAGACCGAGTATGGTTTCATGTTTGTAATCACTGTCCTGTGTGAAGCGTGCAACATCAACACCTACATAAGAAAAACAGTCAATTTAATTGAAAAAAGTTGACTTATCCAAGTAGTTTCAAACCAATCCAAATTAAATTGCATATCTACTCATGCAAAACCATAAGTCCACCAAACACGTAAACCCACCCAGCTTTAGGCCGAAATCCATGTGTCCGTCATTTGTTTTTGCGTACTGCGTCATGCGTAAAAGTCGAAAAGATACGCGCCTACGTCCGTGTGTCCGGATTATGCATTGAATTATCCGTACTGCGTTATCCGTTGAAACTGTATAGGCTTCAGGTAGCGATTGAAATGGATGACGCATACAACACGCATAAAGTTTTTTGTATGAAAACTGAAATAAACGGTGTAGTGGTGGGGTATACTTATGGTTGGCTTTGAAATGAAGCAGTTTATATTTGAATCTTGTTGAAACAAACTAGGGCCTGCCTCGATTTTAATGTTCAAATCCTCCATTGATGAAACATAGACATACCCTTTGTATTTTATTGACATGATTTCTTGTCAATATTTATTCGTAAAATGTCACTAATCCATATTTGATTGAGACTTGATTTTTCTATTCACAAAACTGCTGTGTGCTCTCTATAGACCTTTATCATGCTGCCACCATTTCAGTCATGTTCCCTGTATCCAATAGCAGTACTTAATGATGTTTTTTGTGCAAAAAGGAACCAGACTATTTTTCCTTCCAACCTCGCTTTGGTAACGTTGATTTGAATGGGAAAAAAATCAAGATGGCCGCAACATGATAATGGTCTATTTGAGATTTACATCTGTTAATTGTGTAGAGAAATACGTATGCATACATGGATTTCCAGGGTACGCATCACAGATACGCAACTGATAAACATAAACGCAATACGTACATCGAAAACGGACACATGGACTTTCGGCCTAATTAACCCATCCAGTTTACAACAGACCATTCCAGTCAAAACTTTATTGACATCGGCACAAACCATTTGACACAAAAGAGTAAAACTTAACAAAAGTCTCATTACTAAGGAAAAGAGCGCCCTCCACAGTTGAAGCGCATATCCTATGGCAGTCTAGTCTAGTACCTCACCTCGTCCCAAAGCCTGCAATGCCTCGGCCTGTGTGAAATCAGCCAGCAGTTCCACGTACCGCTGCAACTGGGACACCATACCCATCTGCTCTTCCGACCAATCACTGCCGCTGTTGCCGGTCACCTGACCCACCACCTGGCCAATCAGCTTGCTGGGTGCCAGCTGGTAGGCGGGGTCTAGGGTGGTGACCTGGCTAGGGTGGGCGGAGTGATGGATTTGGAGGGCGTAGTAGTAGGCGGCTAGTTGGAGGGTCATGGCTGTGCGGGGAAGTTGCTCAAAACACTGTTCCGCATCCAAAGACTGTAACAAATAGAAATTTATATTGTTACAATAAAAAAAATTCCAAAATAAGGCCAAAAAAATAAATGAGTCGGTCTCTGGTCAGCGCGCGCGTCGATTTGAATCATGCACGTCAATCTTTTTTTTTTTCCAAAATGTTCTGCGGTAGCCCTCTATTTCCGCACCTCCTCAATTTCTTTTTTACCAAAGAGCACCACGGAATGGGAAATTGCACCAAGGCAAATGATCGAAAGCACCAAGGCAAATATGGAGGACACCAATGTACATGAGGACACCAAAAAAGCAAAATAGTACCCACCTTGTCTGTACAATCCAAGCTTGAAAAAAAAAAAAAAAAGCAAAAAAAAAAAAAAAAAGCTGTGTGGCCGCGTCAATTCCGGAACTTTGGTCTGACCAGAGACCGAATATTTTGTTTTGGCCTAATACAGGGTGTATCAAAAAACAAACAAATATGAAACCCATATGTAAAAACGTAAATTACAAAAAATCTAATAAAAAGTTAAAGATCACGTGAAACACCAATGATACCTTGATTGTGTGTCTGTGGCCACGGATGACTGAGCATTCGTTGTTATTCTGTCAAAGGTCAAGGGCATGTGGAACAGCTTAATTTAATTTAACTTAATTTAAGAAGACATCCTTTTCTTTAAAACAATTTATTCAATTTTGACAGTGATTTAACCACTCTCATTGTTGAAGTTCACCCCTCCTGGCCTAATGCCTTCAACGTGGCCACCACCTCTTTCCACACAAAGCTCTGCACGAAATCTAGTCCATTTAATTTCAACCTTTGCATAACAAACCAGCCAGCAATCTTAGCCAGGTAAAACTTGGCCCAGTACAGGTTTTGACCCTTGACAGAAAGCAACGAATGCTCAGTCATCTGTGGCCAGACACACAATTAAGGCATCTATGGAAAGAGGACACATTGGTGTTTCACGTGATCTTTCACCCATTTGACATATATTTATTAGATTTTTTATAATTTACATTTAGGCCAAAAAAAAATAATATTTGGTCTCTGGTCAGACCAAAGTTCCGGAATTGACGCGGCCACGCGGCTTTTTTTTTTTTTTTTTGCTTTTTTTTCTTTTCTTCAAGCTTGGATTGTACAGACAAGGTGGGGTACTATTTTGCTTTTTTGGTGTCCTCATGTACATTAGTGTCCTCCATAATTTGCCTTGGTGCTTTCGATCATTTGCCTTGGTGCAATTTCCCATTCCTTGGTGCTCTTTGGTAAAAAAAATTGAGGAGGGGCGGAAATAGAGGGCGCTGTTGGAGCTACCGCGGAACATTTTGGAAAAAAAAAAGATCGACGCGCATGATTAAAATCGACGCGCGCGCTGACCAGAGACCAACTTATTTTTTTTTTTGGCCTTACCTTCGGGTTTTTTTTTTTTTTTGGATACATCCTGTAGATATTGTTTGTGGAAATTACTGCTTATCAGACTCAAATTTTCTAGTGTTTCCCTGATTAGGCCAATTTCACACAATGTCATATTAAACGACACACATACTGTCTGAGAATCCATATTTTAAAGAATCAATTTCACTTTTAGTTACCTCGTATTGTACAAATGGCGCCCTCTATTGTCAACAACAATCCTTACTGCGTCAAATATTTAAACATTGGGGATACCCATACTTACGTTTGGTAATGCTAGCAAATAGCAAAGTCCCAGGGTCAGGTCAAAGTTCATGACCTCTAGCGCAGCTCGTAATAACACTGCAAAAAAAGATATTAAGAAATATGAAAAAATTCGGAGACAAATTAATATGTACATGACCCTCAAAATGTAAACTCAAACTAACTTGAAAAGACATTTACCAAAGTATGATTTTAAAAATCCATTTCATGAGGTAAATGAAGAGATTTTTCAACTAAACCTTCATTTTGAGCTCCGAGATTCGGTTCACTGGTCCCCTCCATTAATCCAGCGTGTAGTATATCCTGGCTTAACTTCACTGGTGTCCCGTCAGTTTGAGTTGCACGGTACAGACCATAGTTCATTTGTTCCTGCATTAAATTAAAATACAAGACTATCACATGACAGAATTTGAATGTAATTATTTTAGAAATAATGCTCTAGGACCTGAAAAGAACTATTTCACCAACTACAAAACTTGCCAGCAGGGTGACCGTAAGGTCATGGCCAAATTCTGCCCAATGCACTTCAAAAATCTGTCAGATTTTTATCAAAAATCTGCCGAATTCCCCAGAAGTACTCGAAATACACTACAAACACTCAAAATCACATGCAGATTTGTATTATTGCCTTAATTAAGGTTCAAATTACATTATAAACAATTTATAGTTACATAAAGATGTAATGAAATCGCGTAAATTGCAGGCAAAACGCGGTTGCTTCACGACAAAGTCTGGTTCCCAGTGCACCTCAGCACCTAAACCAGGCAACCTGTCTGATTATGCAAAGATTGACGCTTTTTCAAACAAATGTACCATTTTTTTTCAAATGTGCTGTTTTCTGTCAAATATCCATTTTTGCAGAATTCTGCCAGAAATCTGCCAAAAAATCCATTCTGTCAAATTTTCAAAGTTTCAAACTTGTTTTTTTAACAAAAAATCTGTCAAAAAATCGGCAAAAATCGTCATCCTGCTTTCAAGCTGAGCCTATTTTTTTGGCTCACTAACCACATAATTCTGTGAATCTCTCCAATTCTTTCAGCCTAAGTTGTCTAAGACTTACCTTGCCGATGAAGTGATTATCGATCACCGTCCGGTAAAACGGATGGCAGCCGTGATACTCCATCTTAGCGTTCCCGTGACCCCTGACCCCGTATTCCTCCGCCGCGCCGTGGCTGTCTCCAGCTAGTGGACGCATCCACTTCAGCGTATCCTTCCACCATCGCCGGTCGCCCACGGCAGCTAGTACAGCTTTGGTCGTGGTGCCTGTCGCTGCGAGGACCGCTTTAGTCGTGGTGCCGGTGGCCGCTAAGACTTGTCTAGTTTTGGCCGTTGTTTTGCCGAGAGCCGCGCGAAGAACAGTCTGGTCCTCATGCTGAATAAATTGAAACAAATCAATATACAGTGTGTCTAAAAAAAAATGCAAACAAAATATAACGGAATGCCAGACGTAGAATGTGTATTAAACCAACACAGATAATATAGGTATGGTTTGAAAGATATGCCTTTCCACTTTAAAATGAGACATCAAATGTCCAAATCTGAGTAATTTTCCAAGAGTGGTCAAATTGACCATGGGACCAAGTTTTCAATTTTAGGCATTGGGACAAAGGTAGCCTAAAGCCCGGTTCATACACAGCGCGAAAGCGAACTCAAATGCGAATTTGTGACGTCATGGCAAGTATTCGCGCTGCGAATTCGTAAAAATGAACACATTTCAACTCGGGCCAATTTCGCAGCGAATGTTTCATGATGTCAATTTCGCTTCGCATTCGCTTTCGCATGAAGTATGAACCGGGCTTAATGGCCTCAGTGTGGATATTTGCCTGGCCTACAAACAATGTGTTTGGTGAGTAAACACAATTCTAAACACTTTCTTGCTATCAGTTTGTAAATATGTTTACATGCTAAGCATTTTTAGCATGAGGTTATCACCTCAAGAAAGTGTTTAGAATTGTGTTTACTTGCTAAACACATATTTTGTAGGGCCGGGCAAATATCCACACAGAGGCAATTAGGCTACCTCTGTCCCAATGCCTAAAATTGAAAGCTTGGTCCCATGGTCAATTTGACCTCTCTTGGAAAATTACTTATAACTCTGTCAAAAATTATCAGATTTGGACGTTTGAAGTCTCATTTCAGAGTGGAAAGGCGTATCTTGCAAACCATACTTATATTATCTATGTTGGTTACACATTGTACGTCTGGCATTCCGTTATATTTTGTTTGCATTTTTTTTTAGACACACTTGTATGATACTTCATAGTATTAAATTAATTAATTTGAAGGTTAGGCCAAAAAAAAAAAGTCTCCGGTTTCTGGTATGGAGCTTGTCCAAAAAGTGGTGCGGCGACGCAGCTCTTTTTTTTTTTTACCTGACTTTTTTGCCTCAAATGTCGGCTGATGACTGCAAATGGTGCCCGACTAAACTTAGTGCAAATATATGGGAGTCCAGAGAGGCCACATAAAGCTTATTCTCGATCATAACCCCATCTAAAAACACGTTAAAATTGTGCAGCAGCAGGATTCCAGTCCAACCAGTGAGTTTGGCGGTTTTGAGACATTATCTTTCATTGGACATTTTTTTTTTTTCATTTTGCCAACGCGCATGGCTACGGCGACGCGCGCGCGCATACCAGAAACCGGAGACTTTTTTTTTTGGCCCTAGGTTGATCTATTTGAACACTAACGGTATGTTTTAACTCACTGATAACAGATAATATTTTTGTTCACAAACAACAAGCCAACGACTTGTGTTTAGAAAGTAAAATGTGCACAGCCGATCTACAGACTATACAATTCGAACTGAACAAATGTTTCTGAAGTTGCAGTTTTACCTGCAATGGTTGTGTTTCTGTCTCTGTTTCCATAGCAACAGTCTCTTCCTCCTCCTCATCACCAGGAGGAGTAGTTGTTGACGCACGTGATGTTGAGTGAGCATTCACTGACAGGCATAATATCTACAAACGCAGAGAAAGGTCAGAGGTCAACAGCCATCTAAGCCAAGCTACATGGGACAAGTTTAATTTGAAGATAAAACAAAAACATGTTCTGATGTTTCACATAGATGTGGGCAACTGAGTTATACATGTAGTAACAATAGTGCGTATTTATTAAGCGCATGTATCCACCAGGACTGGTGCTCAAGGCGCTACATCATTATTACCCCTGCTCATTGGGCCAATGAAACATTCCAAATACCATCTCAGCTCCCTGGGGAGAATACAGCTCGATGCAGCCTGTTAGGCGCAAGGAAGCTAGTTCAATCACATTAACCATCTCTGCCCTCACAGGTACCCATTTACTCCTGGGTGGAGAGAAGCAACGAGTGACAAAGTGCCTTGCCCAAGGCCTTACCCAAAGGCTTTGTGATTGACTTGTGATTGACTTGTGAATTGACTTGTGATCGACTTGTGATTGACTTGTGATCGGCTTGTGAATGACTTGTGATTGACTTGTGATCGACTTGTGATTGACTTGTGATTGACTTGTGATTGACTTGTGATCGACTTGTGATTGACTAGTGATTGACTTGTGATTGACTTGTGATTGACTTGTGACTGACTTGTGATTGACTTGTGACTGACTAGTGATTGACTTGTGATTGACTTGTGATTGACTTGTGAATTGACTTGTTATTGACTTGTGATTGACTTGTGATCGGCTTGTGATTGACTTGCGATTGTCTTGTGATTGACTTGTGATTGAGTTGTGATTGACTCGATTACAGCTTTTGTATGGGTGACACATATCGTCTGAACACAGAATCACATTTCACTAAGCAATTACTAATTTTAATAAATTTGTTTATTTGTTTCCTACCTGCATTTCCAAAGCATTCCTGGCTTTCAGGATGACCTCAAGTGACCCCTCCTCACAATGAGCCAATGAGAAGGCTAGAAGCTCTCGTCTAATCAACAAACAAAAACCCGGAAAAACAATGGCCTCTAGGAGCTACCATAACAATTAATAATGTGGTGTGAATACAGTGCTTAACACCAATGTCTCAAAGCGCTTCAAAATTGTTACCCCTGTTTATCAGGCCATGAGACTAGCTTCTGCAGCAGCTCGAGATCAACGCAATCTGATCTCTCTAAAAGGAACCCATTTACACTCCTGGGAGCGGTGGAGAGAAGCATTGTGGTATAAACGTGTCTTACCCAGAGTTGTAATGACTCGAGTCCGATTCGAGTCACAATTTTTGGTGACTCGACTCGACTTGAGTCCCTGTGGGACAATGACTTGACTCGACTCGAGTCACTACGAGCAAATGACTCGACTCGACTCGAGTCCCTCTTTAGAAATTCCAACACGAGCGAAGGCTTATAAGACTCGAGTCCCAAACACAAAAGCAAAACTATTTGCAATGACTTACGGTGCAAAATTTATGTTCACGTCACTTTGCGAATGCAGCACGGTACAGCGGCCGCTTGTCGCGTACAAACATACAACGTGTCACAGACTCCCACCTTGTGGTTCTGGAATGCACAAAATACTATCCCGGAACCAGACTTCAAAACACATTATTTTTCCAATTCATGGTTTCATCATTGGCTTTGGGCGATTTCTTATTATTCGAACGCCGGCTATATTTATGCCCTCCTTTTAAAAATTAAATAGATACGTGCCAACTTTAAATAATCAGAAACAGTTTTGTATAAAGCAATTTGGTTTTGATGTTGTCAGCGATCAACGAAAAGAATTCTAGACTGGAAGCCAAACGAGATAAGACCACAGTTTCACTTCTTGTTAACTGTTAGTGATACAACTGACTTTCTTGTCTCTATTTGTTATACATGTATAGTGTTCTAATATTTGTGACTCGAATTGACTCATGGTAAACATTTGACTTGACTCGACTACACACTGTGACTCGACTTAACTCGACCTTCTTGACCTAATGACTCGACTCGACTCGAGCCACTTCTTTAAAATGACTCGACTCGATTCGAGTCACAAAAATCGGTGACTCCACTCGACTTTCTTGACCTAATGACTCGACTCTACTCCAGTCACTCCTTGTGAAAAATCAGTGACTCGTTACAACCCTGAATTTGCCTAAAAACAAAAAAATATTAAGTCACTCTATCAGTATCTTCCTGGTTATTTCCCACGTCTTTAGCCCCTGCACCTAACATTGTACCATATAGGACAGAATAATTTAAAAGCACCTGGACATTGGTATTAATAGGTCTCTCAAAGACGGCCATCTCTGTAGAAGAACTACAACTGCGTATTTTACACAATCAAGCACGCATTGCGCAGTGTTGAAAATGTTCCAAACACGCGCGCTTGTTGCTCGAAATGTGTTCGAAATACGACGCAGCCGATGCGCGTTATGCAAGTTGACGCTCAAAGTGCCGATGCACGTGGCTGGTCTGTAGGAAATGACGTCATTTGAGAGAGACCTATAAGGGATTAAATGTGAGCTTTGATTGCCTGTTTTACATTAAACACTCCGTTTAAGACCGGTTGGAGTCTGGATACTGATAATTACCCGAGCCAAAGGCGAGGGTAATCATCAGCACCCAGACTCCAACGGGTCTACAACATAGTGTTTAATACCGACCAAGCACATATTTATTCCCATTCATAAATACTTTTTCAGTCAAAAGATCAAAGCTTTTCGGTCAAAAAGTCAAAACACTGCAAAAATTATAAATTTCCAACGATTTTGTTCAACAAGTTTACTTCATGTTTTTTTGCAACACCCCTCTTGCTATATTATGGCCATGTCGTAAACAACTCTTTATGTGGAGATTGGCGTGCGCGTTGCACGTACTGCGCGATGTGGCACAGAACGCAGCTGTGCCAATGTAGTGTGAATCTAGGACTATGAAATACTGACTCACTGGTAGTATTGCGCATGCCTACGTGAGGATTGTGAACGTTCAATTAATAAAACGGTAACTACAAGACACTGGAATTCAATGGAGTCCAAATTTTATGTGACACTGGAAAAGTGTTTAAGACCAGCCAGCCGGTCTTTATCAACCATTTAAAACCGGCCACGTGACGGGCTCTCGACCAATAGGAATTAGTAAACTGTCTTGGGTATTTATGAATAAACGTAATCTGGTGATGACTTTCTTGTGACTCACTTTGAGGAGAGATCCCTGAATTCGTCGGCCATGGCTAGTTTGTAGCACACGCTCCACCCAGGACTATACCCGGCTTGTATCAGCTCTACGCATGTATGATGCATTGCCCGGTAGTCCGCAGCAGCTAATGCAGCCTCCGCAACTAGTAACAGCACTTGGCCCTTCCTGTCTGCTTCATTGGTACCCGAGACGCGTAACAGTTTGGCTAGACGAAGGAGCTGTACAACACACAAATCCACAAAAAATACTGGTGAAACTTCAACTATCAGATTTCAGGTTTGCAAACGGCGTTATCAAATTCAAGCATGCAAGCCAAATCTGCCGATTCACAATGCAGTGCGCCACCAAGAGTTTGCCATGGAGAGTCCATTTTTTAAGTTTACGGTCGACGAAACACGGCCCATTTGAACAAGTGTCCAGTGTCAGTAGACAACTTGAGCTAATTTGTTATAGATTGGGGCATAGCGTTCTGCCGCCTCACAAAAAACACCACATTGATAAAAAGAAAACAAAAGGGCAAACAGATACTCGAATCACACGCACGAAACTACTGACCGGAAAAACGAACAATTTCAAATGTCCCGCTCTGCGAATTTGTCGATCATCTCCCACAATGCACTGGGATAAGGAACTCTCCGTGGCAAACTCTTGGTGGCGCACTGCATTGTGAATGGCCCGAATTGTTAATTAGGCAACCGTACTAGTAAGACGGACATTATGGGTTCAACAATTAAATGTCAGGCATTCTGTCAAAATAAGACTGTACTGGGCATAGTCAGTCATGGAAAAAAAAATGAAAGACACAAAAATGGGGTAGATTTTTTTTTCCAATTTTTTTCTATCGATATTTGTGCTCTTTGATATGTTTACTACATATATTTTATAGGAATAGTATAATAATCGTGGAAACAAAATGAATTTTTAAGCAAAAACATTGGGCATCTTTCATTTTCATCAAAACAAAACTCGAAACTCTTTTCCTCAGTCCTATTGGAGACGTCAGTGAATGCAAACTTTAAACAGACTGCTAACAGAATGTCTAATTGAAGTGCAACAAACAAGTAGTGGTACTTTTATTATCTTAAAATTTATCTTTATTTTATTTCGACCTCTGCCCAGTTGTCATTCTGCTGGAACACCTCTCAAATTTTCTTGTTACCTGTTTCGAGTCTTTGTATGAGCTTGGCATCGACGACAGAGCTTTCTCGACCAACTCGAGACGGTCAGAACAGAGTCTCACTGAAACAAATCGAAAAGAAAATCAAAAAAACTTATTATTCATTTGTTCATTCAGGTCAGGGGTGGCGGAAATGGGGGGGGGGGGGGGCAGGCACTTGCCCCCCCCCCCAGTTTTACCCAAGTGCCCCTCTTGCGGACATAAATATGCCCCCTTGAGCATAAATGTGCACCCTCGAGATGAAAACAAAACTTGCCCTAAAATTTTGGATAATTTGTTTTCAGTAACCATTTCCCAAAATGGTATAGAGAGTTCTGATATGAACGAGGAATATGAAAACCAAGCCCAAACCCTGATAATGCGTAGTTTGCATAATGGCCGGTTTAAGAAGAGCGCCCCCTATTTTGGAAGAGGGAGGAAAACCGGAGAAAAACCCTCGTGGCACAGGAGAGAACCAACGCACAACTCTACTCACTTCTGATCCATGGGCAGGCCAGGATCCGCGGCCAGGATTCGAACCATGGTCACCTTGGTGAGAGGCGAGCGCTTTACGCACAAGCCACCCATGCCACATATGAATTAGGGCACCCCTCCCCCCTCTAAAAAAAATAATTGACCTGTCCATTTCTGGGCAATATACCGTGCACACAGTGCAAGTGACAGGCAGTGTATGTTAAAGTCATCATACACTAATGTAAATAGTGACCTTATGGAAATGGCACAATTCTGCTAGATGCACTTAATAATAAGGGAATAAATGTGTGCTCGGGAGGTTTTCATCACTCTGTTTAAGACCGCTTGGAGTCTGGGTGCTGATAATTACCCGAGCCGAAGGCGCACATACTTATTCACATTCATAAATACCTTTTCGGTCAAAAAAATCTAAATTTTTTTGTAAAAAAACCCCGATTTTGTTCAACAAGTCCACTTCATGTTTTTTTAAACACCCCTCTAGCTAAATAATGCAGTGTCCAGCTGGCGAGTAAAATGTAAACAACTCCTTTATGGAGATTGGCGCGCGCGTCGTACAGAGTGCACCTGGGGCATTGCATTGTAAATTTAGAACTATAAAATTCTGACTCACTGGTAGTATTGCGCATGCCTACGTGAGGATTGTGAACGTTCAACCAATAAAACGGTAAGAGGCACTGGATTTTTAGGAGTCCAAATTTCATGTGACACTTGAAAAGTGTTTAAGACCAGCTAGCCATGTCTTTATCATCCGTTTAAGACCGGCCACGTGGCGGGCTCTCGACCAATAGGAATGGGTAAACTGTCTTAGGTATTTATGAATTCTGTATTAAACAAGTGAACAATACATATTAAATACAGAGTGTTTCTGCCCTTTGATTTCAGAACATGATTGAGCATTTTAAAAGTTCCTCATGTTGGATGTACTAACAATACAACAGGGAATTGTTTAGCCTTGGCGGAGGTTGCGCTCTCTAGTGCTCTCTAGTTTCTACGTTTTGCCCCAATGATGAGGAATTGTTTATCTGAATTTTTTTTTTCACAATACTATTTTTAAAATGTTATCATGTTTTGTTTTAAGGGATCGAGTTTAGGGATCCTTTTAATTTTTGGATTCTTCCAAATCACATGTGGGGAATGTGGCCCAGTGGTTAGGGTTTGTGACTCATGATCAGAGGGTCAGGGGTTCGAATCCAGCTGCTGGCCATGTGTTGTGTCCTTGGGCAAGCCACTTTACCCCACTTGCCTCTCTCCACCTAGGAGTATAAATGGATACCGGCATTAGCTGGGGAGTAACCGGCGATGGACTGGCATCCCATCCAGGGAGAGTAGAAACATACTCACTACTGGAGATGAACGCCAGCCTGATGGGCCATATTGGCTCATGACCGACTTTACTTTCTAAATTCCATAGCCTTGGCTAGTCTCTTGTTATACCTACCTTGCAGTGGCAGAATGGAGACATTGTAGTCATCCAAAAGTGCCAGGCTAGCGATGAGATCTAACTCTTCCTGAACGCCTGGTGGACAGTCATGTAACAGCTGAAGACAGGACCTGATATATATGAGAAAGACATGGGAGCAGTGGTGGCACCAGACTCTAAATGGTTTTTTTTTTTGGGGGGGGGGTTTTTTCAATTGGGGGCAAGGAAAAATGGGGGGGGGGGGGGCAAATCACAAGAAATCTCAAGCCTGTGTACGCGCACGTGCCCATTGCCAATGGTCCTGAAATAAGCCACTAGAGCAACTAAGAGCAGTCGTTTTTCTGAATGAGAAATGTATCAAACCGCAGAATGGTGTATTACAAATGTATAACAAATATACAAAGACTGCACACTATCTACGGCTGTATAAATGCATGTTTGGCGTGTTTTGTCTTAAGTACCAATGTTTTAATGCTTTTATTGGCCCAAAATTTTATGAAGCTTAACAGCGAAGAAAATAAACATAATTAACCTACTTGTAGATATTGGGTTTTGCCCTTCATTGACATTTTTTTTCAATAATCACAGTATACTCAGTGTTGTCCCAAGCGATTGTGAGAAATCAATTCAAAAACTACTCAGGTGGGACTCGGACCCACGACCTCCTGCTTACTAGTGCAGACATCTTACCAGTACCACTTGACCTAAACATATGCTATGCCCCTTTGACCTGTATCGACTAATGTTATGCATCGGGTCGGATTGACCAGGCCAGAGCGACCCGAAACATTAAAGATATTAACCAAATCCGAACCGAAACCGATCTGAACTCCCCTAATCCAGCACGACCCGACCCGACCAAAATTCAAGCACAAACCGACCCAAACCGACCCGACCTGACCCAAAAAAACCTTGAATATCTGGCTTCGGCAACTGAGTCCGCTTTTTGTGCCTGAACTTTTTCCTGCTGGTGGGCCTACACGTTATAGACTTTGCATGATAGACGGCAAACCACATAAACATTCGTGCGGTGGGTTGACGTTGGTCGTACCAGGCACAGTAACTCTGTAATAATATTGCACCACTATTTCGTTTTTTTTCCCGGTTTATTTCGGCTTTTGCACAAGATGGCTTAACCGAACCGACCTGACCCAAAAATCGCAAACGCAAAACCAAAACAAACCCGACGCGACTGAAACGATGGACAAACCGACCCGACCCGACCCGAAGTCGGTTTCGGGTCAAGTCGGTTTCGGGTCAGGTTTGCACAACATTAGTATCAACCAATTAAAGTGGATGTGGTTCATGCATATCAGCATGGTGCCACATACATCAGTGGCAACCAGATAGGTCTAAGGTAAGACTAGTCAACAAAAAAACAAATTCAGATGAATCTGAGAATGAAAATTGACAAGAGGGTTTTTTGGGGAGCCTACACAAAATTTACTATCATTTCAAGGACAGGTTTAATTTCAACACTAATGCATCAGGTCCATGTAGTAGCTTTCATTATAATGATGACTAATGTGGTATCAAATGGAAACTGACAGCAAAGGCTTTCAAGCATCGAATTTGATAGTTCATATTGATCTTTCCTAATTGAGTTTGTCAGTTATAATGATGTCATCATGAAAATGTAATAAATTAACGCTGGTTCTATTAATTCTTGCATTAGAGAAAAGTATTTGCTAACACAATACAACAAAGACTGAAAATGATGTAAATGGGACAAAAAGATGAAATTTAGGAATTTAAAAACCAGAAGCATCCAATCGCAGGTGTTATACATGTACCTAAAAGTAATAAAACACTTTGTGTCTTTGCTGCAAGATTTGTTCTAAATGGTAAATAAAAAAGGCAAAGAAAGGCATTATGAGGAAGCATTGCAGTCAATCACGAGTCCAGTCACAAGTCCAGTAACGAGTAATATGGAATGACCAAGGACGAATGCTTTTGTCACAGTCAATTTTGATATCTTGCGATTTTGCGACTGGAGGACTTGTGGGGACTTGTGGGGACGTGTGGGGATGTGTGGGGATGTGTTGAGACTTGTGAGGACTTGTGGGACTTGTGGTGACTTGTGAGGAATTGTGAGGACTTATGACACATGTGTAAGGACTTGTATAAGGACTTGTGAGGACTTGTGTGGAGTTGTGGGGACTTATGGGGACTTGTGAGGACTTGTGTGGACATGTGTGGCTTTGTGAGGATGTGTGAGGACTTATGAGGGTTTGTGAGGAATTGTTGGGACTTGTGAGGACATGTAGGAACTTGTGCATGAGGACGTTGTGAGGGCTAGTGGGGACTTGTGGGGTATTATATGACTTGTGATGGACTTGTGTGGACATGTGTGGCTTTGTGAGGATGTGTGAGGACTTATGAGGAATTGTGAGGACTTGTTGGGACTTGTGAGGACATGTAGGAACTTGTGCATGAGGACCCTGTGAGGGCTAGTGGGGACTTGTGGGGTCTTATATGACTTGTGATGGACTTGTGGGGGCTAGTGGGGACTTTTGATGGACTTCTGTGAACTTGTGAGGACTGCTTTGATGCTGAACTGCTTTGATGCCGAACATTCTTTTGAGAAGAAAAATATTGCTGATACCTGGCTAGATCCATGCACGAATCCATCAAATCAGCGGACGAGTTGAAGTATTCCCTGGCCGCTGACAGCACCAACTCCACCGACTTCTCATAGCTGATCCTTGATGATGCAGAGGATGCCATACCGCCATGGTTACCGGAGGCCGGATCTTGGGATGAGGAGCGAGTTAGCATCTCACCGGCAAGCTGGATATTGGGAAGGGAGCTGGATCCTAGAAGGCTCTCGGTGTGGATCTAAGACAGACGGTGAAATTAAAATAAGAAAGAGTTGAATTTGACTTCAACTGATGCCAAATCAGAAGTCACCAACTGTGTCACGCACTGCGTTATTGGATTCGAACCAGCATGTTGACTAGGACAGTGGTTAAGTGGAAAGTTGTCTGCACTACTTTACAGGAGGTTGGGGGTTTGAGTTTAAACTCAAGTAAGTTTGAACATTTTCCTTACAAGCTTCCGGAAAGCATTGAGCAAAAGTCCCCCCCCCCCTCCAACTGCCATCACCACCACCACCCTCCCCCATCACCACCACCACTCTCCCCCACCCCTTTTGGATACCCCACAGAACAATATGCATTCCTGATTTGAAGCAATCTTCTCTTAAACTCTAACAGAGCTCAACCCATCAAACCCCAACGTCATGTTTTGTTGGAATCTGTCAGGATGGGTACAGTACCCCTCAACTGACAGTCTTTAACATTGGGCTGGCACACCTCCAGAAACAAAGTCAGAAACTTGTGTGTGCAGTTTCCCATATGGTGTTGGAATTTGCCAGGATGGGTATGGTTCCTAGTAAATCATGCTAGGGAGTTAAGGTTAAGAAAGCTCTAAGCAGCTTCATTTTTTTTTTTAAACCTCATTTATACCTCATAGCAAAGTTGCGGTTCTAAGCAGGTGTAGACTTTCCGCTGTAGCTCCAACATGTCCCTCAGAAGCTGCTTCCACTCCCCCGCATTCAATGGAGACTTCCTACAAACAGGTGAATGTCAACGACCTCAAAATTGAAAACATCTTCATTTTCTTCATCACTTATTCAACACTACAATAACGGGGTGGTTCTCTAGCCATACGTCCAAGTTGCCTGTTTTCTTTTCGATTTTTTTGATAGATTACCTTCGACCTTGGTTTGTGACCTTTGACATCATGATCATATGGGGGTTCACATGTTGCATCTATGAGTGAAGTTTGGTTGCAATTGGACTTCAACTTTTCAAATGAGACCAATTTGACATTTTCAGGTTATTTTACAACTTGACCTCGGATGACCATTGACCTCAGTATGTGACCTTTGACATCATGATCATATAAAGGTTGCCATGTTGCATCTATGACCCAAGTTTGGTTCCAATTGGACTTCAACTTTTCAAATGAGACCAATGTTTTGAAACTTTAACGAATATACCACATACATAAATAGTTACGTATGCTCGGTTGGACATGCGGACAGACATAGTGATTGCATGGTCTCCTTCCTGAACTTTATTCAGGCGAGACAAAAATGGGTAATTGATCTTCATCCTAACATACCGGTCACAAATCTGTTAACAAGTTTAACATTGCTTTGACAAGTTAACGTACTAACAAAAATCGGCAAACTTCCAGCCATGAGCAAATGCACTGCATGACATTTTGGTCGGTAACCAGCTTCTGCTAAGCAGATATCTTCTGCATGTGCTTACCTCCTAGCAGCTTGTCTAGAAAGTCGGATCATCAATCCCTTGGCCTGATCTTCATCCTTCTCAGAGTCTCGTATGAACCGCGGAGGTTTGGGCACCTCGTGCTTGATCAGGATCTCGGCAGCGCGGAGGTGGTCTGAGAGATGTCCGAGCTGGTTGTGGAGGGCAGAGATTTCCTCCGACTGCATTCTGTTTTAAAAAAAATACATCGAGACAGGTCTTGAGAAAAGAGGCAACAATTATCTTAGAACTACCCTTGGGCACAAGCAGACAAAATGAACCAGCTGATAGTGGAAGGATGAAGTTACCTCCGACTGCATCTTGATATGAAAAACACTCATTGAATCTCAGAAAATCTACCAATTGTAGTTCCAGATCGCCCTTATGCACACTCAGTAGAGGGCACTTTTAGAATTACCCAGCAATAGGCAATCTACCAATCACATGATAGTTCAAGATCCCCTTACACACACTCAGTAGAGGGCGCTATTCAAAAAGTCCAAGCTGAATGAGATTTCTTCCGACTACATCCTGATATGAGAAAAATTGAGACTAGAGATAGAGACAAACAGCCAAACTTCTTATCCCATATGCACACCCATAAAGGGCGCTTTTCAAAATGTCTACTCAGAATATTGCTGAAATCTCTTGAGGTTAAATGGAAAATCATTGGTGAATGAGAAAATCCTCAACCAAAAAATCACATAACCTGACACAAAAATATCTTGATTATGTAACAATTCTTCAATTTTTTTGTAAGTACTCTGACCCAAAGCTCCGTCTTGGCATACACTCCAGTATGGCCAGTGCCTGGCTTAGCTGGTCATCCCGATCGCTGGTATACACACACTGCAACGCTAGAGTCATCAGATAGTCACTGTCTTTGATGATACCGCCCGTTACCTGTTCAAAGATAACAAGAAAAGGTTAGATTTATAGTAAAAACGTTCACGGAATGCACTCATTTCTACTCCCTTGATTCAGAATGACTATTCACTGGAAGTCTTTTCATGCATCTGGTCTGCACAACGGGTCGGATTTAGCCCATTCATTAGGGAATAACAGTGTGAGAACCTAGTCTTCATTACTATACCTCATACATATTCATGATCGAGAGCCGAACTCTCAATGGTCAATTCACCATCACGTCACCAGATGTTATTTTTGCTGTTTACCAAGCGCGCGCGCGAGGATTCACGCACAGGGTTAATACGCATGCGTAGTAGACTGTCTTTACCCGTGCGACAGTCTACTACGCATGCGCTTTACAAAGCAATCGTGGAACTGTCGCACAGGTGTAGTACGCACGCGCTAGCATCGCCCAAACGAGCTACACACGAAGAGATGGTTAAGGTTGCACGGCGCGTTATTTTCCCGAGCTCAATGAAGCCGAACTAGAGAACATTTATGGACAATAAAGATGCCTCCTGTACAAAAGAATATTGTACACAAACTACTGTATTTACAGCTGCACTGTATGGTAAACGAACCAGTGAAGTTGAGCAAAAAGATTCTTTTGGTGAACTGGACAAGTTTTTCACACAAAAAAATATTGTTTGAGGTTCCTTCATGCAATGAAAACAACAAACAAATCAGCGCTGAATATGTATGAGGTATAGTAAAACAAATATAACATGGTTTATTTCGGTTGGACAGCCGATATTAGCTCCCCTCGGTATTGAAAGTTGACAAACTAGTTCCCTCGGCTTCGCCTCGGAAACTAGTTTGTCAACTTCCAATACCTCAGGGAGCGAATATTGACTGTCCACCCTCAAACCATGTTATATTTGTATACTGCGTGATAATGACCGGGTTGGGGGATGGCCGCTGTTAATGGACAGAGCCAGGCCAGGTCCATTAACAGCGGCCATCCCCCAACCCGGTCATTACCACGCAGTGACGACTAGGTCCTCACAATGTTATTCCCATTAATAAATAAATACCTTTTTAATGAAATAAACAGTTAAAAAGCTCCAATTTTGTGACTTTTCTTTCGGCGATATTTCTAGACTTTTGTGTGTTCATGATCAGTGGCCATATTTCAGTTTATGCGTGGTACCCTGTCTCTTATACCACCCTAGCCACGCCCAAGCTGCGCTGGACGACGTCTTCATTGCATTACGACTGATATCCAGGGTATGAACTTCTGTTGCCTTAGGGAAACAAATTACAACTTTTTTCATATCTTTACCTGATGGAGGAAGCTGTGTCCTTGTGTCCAGAATTACAAAGATGCTCAGTTCAGAAAAAATAAATATGTCCATGGGCGACGTGTACACAGAAAAATAAACCACAGAAAAATCCACACTTTCATTGTAAACATCCTCAGTACTGTAGTACAAACATGTTGTTTTTTGACAACTTCTTTACGCGCACCCATCCACACGACTGTGTTGCGTACGCGCATGTAAGTCTTTGCACGATGTGGTTGAGCGCATGTGTACTGCTGTAAATTTGGCCAATCATTTGGCTTACATGAGGCTGGATCAACGCTGGTTCGGGGGCCAATTATTCGCTTGTTCTTGAAGTCGGTCTTTATATCACCGTTAATGCACCCCCACATGATTGAGTCTCGACCAATCAGAAGCCACCAACTATCCAAGGTATTCTCTAATGTCTATTCACTGGAAGTCTTTTCATGGATCTTGTCTTCACAATGGGCCAGAATTAACCCATTCAGTTGTGAGGTGATCCTATACGACAGCACTCCCTGATTTAGGGGAGTCAGTCAGTCAGTGAGTTGGTGGGACAGTCAGTAAAATGGGTACAAAGAAGCCACAAGGCTGGCCTCTAGGCAAGCAACAACTAATACGATTCACGGTCTTGTATACTTTTATGTTGTAAATTCCACATCCTTGCAAATGTCACCCAAAACATTGGAAATCGGGCATCTGTTTTGACTGTAGTTCTTACCGTTGCTTTTGAGTTTTCAAATATCATCACACAATTGGTCAGATCCTCCTGTGGAAAAACAATATCAAAATAATTAGTCAAATTAATAATGCTTTTAAAGGTAGCGTCCATCATTTGCAATTTGTGCATTATGTTCATTGAAGCAACAAAAGTTCTCAAAACCTAAAGAAGGGTGCTGAACAACTAACCTGATGAAGTTTCAGCTCAGTGAATGCTGTATGTTTTGAGAAAACAATATTCTAGGATCTCGATTTTAAATCAAAAGTTGCCGAGTCATGTTTTGAATTGGGCCTGAATTCAGCGTACAAGACACATTCTCATTCAGTCGATTGCAGCTACGCGATGTCACGCACCGAACCGGCGAATTATAGCAACCGTGCGCGCGTCGTGTCAATGCTTGTGCGTGCTTCGCCAAATTAAAAATGAACTACTAACAGAAATTTCCAAGGACGCATCGTTGAAAATGGCCTTCTTTCATTGATTTCTTTAAAATGACAGCATGCCATAAAGAATAATTTCACAGGGAGTTTAGTCCCATTAATATCTTTCAAAAAGTATGCTTTTCAACAGTAACTACGTCAGTTACTTTTTGGATAGCTGCAAATGATGAACTGTGGCTTTAAGATAACCCACACAAATCAAGGTTATCAACAAAAGTCATGTGATCATCAACATGTGACTTGTACTCAACATGTGACTTGTAAGTTTTCACAAGTAAATATATTTGCTAATTCATATTTTCTGCTTATTCAGATCTCAGAAATTTTTGATCAGTTTTTTTTATTAAAAAAAAAACTTTTACAGGAACCAATATTCCTACCTTTGCAATACTGAGCATGTACTGTGTCAGCAGCTCTTTCTTCTGCCTGGGGACCTGTTTCTCACACCTCTCCAGAAATGGTATCACCCACCGCTTGATATTCTTCACGTACATTTCCTTGGGAGACTGGAAAGAGGAATGAAACAATATGGGTGTTCATTAATCCAAAACTTGAACAATTCACCCTTCGATATTCACTCTGTGTACTTCAGGAGAGCACCCCACAAGATACAACCATGAACAACATTTCTCTCCAAAACAAGCTCGATTGGATCTCGGAAGCTGCGGGCCAAGGAACGAATGACCTTTGACCCCATAGCTGTAGGTCACATGTAGAGGTCACGACAGACATTTTTTTAATGTTTGACGAAGGCCAACATGTTGACGGTGCTTCCTATGTCATTTGTGCTTATTTGCATTTATTTGCGCATATTTGAAATTTCACATTATTTTGAACTTGACCCATGATGACCTTTGACCCCAGTTTGGTCATGTGACATGTTGGGGCTGGGATACTGATACTTTTGACAATGTTTGCTTGAAATCGGTCCAAATATGTAGGAGCAATAGACAATGTGAACGTTTGTTACCAACTAACCGCCTAACTAACTAAACATGACTAACTAACTACTAACCTACATGTACGGACTAATAGAGAGACATCTGCAGCTAAAAATGTTGAATACATGCACTCATGTTTCCAAAATTAAAAAAACTTCAAATAGAGCTCTTCATATTGTTCTTTAAAAGTTTCACCTTTATCACCCACAAACCTAATATTTAGTTATCTTGACACAATGACATTGGCCCAGCGTATTCGATTTCAACTTGGCTGCCAGGCTTTTAGGGCAAGCATTGGTGTTGCCCCGGACTATTTGTGTCGGAAGCTTGACCAGATCCAGCCTGGCGATCGACAAACGACTAGGGCAAACACATGGGGTAACTTTATAATTCCCAAACCAAAATGTCAAATCTTTAAGAATAGTTTCAGCTGCAGAGCTTCCGTCTTCTTGAATGATGTCCCTCTTGCCATTCATTCAGGCTCTGATTATTCTTTTTGCTGGTTGCTGAAGGAGAATAGGGCTTGAATTAGAGCTTTTTCTTGGTACAAGTTTACCTTGTTTTCTGCCAGAGTTGTTGCTGTGCAATGTGTACTTGTATTTATAATGTCTTTGAAGAGGTAGGGGGTGCTCATATTTTTAATAATTCGCATGTGTAATTTTATCACTTCTAATTATTACTCCATTTTTAGTCTCGTCTTTTTATCATGCTTTCAAAAATATGATCAGCTGGGATGATGTTTGTCAGTTTCAGAATTTCAGTGCAATTGTGTAATTGCATATGTATTTCTTAACTTATTGTCCTTAACCATAACTCCTTAGGCATTTTTGCTAGAATATATAATCTCAATCCTGCAAAATCTTCCAATTGCATCCATGTAAAAATTGCGTACAGCCTCAATCCTCCAAAATCCTCTGTTGTTTCTTGAATGTGTTCCTTGGAGGGGTGACCACTGCCTCAATCCTGCAAAATCCTCCAGCAATCACTGTCAATATGTTGAGGCAGAGCCAGTGACATCCTGGAGCAGTGCGGAGGATTTTAAGTACGATGTAGGCCTAAATTTATGCGAGGCTAAACATGAACAACACAAGGTCCAGCCTAAGACCTTGACACGGCGCATCCTCCAAAATCAGCCACACACTTTTGCCATGTAGCCTCCTCCTGCAAAATCCATTTTACAAAGAGGATTTTGAAGGATTTGGGAAGGTTAGCATTAAGATTACTTGTTTTTAAGAACTTATTGTTGTTCTTATTGTCAAGGCGTGGTCTTTGTTAACATCGTTGTCTTGACGTATTTGTTTGTAACGTGAGGGCCCCAAATGATCAGCTTCTGCTGTATGGGTTACCCTCATTAAAGATGGTTTTAAATAAATAAATAAATAAAACTAGACAACTGAAGCATTTCAGCAGAAGCCTGATTCGGTAAAATGGAGACAAATTGCGCAAATGAGACCAAATTGATATTAACTGCACATTTGAGTGTTTGCAAAAGACTTGAGGCAACATATTGAGGTTTATGAATTGTTGTATTCAAGTGGGAAATTATTTTTACTGACAATTTATTTCATGTTCGTTCATTAAGACCTGACATTTGGGAATGATGATCGCCAGATGTTTTTATCACTGCGTAGTTTATTTCTTTGAAATGAGCGACAACTTCCAGTAACTTTCAAAATTTGGAAAGATAGCTGCACATGACTTTGGATAGCTACATGTATCACAAGGTCATGAACATGTGTTAATGTAAATTGCCCAAAATCAGTACCTGAAATATTTAGGGTCCCCCGACTTTTTTAAGCCCCCAAAAATGTTCATTAAAAAATACACCTTTGAAAATATCAGAGCCAAAAAGCAAAAAATTATAAAATCTGATTGCCCTTACCCCTAACAGTCCTGAATCCTCCAACTTCAATATAATTTTGCACACCCCCTAGGGAGTGAGTGTTACTTTTCTTCGAGTTTCGAGTTTCGACAACAAAAGGTACTTTGGCAGAACATGTGTTGATGATGAATTTTGGTCAATACTGATGGTATTCAAAAGTGAAAGCATTTTTTGTGTTAAAGCCCGAGTCCATCACTTGCAGCTATCCAAAAAAGTAACTGGCGTAATTATTGTTGAAAAACATACTGGTTGAAAGATAGTAAGGGGACTAAACTCCCTGTGAAATTATCCTTTCTGGCAAGCTCTCATTTTGAAGAAATCAACGAAAGAAGGCATTTCCAACGGTGCGTCTTAAGAAGCACCCCTATGTTCCGACTGCACCCTCATTTAAATCAGTAGTTCGTTTTGTTATTCGGCGCAGCGCGCACAAGCATTGGAACGACGCACAGGCGTGCGTGGTTGCTATAATTCGTCGGATCAGTGCGCGGCATCGCGTAAAGCTGCAATTCAACACAATTCGAAACATGATTTAGCAACTTTTGATTTGAAATTGAGATCCTAGAATGCTGTTTTTCTCGGAATATAAAGCCGAAGCTGAGCTGAAACTTCATCAAGTAAGTTGTTCAGTATCCTTCATTAGATTTTGAACACTTTTGTTGCTTCAAACGAACAAAATGCACTAATTACCAAAGGTGGACTATAGCTTTAAACCAAACAGAAACTTCATTGATTTGTTGCTGAATGTCTTTCATTTTGTTAATAACAGATAAAATATTAAACTGACGCCAGGTAAGTCCCGTGTTTGTTCTTATTACAGCGCAAACACAATGTTATTCAGTAATCACCAAGTCGTTTTATTACAAACTTAGTAGGGTTTTTCTATATAGTCTGGCCTCTTGTTGACAGTGGACTCGAGAATTGTAATTAGGGAGGAAACAAAAATAAATCATGTTCAAAATGAGCGTGGACAAAAAGACTTTGGATATAAAAAGGGAGACTCTCTGAAGCCAAATGTCCTTCCTAGATCTAGAAAAAAATTGACAGAAAGTTGTGGACAAGTAATACGCAGTTATAATTTAACGGAGACTTTGCCACGTTTGTTTCGCTAAAATCGACAGTGCAGCTGTCTGCAGAAGAAACACAGCTGTTTGCTTGGGAGTATTACTTTCCATTTATTCTATCATTTTGCAGTGCATCAGTGGTATATTGTTGTATTGTCAGACAACTGACGCAGATCGTAAACAGCGTACTGGGAAAAACTCACATTTGTCAAAAAGCATTTTGGTGAGAGGACTCATAAGAAGGCTGTAAAGCTTTGAAAGAAGACAACTGCAATGATCCTTCTGAGGACAGTTACTTCGATGATGTGCTTATTGACATTTGATGGTCTAACTCCAAAACAGTAAGTACTACTTTTCATTTTGCGTAATGGCTCTATGTTCCGACACCCCTATGTTCAGACACCCCTAAGTTCCGACAACTCAACCTACATGTATGTTCCGACACCCCTATGTTCCGACACCCCTATGTTTCGACACCCCTATGTTCCGACAACCTGCACATAAGATTGTGTTACTCCCGGTGAGGGTAAGGGTTAGGGTTAGGGTTAGGGATGTGGATAAGAATATGTGGAGTGCTGTGGCCTCGTGAAGGGCACTGGATTCGTGGTCTGTGGGTAAAGCTGCGGGTTGTGGGTTCGAGTCCAGCCGGGGTCATGGTGTGTGTGCCCTTGAGCAAGGCACTTTGTCACTCATTGCTTCTCTCTACCCAGGAGTAAATGGGTACCTGTGAGGGCAGAGATGGCTATTGTGATTGAATAAGCTTGCTTGCGCCTAACAGGCAGCATCCAGCTGTATACTCCCCAGGGAGCCGAGTTGGTATTTGGAATGTTTAACTGGCCAAATGATCAGGGGTAATAATAATACTGTAAGCGCTGTGATTTAGTTTACTAATAAGAGCATTCTTAAATGCCGATTATGATTATTAATATGTGCAGTCGGAACATAGGGGTGTCGGAACATAGGTTGAGTTGTCGGAATATAGGGGTGTAGGGACATAGGGGTGTAGGAACATAGGTTGAGTTGTCGGAATATAGGGGTGTAGGGACATAGGGGTGTAGCAACATAGGTTGAGTTGTCGGAATATAGGGTGTAGGGACATAGGGGTGTAGTAACATAGGTTGAGTTGTCGGAATATAGGGGTGTAGGGACATAGGGGTGTGGGAACATAGGTTGAGTTGTCGGAATATAGGGGTGTAGGGACATAGGGGTGTAGGAACATAGGCTGAGGTGTCGTAATATAGGGTAGTAGGGACATAGGGGTGTAGGAACATAGGTTGAGTTGTCGGAATATAGGGGTGTAGGAACATAGGGGTGTAGGAACATAGGTTGAGTTGTCGGAATATAGGGGTGTAGGGACATAGGGGTGTAGGAACATAGGTTGAGTTGTCGGAATATAGGGGTGTAGGGACATAGGGGTGTCGGAACATAGGTTGAGTTGTCGGAATATAGGGGTGTAGGGACATAGGGGTGTAGGAACATAGGTTGAGTTGTCGGAATATAGGGGTGTAGGGACATAGGGGTGTAGGAACATAGGTTGAGTTGTCGGAATATAGGGGTGTAGGAACATAGGGGTGTAGGAACATAGGTTGAGGTGTCGTAATATAGGGGTGTAGGGACATAGGGGTGTTGGAACATAGGTTGAGTTGTCGGAATATAGGGGTGTAGGAACATAGGGGTGTAGGAACATAGGTTGAGGTGTCGTAATATAGGGGTGTAGGGACATAGGGGTGTGGGAACATAGGTTGAGGTGTCGGAATATAGGGGTGTAGGGACATAGGGGTGTAGGAACATAGGTTGAGGTGTCGTAATATAGGGTAGTAGGGACATAGGGGTGTAGGAACATAGGTTGAGTTGTCGGAATATAGGGGTGTAGGAACATAGGGGTGTAGGAACATAGGTTGAGGTGTCGTAATATAGGGGTGTAGGGACATAGGGGTGTTGGAACATAGGTTGAGTTGTCGGAATATAGGGGTGTAGGGACATAGGGGTGTAGGAACATAGGTTGAGTTGTCGTAATATAGGGGTGTAGGGACATAGGGGTGTTGGAACATAGGTTGAGGTGTCGTAATATAGAGGTGTAGGGACATAGGGGTGTAGGAACATAGGTTGAGGTGTCGTAATATAGGGGTGTAGGGACATAGGGGTGTCGGAACATAGGTTGAGTTGTCGGAATACAGGGGTGTAGGGACATAGGGGTGTAGGAACATAGGTTGAGTTGTCGGAATATAGGGGTGTAGGGACATAGGGGTGTTGGAACATAGGTTGAGTTGTCGGAATATAGGGTGTAGGGACATAGGGGTGTAGCAACATAGGTTGAGTTGTCGGAATATAGGGGTGTAGGGACATAGGGGTGTCGGTACATAGGTTGAGTTGTTGGAATATAGGGGTGTAGGGACATAGGGGTGTCGGAACATAGGTTGAGTTGTCGGAATATAGGGGTGTAGGGACATAGGGGTGTAGGAACATAGGTTGAGTTGTTGGAATATAGGGGTGTAGGGACATAGGGGTGTAGGAACATAGGTTGAGTTGTCGGAATATAGGGGTGTAGGGACATAGGGGTGTCGGAACATAGGTTGAGTAGTCGTAACATAGGGGTGTCAGAACATAGAAATGCCGGAACATAGGTTAAGTTGTCGGAATATAGGGGTGTCGGAACATACATGTAGGGTGTTGGAACATAATGGTGTAGCCTTCCTTTTTTCTATTGATGATGGATGTTTTGTTTGACATAGTGCAGTTGAGCATTTTTGCTGATTGAGTTATAGTAAAATCCTTGTATTCACACCAAAGATTTTTTTGTTTTAATTCACGAATACATTAAAAACGGAACTTTATGATTTCCAGTTATTGTTGTCTTTATAAGCATCGGCACTGAAACATTATTTACTTTAGTCCCATGCAATATGAAGTTGTAAGAAATGTTGAGGGCTCAATAAAAAAAATACCTCAAGTGCACAATAAGCTCTGTGGCGGTTCCGGAATGTCTCACTTCATATGCAACATAGACCCACATGCGCATTGACCGAGACAAAGGGGCGTGTTCGGAAAACTTTCGTCCAAGAGTTCATTTACTGACGACAGCATTGCATTTGGTCAATTTTTGGTCAATTGGCAGTTATATTTTATTGGAAACTAAAGGGGCCCGTTTTTGGTCAATTTTCCGGGGGACAGACCGACCGACCGACCGACCGACCACGAAACAACATGTAGAAGCTCCTGCCAGAGCTGAAGAAGCAACAACAAAAAAGGAAAACAAAAAGTGTATTTTCTTTAAGACATTTTTCAGACTGGCCTCTGAAATAACTGACTGCAAATTAGACTATGATGTTTGAGTATAAACCCAGTCATGTAAATTTATTAAAAAACCCTAATTTTTTTTTAGAAATAATAAAACTGATAGCAGAAATGAACGACTGAAGATTACAATCTGGGGTTTACTAAATGACTGTGGATAACTCATCAGGCCAGGAATGAGCTCCGTGCAAAAAGGAAATTAACAGAATCTATCACGAATGCAGTCCAAACTAGCCGAGACATTCTGAAAATGCACACTGCATGCACAAATCTTATCTTGCAAAAATATCATTTATCATTTTGCACAGTTTGAGGGATTCGAAGTTGGAGTAGTGTCCTCCGAGGTAGGCATGATGGACCAAAATGAAGATTTCTGAAGATGATGCAACTACCAGAAAGAGGGGATTCCACCATTTTCAACAAACAAGCAACATTAATGTGAAAACATTCCCAAATATTGTTGGGAGAGGTCGTTTGTTCCTCATCTATTCTGGTATTAAAGAAAGGGAAATAGACTTTTACCAACTGGTTATTGGCAACTTGACTTTCCTCTCTAAACTCAACATTTCGAGATTGTGATGAGGAAAAACTGAAGAAGTTTCAAGTTGGAAAAATGATGCCGACTTTACGATCAGTACAAACGAAGACAGCACAGTTTACTGTGGATGTCAACGTCTCAACGATGATTGACACCTAAAAGTTCTGTAATTTAACAAATTCACAGCTTTGGATTGTGCATATGCATTTGTACGTTGAAGGATTGGGCAATTTCATTATCTTAGAACAAACTGCACAACTAACCCCAGCTAGCTCGGCGGTCGAGTGGTAATTAGACGACTGTACTAGTATAAGCAGGTAGGTTCGAGTCCCACCCAACTAAGCTTGTGAATATTTATCCTTCATCTGTGGACAACTCTCAGTATACACGGCTTATACAAATTGCATCAGTGAAGGGCAAAAACCCAATATAGAAACTGAAATTAAAGATGGGTTTTGAAGCTATGAAGAACGGCCAGATTTTGGACGGCGTTATGATGACAGCGGCGGGAATAGGATTGCTCGGTAATCTCTTAGTTTGCATCACGGTCGTCAAGGTGAAGCACCTCCACAGTCTAACTAACTATCTCCTCCTGAATCTGGCCGTCTCCGATCTCATGACTTGCTTCATCTACTTGCTTACCAACATCTTGAAGCAGCTCGGAATTCCCCCAGCAGATGCAAGCATCACCGTCTGGAGCCACGTCTTCTGCCGTGTCATGTACAGCAACTATCTGTTCTTTTCCTTCTCCTTTGTGTCTGTCTACAACCTCGTTATTATATCGTTTGAGCGCTACGTCGCGATAGTGTACCCCTTGCGTTACGCCGAAATCTGCACCAAAAGGAGGGTGGGCGTGGCTATCTGTTCAGCGTGGGGGGTGGGGTTCCTACTGTACTTGATTCATTTTTTTGGAATTTACGTTGACGAGGGGAACGCCGTCAGCTTGTACTGTACTTACGGACACTCGTGGGCGTGGCATTTCATCCCGTTTGTTTTCGGTTTTCTGTTCCCGCTTTCCGCGATGCTCTGGGCCTACTATCAGATAATCAAGACGCTTAAGATGAGTGCCAGGCGGCAGTTGCTTCCCGGTCACGCTGGCGAGTTGTTCGACGCTCGCCGGCGAGTCATACGCCTCATGCTCTTGGTGACCGGCGTTTTTGTCCTTCTCTTCGGCGGCACCCAACCGATCCAAATGATAATCGTCTTTACGATCAACGATACGTACGAAACAACGGAGAGTGCTGGAACTTATGCCTGTTTGCTTCTCTACTTGTTTAACGAGATCCCAGCCATGTTGACAAGTATCTTAAACCCCATTATCTACGCCTTCAAGTATAAGGCGTTCCGCCGCGGTATGAAGGAAGGGTTGTGTCCGTGTTTGAGAGGGGGTTTGGTGTCACCAACGGTGTCAAGAGTGAGTACTATCTTTAAAAAATCCAGTAATGATACAAGTTCATGTTAGGAGAGCTTGTGGTCATGTGTGGTCTAGCGGTGGAGCACAGGATTCATGATCGAGAGGTTGTGGGTTTGAGCCCCGCCGTGACCATGCGTGCTGTGCCCTTGAGTAAGGCGCTTCACCTCAATTACTCCTCTCAACCCAGGTGTTAAATGGGTACCGGCATTATTTAATGCTGGGAAGGTAACAGACTCGCTGTGGAGGAGGTGTGGCGATCCCCCCACAGCAGCGTATGAGTCTGGCCCAATCGCTTCGAAAGAGAGATGGGCACTCCGTTCCTGTGAACACAGGTTTGTCCCCCTTTACCTTTACTTTAAGGAGAGTATAAGCCCAAGGATAAAACACCAATGCCAAATCTTACGCAGCTAAGCATGGAAAATAGCTCAGTCAATTTGATATTTAAATTAAAAATCAACAAAGTACCGATACATGTAAATATGAAAACAAGTCACACATTGTGGGAGTTTAAGCTGGTAAGCTCTTTTGTTTGGTAAACAAGTCAGGCTATTTTGAACTTAGAAAATTGTGAGCTTATAGCTGTTCTATACTGGCTTCTAGTTTCAGTAAGTGCTAAAAATGTGGGGCGCTGTGGTCCAATGGTTATGGTGTTCGACTCGTGTGCCGTGGTATGGGTTCGAATCCTGACCGTGGGAACATGGTGCTTGTGCTCTTGAGCAAGTTACTTTACCATTATTGCTTCGTCCTTCAGATGGGACGTAAAGCCGTAGGTCCCGTGTGTTGTGTAATGCACGTTAAAGAACCCATAACACTTATCGCTAAGAGAAGGGGTTTGCCCCAGTGTTTCTGGCAGTGGCTGCTATATGCACCGCAGCACCTTGTAAACCCTTACAAAGGTGCTACATAATGGGTCTCATATTTCGCATACACTTCATTTACCTGTCTTTAATAATATACATAAATGCCAGCGCCTTGAGTACCTAATTGTTGGTAGATACGTGCGCTATATAAGACTCCGGTATTATTATTATTATTAAATGTCGCTTTCAAGCAATATTAAACAGATTCAACTGTACAGAATGTTCTCAGTAAAAAGCTAAGATGGTATAAAAAAAAAAATGAATATTGGGGTGCTATTTAAGTTTCTAGAGAGAGATACAGGGAAGTAAGGGAAACTTGTAACACAGAGGTTATAAATTGTTTTTAAAAAAAATTGCTTCTATTTCATCTTTGAATATTTTGGAATATTATCCGTAGTTTGCATTTTTAATTTTCTTAAATATAAGCTAGCTACATGTATTGTGGAAAAATGTATGGTTGTATACACGATGATCATAACAACTTTTTATCTCAGTGTCCACGTTTGAATATTCAAATATTCCACAAAATAAAAGTGCCAATATTCAAGTACTAAGTTGTTCAAAATTGCACAGCACTACTTGTTTCATTTGGTTTGTTCTTTTAAACAGGTATAGACACAGTGGAGCAAAATAATGCGACCGAGCTTTTGTATTAGATAGGCATACTGATCAAAGTTTAATCCCTACGGTGGTAATGGTTGGAGTTTAGCATTAAATTTAAAAGGTTTTAGTAATTTGGTAATTTTTCTCCAACGCACTTTCACATATTTTCTAATGTTTAATGATAATGTCTTCTTGTAAAATGTCATGTACAACAACATAATCAATTCTTTATCTGTTTCATTTTAAAAATGTTATTAAAAATTAATATTGGATTTATGTAGGAATTCTAAGCTGCGGGAATTTTGTATAATTTGAAATTGTGGTTTTTTTTTAATGGAAAACAAGCTGTAAAAAGCTGTTCGTTTGCTGTAAATAGACAAAAAGCAGCATGTAATGTTTTATGAAATAGACCGCTTGCAGAGGCGATCGATAATTGACGCGCGAAGGTGCACGACACCATGTTATGGGACAAAATGTGCATGGATAGATATACGCCTGTCCCACAACATGGCGTCGCGCGCCTTTGCGCGTCGATTATCGAACGCATCTGCAAACGTTCTATAGGTGTCCACTTGTTCATTCATCTTGTTTAAATAATCTTTAAAGAATGTTATTCACAGAGGTATCAAAAATCTCATAGTGACAAAAAAAAATCCACAGAGGTATCAAAAATCTCATAGTGACAAAAAAAATCCAACTGTGTTTTCCCTGTATCATTTACTTCAACATGCACTGTGAATGTGTGAAATCTAGCATTAAGTTTGGCATGTAAAAATTCCGAAATGTTGTTTGTGGCTTATGTTTAGGACATAATTTCACTGGGTGGGAATAATTTCACAGGGAGTTTTTAGAGCCTTTACCATCTTTAAACCAAGTAAGCATTTTAACAATGATTTGGTCAGTTACTTCTTGGATATAGCTGCAATTATATACATTGTAACTGACATACAGATCCTTGTTATTTGATTGGCGGAACTCACATCATGTGACATTCGTTATTGCCCCCATTCACGCCGGGGCTCAAAAAGTCCCATTCGCCCATGGGGAATGGGATTTACTATTCAATAGTTAGGATTATCCTTGTTCCATGGCGCTGATCGATTTGTGTGCAAATGCATGCTGGTGTGCGCGCTGAGCGTTATGTGTAGCGTAAATTGTTCCCAAGAGCTAGTAGCTACAGACTTGGGTTCAAACATTTCGTGAAGGGGTGGTTTGGAAGAGGGAAATACATTTTCCACCAATTTTGTATTGAAATAGAATTTCATTTTAACTGTAAATCAAATGACAAGGATCTATAATGTCATTTATATAAAACAAATATTGAGAGGCTTTAAATTGTGAAATGGGAGGAATCGCTCAGTAAAATCTGGACTTTTCCATTTCACTCAGCAAAGTCCAGATAGTACCTTGCGATAATATTCCTCCCATTCCACTCTGAGCCACTCAATATTTGTATAGTGATCTTCCCTACATGTACCTTTAAAAGATTTGATGCTCTGGAAACTGAACATGGGTCCATTATTGAATTTAAACCATTGCTGTGACGTCACACTATTGTTAAAAGTGTGGATTCGGAACTACGAATCTTTTACTTTGGTCACAAAGTGTGGATTCAGAACAACGAATCTTTAGTAAAGTGTGATTCCGAATTATGAATCCACACTTTGGACAACTGTTCCCCATAATGAGCAATAATAGGACCGTCTGCATGAAAACTTTCCTTCCGAAATTACCAATGCATCTTCACTGTCAGATTCTCCGCCGTCACTGCAAAAACTACTTTGAGTCAGAAAGAAATCGTCGTCTGAACTATCCATGTTGACGTAAGCAGCTTACACACAAAATGACTTGGTTGTACAGGTGTGGCGATACACATGCTAAACACACCACAATGCTTGATTAAATATAAGTCTCTAAAAACTCCCTTGTTAATTACCCTGATGGCCAGACTTGACACGAGATATGCAAATCTTTTCATCCCCACTCACTGGATTGTTAATGACAATACTTCTTTTGACGCAATGGTTTAAGTCGGAGAATACACTCGAAAGTGAGGATTCTTAATTTACGAATTCACTCGGCGCTTTGTGCCTTGTGAATTCTTAAATTACGAATCCACACTTTCTCGTGTATTCTCCTTAACAGAGTCCCCACAGTCAGGGCAAAAAATATCATGCAGCCGAAGCCCGAATCAAAGCCATGGTTTGAAACTCACAATGCAACCAACCCAATCACACAAAAGTTCTTGACCTTTTTCTAGGTCAAGTGATTACTCCACAGTGTGAATGAGTTGTCAAGTGAAGTATGCTTGAGGGGAAGAGGGGTAATTTATCTGTTCCAATGAGTGCTGATCTGACACTAGCAGAGTACTTTGTTGACATCGAGTCCGCAGCAGTACCAACCGGTATCAACCAGTACCAATCGGTACCATGCACCAGACCAACTGGTACCAACCAGTACCGACCGGTACTATGCACCAGTACCAACTAGTACCAGACAGTACCGACCGGTACCATGCACCAGTACCAACTGGTACCAACCGGTATGCCAAGCAACTCTGAACAGCGTCAGTTAGCTGACCCAAATATTGCGATTATAGAGATAAATGTAGTCTTAAAAAAATGAGAAAACAAAGGAGGGAACAAGAAAATGAAGAGAATATTGTGCTGTTCTTTTAATGTATATTTTACAGTAGAAGCTGCCAGCAATTGGCACAAAATGCGAACATAAACTGTATGCATTAACACTTATATAATAGTTTTTGAAAAAATACAATCAAATGACGTCTTTTATTTAGTCATTTAATTTACTTTTGGGCAATTCTCAGGCTTGTCTATTTATTTTTCAGCGTTGTTTAATTGTATGCCTGAAAATAAATAAATAAATGTTGCACCACAGACTTCAAAAACAAAAAGGTCACGGCCGGTGATTTTTTGCATAGTAACTGCTTGACCTGCTCTAGAAAAATGTAAACAGCAATTTGTCAAATGGTTTCCAGCAATCCCCCCCTTCAATTTTGCCTGGCAATGTCCATGAATGAGGCATCACAAGACAGAACACAGTATCTGAAGATTCTTTCAAAATCTGTCCTCTACCATAAACCTTGACTGACCTACAACGCAGGAATAAATCAAACGGAAAGAGTACATCCAATAAGATTGAGAGCCTTATACCTCGACGTTAAGAGATTGGACCGTGCCTTAAAGTAGCAACATGGGACAATTACACACTACGTCTCGATGTTATTACTGATGAATGGTTTGTCAACTAGGTGTAGACTTGGTGTCGTTCGAAGGCGTGATTACAACTAAAGTGGCAAGATGAGGCAAAAATCATTCACCCTATAAGCCACCGAGATCCTTCAAAATCCATATGTGATGCGATCAAGCTAAATGAGTCATTTGTCGGGAACTTTCATTTGGAGATTCAGGCCAAAATAAGGCCACTTTAACACATCACTTCATCGCATCTCTTGGTGCTCCGACTTCCATAATTTTTGACTAAATATGGTACAAGCATGAGGTTTTCACAGTAGTAATGCTGAGATTGTGCTCTTTTCAAATCTGTAAAAAAAATACCAGGGTCGACAAATGACTCATTTAGCTTGATCATAATACATGCATAGAGATTTTCATAATTTGTTAGGTTGTTTTTGGCAGCATTGCAGGCAGAGATAGGTCACTGCTACTTTACATGGGGTTTGATGCACCTTGTAACTAGGTAGGTACAAAGAGTGTGCCATTGGGTTCCTGTACAGTGGAGGATTTTGGAGGATTCAGGGAGGTAGATCCCAACCACTGTTACTTTACATGGGGCTTGATGATTCTACTTGAAACTTGGTAGGTACAAAGAGGTGTGTCATTGGGTTCCTGCACAGTGGAGGATTGGAGGATTGAGGAAGGTAGATCCCAGCAACTATTACTTTACATAAGGCTTGATACACCTTGAAACTTGGTAGGTACAAAGAGTGTATCGAATGGGATCCTGGACAGTGGAGGATTTTGGAGGATTGAGGAAGGTACCGGTAGATCCCAACCACTGTTACTTTACATGGGGCTTGATGATTCTACTTGAAACTTGGTAGGTACAAAGAGTGTGTTGAATGGGATCCTGCACAGTGGAGGATTTTAGAGGTTTGAGGGAGGTGGAGCTAAGTCACTGTTACTTTGGATGGGTCATGATGATGCTACTTAAAACTTGGTAGGCACAAAGAGTGTGCCAAATGGGTTCTGGCCTGCACAGTGGAGGATTTTGGAGGATAGAGGAAGGCAGAGCTAGGCTGCTGTTACTTTACATGGGGCTTGATGATGGTACCTTGGCGTTTACAAAGAGTTCATACAGTTCCTAGGCTGCTGGAAAAAAAAATCGCTGTATTTTTAAATTTCTAAAGAAACACTAGATTATCTTATTTGTAAAAAGTTTCTTGTCGTGCTTGCTGGAAAGAAATTTCTGATTTTAAGAAACAAGACAAGGCCAGCCTAATACAGCTGGTTCCCGTACACACAAAATGCTATTCAATGGATTCAGATTTGCTGTTCATTGGAAGGATTTCATGCGTCTGTGTACACAATGGGAAAAATTCATCCGTACAAGGTAATCCTATATGACAGCACTGCCCGGTCAGTCAGTAAGTCCCTCAGATAGATTCAAAGACGACACTAGGCAGACCTCTGGGACTAGTAACAACCACTTAAAATGGATCCTCTAAAAAAGGACGAGATTACATTCATTCATTCATTCAGTTGCGGCTTTAAGTCATAAATCCTGCGTTAAAAGCTTCGCAAGGCTGATTTTAAGTGCTATGACTACTGCAAGATGCCTGTGTCAGGACGGTTAATCAGTGCAACGTGCCGTTACCATGGCAACACAGATTCACTCAACCAATGCAGATTTGCTGTACAGTGATACTGCCTCTTAGCGAAATTGACGGCCGGAATTTTCCGGTAGACGTTCCAATTACCACTAAGGGCATGCTTGTCAGCGGGTCTACTGTTGATTAAGTACTCTTTTTGCAGAATTTGATCAATTATGTCCAGGCCTATAGATTGTCGCGGTCCGTGTTTATTGGCTAAGGAGATGGATTTGTTTTCACTAGGTACAGAAATCAAACGCCAACAAAAGCAGTGACACTAGGGTACAAGCAGGATTTCCAGCAGACTTTTTAAAGCAATGATATTTTGCCCCCACCTACACACACAAAACAAACACGTTTGGTTTACATACCTAGTGTGGACATTCCTTTGTTTTCATGTAGTTAAGAAAAACCAGTGCAAAAATTCATTTTTCTCAAACTGTGAAAACTCTTTCAACCCCAATTTTTTTCTATGATTCCCTTTTAGTGTTTCTCTTCATTTTGCCACAAATAAACCTAACCCCCAAATGCCTCTAAACCTGTTTTGGGAGAAACACTGTGTGGACGTGGGCAAGTCCACACAGCGTCGCTGCTACCTGGTTTATGAGGACATCTTTTGTTAGGAAGTCCACACAGTGAATGTAATGCTCGTCCATAATTACATACAACCCTGCTTAGCTCAAAAACTATGCTTAAGTCAAATTCTGAACCTGTTCCCTTGAGGTTTGTCATATCAAGATTTCACTGTAATTAAATTATTGTGTTCAGATTCCCATTTGCTGTAAAACAATGAATCAAGATCAAACCAAACAGGAATAAAATCAAACTCATTCCAAAAATGTTGAAGTGCCCTCTTCGCTGTACATCCTTCACAAAACATTTCATGTAAAGGGGATATATTTATTTATGAGTGCTTCAAATTCAAGCACTTTGTTATGAAAGACAGATTGGACATTATATTAAACCAAAAGTTGAGTTGCCCTCCCCGTTATACGCCTCAAAGTGTTTACATATTTTGTGCACATTAAAGATATAGTCCATCATTTGTAATTTGTGCATTTTGTTCGTTTGAACGACACAAGAGTGTTCAAAATCTAATGAAGGATACTGAACAACTAACCTGATGAACTTTCAGCTAAGCTTCAGCTGTATATTCGGAGAAAAACAGCATTCTAGGATCTCAATTTCAAATCAAAAGTTACTGAATCATGTTTTGAATTGTTTTGAATTGCAGCTATACGCGACATCGCGCACTGATCCGAGAAATTATAGCAACCGCACGCGCGTGTGCATCGTGCCAATGCTTGTGCGCGCTTCACCGAATAACAAAACGAACTACTAATTTAAATTTTCCTACGGTGCATCTTAAGACGCACCGTTGGAAAGGTCTTCTTTCATTAATTACTTCAAAATGACAACTTCCCAGAAAGAATAATTTCACAGGGAGTTTAGTTCCCTTACTATCTTTCAACCAAGTTTGTTTTTCAACAATAATTACGCCAGTAACTTTTCGGATGGCTGCAAATGATGGACCATAGCTTTAGCAAAAACTATTAATCAAGCAAGTGAAATGATGGGAGCAGAGAGTAAAAATGACAAATAGTATCACTCGCTAATACTTCAAGTACATCAGTCTAGAAGCTCCGCAAACAATAAACCTAATGCATCTTCCCTTGAGAGTTGGCACTCGAGGACGCTGCTTCCATCTAATGAGCTAATGTATTTACATGTACATGGGCCGTGAGGGATCCATTTGCATTCTGTGACGCCCTTCCGGAAAGTTACATTTTAACAAATAAGGATTTTTTTTTTCGGCGTGGGCTGATTTGAGAAATCAATCACCGTGACTTGGCAAAAGCTACTGATCAGGGGAGATATGCACGTTGCGAGGAGCTCTCTGTTTGATACGCAGCTCTCTGATGGTCCAGAAGTATTTGCTTGCTCGGGATGTTTCGAAACAGATTTCAAATTTTGAAGCTGCACTTGATTGTGCTTTCCAGATGTTTCCTTGGCTACAGGAAATAATGACTGATTAGGCAAGAGCTAACGGTGACTAAAGTGCGTCGTTCTGGATTTCTCTGCACAGTTACAGAGGTATTTATGTGCTCGGTGTGCTTCGCTGCTTGTCAACAATTCAGACTTTGTAAGCCCAGCTTGTTTCTTCGGCGGCACAAAACAACCAGAGTATTAACAGCACGGAGCATCCGCAGGGAACAGTTAATCCTTTTTCCAGTTTCCTTGGCAACAGAAAATAACGACTGATAAAGGCAAGAGCTACTAACGGCAACTAAGTATTTGCGTGCTCGGTGTGCTTCGTCACTTGTCAACAATTCAGACTTTGTAAGCACGTCTTGAATTTTTCTGTAAGGTTGATTCGATGGCAGCACAAAATAACCAGAGTTTTAACAACACAGAGTATTTCCAGGGAACGGTGAATCCTTTTCCAGGTTGGTTATCGATTCTGCTCTTGTGCTGTGCCGTTGTTGGATTTCTGAGTAACATTTTGGTGTGTGTCACCGTGCTCAAAAGCAAATTCCTTCATGATATCACTCATTATCTGATTTTGAATCTCGCCGTGTCCGACGGACTATGCTGCTTCATGTTTGCCATCAACACCTTGTTGGATTTGCTCAACTATCCGGACGCCATCTCGAGTGAGATCGGGAAACGAGTCTACTGCCACCTCATGCACAGCGATTACTTGTTTCACTCGTTTGCCTACATCTCAGCGTACAGTCTCGTCCTGGTTGCGTTGGAACGGTTTGTCGGCATTGTGTACCCGCTCCGATACGTCTGCATCTGCACTAAACGCGTCATTTGGTTTTCCGTATGTCTCGCGTGGGTTATGGGGCTCTGCGCTTACATGATCCACCTCGTTGGGGTACGATATGAACCATCCGGTGTTACTTATAATGACAGGTGTGTGCTGAATTACCACTCCTGGCAGTGGCACTTTCTACCGTTCATCGTCGGGTTTGTACTACCCCTGATCGTCATGCTGTGGGCGTACGTTCGCATCATCCGCACACTCAAGCAGAGCAGTCGCAATCGAGACACTATGGCCCAGGTACTGGAATCGCGGACCGCGACAAAACGCGTAATCCATCTGATGCTGATAGTGACGATCACCTACGGAATCCTCTACATACCAACCCAGCCAGCTTACATGATCACCATCATAATCTACCAGCAGCATGCGGAGTTTGGAATGCTGCTAACTGATCTGCTGAGCAAGGTACCGGTACTGTTCAACTCTATCATCAATCCCTTCATCTACGCGTACAAATACAAGAAGTTCCGCAAGGGGCTGCGAAACATGGCGTGCAGATGGTGCCGAAACTCAATTAATGTGGATGATTCTGTGCGTTACGACAGACAAAACTCAGGCCCAGCTCTGACGTTTCGACTTCAAAACATCGAAAGTCAGCACGGCCATCCCAGTGTTAAGCAGACTATTCAAGCAAAAATTGAAACATGAGAAAACAAAATTTGTCCTATTTTTCTCTTCTCAAAGTCCAACATAAAGCCCCAATCACACATTCACGGCTGGCACTACAAATATCCACGGTTTACCAAGAATCAATCCATCACGATGAACCGGCGTCCAGATTCGTGGAGAAATCGACATTTTAAGAATGCACTACGGTTTCAGGACGGATAGCCACGACTGCCCTAAGGTTTCTCTACATCACGGTTTGTCAAGAATATAGATGGATGGTTGAAGAATATCGACGGTATCACTAAGAATTATGACGTTAACGCCACGGTTGTCTGCGATTGGGCCATGGATGACCAAGGTTCTCCTACGAATATAGCATACATATTCGCAGTACAACCTTAGCAAAATCCTGGCATATCCGGGCATATCCGTAGGACATTCGTAGCGAATTCGTACAGATTTCTACCACGAATGAGCTACGAATCTCCAAGAATATGTTAGAATAGCCACGAATAACACTACGAATTAGTACGGTTGTCCTACGGATGCCCCACGGTTGCACTACGGATTGATTTTCCTGACGATTCACCACGGAAGTTTGGAACAGTTTAAAACTTCCGCAGCCCCTCCACGAATACCCAAGGAAGATGACGGATAATCACGGAGGTACTAAAAATGAATACGGTACTAGCTTCCACGGTTTTATCACAAATGTTAAATCGTGGATATCTGTAGCTCCAAACCGTGACTGGGGCTTTACAGTGTTCTTCATGGGGTTGTTTTTGAGTACTTGACATTTTACAAACAGACAGGCAATTCCACGCAAAAGTGGAAAGTGGAAACTGTAAGAAATCTTCCAAACTACAAGCATCACAACATCAAATGTGGTGTCAAATTAAAGGGGACAACAAGATCTTTTATTTGAGCAGTGTGCCAATGAGATGGAAAGTAGTGAAGTGTGAGTTTGGGTCCAAAAACTGTTTTTGGGGCTAAAATCATGGATTTTTGGTAGTTATTTTGGCACCTTGGTTTAAGATTAACATTTTGACTGTTATTAAGAGGTTTTGTGTTGAAGGCAGAAAGAAAGGTTCATATATTATAAGAAGAGAGTTTCATGATGTTGCAGTTCATCGAACTCAGATTTTATGCCATGTTTGAAACCATGAAGAGAAAGTAACATGATGACGTAACTGAAAAACCGTGACGTAAGGTGAAAAAGTATGCTTTTCAACAGTAATTTGGGACAATGTAAATAATGATTGAAGTTGTACAGAGGTGAAGTTATGGTAGAACATTTTAGTCCAAACAAATTACATTCTAAAACCTGGTGACAGATCCAAATGGACTTTTGGACAAACTGTTGACAGGTTGTTTTTGTCCGCGTAGCTTTTGTGTCTACTTTTATGTGTGGCAAAATAAATTCAAACCTTCAAGGGAGATTCAGTTGACTTCAATTCATCCCTTGGTGGCCTTTTCAATCAAATTTATTTTAGATGGCACAAACTAACCTCCAACACATGTTACAGACACAGCAACCTTAATTTGTTTCTGAAAAAAACCCAAAATTTGTGAGCAATTTGAAAAAAGGCTCCCATACAGCAATAAAGCATTGTCAGGCCAGCGTTGATTTACGACCAAGTTAATCGAATCGCATCCAATATTGAAAATGAGTTTGTTTCAAGCCGGTCTGTCAATAACAATGATAAAAGAAAGCATTGTCAGGCCAGCGTTGATTACGACCAAGTTAATCGAATCGCATCCAATATTGAAAATGAGTTTCTTTCAGGCCTGTCTGTCAATAAAAATGATAAAAGAAAGCATTGTCAGGCCAGTGTTGATTACGACCAAGTTAATCGAATCGCATCCAATATTGAAAATTAGTTTCTTTCAAGCCTGTCTGTCAATAACAATCATGCTTGACAGGCCTTTGTCACGAGACAATTAAACTGACTTCAGTCATTGTGTTTTTGACACGAATCACTTCGCATTTTCTGTACCACACGGCTCACTTTAATCAGCTTTCATTGGTTTGCAAAATCATCGTATGCTTTCATATCTAGTTAAAAAGACACGTACATAGAGCGTCGCTAGGATATCATCACCCTCTTTCGACTGCTCCGCAGGCAACCACAAATTTGGTCCCATGACTACGGTCGCCAGGATGTACCGGGTAGACTTGACTGATTTACTTGATGGGACTCTACATTAATGACTTGCATGCTTTTGCCGTCTTTTCTACTGAAAGAAGCGCTATCTTTTATTGTTTGACTTTTAATTTATTTCCAATTTGTACTGGTACTAAGAGTGCCGGTAATGGAAGACCCGCCTCATATAACCTTTATAAGGGATGTGTGTAGCAGGATCCATGCATATCTGACCATCAAAATTAGATGTTTTTTGAGGGGTAGAATTTAACATTCACAGCCACAAGTGGTTAGCGCATTCAGCGCTCTTTGACTGATTTGGTTTAAAAATGACCTGCTGCCTATAATTGAGAACTCGTTGGAGATTGCTGCTAAATCCGAAGGATGATATATGAGGTGTCTACCTACTTATTTCTTGGGAGCGGCACACATCGCATGCATCTGATTACACAGCCTCTTCTACGAACATCTGTATGGATAAGACTCCTTACCACTTCTAACGATATGTAACGACTCAGATTTACAACTTCAAAGGTAAAGGTAAAGGGGGCGAACCTGTGTTAACAGGAACGGAGTGCCCATCTCTCTTTCGTTAGCGATTGGGCCAGACTCATACGCTGCTGTGGGGGGATCGCCACACCTCCTCCACAGCGAGTCTGTTACCTTTCAGCATTGAACAATGCCGGTACCCATTTAACACCTGGGTTGACAGGAGTAATGAGGTAAAGCGCCTTACTCAAGGGCATAAGACGCATGGCCACGGCGGGGCTCGAACCCACAACCTCATGATCATGAATCCTGAGCTCCACCGCTAGACCACATGCGCCCACGACTTTACTCAATCTTCTAAGCTTCAAAACTTCAAGGAGTCAGCATGGAAGTGGGGGATAATCACACTTTAGGCAACTGCTGCAGTAATGGAACAATTGACAATGCAACATCGGGGAGGTTTATCCCCCATGGTTATCGGTCCTACTTGTTTTGTTCGCTCTGGTTGGGCTTCTGAGTAACATCGTAGTGATTGTCACCATCTTCAAGTCCAGATTCCTCCACGATGTCACTCATTACCTCATCCTGAATCTGGCCGTCTCCGACGGTCTCTGCTGCTTCATGTTTGGCCTGGAGATGTTCATGGATCTACTCAATTACCCCAACAACCGCACTGGTCCAATCGCTGAAATACTCTACTGCCGGCTCGTCCACGGTAACTACTTATTTCAGTCCTTCGCCTACGTTTCAGCTTACAATCTTGTCACCATATCTCTCGAGCGATATGTAGGCATCGTCAAACCGCTACGATATGTCAAAGTCTGTCACAAAAGTAACATCAGATGCGCTGTATGCTTAGCATGGATGCTGGGCTTCTGTGCCTACACTGTCCACCTTTTCGGTCTCATCTACGACCCATCTGAAGCAACTTTTGCAAAGAGATGTCGACTTTTCCACGACTGGCAATGGCATTTTGTGCCATTCGTGGGTGGTTTCGTCATCCCTCTGCTAACAATGATGTGGGCTTACTCTCGTATTGTCAAAGCGCTGAAAGAAAGCGCCCTCAGGCAACAAGTCTCGCACCAAGCCAGAGCAACGCAAGAGGCAACCAAGCGCGTGGTTCACATGATGCTGCTCGTCACCGTAGCGTACGTGATCCTCTACATCCCGACCCAACCAGCCTACATGATCATCGTCAGCATCAAACTAGGACACTTCGAACTGACGCCCCTAGGAATTCTCCTGACGGACCTCATCAGTAAACTCCCCGTCTTGCTCAACTCTTTCATCAATCCCTTCATCTACGCGTTCAAATATAAAAAGTTCCGCAAGGGGCTACGCGAGATTCTGTGCGGACGACAAAGAAACGGTCTAGTGCATGCAGGGGGTAAGAAAAGTGAACAATCTATCCACACTGTGGATATTTAACTTTAACTCCTTAGACATTTTTTTGCTAGGATGTAGCCTCAATCCTGCAAAATCCTCCAATTAGCCTCATGGCAAAATAGCATATGGGTTACTCCATGAAGTTCGGGCAAAAAGTGTGACATTGGGTCAAAGTTCCCAAATGTTGATCTGAATATTGTTCTTGATAGCTCAACTACTATATTTTATAGGAAATAGTATGCTTTTTCCCCAAAACATAAAACTGAATTTGTGGTTGATCTTTATATTCATGATGGGAAATTCAAAATACCTATGCTACATGGACACCAAATCTAAACAATTGCTCTGAACATTTTTGAATGGGTTAGGTTATTTGTCAGTTTTCTTGTTGTTTAAGATTAACTTTTAGGGTATAATCAAAGGAAAAAAACAAATGGTTCAGCAGATGCTCAAAATAAGTTGATACAACCCATTGTAAATTGAGGCTTTTAGTGTAATTTTGACAAACTTGTGCTTGTTTGGAAAAAGTAACCAAATCAGCTAGAAGAGATCTAAAATAGCATTTATGAGTAAAAGTTTGACTTAAATGACACAGTCAGTGAACCACCTTTCTAAAATGATGTTCAAAATGTATGTCTTTGCTCGTCGTGCTGAGAAATATGGCTGACAATGTGTCAATTTTACCTATGCTACATGGACACCGTGTCTTGTAAATAGGTAGAAAACAGCACAATTTATCCAGTTGTAATGGTTGTGTTGATTATATTTGTTCTTCTATAATGACCCCTTTCTCTGGTTGTTTATTCACTACAAACCTTGCATTTACTTTGTTATTTATTCATGTGACTTGAGTGAAGTCTACTCAGTGTGACTCGAGACAAGGCTATACAAAGTATTGATTTTTCTAGTGGAGCCAAAAATAGTATTGATTTATGGAGCTGTGATTTTGAACTTGTATTTTGTGAATATTTCTTAGTCAAGGAAAATGAACATTATGTTTAGATTTTAAAGAAGAATTATGCTTATCTTGATTAGAAATGTGTATTATCAAATTATTTGTCATCATAGGTTTGGCTTTAGATCACTTTTGTGGATTGTTCACTTGACGTGAACTGCACGTTGTTAATTCACAGCTCCCAAACCATGCGGTCGCGGCAAGGCATAGGCTAGGCAGTGCCTGCCCGATCTTTACAGGTAAATGTATTGTACTTTTTTAGGTCATTTTTGAATGCAATTATTTCACCAAAAATCCAGATGATTATTACTTATGTGCCCTTTATTGTATCAGCAAATTATTATAGATTAATATGGTGGTAGTTTTGGAGAATGTAATGAAGTTTTTGGAGAGATTTTTGCTGTAAGATTTAGGGAGCACTGTGACCAAATGCACGAGGGTTAGCAACCCATGTTTGCACTGATGGCACACACAGTGTGACCATGTGCAGTGCGCGTGCGTGAGCAGTACATGTATTGTGATATGTAACTTACAGTAGTTTGTGGTTTAAGAGTGATTTTATTTGGACGTAGGCCTATATTGCATTATTGGGCACTTAATTGTCTGGAGACCAGTTTATAGAAATGCTTACAACTGTCACTGTCATATAGTTTTGGAAAGTTCATGTAAGTTGGTGATCATATTGTGCATTTTAGGGACGGATGTGGGTGCTTGCGGTGTGTGATAGTGTGTGCGAGTGTTGGTCAGTCAGTGCGCAGGGCCGGCCTGTCTGTTTGTGATTCCATCCTTGGGTGCTCGATGCGGTCACCATACTTGCATATAGGCTTTTCACTCTTGGTAATTAACTGGGTAATGTGTGTACATCTTTATAATACATGTACGCTTATTATTTCATGAGTTACACATGTACATTGTTTGTATTTTGAAATGAAACTTATGAGTGCCTGCCCGATCTTTACAGGTGGCCCCACCTGGGCCGATTCAGTTTGAATAAACAATCAGAGCAAGGGAGATCCAGTTTCGGTGTGAGCACTCACTCCAACAAAGAACCTGCGTGCCCCCCTCTTCCCTTACTCCAGAACCAGACCAGAGCCCCCCTTCCCTGAAGTCCCCGCGCTAGAAGGCCCCCCTCACAAGCGTAGTCGGCAGGATGGTTGGAGTTGAGCCCATGCTGAGCACCTGATAAGACTGAGGAGAGCTGCTGGATCCCCGGTCTACGTGTCATCGCGACTCAAGTATTAGTATTTTTGTTGTAATAGTTATATTCACTGATCTGAGTGAGTTATTGTTTTCTGTATGGAGTAACAATCAAACAGCTTAACGAATCGTTAATTGATCATACATAAGGTGACTGTGTAATTCAAGTGTTAATAATTTTGTGTAAGTAACTGCCAAATTACACAGGCCTACAATTGCTGTGTAATCCCAAGTGTTCTTTATCACTGAGTGTTAAGTTTGCTGGTTTAGTTTTGAATTAAGGTGCACAGTGCACATCCAGTGTGATTCAAGTATTAATAATTTTGTGTATTAACTGCCAAAATACACAGACCTACAGGTGTTGTGTACGCCCAAGTTTTCTATATTGGCTGACTGCTAAAATTGTTTGTTATTGTGTTTACCTAACTTTAGAGTTGCACATCATATTTACGAGAGAAAAGTTAGCTAAGTGTGTTAGCTTGGTTTTGTGTCGATTGCTTGTGTACTGCCCATTTTGCATCTCATAAGGGTGTTCAGTCTGCTTATTGGGATTGAAAGATAAGGAAAGTTTATTTTAATTTTGCAAATTGTAAGACACAGACACAACATTTTTTGGTGTTTATTGCAGTATAAAAAAAAAAAGGTGTTTATTGAAGTTGGATATCAATTATTTCAAGTGTTACCCGTATTGCTGTAAAAGTTGCCCTGTCTGTTAAGATTGACAAGGAGAAACAAAACTTTACTTGCATTTTGCAAATTTTAAGATCTTGCAAATTTTAAGACATTGATACAACTTGTTCTGCAGGTTATTTTAAAGGTGTTGACATAGTTTTCCACATTTGTGTGTGTATACCATTGTTGTGGAAATTGACACAGACTTTTGCACTAATTGTGATTTGTATTTTTCTGCAAACTACCATTCAGTCAATCGTTCTACATTTTTCATTGTAGAGAATTGCATATTTTGCAGTATTTTTCCCCTTCCCAACTATTATGGCCTCCTACGTCAAGGTGCAAGGGACTGGGCATGTAAATCGGTTCCCTTTGGATGATGCTGGCTCCCTCAACCTGGCAGTCCTACAAGCCCAGTATCCTACTGCTAGAGGACTTCTTTACTCCGAAGACGACTGCAAAGTGGTGGTGCCGGCTCAACAGGGTATTATCAAACCACCGGCTGATGGGTGGAGTGAGCGCCTCTATTCGGTTCTCCTTCCGGAGCCAACTACCCCTCCTACAAATGAGAAGGCGATCCTCGACATCCAGTCTCAGCTTATGAAGCTGCTCCTTAAACCCCAGACCCAGTTGGTGATGGCGCCTGAAAGGAAGATGTCAACATTCGAAGGCAAAGTAGGCGAGGTGAGGGAATTCATCACGAACATGGAGAATGCTTTCAAGCGGTATTCAGTTCCAGAGGATCAGCAAGGAGCATTTCTTCTGGATTACCTCCGAGGTGGCCCGAAAGCAGAGGTGAAGGCTCTCTTAGCTGAACGAAAGACGATTGGGGAGATCATGACGTTTCTGCGAGAATCTTACCGTGATAAGCTACCCGTGGGTGAATTGCAACGGCTGTTCCTTGAAAGAAGACAGAATCCAGGGGAGCCTATCCGAGACTACGCGGTTGATCTTGAGAAGCGCTTCTTGCGTCTCACCCGAATGGATGCTAAGCTGTATTCTAAGCCCGACTCAACTCTTGCTGAACAATTCATCGAGGGAATTGATGACTTGTACCTTCGCAATTCCTGTCGGGATCTGTACGAACGGGGTACCATCGAGACGTTCCGTGAGCTGAGGGAGTACGCCATCAAGCGGCAAGGGCGAGAGGAATCCCGAAGCAAACCCAGCGACGTGTACAGTGCGGCTATCCAAACGTCAGCACTTCGAGCGGTTGCCAACGAAGTTGTTGATGCAGTTCGTCAATTGACGCAACCATCCTCTGGCCAAGCCCCGATGACATCCGCAAATCCGCCAACCTACCCCCGTGGGCGAGGATGTTTTAACTGTGGCAGGCACGGCCACATAGCTCGCTTTTGTAGAAGTGATCGAAGATCGGCCTACCAGTGGAGGAGCGATAACACTTACTCCCGCCAGCCAATGCCAAACTACGTGGAGTCGCCTGCCCAGAATCAGATGCCAACCCACCACACGCAGCAGTACATGATGCCACCATATCCCCAGAGCTTTGGTCCTAATCCTCACCCATTTATGCCCAAGGAAGAACAGCAGATGGCAGCACCATCCCACACAGAGGCGTTAAACCGCAATCCTCCGCTGTAGGGAGCCGTACCGTGGAGATTAATGTAGGCTCAATTGGAGAGACTACTCCAGAATTTATGCAGAAGGCTGTTGGAGAATGTTTTGCTGTTGATGTTTTATTTTCGAAAGTTAAAGTGACTTGTCTGTTGGATCCAGGATCCCAAGTCACCACTGTGGGGGAACGATTCTTCAGTCAGTGTCTCGAACCTGTGGGCTTCAAACTTCAAGCCATACCGGAACCATTCACACTTGTGTCTGCTAATGGTTCTTCTATCCCCTACATTGGGTGTTTTGAAACAGATGTTGAAGCCGTCGGACTGGTCATCCCATCTCGGGTGGTGCTTGTAATCTGTGAGAGGTACTCTTCACTAAATGCTTGGAAAAGCGGGAGTGTGTATGGTATTCTAGGTATGAATGTTCTCCAGGGTTGCTGGGAGGGGCTCATGTCTACCCAACAACATTCCCGACTGAAAAGGATCCCATGGCCAACTCCAGATCCAGTTTGGCAGAAGGCAATGCAGACGGTTAATCGGCGGTTGACATTTGGTGCAGAGGATGGACAAGTGGGACAGGCACGGTTATGTGGACAGCCCTTGGTGCTTTCTGCCCGCCAGGGAGTGGTGGTTGAAGCCAGAAGTCGGACAGGCCCAGCTGACGAGGCATATGAGGCCGTTCTGGAGCCAACCAGTGATGGAGGTCTACCATCGGGTGTCATTATCCCACCATGCCTGGTGAAAGTAGACAGTGGGAGGTTTCCTGTTGTCTTGTACAACGAAACAGACGCTGAGGTCGTAATACCATCGTCAACCTCACTGGGAAAGCTCTACCTGGGGTATTCTGTGTCGTGTAAGGATGGCCACAAAGAAAAGGAAAACTCAAAAGTGGAGATCAAACAGGAGACGGTAGCTGTCGAAGTGCAGCCAAGCTCAATGCCTTTAGCAGTAGATGTCGATGTGGCGGTCCTGGAAGATGAACAGAAAGCAAAGGTGGCATCTCTCCTGAGAAAGCATGAGAACGCTTTTTCGTGTAATGACCAAGACTTCGGTTTTGCGGATAAAATTACGCATCGCATTAGCACCGGGTCTGCACATCCCATTCGACAACGGCACCGACCTCTACCACCCTCACAATACAGAGCAGTACGTGAACACATTCAGGACCTACTCAAGAAGCAGATTATCCGGGAGAGCTCAAGCCCATGGGCATCTCCTGTGGTTATTGTTCAAAAGAAGGATGCCAGTATCCGGCTATGCGTTGACTATCGGCAACTTAATCGACTCACTCATCGGGACTCATTCCCGCTCCCTAGGATCGAGGAGTCCCTACAGGCCCTAGGTGGGGCCAAGTTTTTCACTGTTCTGGACCTCACCAGTGGTTACTACCAAGTCGCCATGCATCCAGATGACATCGAGAAAACTGCCTTCACTGTTCCTTTCGGCCTATTTGAGTATACGAGGATGCCCTTTGGCTTATCAAATGCTCCGGCTACATTCCAACGTCTCATGCAGAGGTGCCTTGGGGACCAGTGCTTTGACAATGTCCTAATCTATCTTGACGACATCATTGTTTACTCCTCCGATTTTGACTCGCATTTGGCGCACCTTGACAGGGTTTTCACCAGGCTTCGGGAACAGGGGCTTAAACTCAAGCCGGCAAAGTGCCACCTTCTTCAGCAAGAGGTGCGCTACTTGGGACATCTGGTCTCGAGCAAGGGAGTAGCAGTGGACCCGGAGAAGATAGAAGTTGTTGTTGATTGGCCGGAGCCTAAGACTGTGAGGGATGTACGGGCGTTTCTTGGTTTCACTGGATTTTTCCGGCGTTTCATTGAGGGTTACGCCTCCATTGCAGAGCCACTTTTTCAGCACTTGAAGGGTGACCGAGCAACAAAGAAGAAGAAGAATAGGCCAACCAGAGATGAGATCGAACTAGGGTCTTCTGGCCAGGCTGCCTTCAGGTCGCTCATTGATCGGCTAACCAAAGCCCCGATTCTTTCATATGCCAACTTCTCTAGACCATTTCGGGTTGAGACAGATGCCAGCGGCACCGGCTTGGGAGCCATTCTCTTCCAGGAGGATGATGATGCTCGACTTCATGTTGTGGCCTACGCTTCGCGCACACTGAAGGCAGCTGAACGAAGTGGTCGTTACAGCGCTTTCAAGTTGGAGTTGTTGGCCATTAAATGGGCGGTGACCGAGGTCTTCAAAGACTATCTCTTGGGTAACAAGTGTTGCATCGTGACCGACCATCACCCGTTGCTGTTTCTGGACAAGGCCAATTTGGGATGCACCGAAATGCGGTGGGTCCAGCAACTCAGCTCATTCGAGTATGAGCTTGTCTACCGACCAGGCAAATGCAACCAGGCACCTGATGCCCTCTCACGGCGATGTAATTCCCAAAATGAAGCTAACGTTGATCAGGAGAACCAGAACCTATGTGAGCCAGTCGAACCCATGGTGATGTTGTCAAGTTGCATTTCAGCTTGTCTCACAGGCTACACCTCTGGTGCATTTCTGCCACCGGCTTTGTGTCACCACATTGAAGCCTGTCGTATTGGCGGCATCAGCTGTTTACCAGGATACACTCTCATGCAACTACACAATTTACAACAAGAAGACCCTACCCTGGGGAAAGTCATGAAGTTTGTTGCAAGGGGACAGAAGCCAGACAGGCAGGAGCGAATGGGTTGTCCTCGTGATGTTCTCCAGCTGCTGAGAAATTGGGATCGGCTCTTTGTCCGAGACAGCTGTCTGTACCGAAAGGTGATATCTCCGTCCAATAAGCAACCTTGCTTTCAGCTGCTGCTTCCTACCAGTCTTCGTGATGAAGCCCTCCGCAGGTTCCACGATGAGTCTGGCCACTTTGGGTCAAAGCGCACATTTCACCTTCTCTGGACAAGATTCCATTGGCACAACATGTATAAGGCCGTGAAAGAATGGTGTTCCAAGTGTCGGCGTTGCGCTGTAAGCAAACCCCCTGTACGTCAGACAAGACCCCCATTCGCCACCCTATCTGCATCGGCCCCGATGGAGGTTGTTGCCATGGATTTTACAACCCTTGAGGCATTGGATGGTGGTTTCGAGAATGTACTTGTCGTGACTGATGTCCACACAAAGTATGTGTGGGCCATACCAACAAAGGACCAGCGGGCCCCCTCTGTTGCACGAGCTCTGGTACAACATGTATTTCTTCCTTTTGGCTGTCCCCTCCGCCTCCACTCAGACCAGGGCAGGAACTTTGAGTCCAACGTCGTCCGTGAGCTTTGTAATTTGTATGGTATTCAACGGAGTCACACTACCCCGTACCACCCTGCCGGAAATGGACAGTGTGAGAGATTCAACAGAACCTTACACAACATGCTTGCTGCCCTGCCTGAGAAGAAGAAGAAAAAGTGGCCAGAGTATCTGCCTGCGCTCGTATATGCCTACAACAATTCTAAGAATTCCACTACAGGGGTGGAGCCATTTTTCTTGATGTTCGGTAGGAATGGCCGTTTTCCACATGGCTTGGTCTTAGGCGTGGAAGCCTCCCCCAAGAGTGGTAGAACCCTTGGATCTTATGTCTCGAGACACCAGAAGGTCCTAAAGGAAGCTCGGAGAATTGCAAGTCGCAACACTGAACTTGCAGCGGCAGCTCGACAGGCCCGACAAGCTCGCCACAGTTTTGAGAAACCACTCGAAGTGGGCCATTATGTTCTGGTGCGCCAACATGGACTCAGAGGCCGATCCAAGATTGCAGATCATTGGCTCGACGAACCACACCTGGTAATCAAACGGCCATTCCCAGATCGCCCAGTGTATGTGGTGCGGAGCCACCTTGGTCAAGAAAGAGTCGTACACAGAACAGCGCTCAAACACTGTCCTTGGCTCCCTGAAAACCGACCTGTTGAGTCGTCATCAGACAGAGCAAGTGATTCTGAGACCGACTCTTCGTCCTGCCCCAGGGCCTATATGCTCCGTCCCCGTGCTACTACCATCAAGCCAGGTCAGCTGCCAATCGGTGTGGAAAATGCTCCTTCCTCCGATGAGTCTGATCGACCCCAACCACAGGTTAAAGAGGAGGAAGAGGTGGTACCAGAGGAGAGTCCCGAACCTTCAGCAGTAGATACTGCCCAGAATGGGTCTACTTCTGCAGCTCTGCCCAGGCGGTATCCTGTTCGGAGCACACGAGGAGTGTTGCCAGATCGTTTTTAGTAATTTGTTGCTATTTTGGAAAGCGTTTTCGCATTTTCTCTTGTTCGATTATTGATGCTGTGCATCCCCAAGGAGAGCTTAGTGGTCCACTGTTTGATCCAGGTTCTCTGGCCTTTGGTTACTGACCCTTCTGTTCAGATCCCCATCATCGAGGACGATGATGACTAGGCGTGGAAGAGTTGTAATGGTTGTGTTGATTATATTTGTTCTTCTATAATGACCCCTTTCTCTGGTTGTTTATTCACTACAAACCTTGCATTTACTTTGTTATTTATTCATGTGACTTGAGTGAAGTCTACTCAGTGTGACTCGAGACAAGGCTATACAAAGTATTGATTTTTCTAGTGGAGCCAAAAATAGTATTGATTTATGGAGCTGTGATTTTGAACTTGTATTTTGTGAATATTTCTTAGTCAAGGAAAATGAACATTATGTTTAGATTTTAAAGAAGAATTATGCTTATCTTGATTAGAAATGTGTATTATCAAATTATTTGTCATCATAGGTTTGGCTTTAGATCACTTTTGTGGATTGTTCACTTGACGTGAACTGCACGTTGTTAATTCACAGCTCCCAAACCATGCGGTCGCGGCAAGGCATAGGCTAGGCAGTGCCTGCCCGATCTTTACAGGTAAATGTATTGTACTTTTTTAGGTCATTTTTGAATGCAATTATTTCACCAAAAATCCAGATGATTATTACTTATGTGCCCTTTATTGTATCAGCAAATTATTATAGATTAATATGGTGGTAGTTTTGGAGAATGTAATGAAGTTTTTGGAGAGATTTTTGCTGTAAGATTTAGGGAGCACTGTGACCAAATGCACGAGGGTTAGCAACCCATGTTTGCACTGATGGCACACACAGTGTGACCATGTGCAGTGCGCGTGCGTGAGCAGTACATGTATTGTGATATGTAACTTACAGTAGTTTGTGGTTTAAGAGTGATTTTATTTGGACGTAGGCCTATATTGCATTATTGGGCACTTAATTGTCTGGAGACCAGTTTATAGAAATGCTTACAACTGTCACTGTCATATAGTTTTGGAAAGTTCATGTAAGTTGGTGATCATATTGTGCATTTTAGGGACGGATGTGGGTGCTTGCGGTGTGTGATAGTGTGTGCGAGTGTTGGTCAGTCAGTGCGCAGGGCCGGCCTGTCTGTTTGTGATTCCATCCTTGGGTGCTCGATGCGGTCACCATACTTGCATATAGGCTTTTCACTCTTGGTAATTAACTGGGTAATGTGTGTACATCTTTATAATACATGTACGCTTATTATTTCATGAGTTACACATGTACATTGTTTGTATTTTGAAATGAAACTTATGAGTGCCTGCCCGATCTTTACAGGTGGCCCCACCTGGGCCGATTCAGTTTGAATAAACAATCAGAGCAAGGGAGATCCAGTTTCGGTGTGAGCACTCACTCCAACAAAGAACCTGCGTGCCCCCCTCTTCCCTTACTCCAGAACCAGACCAGAGCCCCCCTTCCCTGAAGTCCCCGCGCTAGAAGGCCCCCCTCACACAGTACTTAACTGAAAATTAAGCAAAAAAAAATAACAGCGTTGCTGTTGAAACCCCTCAGCCAGAGTCAGGTTATCATCCGGGAACCATTAACATTTAACTCACCACGGTGACCTTGACCTTTGACCTTTTGACCCCAAAACCAATCCCAACTTGCCTACTCCCAAGGGCAACACCCTACCAAAGTTAGACATAAAAATCTTATTTCTAACTCAAGTTATCATCCGGAAACCATTTACCTTGAATTCACCATGCTGACCTTGACCTTTGACCTTGTGACCCCAAAACCAATCCCAACTTGCCTACTCCCAAGAGTAACCCTCTACAAAAGTTAGACCCCAAAATCTCATTTCTAACTCAATTATCATCCTGTAACCATTTATCTTTAACTCACCATGGTGACCTTGACCTTTGACCTTTTGACCCCAAAACCAATCCCAACTTGCCTAACACCAAGGGCAACCCTCTACCAAAGTTAGACACCAAAATCTCATTTCTAACTCAAGTTATCATCAGGAAACCATTTACCTTTAACTCACCACGGTGACCTTGACCTTTGACCTTTTGACCTCAAAACCAATCCCAACTTGCCTACTCCCAAGGGTAACCCTCTACCAAAGTTAGACACCAAAATCTCATTTCTAACTCAAGTTATCATCCGGAAACCATTTACCTTTAACTCACCATGGTGACCTTGACCTTTGACCTTTTGACCCCAAAACCAATCCCAACTTGCCTACTCCCAAGGGCAACCCTCTACCAAAGTTAGACACCAAAATATCATTTCTAACTCAAGTTATCATCCGGAAACCATTTACCTTTAACTCACCACGGTGACCTTGACCTTGACCTTTGACCTTTTGACCTCAAAACCAATCCCAACTTGCCTACTCCCAAGGGCAACCCCCTACCGAAGTTACAACCCCAAACGACATTTTAAACTCAAGTTATCATCCGGAAACCAAGCTACCCGGACGGACGGACGGACGGACGGACATACATCCGGACGGACGGACGCCCTAGGCGATGACAATACCCCTCGAGCCTCTCGGCTGAGGGGTAATGACTAAATCATGTTTTATGGCAGTGGACATGCAAACCGAATACAGAAGCTGAATTTTGGATACATAATTTGGATGTATGTGTGAATTATAGAGTGTGGAACAATACCTATGCTACATGGACACCGTGTCCTATTTATCAATTTTCACTTTAGAGGAGCAAACCCTTACATGTATGTAAAATAGAGTTCATCTGTATGTGATTGGTCTCGAGTCCAGACCAGCCAAAAAGTGAGGGGGGCGGATTCCGCCCCCGGCCCTTTTAGGGTTAAGTAAAGAATCAGTTTAGGGCAATTGTGACTGCAGTGTGATGCTAATGGACATGTCTCTCTTCACTTTCTAGTGAGTGAGGCATAGTCCAATAACCATTGCTCCTCTTCTTATTTCTCGTTTTTATTGTGGGATAATCTGTTGAAACAAGCACTTTACAGCCATCCTCATTGATTCAAAATACAACTGAGATTTATATCTTATGAATCAAGACTGAAACATTATTTTTACCGTCAGATTTTGTATTTTGAATATGGAGAACAATTCAACTCTTTTTCCCTAGAAATATTGGTGATTTTTTTTCTATTCTCCTTTTCAATTTTTCCTTTATTCGTGGAGGTGGGAAAACGCTTTTTTTTTTCATTATATTTATTAATGGATATTCATCAATTCGTAGACAGTTAAAATTGGTATTAGTGGTGGACAGCTGAATTTTGTGATCTCTTTATTAAAATAGACACGACTTGGGAATAGAGTGTGCAAATTACGTGAAATGTTCACAGTTACTACTCAATAACATGTTCTTTATCCCAATTATGTTTTTTTTACAAAAAGGAGCGTGCCATTTTTGTTTATCATACGGTCCCTTTCTTTTGACTCGCCATGTATTCATCTTTTCATCTGTGATAAACACAAATTGAGCTACTGCCATGGTCACACAAAAATAGAGTCTAATTGCCTGCCTCGTCTCCTTCCTAAATGTCAATTGCATTTGCATGAGTCGAGAAGAATTGTGTTCCATTAATCGCTATATGCTGTTTACGGCCATCACAATAAACTATTAATATATTGGCAATATGTCGTACTTGTTAATCACTAAAATATTCAAGTAAATTGCCCAGCAAAGTAGCTGATGCGGGCGATACGATGGCACGGTACAAAACACAGAGAGGCGTGCGCACTGAGCCATGAATCCTAAAAGTACATCTCACCCACCACATTCAGTTTGTGACAGCGCCCTTCTATTGTGTCGGCCATATTCTCAAATAGGCTAATGACGATGATGACGGCGGGCAGATTAACAGAAGATACATCAGGCAAATATGGTTCATCGATCTTCTATAGTATATGTAATGGTATTGACCTTAAACAAAAATAAATGGCATTACATTTCAGCCTTAGCCAGGCATTCTTCAGAGGTAAATGACAGAGGAACAAGAAACAAACATGTAGGGGACACACAAACATGTAGGGGACACACAAACATGCAGGGTTGGAAGGAGAATCACAAAGAAGAAGAAGAATCTGAAGAAGCCAGGCCTTCTTCAGAGGTAAATGACAGAGGAACAAGAAACAAACATGTAGGGGACACACAAACATGCAGGGTTGAAAGGAGAATCACAAAGAGGGATGGGGGGGGGGCAGACCAATCCATATCTGGCTACCATCTCTCAATTTTTTGGTCTACATGTACAAATCTATATTCCATGACTGAAATTTTTAAAAATAAATCCATATTTTCTTGCTCCAAATTTTTTCCGAATCAGGTTTACAAGGAGGTCCTATGTAAAATTAAAGTTGCATTTAAATATCCGTTAGTGGTCATTGCTGAAACCAAGGGGTGGCTGTGGAGTTTAGGGTCCGAGTTCCTATAACAGATGAAACATCCACCTTTAACTTTTTACTTTTGTCAAGTTTCAACATGTTCAAGTTTTGCAAAAACTAGTACAAATTGTCGTACTCCTAAGTTAGAGTTTCTTCATCAGATTTACACTTTATAGTAGTTAAACAATATTAAATTTTTTTTTTTTTTTTAAAGTGGCAAAAATATATGGAGTTCATCAAATAAGGTTTTCCCCTTCTTTAAATTAGGTTGTTTCCAATTTTTTTAATTGATTGTGACAATAACAAATTCTGTTGCCATGTTGTAATTTATGGCATGAAGCAAACACGAAGAACACTCGCATGACACAATTAAGCAGGTACAAGTGATTCCTAACTTTCAATCACTTCCTTCACATCCCCATGAACATCAACATCTCAAGGACAGACTGTTCAGCTGTAATTAGTGTCTTGTTGTTTATTTAGATTATTGTTATTTATTATCCGCGGTCTCGGTCTCGGACCATTTCGGTCTCGGTCTTGGTCCGCCTTGAAGGGGCTGGTCTCGGTCTCGGTCTCGCAACTTCAGGTCCCGGTCTTGGTCTCGGTCTCGGACTATCCGGTCTCGACTACAACACTGGTCAGTATTACAAATATATGTCACGTGACTAAAACGGGAGGAATTCCTCCTTTTTCCGAAAATGTCTGAAGCTTGCCGAATTTATTTCGTCGACAATCAGTATTTCCGAGTATAATATAGGTTTTATTAACTGCTAATTGCTTATTAAAAACTTTAAAAAGTGAGTTGATAATTAACTTTCATTGCTTTCATTTAGAAAACTTGAAATTCAACAACGATTTTGTGCATCAAGTATACTCGGATCGTATATACGAGGGGCGAACTTTTTGCTACGTCATGTACTATTTTGAATTTGACAACCGTTGCCAGGATTTTCCTAAGCTCGGCGTGATCTCCATTCGGCTCCGCCTGCTAACAGTGCTATTAGGGTGCCTAACTTTAAAGATTCCAGGTCAACATTAGTCAATGTTTTCTTACAGGAATATCAAACTGTATTATCATAACTGTATGATATTATGAAACAAGTGATTTATTTAAAAGTTTGATTGGAACATTGAAAGCTATAAGTGATAAAGCGAATTTGGAAACGAAGCCAAGCTTTGAAAAAGGGCCGTCAATGTCGTCATGTTTATTTTTAGCCACGGAGGCTGCCTGACCTACAATTTAGACGTGAGCGTCGGGAATAATTGTCTGGTCTGGGAACCAGACTATGATGTCATTTCAGGAAGACACTGTTCAGTATAGGGATTTTTGGATCAAATTGTAAACCTAAAATGTGTTCATTGTCATGTTAATTATGAGAAAAGTTTGCTCATTGGCGTACTGCCATGTACTGCCACAACAACAAATCACCAAAGAAAAGAATATTTACAACAGCAAAATATCAAAACATTCGGGGGGGGGGGGGTGACCGCCCCCCCATGAAACCTTGTCGCCCCCCCACTGAGATTTTGAGTTTCTAAAAAAATTATCATTGATCTACATGACGCCATGGGCCCTATTATGTACTACAATGTATCTTTTGCTTAGAAAATATTGGTTAAAGTGGTCAGAAATTGCCTCAGATAGCACCACAGAGCATTTAGAATCCAAAATTTTTCGGGGCCCTTAAGCGGGCCCCGAACCCCACGCCCATAGCTCAGAATTCTGGTAGCTGATTCAATGACTCCAACCTCGAAAACAATGTTCACAAAATTTTCTTATGCCTTTAGCTGAGAAAACCTCAAAAATTATGTTTAAAATTATTATCTTTTGTGCTAAGATAATTATTGGTTAAAGTGGTAAGAAATTGCCTCAGATCACACCACAGAGCATCGAAAATCCAATTTTTTTCAGGGGCCCTTAAGCGGGCCCCGAACCCCATGCCAATAGCTCAGAATACCGATAGCTGATTCAATGTCTCCAACCTCGAAAACGATGTTCAAATAATTATCTTTTGCCAAGAAAATATTAGTTAAAGCATGGAGGAAAGTCGTAAAAAATTGCTTCAAATCACACCACAGAACATCTAGAATCCAATTTTTTTCGGGGCCCTTTTAAGCAGGCCCCGAACCCCACGCCGTAAGGGCTTTGCGCTTCACGCTGGCATCAGTTATGATCAAGGTATGTCCCCCCCCCCCCACTTTTGACAAGCGATTGACGCCCCTGCTTGACGCCCCCCCATGCTACAGAGACACTACTATTCTGCCTTGAATGACATCACGCTTTGACTCATGAATATGGAAATTTTCATTAGCATAAAAACTAAAATGTTGAAATGTCTCCCGTTTACAGCTACAAAGGAGGTGGAAAGTCAAAGTAACATGACAAGAAAGCTGTTTTAAGTGTATTTAAGTCATAAAAATCCTTTTGCATGTTTTCTTTAAGGGAAATTGACATTGTTTTAGAGAGAGAGAGAGGGAGATCTACTGTGGCTGGTTTCCGAAACAGCCAAAAATATGTTATTACACAAACTCTCCAGGACAGTAATGCAGGTTTGAGTTTTATCAAAATAATTTGAGTGATTGATCACTGTAATATCAGTATAAAGAGAAAACATGACGGGAAAATCTCCTCTGAAGATTTATTATCGTAGTGAGGCCTGATTGCCCATCTACTTGATCCTGTGTAAACAAATACACTTTCAAACTGACAACGATGATTGTGTGGCATTGTCAGTAAAGCTCTTTTATCATTCCATCATGAAAGATCAATAAGGCCAAAAAAAAAAAAATAGTCGGTCTCTGGTCAGACCGAAGCTCCGGAATTGATGCGGCGACGCGGTTTTTTTGGGTTTTTTTTGGGTGGCTGTTTTGTTTTGTTTTCAAGCTTGAATTGTACAGACAAGGTGGGTATTATTTTGTTTTTTTTGTGTCCTCATTATACATTGTGTCCTCCATAATATGCCTTGGTGCCCTTTATCATTTGCCTCGGTGCAATTTCCCCATTCCTTGGTGCTCCTTGGTACAAAACTTAGAGGAGGTGCGGCAATAGAGGGCGCTGTTGTAGCTTCCGTGTTAATTTGAAGAAGAAAAAAAAGGTTGACGCGCATGATTAAAATCGACGCGCGCGCTGACCAGAGACCCAGTATTTTTTTTTTGGCCTAACGCAACTATTAACCCTAACTCCCTACTGTCTTTTACTAAGTACTGGACCAAGTCCACCAAAATCCATCAATCACACTGCTTCCAATGCGTGCATTGCTTTAGGCCTACTGGCCCAAGTCCATCAGACTTCATCAATATTTAGTCAAACCAGGCCTACAGGACCAAGTCCCCCAAAATCCACCAAAATTGGGCGATGGATTTTGATGGAGTTTGGGAGGATAAGGTAAACAAAATACGGATAACAGCCATAAGAAATCGTTGGTCAATTTTCATTTCAACAACTTTCACTTTGGAGGTTACACACTGAGTGTTCATTGTTCGTACATCAGTGAAGGGCAAAAAAACCCTAATAGTGAAATACACTTTTACACTGACAATAATGATTTGCGTGGCATTGCCAGTAAAACTCTTTTATTGTTCAATCACTATCTTTTCTTGTTTTTCTATAACAGATGTTAAACCTGGACAGTTTACCAGTTCCTGAGAATTAAATCTTGAAAATGGGGGAAACAAATTTGGGAAAATGGAAAAATTTTGATCAAAAGGAAAAAATCGAGAAAAAAAGCTCAAATATGGAAGCTTCGTCTCTTGAAAGGTTGTACCGAGTCTGTTTCTGATCAGGGCAAAGGAGCCTTTGGAACCCAACAAGATGACACCTTGGACATTTGGCTGATTTCCCCCATTTTTTCCCCATTTTCAAGGTTTAATTCTCGGGTTTTCTGTAACAGAAATACAAGAAAAGATAATCACTTCAAAGTTTCTGTGTAATCATTAAACAAGTTGAACTGAAAACAGTATCAGTCAAAACAGTATAGCTCATCTCCTTCTACCTTAGGCCATGGACCTATCAATCACGTACCCTCGTAATTCAACAGAAAACAGTTGTATAACAGGTCAGATTTCATTTAAACCATGCAGACGTTTAGTGGGGAGTGTGGCCATGGGCGTCGCCAGGGGGGGGGGGGCAAGGGGGGCGCTTGCCCCCCCCCCCCCCCTGGAAAAGCAAAAAAACAAAACAAACAAAACAAAAAAGGAAGAAAAAAAAGAGAAAAAAAAGAAAAGAAAAAGAGTTTCGAAGTCATAGTGGTGTAAATTTAATGAGGTGGGGGGGGGGGGGCAAAATGTCCCTGCCCCCCTCTAAAACTGATAAATTGAGAGAAATACAAGAATTTTTTGGGAAAAACATGTTTTGCCCCCCTCCACGAGTGTGGCCTAGTGGTTAGGGTTTGTGACTCATGATCGGAGGGTCCGGGGTTCGAATCCAGCTGCTGGTCATATGTTGTGTCCTTGGGCAAGCCACTTCACCCTACTTGCCTCTCTCCACCCAGGAGTGTAAATGGATACCAGCATTAGCTGGGAGTAACCTGCGATGGACTAGCATCCCATCCAGGGGGAATAGAAATATTTTCAGTCTGCTGGCCATATGTTGTGTCCTTGGGCAAGCCACTTCACCCACTTGCCCCTCTCCACCCAGGAGTACAAATGGGTACCGGCATTAGCTGGGGAGTAACCTGCGATGGACTAGCATCCAATCCAGGGGGAGTAGACATACTCCCAGTTGTTTCATGCCACTGAAGCAGGAGATAAACGATGGCCTGATGGGCCATATTGGCTCGTGACAGACTTTACTTACTTACCCTACGCAGACATGGACACATCTATCATGTGGCGGTTATTAAAAATCGCCAACAGCAATACTTCAATCTGTCATTTCGAGCAGGCTTCCAGGGAGATAACATCCTGTAGTCTCGGCAAAATTAAAGTCCACCCTTGCAAACACGGGATTACAAGCTACATGAGTGATGAAGAAGTAGAGACAGTATAAGAGAGTCTCCCGTGAAAATCGGACGCTGAAGTTGTTCAAGGCCAACCATCCGGACAGTGAGAACAAACATTTCTCATTTGACTTTTGAGGATACACTCATTGAAAGAAGTGCAGCCATGATATTTGTAAACTCCGGGAAGGAACAACTGCTTGCACTACACCATTATCAGTTCGTCTGGAATAAGACTTTAAGATCATCGACTTATGTAATAATAATAATAATTTGGGAGGTTTATCATCCTTACTCGCAGCTGAGAAGCTGAATTGCGAAGGACGAGGCTACAACGTGGTCGAGTTGGTGGGCAGCCATACAACCCATGACCACGGAGCACAGCCAGAGATCGACAGTGTTTGATTTTTGCGAAGGGAAAAAACCGAAGGGCCCGGAGAAAAACTCTCACGGCAAAGAAGAGAACCGACGCACAGCTCTACTCACATCTGGTCCTAGCCGGGAACGAACCCAGGCCACAGTGGCGAGAGGCGAGCGCTTTACGCACTAGCCACCCATGTCTCCAAAGTAGATGCACCCATGTAGCAGTAGAAGGGAGCATTTGAGCCACTGCAAAACTCGGCATTTCAAGTTGATAAATATCTGTTATTTCCTTTAAGAAGTTAACAGTGGAATTGCATACTAAAGGTTAGAGGTTCAAATCCTGGTGTGGTGAATCATGCAAGCCTACCCGTCATGGTTATCTGTTCTGCTTCTTTTAATTGCCGTCGTCGGGTTTCTGAGTAACGTCTTAGTGATTGTCAACATCTTCAAGTCCAGATTCCTTCACGATGTCACTCATTACCTCATCCTGAATCTGGCCGTCTCTGACGGACTTTGCTGCTTCATATTTGGCCTGGAGATGTTCATGGATTTACTCAATTACCCCAACAACCGCACCGGTGGAATCGCTGAAATACTCTACTGCCGGCTCATCAACGGTAACTACGTATTCCAATCCTTTGCCTTCATTTCAGCTTACAATCTCGTCATTATATCTCTGGAGAGATACATAGGTATTGTCAAACCGCTACGGTACGTTCAAATTTGCAACAAAGCTCACACTTGGTTGGCTATATTTCTATCGTGGGTTTTAGGATCTTGCGTTTACTTGCTTCATCTTATTGGCGTGCAGTATTTAGAATCTGAAACAGAATTCAATATAAGATGTCGAAATAAGCATCCTTGGCAGTGGCATTTTCTGTCCTTTACTGTTGGGTTCGTAGCTCCTCTTCTCATTATGATTTGGGCTTATAGTCGTATAATTAAAGCTCTGAAGCAGAGCGCCCTAAACCAAGCGGTTTCGGCACAAGCGGCGGAAACCCGCGAAGCGACAAAGCGCGTGGTCCATCTGATGTTGATCGTGACAATAACGTATGCAGTCCTCTACGTGCCAACCCAGCCGGTTTATATCATCATTGTTAGTGTTAATCAGCAGGATTTCGAACAACTCCCACTGGGAATCCTTCTCACCGACATCTTGACCAAGTTACCCGTCTTGCTCAATTCTATCGCCAATCCCTTCATCTACGCGTTCAAATATAAGAAGTTCCGAAAGGGAATGCGTGACCTCATGTGCCGATGTGCTAAGAACACGATTTCACCAAATGAAGACGTCATGATGCAAGTTGACACAGCAAATTCTAACATTTAATGCCAATGTGCGAGAAACTGCTACAATTCAAATATGAACTAGAGCACATACTGAAATTTATATCCTTGTGGAGTCATTTCTTTGTTCTTGTGTACTACAATTTTAGAGTTTGATAGTATAGTTTCAAAATGCTCCTATTTTAACCAGAATTAATTTCCTGGGCTGAAATTCAGACTTAATATCCCTTACATAAAATACTTCAATTGGCGACGGATCAACACACCTTGGAAATTCCTACTTTTTGAGTAAAATCCATATACAGTCGAGTCTCGTTAATACAAACTCGTTCGGACCTAGCCAAATTGTTTGTTATATCAGAATTTTGTATTAAGAGGAACATCAGTCCCATTAATTGTGCACATAAATACATAGTCGGGACCAAGGCCTTATGTTTGTTATAACCAAAATTTTGTATTAACAGAGTTTGTACTTACGAGAGTCGACTGTATCTATTTCGTGATAACCTTGTGGAGACATATTCACCCATAGAAATTGCCCTGTGGAGACGTATACAATATTTTGTTCCCTACTATGCACATGTCTCCACAGGGCACCGTGTATCAGATCTACATGTATATGTCTGTTAAATAAACAGAACATTGGGCATGTTTAATTTTTGAACATTTTAAAGCTTTTTGTCTATTGCAGACCTCTAACTGTTCAAATTAATGGATGAACAAAGTTTTTAGTTGCGATGGCAAGTCTTGTAGTTGCACATGTATAGTTCAGATATCATCTTTCATAATTAAAACTTTAAAAATTCGAGAAAAAACCAGACTTTAAATTTTGCACCTTTAAGATGATGTCACATGACTCATGATGACATCATCATTATGTCACTTCATACTTAGCACCAACTTAAGCTTAGGATCTTTGTCTCTGCCTTGTTTAAAAAAAATAAAATAAAACTAGAAAGCACTCAGAGAGCACAAACCTCTGCCAAGGCTAAACAATTCCCCGCCATATTGTCAGTACACCCGAAAGAAATACTCACATAAATAGTGAGGAATCCTTTAAAGAAATCCTGGATCCAGACCCAGATCCGGATCACTTCCAAAATCTAATCGATTTGTACTTGTACAAAGGGCCACCCTTGAAAAATTTTTCATGCAAATCCGTCCCTAACTTTTTGAGTTATCTTGTTTACAGACAAACCAACCAACCGACAAGATGAAAACATAACCTCCTTGGTGAAGGTAAAAATGTAAAGTGACGCTAAGTAAAAAAAACCAAACTTTTTTTGTCCTGGCCCACTTCTTTTTCCCCGCCCGCCTTCTTTTTTATATCTTTAAATTGCCAAATTTCACATCACAGCTATATTTTTGCAGTATATTTTGTCTTTTGTTTCCAGAAAAATCGTAGCTAGGTATGCAAGTTCCAAATCTGGTAGAAAGAGTGACAGCTCCTATAGACACAAAAGTATTGTGGCGCAAATTACCATAGCGGGCGTGGTCAATAGAGGGCACGCAAGCGGCTTCGGGCCCCTATATAAGAGGCCGCAGGACAGTTGCTAGAATGAGACGTACGTGTAGACACAGACGGAGACGCAGCCCTCATCAGAGCTCACGCTATTGCGCGCGCTGACGGCGTGCTGGGTGGTGCGGTGGAGTCTGGAATAAGGAGGCATGGAGTCCGCTGAGGCTACTGGAGGCAGAGCGTCGTACGTACAGCTATCTGCCCATTGTAGGATGGAGCCGGGAGTGGGCGCTCACCTACCTGCTGCCTCGAAGAAGGATCGAGACCGGAAACGCCGGTCGAGGGCGGGATGGTGGAGGCGGAATACACACAGGAACGCTAGAGGCGTACGGTTCACGGAATTCAGAGGCTATCCCCAGCCAGGCATTGCCGTGCTGCCCAGCACTGCCTTATCGAAGCGCCTAATGCAAGGCTACTCAGAGATAATCGAGAGGCTCAGAGACCAATCACTTATTAGAGGCTAACATTATAATTTAACGAGAGGTCCATCATATGACATGATTCTGTGTAAATATTAAAATCAATCATTAATTGAGGTCATTGACTGTTTGTGTAGTCAATTGTCTGTCCTTGTCCATCTTGAGGGTTGAGGGGCGTGGGTGAGTGCCCCTACGTGTATAGGGCGGTCTATTTCCATCCAAACGGGCCTGCATTCCCGGCTGCTGGGGTACTGATCCTAAGCTAGGTTGTCCGGGTAAAGGGACTACGGATCGGGTCACAGAAATGTCCCGCCACAAATGGTGTCAGAAGTGGGATCATACGCCTGGCTACCATTTGCCCACGTCCTCATCCCTGGGAGGCTTGGGGAGGCGAGGACCATTATTCATTAATAAATAGGACGCCTCAGAAAGATAAAACTAAATTTAATCAAGACGTAGACACAAGCTTGTAATGACGGACCAGACTGCTACGGAACTTCAAGAGGAGGTTGACAATATAGGTCATGGGCCAAAATCTGTATCAGGTCTAGAAGTTGAGGGTCTTAACTCTCTGGTTTCAACTTGCTATAAGGTCAACTTTACTAATTCAATAGTGCTGAATCTGAATCTGGTTATTCACATGGGCCCAAATTGCACATTAACCTTACAACGACATTTTTTTCTCATTATTTTGCCAAATGTTGGTCAAAAAATAGTATTTTTGCCATAACTTCCATGTCTTATTAAAGTTCAACTGCTTTTAAAATTGACACAACAGATAAACAGCAAGTCGGCATAACGCACGACACGCGACAAAAGATTTTTATTGTAGAATTGATCCTTTCAAACATGAGAATGATGAGATTTTGACGTGGCATTATAAGGATTTATATTAAATGTACGTACCTCTGTCGTCCCTTAACAACACACATCAATCACAAGTAAATCACAAGTCATTCAGTTTCAAGTAAATAAGTGACACACTATTTTTTTCCTCCATTTCTTTACCCAGAATACATGTTTTTGGAGGTGTAAAACTGGGCTTCCCGAATCCAAATTAACAAGGCATCGTGCAGTCTTTAAAAAAAAACGTACATTACTTGACGTGCAGGAGATACAGGCCGCGCAGTCTTCGAAATACTCGCGCTGTGCGCTCTGAATAGCCAGTCAGCATCGCTTTTTTCAGATTCCCCACTGCCAGGGGTTAATGGAGGAACGCATATGCGCCCATGGAGGCAAGGCTGGTACGCAATGGCAGCGATGAATTGCGATCACCCTCATGTGGTATAGTTACATTGGGGAAACAGTCGCCTTTATTTCTAAATTGTGCAAAGGATGTGGTGTGCACATTGTAAAATAAGGGAATAAATGTGTGCTCCGGAGGTTTTTATCACTCGTTTAATACCGCTTAGAGTCTGGGTGCTGATAATTACCCGAGCCGGAGGCGAGGGTAATTATCAGCACCCAGACTCTAAGCGGTATTAAACAGAGTGATAAATACCGACCGAGCACATATTTATTCCCATTCATAAATACCTTATCCGTAAAAAAATATCAAATAATTCGTTCAAAAAATCCCGATTTTGTTCAACAAGTTCACTTCATGCTTTTTGAAACATCCCTCTAGCAAAATAATGGAGTGTTCAGCTGGCGAGTAAGATGTAAACAACCCTTTTATGGAGATTGACGTGCGCGTAACATGTTCTGCGCGATGTCACGCAGAACGCACCTGGGGCGTTGCGTTTTGAATTTAGAACTATAAAATTCTGACTCGCTTGTAGTGTTGCGCATGCCTATGTGAGGATTGTGAACGTTCAACCAATGAAACGGTAAGAGGCACTGGATTTTTAGGAGTCCACATTTTATTGTGACACTGGAAAAGTGTTTAAGACCAGCTAGCCATGTCTTTATCATCCGTTTAAGACCGGCCACGTGACGGGCTCTCGACCAATAGGAATAGCTAAACTGTCTGAGGTATTTATGAATATTAATTAGCATGTTCCAAACTACTTATAACTGAGAAATTAAGTTGCCACTAAAAAGTTAAGACGAGATTACACGTTACAGGCTTTGGCCCACGGCCTAATAGGTCTCTCTCAAAGACGGCCATCTCTGCAGGAGAACTGCAACTGCGTATTTTACGCAATCAATCACGCATTGCGCAGTGTTGAAAATGTTCAAAACACGCATGCTTGTTGCTCGAAATGTGTTCGAAATACGACGCAGCCGATGCGCGTCATGCAAGTTGACGCTCAAAAAGACGATGCACGTGGCTGGTCCGTAGGACGTCATTTGAGAGAGACCTATTGCCGACACTTACTATGTTCTGGAGGGAAATTCTCTTTTCACTATTGTCAAAGGTGCAAAAACAAAAACACCTGTAATTATAAAACTAACGTTCAGTTTAAAAAATCCCAACGATTTAACTAATTTCAGGAAAAATTCAAAACACCTTGCATGTACTGCGTTCTGTTATTTTAAATAGATGAAGTGAAATTTTGAAATTGAAGACGAAGTTAAATTTTAAAAAGGAGGAAAAAATACGGGGAAAAAAAGAAAGAAAAAGAGGCGTGAAGTCATATTGCTGTTAATTTAATAGGGTGGGGGGGGGGGGCAAACGTCCCTGACTACCCTCGAAAAATGATAAATCGAGAATATGCTGGAAAATACAGGGATTTTCGGGGGGAAATGTGCTTTGCCCCCCCCTAGAAAAAAATCCTGGCGACGCCCATGGTGCACCTCCCTCACAAAATTAGAAAAAATCTGGTTTTCTGTGGATAACTTGCTGCAGATTATGAAAAAAAATATGTTATCGCACAATTTTTATGAGTTTTATATAAATCGTATTCTGCAAACACTTAATGACCATCACGTTAACAATAAAGCAACCTTCCACTTCAATTTGCGTGGCTGATCACTGCAAGATCATAATAAAGAGTAAACAAGCCGAGAGAACAGAAAGTTCCTTCGTCGTTTTATTAAATCCTAGTAAGGATGATTGCCCATTACTGGATCCTGTGTAAACAAGTTCAATATTAAACTGACAACAATGATTGGTGGCATTGTTTGTAAAACTCTTTCTCTTTCCATCATAAAAAGATCACTATGGTGATCACTGCCTACATCAATTAGTGACCTCAACACACATGAGCAGACTTTCGGTAAGGCATACAGAATAGAGATGCCGGCTATGAGACAAAATTGGTGGGGTTAATTCATTCGAACCACGCATGCATTGTCATATAAGATCAGCAACCAACGCTTCAATTTCTCATTCCGAGCACGGTTCCTGGGAGATTACATCCCGTAGACCTGGCTGGAAGTCAGCCCATGCAAATGATAGATGACGAGTCTGCTGTTTTTTATCAGAGGCAATTTTTAAGACGGAGCTCAAAACAGAAAGCATCAATCTGTCTCAACAGACTCTTTGGGGACTTTCGACTCTGTTTTTCTCCGAATGAGAGGAGATGGCATTTTAAATGCACCTGAAAATCTGTAATTACAGGAACAAGCCGTTATTTGGACTAAATCATGATCGATTTGTCTGGAATAAGGCTTCGAGATCATCGACTTTTGCGGAACTGAACATCCCATGTATATTTGCTGCTGTGCTAATCGAAAACGGAAATTAGAACAAACATGTTAGTTTGAAAAAAGACAAACTGAGGAGCTGCGTGAACAAGTTGACGAAAACTCCAAATATGACACTGCTGTGATAGAAAATAGATTGCGATTACTGGCAACCAAGGAGTCAGCTGTACACTGGAATTACGAACTTAAGACTAGGGGTTCGAATCCTGCTGTGGTAAATTATGCAATGAGACCACTTGGCTGTACACTGGAATTGCTAACTAAAGTTGAAAGTAGTGAGGTTCGAATCCCGGTGTGGGTAAACTTTGCGACCAATTGGCTGTACACTGGAATTGCTAACTAAAGTGTAGAGGTTCGAATCCTGGTGAGGCAATTTATGTGACCATTTGGCTGTACACTGGAATTGCAAACTAAAGTGTTGAGGTTCGAATCCCAGTTTGGGTAAATTTTGCGACCAATTGGCTGTACACTGGAATTGCAAACTAAAATGTAGAGGTTCGAATCCCAGTGTGGGTAAATTTTGCGACCAATTGGCTGTACACTGGAATTGCTAATTAAAGTGTAGAGGTTCGAATCCTGATGTGGGTAAACTTTGAGACCAATTGGCTATACACTGGAATTGCTAACTAAAGTGTAGAGGTTCGAATCCTGGTGAGGCGATTTATTCAACCAATTGGCTGTACACTGGAATTGCTAACTAAAGTTTTGAGGTTCGAATCCTGTCGAGGCAATTTATGTGACCAATTGGCTATACACTGGAATTGTAAACTAAAGTGTGAATGTTCGAATCCCCATGTGGGTAAACTTTGCGACCCATTGGCTGTACAATTGAATTGCAAACTTAAGAGTTGAGTTTCGAATCCTGGCGAGGCAATTTATGTGACCAATTGGCTGTACACTGGAATTGCAAACTAAAGTGTGAATGTTTGAATCCCCATGTGGGTAAACTTTGCGACCAATTGCCTGTACACTGGAATTGCTAACTAAAGTGTTGAGGTTCGAATCCTGGTGAGGCAATTTATTCAACCAATTGGCTGTACACTGGAATTGCAAACTAATGTGTAGAGGTTCGAATCCTGGTGAGGCAATTTATGTGACCAATTGGCTGTACACTGGAATTGCAAACTAAAGTGTGGATGTTCAAATCCTGATGTGGGTAAATTTTGTGACCAATTGGCTGTACACTGGAATTGCTAACTAAAGTGTAGAGGTTTGAATCCTGGTGATGCAATTTATATGACCAATTGGCTGTACACTGGAATTGCAAACTAAAGTGTAGAGGTTCGAATCTCAGTGTAGGTAAACTGTGCAACCAATTGGCTAAACACTGGAATTGCAAACTAAAGTGTTGAGGTTCGAATCCTGGCGAGGCAATTTATGTGACCAATTGACTATACACTGGAATTGTAAACTAAAGTGTTGAGGTTCGAATCCCAGTGTGGGTAAATTGTGCGACCAATTGGCTGTACACTGGAATTGCAAACTAAAGTGCAGAGATTCGAATCTGCGACCAATTGTCTGTACACTGGAATTGCATACTAAAGATTAGAGGTCCAAATCCTGTTGCGGTGAATCATGCAACTCTACCCATCTTGGTTAACGGTCCTGTTTCTTTTATTGGCCCTCATTGGGTTTCTGAGTAACATCTTGGTGATCGTCACCATCTTCAAGTCCAGATTCCTCCACGATGTCACTCATTACCTGATCCTGAATCTGGCCGTCTCCGACGGTCTCTGCTGCTTGATGTTTGGCCTGGAGATGTTCATGGATTTACTCAATTACCCCAACAACCACACCGGCCAAATCGCTCAAGTAATCTACTGCCGACTTATCCAAGGTAACTACCTATTCCAGTCGTTTGCTTACATCTCGGCTTATAATCTTGTCATAATTTCTCTGGAGAGATACGTAGGCATCGTCAAACCACTACGGTACGTGCAAATCTGCAGCAAAGCTAACATTGGGTCGGCTATATTTCTGTCGTGGGTTTTAGGATTTTGTGTTTACACAATTCATATTATTGCCGTGCAGTATTTAGAATCTGAAACAGAATTCAGTGACAGATGTCAACTAATTCACCCCTGGCAGTGGCACTTTGTGCCATTTACTGTTGGATTCGTAGCTCCTCTTGTCATTATGATTTGGGCTTATACTCGTATTATTAAAGCCCTGAAGCAGAGCGCCCTCAACCAAGTTGTTTCGGCACAAGCGGCGGAATCCCGCGAAGCGACAAAGCGCGTGGTCAATTTGATGTTGATCGTGACAATAACGTATGCAGTCCTCTACATACCAACCCAGCCGGCGTATATCTTCCTTACTACTACTTCCGAGGAAAATTTTGAACGGACCACACTGGGAGTTATTCTAACCGGCGTCTTAACCAAGTTACCCGTCCTGCTTAATTCTGTTGCCAATCCCTTCATCTACGCGTTCAAATATAAGAAGTTCCGAAAGGGAATGCGTGATCTCATGTGCCGATGTGCTAAATCCACAATTTCACCGAAGGATAACGTCGTGCAAATTGACACAGCAACGTGAACAATAATTCCAACTTGGAAGAAACTGGTTCAAGTCAGATATGAACAAAAGTAAAGATGGTCTTAATGTTTACTAAAACATCACTGCAGATATAACTAGATTTATGCTTGTGGACAAACACATGGCTGTTTCGGCATTTTGTTATTGTATTTTTATGTCATGTTATAGACCGATAGACTTAGATGTGCAGTAGAAACTTGCAGAGTGATCAGGGCCAATAGTTCCGTAGATATAGGCTTAAAAATGGACCTTTAATCTGACATCACATTTCATGTGATGACATCATCATGACATAACCTCAATTTTCATCTATAACACATCCCGGCTTAGGTGCATACCAAGTTACAACCAATTAGAGCTATAGTTCTGCAGATATAGGCCTAAGAAAAATGCACATTCATTATAACTAGATATCAAACTTCTTTAATCTGACGTCACATTTCATGTGATGATGTCATCATGACATTACCTCAATTTTCGTCTTTAACATATCCCGGCTTAGGTACATACCAAGTTATAACCATATCTGAGCTATAGTTCTGCAGATATAGGCCTAAGAAAAACGCACATTCATTATAACTAGATATCAAACTTCTTTAATCTGACGTCACATTTCATGTGATGATGTCATCATGACATTACCTCAATTTTCATCTATAACATATCCCGGCTTAGGTACATACCAAGTTACAACCAAATCTGAGCCATAGTTCTGCAGATATAGGCCTAAGAAAAATGCACATTCAATGTGACGTCACATAAAACACGATGACGTCATCATGACATCACTACCCAGTCTTGGTACATACCAACTTTCAACCCATTTGGACCTGCCATTCTGTAGATATAGGCCTTCAAAGTATGCACATTTAATATGACGTCACATGTCATGCATGTCATGTAATGACGTCTTTGTGACGTCACTTCAATTTTCATTTATGACACATCCCAGTCTAGGTACATACCAACTTTCAACCCAGTCAGACCTGTAGTTCTGTAGATATAGACCTTCAAAATATACACCTTTATTGTGACGCAGGTGACACGTGATGACGTCATGATGGTGTCAATGACGGCACACATCTGTGGGTGCTGGTCTAAGTGTGTGCTAAGTATCAAGGCAATCGGGTTGATTTTAGTGCCCTAAGTACCATGCACGATGAAAACGTGTACAAATGCTATGGGAAATGGCTGAAAAAGAAGGGGAAAAAAACAGAAAAACAAAAACAAAGGCTGTTTTGGCATGTTTAATACCGAAACAGCCAAAAAAAACCACTTTAACGAAACAAACACTGTTTCGGTCAGTTGCCGAAACAGCCAAAAATAATATCCTGGCAACTAGTGAAAACAGATTCTCCACATCAGTAGGTTTCCTTGAGACTTCCGTAAGTTTTTCCAGACCTTATGGAAATACAATGGCCATTCCCAAGACTTCCGGGATCAATGCAAAAAAGTGTTAGCTTACCTTGCTCATCATGAGATGGATCTTGTCCAGGTCAGACATGGACTGGAGGCCGGCCAAAGTTATACTTGCTTCCGTCTGGCATTCATAGGTCATGACCTCTAAGGTCAAAAGGTCACCGTGCAACTTATCAAGGCCCTTGCAGAAAAGGAAATTTAGGAAAATTGGAAAAGTGGAAAGTCCTCCCGTAATGTATGGACCTTACTCATGAGGAAGCCATTTTTGATCGCGTTCCCTGAATTATTTACACATATATGTGATTTTGTCGCGCGATATTGTTGAGCGTTTTTATATACATGTATTTTTATACACATGTGACAAGTATAAAAATATAGCCCCCTCTATTTATTTTTCTAGTCCTTTTTCACAATGCTTCATATTCATGAGTTAATTTACATTGTAATGTAATCACTCTTGCCTGGCTTTTATTATTAAAATTATGTGAGGCGCACTAAGCTACAGTTTTGCGCCTAGGTTTAAATCACTGTTCGACGAAGACCGTTCAAGACATGCTATTTCTGTCTCTGTCTATTTTCAGGTCAAACTTTGCTACATTTATTTCCAATATTCTTTAGTTGACTAAATATATTCTGATTAGACTAATTCTTTGAATATTTAGTCATTTGACTCTTTCGTAGTATGTTGGTCCATTCTTTTTATGACTTTGTCTTACAATCTTGTTTGAGTTGTTTCTTGGGAAGGGAGATGAAACAACACGATCTTTAATTTTTTTTGAATTTCTGTAACACTGTAAATATGTGTAACTTGCTACATAGATAATTCCATCATTTGTAGCAGTAACTTCTAGATATTGATCCATCGGAACGACTGCTTTGCTGACATTTTAATACCTTAATTTTTCAAGTAACGTCTTATTTTCAAGATGGGGGACGCCGCCCAGACTTTTGGCGTAGAGTTCGTTTTGCCAGATATTTCTAGATATTCAATCTTTGTTCTTTGTTTTCATTTACTGAATTCTTAAGGCCCTGTCAGACTGTCTGCGATCTTATATGCGCTCCCACTGCGTCCTTGAAAAATAGCTGGGGCGCAACAACAACTACGTACGTCGCCAGATGGGTGCCAGCGGGTCTTAATGGTCTCCGATGAGTGCCAAAGTTTTTGAACATGCTCAAAACAATCGCAAACACCTCCGCACTCTGGCAGGGCGCCGTAATGATGCAACTCGGACGCTATGTGAGCGTCGATCGTGCGAAATGGACATGGCATTGACACAGCCTAGGCGCAAGGCAGTCGATGTAGTCTCCATGAGAAAGTAACTCGACTGCGATGAACTTGTTGAATATTTTTGAAACTGGACTGTGGATTGACCTTTTTGTCGTGGTATTTATGCAGTGCAAGTGACGTCACGTGAGCGTATTTTGGTCGGATGGGGAGCGTGACGTGAGCTACTAGGACGTATCAACAGCAAGCAGAGCGTAGTGTAAGCGCAGTGACAGCGCAGCGGCAGCGACTAGATCGAGTAATTGAGCTTGACAGGGGCGCATAGAGAGCGAGTTGAACGCATCGTAAGCGCGGGATGAGCGCAGTACGAGCGTAGCTTGAGCTACTATCTGCCCAATTGAGACAGCAAATTGTCCATTTCTTGCGTCCTCACTGCGATTGTTAAATTTATTGAATTCTTTCGGTCACCGTAACGTCTCCTATGGGAGGGCACATAATGTGACAGGCCCTTTATCGATTCACCTTTTCTGTAAATTATTATGAGAGATTAGCCAGGATGGCTGACATTTGTTAGATATATCTTGACTTTTCCAAGTTTGATTTGAGACATGTTCTAATTACTTTTGTTTAGCTTTAAACTGTTTGATTACTTGATTACACACTTTTGCTTAGCTTTTAACTGTTTGATTACTTATTGTTAAAGGGAAAATACAACATTTGCAAACATCAAAAAATAAAACTATCAAATCATTTTGAAATACCTTGCTGGACTGTTAGTGAATGACAGTGTAAAGCATCCTGTAAAATCATGGCACCTGGTATACTGTCATTTTCAAGAAAAGTGGTATTTTTGTATCAATTTCCAACGCTGGTCGGCCAACCAGCGTTGGAAAAAACTGGCTTTTTTTCAAATACTGGCCCCAATTGACCATCGCACTTGTTTGCAATCGATTACACACCTATGAACGGGTACAAGCCAGCTAGACAGGTTCCCTGACCTTACAATTCCCCCATGTATGTAAACTGCTCTGTTTCTTTTTATATGGAGTCAGGGAACCAGACTACAGGAAAATGATTGTTTTTCTTGGTTTTTATAGCATTTTGAACCCAAAACCTCAAAAAAGTCAGTGTAACTATATTTGCCATATATTTCCAACCCCCCAATTCCGTCCATTTCTGAAAATTACAGCAAAAGCAAATGATGTATATTCCCTTTAAAAACGACTGTTTGACGAAGTCTGCTCAAGAGTCAAGACACACTATTTCTGTCTTCGTCTATTTTCAGAATGAATCTCAGAAAAGATATAAGCCAGAAACCACCCAGTGTGTTCCTCTATGCCTTAATTTTAAACCCGGTCACACACAAATCAATGAGTGCATTTACAATTTTTGTTTAATCAAATTTGATTTGATTTTATCGCGCGACAAAAAAACGTCGCATCCATATTTCACAAGTGACTGAACTGATTGGCTGTACAAAATGGACGAAAAAATAATTACCAAGGTGCAGAAATATTGTGAATTGTATGACACAAAGACATCGAAAGAATGGACAACATAATTTATGGGAGGAAATTGCCAGTTTTTTTTTATCCTTGAGCGCTAATAATTTCAAAAGTCGCACAATGTATCACGTATTTGTTCACACGTGCGCGTGCGACATTGCCACGTCGCATTTGTGTAAATAGGCTTTTGAATCAATTGTGAACTGTTGAATGGGATGGTGTCAGACTATTTATGCGTTCCAAGCCTCACAATTTTTTGTATTAAAATGTGGCTTAAAACATTAGCGTGTAATTTATTCACATTTTAAATTATTCATCAGAGCAGACTGGTATTAATGTGTAATTAAATTTATGTCATTACTTTCATTTTTATTCGCAAGTTCAAAAAATGAAGACTTCACCTGGCTCTCAATTCAATATGGCCGACTCATGAATAGAGCCCTTTGTAAAAAGTCACAGACCACCGAACGATCACGTATTTAAAAAAGGAGATTCACAAAACTACAATATTGAAAGGAACAATTAGGCCAATCAACATTGATTTTTAGGTTTCATCACCGCCTGCCTCAATTTTCACTACTGCCTCGATTTGTTTATATTTTATATTTTTTCTGAAAGTGTGCTTTTTCCTAAAAAAAAAGGTGTAGTTCACAGACAAGTTTCTCACCAAATCCACAGGCACGGTCGCACTGTTTTGCACGCAAACATTGTGCACGACATACTGAGCACATCGCGCGAATTCATAGTGCTAATGCATACGTCATCGTATAGTCAGGAACCATGACGAGGCGACGTGGTATTGATACAATAACGCTCTAGGCACCATACAGAATTTATTATGCTAATGCAATACGTCATCGTATAGTCAGGAACCATGACAAGGCGATGTGGTATTGATACGACAACACTCTAGGCACCATACGGTGAGCGCGTGTTGTACAGTACTCGTGGTCGTAAAGTTTTTAAAGTTTGACATCTAGCTGGCAAGGGTAGACCAATTGTTGCGTTGTTTGAACACTCAGCATGCTCAGTCAACTGTAAACGTAGTCTGCTATAAACTGACGTTTCCCCTTAATTTACTTCGAATGTGAAGAAGTGGAATTTATAAAATATGAAATATAAATTGCCCTCCGACCGATTTTTTCAATCTTTAGTGATGAAAACCTAAAAGTCAATGTTGATTGGCCTTATGAGCAAAAATGTATTCGAATAGTTAATATTTACCTCAATGTTTTTCTCCTGTGCAAGATTAATGAGCTCCAAAGCATTGTCAACCTACACGGACAAATAAATTGCTATGAACATCAAAAATGTTTTTCAAAAAAGAAACTAATAACACTCCGCACTAATGTTAAAAATAGAAGAAGGTACCCAGATCTCAGACAAGCATGCTGTACAAACTTCTCGTGTGAAGATTACGCGCACGTTTGCAGCACCGTTTCTATGCGAATGTATGCGGCCAGGTGTGCATGCATGTGCGCATGTGATTTGGTTCCTGTCCTCGATTCACCGATGATGTTGCACGTGTGTGTCCTCCATTTACACCATAAACAAACGCACAAACACACCCAGACTTGTTTCACATACCTAGTGTAGACTTTCCTTTCTTTTCGTGTAGTTAAGGAACACCAGTGGAAAAACTCATTTTTCTCAAACTGTGAAAACTCTTACAACCCAATTTTTTTTCAATGATTCCCTTTAGAGTTTCTTTTCATTCTGCTACAGATAAACCTAACCCAAAAATGCCTCTAAACCTGTTTTCCAGAAATGGGGAAACACTGTGTGGACGTGGGTAAGTCCACACTTCGTCGCTGCTACCTACATTATGTGGACGTCTTTTGTTCGGAAGTCCACACTGCGTATGTAAGACAAGCTCACCCACACACAGACGGAATACGCGATCTCAATATCCCCCTTTCTGGCTAGAAAGCCAGGGGGATAAAAAATTAACTGAAGTTGACAAACAACGAAAGTAGATAATCGTGAAGTGGGCCGATAATGAAAGCAATGTCAACACAATCTTACCTGACATGACTGCCGTTCTATCATCTTTGCCCTCCAAATGTACCAGTCAGTTAAGAGTGCTGGATTCAACTTGCCGGCCCTTTGAATAATTCGAGCAAGACAAACTAATAATGATGTAAAGTGCTTGAACTAAAGTGCTATCCATTATTATTTTATTACTATTAAAAGGGAATACACAACTTTTGCTTTTTCTGTAATTTTCAGAAATGGATGGATTTTGGGGGTTAGTTTTTTTGTTAGGCCCCCCCCCCAAAAAAAAGTCGGTCTCTGGTCAGACCAAAGTTCCGGAATTTTTTTTTTTTGGCTTTTTTTTTTTTTTTTCAAGCTTGGATTGTACAGACAAGGTGGGTACTATATTTGGCTTTTTTTGTGTCCTCATATACATTGGTGTCCTCCATAATTTGCCTTTGTGTCCTCCACGATTTGCCTTGGTGCAATTTCCCCATTCCTTGGTACAAAAATTTGGTAGTTTTGTCTTTTGATGTTTGCAAATGTTGCATACTCCCTTTAATCTCTAGTTAAAAGCGCTATACAATCCATTATTACTTTATTATTATTAAAACAAAGTTTGACAATAGTTTGTAAAATGCTTATCTCACAGATTCCATTAGAATCAAACAAATTGAATAAAACTTATTTTGTAAAAGTAAAAGAAAACAACTGATTATGTGTCTAAATCAGTTTCTGTCAAAGATTCAAAATCTATCAAAAACCAATTTTAACAGGTCCAACGTTTTATTAAAAAAATCAATAAATTATGCGTTTATACCATGAATATCCACCACTTTCTAACTCAATGAGTTAATCTTATCAAACTAATTCTTTTTTTCTACCATAACCAATGACTTTCCATCAAAACCAATAAATTTCCATCAGAATCCAGAAATATACACCAATTTTATGTTGCTTTTGTGTTACAACTTATAACTAGCAAACCAATGACTTCCTATCAATACCAATGATTTCCATCAAAACCAATATATTCCCATGAGAATCCACAAATATCCACCAACTTCAATATTGCTTTTGTTACCACCTAGCATATCAATGATTTGCTTTCAAGACAATATGACTTCCATCAAAACCAATAAATTCCCATCAGAATCAACAAATATCCACCAACTCCTATTTTGCTTTTGTGTTACCACCTGTAACTAGCAAACCAATGATTACCTATCAAAACCAATGAATTCCATCAAAACCAATTAATTCCCATCAGAATCAACAAATATCCACCAACTTCTATCTTGCTTTTGTACCACCTGTAACTAGCAAACCAATGATTGCCTATCAAAACCAATGAATTCCATCAAAACCAATGAATTCCATCAAAACCAAAAAATTCCCATCAGAATCCACAATTATCCAACAACTTCAAAATTGCTTTTGTGTTACCACCTGTAACTAGCAAACAAATGATTTTCTGTCAAAACCAATGAATTCCATCAAAGCCAATAAATTCCCATCAGATCCACAATTATCCACCAACTTCCAAATTGCTTTTGTGTTACCACCTTCAACTAGCAATCCAATGATTTCCAATCAAAACCAATGATTTCCTTACAAAAGCAATGGTTTCAATCAAAACCAATTAATTTCCAACAGCACCGATTAATACCCATGCAATTCTACTAACCTGAAATGAGCCAGTTCAGGTTGTTCCTCATACAGGAAGGCCCCATAGTCCACGGGGGTTGGGTTGATAGCAGCCTGGCATTGGCGCCCTTCGCACCAATCCTCTGGACGCCTCTCCGCCACCTCCCATTCCAAGACCTCATTCTCAGCATTAGTACTAGTTCCAGGATACAAAGAAAGGAAAATTTGGGTGTAAGCTTATGAAACTAAACATGGAACTTTTTCAAAACCTGCTATAGGTGCCTTCTATTAGCTCACCCGGTCAACTCGGGTTAGCTGTGTGCCGTTGGATTAGCTCCGACGTAATGGGCTCCGTGCGCCAACAAAAGAGGGCGCGCTTTTACAACTTCTGACAGCCCCTTGGACGGGACTCCGTGTGTGCGCACTGTAATCGGCATGACTTGTTTTATCCTCAATGTACACAAAGCCAAGTCACAGCGTCTTTGATCGTGAGCGTCATGCGTCGTTGGCGTGCAAATACTTTCAAATTCAACTTACGATGGTCTCCCACACTAATCCTCGACCCCAATAACTTTGGATCATTCGAAATGCGCAGTGGATGGATCGGGAACCAGTCTAGGTCTCCCCCAACTCTCCTTTTCTGGCCGTTGAAGGGGTACTTGTGCACTGAGCCCATACTTGGGGCTCACCTGGGTCAGCCACCACAGACCCTGCTCGTGGAGCAGAGTCACTGGTGGAAATGTCATACGCATGCGTTGGTCATTCCAAGAAACGGATAAATATGGCGGCCAGACAGCGGAAAAGATCAATTGGACCCAAATATCAGGTATATTTGAAGTCTAAACATAATGATCTCATTGCGACTTTAGAGGCTATAATTGCAGCCCGACCTTGCACGTTTTTTTTGTGATAATTGGAAAGCATTAAAATCTGAAACTAAGGCCCAATCCGACGTGAACGTTTTGCCTATGGTTACAGCCTTGGCTCAGATGTCACGTGAGGATCATGACGGCCCGCAATTGAGGGTTCGATTAGCCCAGCTCTCGTGGCTAACCTGTCTGCCTTTACCTGAGTCGATCTGGGTAAGAGCTACTCGAACTCACCCAATAACTGCTCTACGGTTCACATGACGATCAGCAAAGACTCAGTAAGGGTGCTATCAACAACATGTATCAAATTTAGTCTTGGTAACTTTGGCACTCGGACCCTAGAACTCCACTCCTCATGCGCACGCGCACTAGTCTGGGTATCACCCGTTGTCCAACGGAGCCTTGAGCAAAGACTAGTCTATAAATAGTGCCAACCTCGCTTCAGGGAGAAGACTGCTGTACTCCGTTGGCGTGGTGGTCTCGGGGAAGTTGTTGAGAATCATCAACCAATGAGGTAAGAGGTCGTTGCCATGGTGAGTAAACAGCGTCTCCACCGCCTGCCAATCAGAATCCTGAGTGGAAAAAACAAACCAAAAGACATCTGCACTTGTGAGCAGGTCATCGGTTCAGTTCCACCCCAGAAGCCTTTTTCTGTCAGAAGCCCTTATACTAATCATAAGATGGAATTTGCGTCAGGGTGCTGCAAATTCAATATTTGGTTTTTGCCCTTCACTGACACATAACATATAAACACTGTATACGTAGTGTGTTACCCCACCCCCCACCATCCCCAAACCTCCCTCCCCAACCATCCCCAAACCCCCTCCCCCACGAGTGAAAGTGAGTGCAGACGTCTTACCACTCAACAACCGAGCTTGCTGGGATTGGTTGGCTGGCTCCAATCCGATGTAGCAGCGGGTACGCAATGAAATTATTCGTAAGATGTTCAGACTAAGGGCAAAAAAAATGGCTTCGGTTTCTGGTATGGAGCTTGCCCCAAAAGTGGTGCGGCGATGCAGCTTATTTTTTGTTTTTTTAACTTGGTTTTTTTTTTTTCAAATGCCAGCTGATGACTGCAAATGGTGCCCGACTAAATTTAGTGCAAAACGTATGGGAGCCAAGAGAGGCCACATAAAGCTTATACTCGATCGTAACCCCATCTAAAGACACGTTAAAATTGTGCAGCAGCAGGATTCCAGTCCAACCCGTGAGTTTGGCAGTTTTGAGACATCTTACATTGAAAAAAAAACGTTTTTATTTTGCAAACGAGCATGGCTACGGCGCGCGCGCACAGACCAGAAACCGGAGCCTTTTTTTTGGGGCCTAAGCTGAGTACATGTATATACCTTTATCATGCTGCCACCATCTCAGTCATGTTCCTGTATCCAATAACAGTACTGAAAGATGTTTTTTTGTGTAAATAGGAACCAGACTATTTTTCCTTCCAGCCTCACTTTGGTTACGTTGATTTGAATGGGAAAAAAATCAAGATGGCCGCAACATGATAATGGTCTATATGGTAGCAGACCAGTAAATAAACTTCCATAGACCCCAATGGTAAATGCTCACACTTCAGAAATTCAGGAAAAATACTCACAACTCTCCAAGGTGTTCGAGACACACATCAAATTAAAGCTTATTTCAGCATCTTTCATTTTCTTTTCAATTTTCGGGGGGTTAACTGATGACTTTTAGGAGAAATTTCCATCCAAAGATGATCACCCCTGAAAAAAGTCCTGAAGCCCATCGCCATGTTGAAAAACGATGCCTACACTCCGTTGCAAAATAGAGTGCTTTTAGGGCCCCAATTTCATCCAAATTGAACGGAACTACAAGCTCACAGTCCTGTGCACGGCTTCCACCCATATTTTTTACAAACCCTCAAGTTCATGGCCAAGAGCATGCTTAAATACTGAAGATTTTGAGGGCATGCAAATCGTGATTTGGCCGGCGCAGGCAATTTTGGACCGATTTACTGGTCTGCAACCATATGGGATGATCACAAGTAATGTATGCGACACCTACCCTTGCAAATTGCACAGCTGCTTCCACAATATTCTGAGAGCGGAACGTCTTGAAGAAATGATCGCTGTAAAATCTGGCTGCAGCCTCTCCGCCCCCTAGTATTACCTGTCAAAAAGATGGAAACCAGATCATTCATCCTTGGAAAAACAGAAATCGACTAGGGTAGATTGTACAACACCTGAATAAATCCCCGTCATCTGATTGGTGGATCGTTGATCACATGCCATTGAAATATTTGTACCAATGCACGGCGCGCGCGTGGCGCGCAGCGCACAGTGCAATGGAAATTCTATTGCACGGTGAATAGGACTTTCCATTGCACGGTGTCACTGCTGCTGGTAATGGCGCTGTTTTAAATCAAGATAAATTGAATATGATTGTTCTCAACCTGTTGAACAGTTTGCATTAATAAAATATGATGAACTTGTCGAAATTTTAAACAGTTTTTAAGCTGAATAAATTGGCTATTAAAAGTCAACCAATCAGATGAAAAGGATTTATTCAGGTGTTAAATAAAACAAATAATGAATTTTTCGCGTTCGTGCAATGGAAAGAATAATTTCATTCGGTGACAGATGAAATGTTCCATTCCACTCGGCGAACATTTCATCTGTCACCTCATGAAATTATTCTTACCATTGCACTCACAAACATTCATTATGTGTATAATTTGCCTAGTGGAATGGAACATTTCGTCTGTCACCGAATGAAATTATTCTTACCACTGCACTCACAAACATTCATTAAGTGTATAATGAGAACCCATAACCTCCGGTAAAAAAGTAATGCTTAGCAGATCTGTAGGATGAGCAAAAACTAGCCGATTACCAACCACTAGCAATGTACACATTGTGATATATAGGCTGGTAACCCTTAGTTGCTAAGCAAATATTATCTATGCTCAGCATGGTTTTGTCTTCAGCTGCAGCCGATTTCACGAAAACGTGCGTAGCTCGTGCCATGCGTAAGACTTATGCAACAAATTTGTTGCGCAGCTGCGCAATAAACTAACGATCAATTTCACAAAACTTGGTGTAGCTGCGCAACGTTTGAAATAATTTAAACATCTTGGACGAGGATAAAAACAGTATTTACGACTGCTGTTTGTGTGTGAATTTGTTCTGGCGCGAAACAGTCGCTAGATCACCACAGCCCGCCATTTTGAAAATTATTTTTTCCAACTTTCTTCGGAATAGTTCGGCAACTCTAAAAATTATGTGACGAGTAAAATAGAAATTCATTTACTTCAAACATAAAGTTGTGAGTGTCTTGTATCAATTTTGTTAAGGGCTCTACGACAGTGCCGATTTGCTGGTAAAATATGTCATTTTCAGTCGCTACGCCACAACTTACGCCACCTAAAATGATTGCGCAAGTTACGCCATAATTTATTGCGCAAGTCGCTGACTTACGCACTATCCGACTTTCGTGAAATGTGTCTTAAGTGAAATGTTGCGTAGTGTGAAATGTTGCGCAACTTACGTTATAAATTGTGGCGCAAGCGGTGTTGCGCCATTGCGTAAGGTTTTGTGAAATCGGCTGCAGGTCTAACGAAATGTGCCACTGTATTTGTGCTTCGGGATATGCATCTACTGTGCTCTGGAAGCCGTTGATGTCAGGAACTGGTTCCCTTTATATTTGAACATGAATGGTTTCAAACCCATTTTGAAAATCAAACCAATATTTACCAGGATTCCAAGCTTTAAAATGATATGAAAATATTGGTGGTACGTGTTTCCGCGGCGATGCTAGAGTTTCCCAAAAAGTGTTGCAGGCGTTTTGGGGAATGCTGTACATGTACAAATTTTGTAAATATATTTCTGTTCACACTTTAAATGTCAGTCATTATTTATGCAAATCTGCAGCAAAATTGTTTGACGGAAAAGTTTGTTTTGCCATTTTCAGTTGACGATCACTATGTGACATACATGTACATGATGTAGCAAGACTTTCTTAATTTTAGGATTGAAACAGAATTTCCCCCGTCGTGAAATGGAACAGAGACATTTTGAAGCCAAACAAAATAAATTATAAATCGTGGCCTTGCAGCGGCGTAGACAGGGTTCTCATTCTAGGGGGCGTGTGGGGGGGGGGGGGCTTAAAATTTCATCTGTGCTGAAAGGTAGACAGATTCTTTTCACTGGACAACCGCCCTCCGTAAATTCAAATAGTGGGGGGGGGGGGGGGGGGGGGGGGGGGGTTGACACCATCTTCCCATTGGGGCGCTGTACAAAACGTATATCATGGCTACATTAGACAATAACTACCGCTATTCGCTTTCCAAGAGACGTTACAATAAACAGCTACTTACAAATAAAAAGAGAGTTTTGGTAAAAAATACGCACAAAATCAAGAAAAAGGGACTTTATGTTCTTCCGGCTAATCATGGTAACTTATATGGATGTGTTTTTCTCTGGAAGCCAAATTTTTAGTGGGGGGGGGCTCAAATTTTTGTGGGGGCAGCGAGACCCCCCCCCCCCCCCCCCCCCCCCCCCCCCCCCCCCCCCCCCCCCCCCCCCCCCCCCCCCGTACATTGCTGTGGCCTTAAAAATGTGAAAACACTATACCTCGTATGTTCTGAGTCTGTCGAGATACGTCAACAGTTTGAGACGACATCGACACAACTCTCTCTGCTCAAGGGTCAAACTGAAAAACGAAAAACAAAATTTAAAAGTCCAGATTTTATCATGAAAAAGAAGAAAACGGGAGACCAAAAAGAAAATGGTTAAAGCACATTAGAGATTTAATGAAGAACTCAGGTGATAAAAGAACAAACTAATGACAATATTAGTTATCTTGCGAGCACGAGTGGAACACGGAATAATGTAGTGCGTCTGTGTCCCACATACCACGAGGCCGAAGGCCGAGTGGTATGTGGGACACAGACGCACTACATTTTCCGTGTTCCACGAGCGCGAGCGTGATAACGAATTTATCTTCAAGCAAACTTGACGCGCAGTACAGTTGGAACGAGTACGCTTTACACGGACATTCAGCAGTTTAGCGCATGCAGCTGGAATGGCGCTCGCATCTTGGAACAGCGGAATACACAGAGTGCAGTATGGACCGTGGCCGTGCGGTATGGTTATATGTAGCACGGCTTGTTGCCATGGATCGACCAATCAGGATCGAGGATTCAAGTTTGCTTGAAGATAATCCTAAATAACCCTCCTATGCAAATATAAATTCTGTGCATGTTGTCCTTTCAGTCCAATTCAATCAAGTGACTGTTTTCAACAGTTAGAGCTCCCAGCCTCCATCAAGCAGGATTGACTGGCTGGGACTGTTCATGTAACCTGATGCAGCTATGTTTTGTCTGTAGGGGATTGATAATTATAGCAACCAAGATTGACCAAGTCTGGGTTGCTGCATCACTTGAAAATAACATGTACATGTACGTTTTTAACATGTTGGTCTGAATTTGACGCATGAGGGCGCGTTATGGTACGGTGTGTACAGTGTAGGTATGCAACATGCGCACATTTAGATACAGACCGAGCGCAACCCAGACGTGGCAAAGTCTACATTAGCTCCTGGACCAGCTTAGCCTAAAATTGTTGCTCAGTAAATTTATGTATTAAGCACGAATCGGCGGAGCGCCAATCACAGGCAATATACATTGAATGAGGCTTGGTTGGTACCCCGTTTTTGCTCAGCACATTACTTTTCACGCTCAGCAAAATTCTGTGCTAAACGCCTCAATGAAAATAACCTCTGGTTATTTACTTATATGAACTTTGACCTTTCACCTTTTGAAGTTGACCTGTTGCATCAGTAGTTCTCTTTTCTCTCTGTTAGATGGACCTTGTTCTGTTTCCTTGGAGTGATCTTCATCTACATGCTCCGTGCTATCATCACCCTCGACATCCGAACTTAATATAAACCTGAAAAACAATGCAGTCAAATTTGTATTGAATGCTCGGTCAATACTCAGATCAGTTGTTGGTTGAAGAGAAAAAACTCATTACTTGTCCCGTTCTTATGGGAGACAAGAACGTATCCAAAGGAACATTTCTGTTTTAACTCACCCTGTATATGCATAAATTCAATACATAATAATACGACCAGACTTGTGATCAGAATTTTGACGTACCTTCCGTGATCTTCCCCCTTTCCGATGGCAACCAGCGCTTCCAGATCAGTGCCTCGGAGTCCGTACTGAAGGAGCTCTCTCGCTGCGTCAATGTCATCAGGGACTCTCTCCAGACACTCGTGGAGGACCCAGGCACGCTTGGTGATCTTACTCTGCGACGAGATAGATCCATTTATAGATGAAAAAGAACACGTGCAATCATGCAAATACAGGGTGAGTAAAATAAAAGCCGAACCCAAACCCCACAAATAAGCCTTTTCGGAGTTCCAACTGCGCATTCGTAACCTGTGACAATGCGCATTATTTGTCTCAAATGGCCTTTGACAACATCGCGCCACTGACTTTACAAAAAGGCTGTTTGTGCATTGTGGGTACTGTCAAAGGGCATTTGAGACAAACAATGCGCGTTGTCACAGGTTACGAATGCGCGCAGTTGGAACTCCGAAAAGGCTTATTATATTTCATCTTTAAGGGAGGAGATCAAAAGGATTAGTCCCGTTCCGACGCGAGCGCCCGCGTTCCTCCCGTTCTGAACGGGGATTAACTCAACCCAACAATAGGCCCGTTCTCCCGGGGCAGAACGCCCGGCTTACCAGGCGCCCAGCGAAGAACCCGAGCTCATTAAAAGTCTCATTGTGTGCGTCCTTTGTTATGTTAATGTCCCGTTCTCCCGCGCGCACGGCCGCCAGCAACGGCAGAGGTATGTGAAAAACGGTGATGTAAACGCATGAACAGAATACAGGTAAGTGGGAGTCGGACGGTGAGACAGCAATTCTTCACGGCGGATCTACGTCGGAAGAATATTTTAGATGGCCCAATAATGAATGGTACGAAAGCCCATTAGCGCCACTGCAAGTATATATGTTGCGGATTATTTAATTCGTTATTACGGATTATTAATTCGTTATTACAGATTACTAATACGTTATAACGGATTATTAATTCGTTATTACGGATTATTTAATTCGTTATTCAAATTACTAATTCGTTATAACGGATTATTTAATTCGTTATTACGGATTATTAATTCGTTATTACGGATTATTTAATTCGTTATTACGGATTATTAATTCGTTATTACGGATTATTTAATTCGTTATTACGGATTATTAATTCGTTATTACGAATTACTCATACGTTTTGAGTCATTACTCGGCAACTTAGTACAGCACAGGAGTGGTGCTGGTGTAAAGCAAACGTATGCAAAGATAAAATATATACATAGGCCCCTGGTCACGTGCTCTCCACGTGTGACAACATCAGACTTAATAACGAATTAAATAATCCGTAATAACGAATTAATAATCCGTAATAACGAATTAAATAATCCGTAATAACGAATTAATAATCCGTAATAACGAATTAGTAATCCGTTATAACGAATTAATAATCCGTAATAACGAATTAAATAATCCGTAATAACGAATTAATAATCCGTAATAACGAATTAAATAATCCGTAATAACGAATTAATAATCCGTAATAACGAATTAGTAATCCGTAATAACGAATTAATAATCCGTAATAACGAATTAAATAATCCGTAATAACGAATTAATAATCCGTAATAACGAATTAATAATCCGTAATAACGAATTACATAATCTGCAACATATATACTTGCAGTGGCGCTAATGGGCTTTCGTAGAATGGTCAATGTAAACGGACGTGAAATATAAACTTCTATGTTGGGAAATTGATAATTGTACTGTTGGGCCCAACTGTAAACTTGTTCCACTTGAAATGATGGGTCGAAACAGTTTATAAATCAATTATTTTTATGGGCGGCTTGTTTGAAACAAAAATCATGAGATCAGGTGATTGAGTTGTGATGTGAGAAAATTGAGTGATTTATTTTTAAAAATATATGTCCCTCTCGACTTTCTACCAAAATAACAAAATAGCTAAGATAAGATCATATAAAGAAAATTAAACTAGCTGAGAACTATGAACATGTATTTACACTAAAAGTTCTCATACCAAAATAACATAATAGTGAAGGTATGATCATACTACGAAAATAAAACTAGCAGAGAACTATTTCGGCCGTCAAAATGTACTAATGTGCGCCTTCTTAATACGGTGGCTTATCATTATTCACTCCGAAAATGGTTTTGGGTTACGATACATCGAACGAAAAAAAATTACCAACGTTAGAATAATAAGCTTACAAATTTCAAAATACATGTGGCTCAACAAAAATTTAGCTGGCGCAGGGCTGATCTTTTCATGGAGTTGTATAAAAAAGTGTACTGAAAGCAGATAATAGCAATAGTGATCGTTAAAAATTTTGAAAACGCGATAATTATTATTATATTGATATATTTCGGCCCTCAGAATGTACTAATGTGCGCCTTTTTTTCATTACGGTGGCTTTTCATTATTCACTCCTAAAATGGTTTTGGGTTACGACGCATCGAACAAAAAAATTCCCAACAACGTTAGAATAATAATTTACAAAAGTCACCAAAATAACATAATGGTGAAGGTATGATCATACTACGAAAATAAAACTAGCAGAGAACTATATTTCGGCCGTCAAAATGTACTAATGTGCGCCTTCTTAATACGGTGGTTTATCATTATTCACTCCGAAAATGGTTTTGGGCTACGACACATTGAACAAATAAAATCTCACCAACGTTAGAAAAATAAGGTTACAAATTTCAAAATATATGTAATTGTGGCCCAGCATAAATTTAGCTGTCGCAGGGCTGACCTTAACTGTCAAAATACGCTACACGCGTAAGGAAGCAGCAACCTTCCTACACTTTCCATTCAGACCGTCTCTGATCTTGTTGAGACCGGCCTCATCAAAGTCCCGCGGGAAGTCGAGTTTGGCCTGTGCGTAGATGGCCTTGAAGGTGGGATGTTTTCGGAGAGCCTCTTTCCGAACCCAAGTCTTCCCGTTGAATACATTTCCACCGTGGAAGTTGGAGCGTGCCAGCTCATCCGGCCGGATGAGTCTCCCTACCAGTTTTATGATGAGGTCCTTGGCATTGTTCACCTTCGCGAATACGTCGTCAAACTCGCTTTTGGTCATAACGACCGAGTGTTCGTTAGACCCTACCAGCACCCGTTCGTCCTCGAGTTGGCAATAGTTCGGCTCTCGACCGCTGAGCGGGCGAGATCCCCGTTTCTCCTCCTTGAGCTCCTGGACTTCCGCTCGTAGCTCCTCCACAACCCTTGTAAGGCCGTGCAGCTTTGATAGAATCAAAGCATTCTGAGTGATGATGCTTTGCTGCAACTGACGATCTCCCATGAATGACAGATCGAGCAGCAGTGACGAGTCGTTTGCTGTCTCGCCCGGGGGCAGGGTGGTGGGTTCCGAGACGGCTGGGTCTTCGTCCGGGGGCTGGGTGGTGGGTTCCGGGACGGCTAGGGCTACGTCCGGGGGCTGGGTGGTGGGCTCCGTGACGACTGGGGCTTCGTGCGGGGGCTGGGTAGTGGGTTCCGGGACGGCTAGGGCTACGTCCGGGGGCTGGGTGGTGGGCTCCGTGACGACTGGGGCTTCGTCCGGGGGCTGGGTGGTGGGTTCCGGGACGGCTAGGGCTACGTCCGGGGGCTGGGTGGTGGGGTCCGGGATGACAGCTTGGGCTTCGTCCGGGGGCTGGGTAGTGGGTTCCGGGACGGTTAAGACTTCGTCCAGGGGCTGGATGGTGGGTTCCGGGACGGCTGGGGCTTGGTCCAGGGGCTGGGTGGTGAGTTCTGAGATGGCCAGGGCTTCGTTTGGGGGCTGCCTGGAGACGTTGGAGGCCATCTTAAGAGCAGCCAGCGGTACGTCATCATCATCATCGTCTGAGCTATCTACAAGTCTCTCTGAAAATAAAGCACAGAAATACGCAAAATAAGGTCCACAATTCTCAATTGTGTAAATTCTGGAATACACTGATTGACCTGTGCAATTATTCGATCATTTTTGTTTACGCAGTTTATTTTTATTATGCCCATCCCCATTATATCGCGTATCGATACCAATGATTTGGCCGTCCTTATAATTCCTTGGACCAAATAAAAAATACCTTTGGTTCGGATCACCCGACCGACCCAAATAGGTGACATATTAAAAGTGATGGATTTCAGTCTGAAACATCCAGAAAACACATTCTTAAAAGAGCGTAGGCCTAAGGGTAGTTTCAGGTTTTTTTTTTAGTAATGTTTCAGTTTTTTATTGATATATTGGTGGCATCTCAATACCGAAAGAAAGCATCGTGGCCTATAATTAAGTTACGTCTGGTCCTTGTGTCTCATGATCATGTTCCGCCGTATACGTGTGCATGCGTCATGCATTTTCTGCGCTAGCTAGCTTTTTACAGCTCAGCGCGGTATTGCGTGCTAGGGGAATCCCCACCCACGGCAATGTCTGTACGGGGTACCCAACAAGCAATTCTATTGGTTGACCGCAAGCTACACCACTTTTTAGCCTAGGGACGCCATGCATCATGGAAACCTATTTTCAATGACATTTTTGGGAGAAATTGTTGGGAATCAAGGAAGCAAAGTGTCCCAACGATTTTGTATTTAACTAAACGCTTTTAGGTTGCTGAAAGCAAGTCTTTGTTAACATCGCGTTAGCCAATAAGAAAATTCGTTATGCGATATCATTCCACCCATGGCCACGTGCTTTCGCATGTGTAGACTTCACATCGGATCGGCGGACGGCCGTCGCACGTAAGTTTCGTGCCTTTCGTTGTTCGGCTCGCATCACGTGCACGCCAGACTGCCGCTTAGCTCCAGACATCGGAGAATGAGAACATTTTCAAAAATTACAAAAAGGAAATCTCTCCCAATGATTTTTCGAAATGACATTCAGGGAATCCTTTGTCAAAACTATTGGGAAGTTGACGACGATTTTTCAAGTGATCGCTGCAAGAGGCTAACCTGACGAATGCAAGTTATACGCTGGGCCTGGTGCCGGCCACCGCTATCTCGCTGGTTTTTAGAAATTCAATTTTAAAATAGAAATTTGCAGGTTTTGCCCTTTACAATATTGGTAAGAGTTCCCCAGCTACTTACCTATTTTCCCATGGTGTCCGTCTTCAAAATTCTATTTAGTGTAGTAGTCGCTGAATTAAACCTTGCCGAGACTTTTGCAGGACTGTAGTGTACCTGAATCGCCGAAGATCGTGGTTCGTGGCAGGGCCAAAGTTGTTTGCTGTGATCACACCTAAATACACCCACAGACCATTTACACACCTAATCCGTCTCCGGTATAAATAACCCACATTTCACAAACCTATTTAAATGTCCATTCCGTTATGAATCTTATTAACACCATGACAAATGTTGCTACCTTCCCATTCAGTTTTGATAACTTCACATTTTGGCAAGTTCCCCTCTGATGAAAGTTACAATCTACGAAATGTGTTTTAAAAAGAAAAGAAAAATAATCTAGGCCTACATAATCGTGAGAAGGAAAACAAAAAAAGTTCCGTCAAGGTTGTTCCCCAATAATTTTTATCCCCTTCTATTTTTGTCCAATACCGACATTACTGTAGCAATTATCTCACACACCACCAAGCTTTTTGTTTCCCGGCTAAACAGCAACGTTCGGGGAGTAAATTGTTGCACATTTCCCTTTAATACACACAATTATAAAACGTGTACGTGTAACTCTACTTCCCGAGACGTCTTCTCAATTTGTTGAACATTTTAACAAAATAATTCGCTATCCATCTTCAACTATACATCGCCTGCAAGAGATGAAAAAGCAACAAACATTATTTTATCGCAACCATTACACGTATTTCCAAAGTCTCCTTGTCAACTTCAGTGTGGTCGATGATTCTTCGGATATTATTTGTTCAGTTCCACTATCCACGGTCGTCACCACACAGTTCTATTGTACTACCGCGCTGTGGGCACTCAGCGTGACCATTTCATTGTGCTATTGTTAGGCAATTTCGGGCGTGATCCCGCGATCGGAACGGGGCCCAGGCGAACGCGGGCGCCCGGGGGGATTAGGAACAATAGGCCCGTTCCTCCCGTTCGCTCGCGTCGGAACGGGAAAAATCCTTTTGATCTCCTCCCTAAATACGTTGATCCAAACATAATAATGACTGGAAAGCCAATTTCATCAACTACTTTTAGATGAAAATACAGGGTGTTTCCAAAAAAAAAAGGAAACTGAGCTTATTTTGTTGATTTCTCAGATATGGCTAATTATTTTGGAAAATGGTAACCACCATCTGTTACATAACCGTGTCTTCTTTCTTATGATAGTGAGATCCCCATCCCCCACGGATGACTGAGCACGAAGTGAAACCGACATGCCAGAAATGGCCTTGCACCAGGTGGCATTTTTGTGGCTAAACTCTGACTGCCCAGTGCAGGCATTTGGTGGCACGCAGTTATGCAAGTCTGGCCCCATTTCAATTTCACCATACCCGTGTTCATGTCTTCTTAAAAGACTGTGCACAGTGGGGTTAACGGGGACAGTGATAAACCTTGATATGTTTTAGCAATTGAATAAATGACTTTGATAATGTACGTTCTGGATTTTGTTATTTTCAACATGCTGAAAACTGTCAATTGGTCTTATGGTGCATGTGGTACAAGGCCATTTCTGGCATGTCAGTTACATCACTTGGTGCTCAGTCATCCGTGACGGTAAAATGGAGTTCGTATTGTGTCAAGAAAAAGAAGACATGGTTATGTTACAGATGGTGGTTCCATTTTCCTATATAATTAGTCATACCCGAGAAATCAACAAAATAAGCTCGGTTTCCTTTTTTAAAACACCCTGTAGTACTGAAATTGCTCAATTCGTTCAAAGAATACCACCATTTAAACACAATGACCGTTAAACTTGTCTCGTCCAAAAATGAGATTTCAAGAATCGTCGTCACAAGTGTCTTCAAACATCACCAGACGCAATGACAATGACACATTTTCATTGTGAAAAATGACACTGACACAACAATGACACGTTTTCTTTTTGTCTACTTCAGTGTTAATAATCTTACAAGGACTGTAGCAAATGATGCAATGACGAAGGCAAATTGTGTCCCGAAAGACTTAAGTCCGCAAAACAGATAACTCACCAAGTAATCCTGTATCGCTGCGATAGAGACGCGAGCCTTTCTCCACTGTCTCTGATAAACAAGATCAGCGTCAAGATGGAAACGTCTCGCCAAGACCAGAGCTTCACCATACTCCTCATTCTCAATCTGGCGATAAATCAAGAAACAAAAGTCACTTCTTATCAAAGGTTGGGGAGTCAGGTTGGCGTAGTGGTTCTTTCCTCGCCTTCCACCGCTGTGACCCGGGTTCGAATCCCGCCTGGGCCAATATGTGGATTGGGTTTGCAGTCCCTGCCTGATTCCGTGGGTTTTCCTCAGAATATTCTTCTGGGGTTTTCCTCCCACCTCTAAAACTGTAATTTCTTCTCACTGTCTCCTCTGTACAGGTTTCTCCAGGCTTGCGAGCTACAGTGCTTAGGGAGCTTTTGAGGAATCCTTGGTTTCATTACCAGAAATGATTAATAAGAGTACAGTGGAACGTCGCTATAACAAACATCGTGGGATCCACAGATATTGTCTGTAATAGCGATCGTTTGGTAAAGCGATTTTCACACATTTTTGGCGCCCTCTTTTGATCATTGTTAATGTGTAGCTGCATTTACAAACCACGCGCAGAGTCGCCAAACTTGCCCATTAAATATTTTCAATTCCGTAGCAGACCTTCACCAAGTATGCCCTGGTAGTTACTGAAAGATGACTTCAAACACGTGCGACTATTGAATTATGTAATTACACAATTTTTAATAATAGCCATTTGTCCCTCTTCTGTTGACATTTCCAACAACAATATTCGGTACGTTTTGTACACTAAAATTGGGAGCTAAGGCTGATGTTGGGTATAGCCGAATGTTCAGTATAGCAGTGTTCGGTATAACGACGTTCCACTGTAGTAGCAATAGTTGCATAATTTTGTATTTCTGAGTGTAAAAAAACAACACATAGATTCTTTGAAACTGCTCAAGAGCCTTTTACCTCACGAGTCAGATAAAACCTTAACGGTAGAGTAGATCATTTGTCATTTGTGCAATTGTTTTGTTTGAGGCAACAAAGAAGCTTTAAATCTAAAGACAACTATTCTGATGAAGTTTTAGATTTGTGAATGCTGTATATTCCGAGAAAACAATATTCTAGGATCTTGATTTCAATTCAAAAGTTGCTGAGTCATGTTTTGAATTGCATCTGAAATCAGCATCCGGGACATGTTCTCATTCAGCCGATTGCAGCTACGCGATGTCATGCCTGATGAAGTTTTAGTTCTGTGAATGCCGTATATTCTGAGAAACCAATATTCTAGGATCTCGATTTCAATTCAAAAGTTGCCGAGTCATGTTTTGAAATGCATCCGAAATCAGCATCCGGGACACGTTCTCATTCAGCCGATTGCAGCTAGGCGATGTCACGCCTGATGAAGTTTTAGCTCTGTGAATGCCGTATATTCTGAGAAACCAATATTCTAGGATCTTGATTTCAATTAGGAAGTTGCCGAGTTAGATTTTGAATTGCGCCCAAAATCAGCATCCAGGACATATTCTCATTCAGCTGATTGCAGCTACGCGATGTCACGCGCTGAACTGACGAATAATAGCAACTGTGCGTTGTGTCAACACTTGTGCTCACCTATTCACGGCTTCGCCAAATTAAAACAAACGGAAATTCCAAAAATGTGTCATTCATTAGAGGCATCTTTGGAAACGACCTTCTTTTATTGTTTTCTTCAAAATGACAGCATGCCAGAGAGAATAATTTCACAGGGAGTTCAGTCCCATTACTATCTTTAAAGATATAGTCCACCATTTGTAATTTGTGCATTTTGTTCATTTGAAGCAACAAAAGTGCTCAAAATCTAAAGAAGGGTACTGAACAACTAACCTGATGAAGTTTCAGCTCAGCTTCAGCTGTATATTCTGAGAAAACAGCATTCTAGGATCTCAATTTCAAATCAAAAGTTGCTGAATCATGTTTGGAATTGGGCCTGAATTCAGTGTCCGAGACACATTCTCACTGAGCCGATTGCAGCTACGCGATGTCGCACACTGATCCGACGAATTATAGTGCGTCGTGCCAATGCCAATGCTCGCCGAATAACAAAACGAACTACTAATTTAAATTTCCTAAAAGGCCTTCTTTCGTTGATTACTTCAAAATGACAGCTTGCCAGAACAAATAATTTCACAGGGAGTTTAGTCCCATTACTATCTTTAAACCAAGTACATGTATGCTTTTCGAAAATAATTTTGTCAGTTACTTTTTGGATAGCTGCAAATGACGGACCCTACCTTTAACAGCATTTGGATATATTTGATAGTTAGCTCACCCTTCTGGCATATAGCTCTTCTGGTGTCGTCTTCTGGAGACTCACGAGACGATAGGTTCGACTAACAACTCTGTCGACAGCAAAACAAACTTGAATGATTGTTTCCTTTCTTTGGCGTTTAGCAATGCGTCTTGCAGTTAATTGTATAGAGCATCTACTTGTCTTGAACTACAGGGTGAGTAAAAAAAAACGAAACCCAAATGTCGGGACCATTGTTTTAGTGAAGTTCTGCATGAAGCACTTTCAAAATCTAGGGTATCAAAGCCCAATTCATAAGCTTTCTTTTAGTACAAGAATCATTCAAATCACTCACGCACTTTTGAAGTTACGGAATTTTAAACATAACCACCGTTTTATAGTTCTGTCCACGGATCAACAGAAGGTTAGTGTTCTTTCAGCAAAACGAAAACAAATCACATAGGGATGTGTGTAAATTGTTTCGCTTTGCTGAAAGAACGCAAACCTTTTTTTGTGATCCGTGGACAGAACTTTAAAACGGTGGTTGTGTTTAATATTCCGTAACTCCAAAAGTACATGAGTGATTTGAATGATTCTTGTATGAAAAAAAGCTTATGAATTGGGCTTTTATATCCTAGATTTTGAAAGTGCTAAATGCAGTAAAAACAGAAGTCCCGACATTTGGGTTTTGCTTTTTTTTACTCACCCTGTATATTACATTTATACACACAATGAAGAACTAGTACTCAAGTATATTGCAATTTTTTTTCCGGGATTTAGTAAAATTAAAAATTGATCTGATTTGCAAATTTCTGAACTGATTTGGAGTTTGACTTACTTGGGGCGTTTTCTTGGTGGCTGAAATCTCTCACTCTCTGTGACAAAATACATCGCCTGAAGAGACATAAGAATGTTCATGTTTTAGTCTTGGAGCATTTTTGCTATGGACTTTGTGCACAAATACCCCATCAACGGCCAGAAAAGGAGAGTTGGGGTTACCTAGACTGGTTCCCAATCCATCCACTGCGTATTTCGAATGTATTCAAAGTTATTGGAGGCGGGGATTAGTCTCGGAGACCATCGTAAGTTGAATTCGAATGCATTCGCGCGCCAAGTATGCCTGATGCTCACGCGAAGACGCGGTGGCTATAGCTTTTGCGCGTTCAGGAAGTCGTGCGTACTTTGCGCGCGAACCAGTACAGTACAGTACGCACACGCTGTGTGTCCTGTCCGTAAAAACGTGCTCCCTTTTGTAGGCGCACGGAGACCATAGGCTCAGTTTTACTTTTTTCTGTATTTCTCATGATTTCCAGCAATTGGCGCAGTGTGCGATGAGGTCTGAAGGCGGACGTGAAACGTTATTTAAACACCCTTTTGCTGGTTCATCCCAAGGACAAGTTGGAACCTCAACAAAAAGCAGAGGTAATCTATGAAATCCCATGCTCTGGTTGCCCCAAAAACTACATCGGTGAAACGGGCCGTGCTTTCGGCACTCGCCTACTTGAACACAAAAAAGAGGTCGAATTTTTTTTAAAACTGACCCTGCACCCGCTCATCCTCCGTTACCGAGCATCATAAGTCGGCAATTACCGACCACGGTTGCGGCTACCAACCACACCATAAAATGGGACAATGCCATGGTATACAAATAATGAATGTTTGTGAGTGCAATGGTAAGAATAATTTCATGAGGTGACAGATGAAATGTTCCATTCCACGCGGCGAAGCGAAGAAATTATTCTTTCCATTGCACGAACGTGCAAATTATTCTTTCCATTGCACGAACGTGAACATTCATTATTTGTTTTATATAACACCTGAATAGATCCTTGTCATCTGAATGGTTGACTTTTAATAGCCAATTTATTCAGGTTAAAACTGTTTAAAAGTTCCACAAGTTCATCTATATATTAATGCAAACTGTTCAACAGGTTCAGAACATTCATATTCAATTTATCTGAATTTAAAACAGCGCGCCACCAGCAGCAGTGACACCGTGCAATGGAAGTTTTATTCACCATGCAATATAACTTCCATTGTACTGTGCGCTGCGCGCCACGCGCTCGCCGTGCGTTGGTACGAATAATTCAATGACATGTGATCAACTATCCACCAATCAGATGGCGGGGATTTATTCAGATGTTGTATAATGATTGATATAGAACCTGACAAAGCAACTGGATGGCTCAGGGAGGCCATATGGATCAGATGTAGGGTGGAGAACACTCTCAATAAAGACGACGGGGCATACAAGCTCCATAACATCTCAGACCAACTAAGTAAAATGACCAAGCAGTTCTTGAACGGACCTGTTTCATGAGTTTAGTGCTCCTCATGAGCATAGTAGCATCCTCATCGCTGTCCTCATCACTGTCGTCATCTTCATCGTCTTGAGGAGATTGGTTCTTACTGTCGTCATGGTCGCGATCAGATGGAATGCGGCGACGCTTCAAGGCTGAGGTTTTACTCTCACACTATGTCAAAATTGAAGAGCAAAAAAATGACAAGGTTGCAGTGGTTTGCTGAGGATTCATACCCATAACGGAAAATCAATTTAATTGAAATATTTTGGCTCTTAAATTTTAAAGACACGGCTTTTAATGAATATGATCCCAAAGATGTTTTGTTTGTTTGTTTGTTTGTTTGTTTGATTTCGGGTGTTTTTATTTGTTTATTTATTTGTGAGTGACTTGTGATTGGCTTGTGATTGGCTTGTGATTGACTTGTGATTGACTTGTGATTGACTTGTGATTGGCTTGTTATTGACTTGTGATTGACTTGTGATTGACTTGTGATTGGCTTGTGATTGGCTTGTGATTGACTAGTGATTGACTTGTGCATGATTTGTGATTGACATGTGATTGACTTGTGATTGGCTTGTGATTGGCTTGTGATTGATATGTGATTAACTTGTGATTGGCTTGTGATTGGCTTGTGATTGGCTTGCGGTTGGCTTGTGATTGGCTTGTGATTGGCTTGTGATTGACTTGTGACAGACTTGTGATGGACTTGTGATTGACTTGTGATTGACTTGTGATTGACTTGTGATAGACTTGTGATTGACTTGTGGTTGACTTGTGATGGACTTGTGATTGACTTGTGATTGGCTTGTGATAGACTTGTGATTGACATGTGATTGACTTGCTATTGAAATGTGATTGACTTGTGATTGACTTGTGATTGACTTGTGATTGACTTGTGATTGATTTGTGATTGACTTGTGATTGACTTGTGATTGACATGTGATTGACATGTGATTGACTTGCTATTGAAATGTGATTGACTTGTGATTGACTCGTGATTGACTTGTGATTGACTTGTGATTGTCTTGTGATTGACTTGTGATTGTCTTGTGATTGACTTGTGATTGACTTGTGATAGATTTGTACCTCAATCGACAGGAAGCCTTTGTCTGAGGCTCTGTTGACCCTTGGTGCCGGCTCAAACCATTCACTGGAATCACCCAGGAGATTAGTCAGGTGCCTGGTGGAGGCCACAGCCACAGCGCCTGAATACCTAGCCAGGATCAAAGCCTGGTGAAACAGGAACAAGACTAAAAATATTAACATTGGGACAATTAAAATGCTGCAGTATGTAAATTTGGACCTTCGGAAAATTACAATGCGAAATGTTACAGATATCTTTCAGGAAAAATCTAGAACTTTTGTGTCATCGATAAGTTTTTACCTTTTGTGACCAAAAGTTGATGTCGATCAAAGAGTTTGGGGAAGGAAGGCCTGTGAATACAAGAACACCATACGTACTGTTATTGATGGACACAGACAGAGAGCCAAGCAGGCGGACAAACAAACAGAGAGCCTGACAAGGAATAAAGGAAGACCAAGTGAGTGATTACCTTCGGCTGGTTTCTTCCTGGATGGAATCAGAATGTTTGGATTCTTTTCATCATAACCGGGCTAAAATGGAAAACAACGAAACTTGAAAATTAATCACTAGAATATCAGCAACACTTCGATATTCATTTACAAGGGTTTTTGGATGATCACATTTTGGATGACTTCATGATGACATCACACATTTTTCAAAATTGTGTACATATGCCTGTTACCTAACAAACATAATACAAAAAGAATTTTGAATTTTGCATGTTGTGTTCATGAGATAAGGCTTAAAGGTCCAAAAATTCAAAAAAATCTTATTAAATTGCAAGATGACGTCATCATGATGTCACCTCAATTTTTACCTATAACACATCCCGGTCTACCTACATACCGAGTTACAACCCAATCGGTCTTACAGTTCTGTAGATATAGGACTTCAAAATATGCATGTTTGTGATGACATCACTTGACCCAGGATTACGTCATCATGACGTCACACTTCGGGGTACATCTCTGCTATAAGGACTATGACTATGCTTTATACTTTGAATGATGTATGACAAAGATTAATGCCAAAAGTGGCACTGAGAAAAAAACATGTACAAAGTCTATGGGATTTAGGCGACAAAAAGAAGAAGGAAGAAAGAAAAAATGAAAAAAAAAAGAAAAGGCTTTTTATTTGCAAAAAAGCCAAATATTGACAATATATCCAAAATACCAGTATGTTCTAACTGTATGAGTTTAAAATAAAAAAGAGGGAAAAAAGGAGGCAGGCGCAGCAGGACATAGGAAGCAAGCGGGGACAAGAAACTGGTTTGTTTCCTTCCTTGGCCTTTTTCACATCCAAATTTGGAGAAGTGTGAAAAAATTTGATACAGTCCGGTTGAGTTAAATTTCTACTTTTCTTTTATTGACAAACTCACACTTTCAGAGAGTTAGTACCATTTATTTAAAGCTATAGTCCATCATTTGCAGCCATCAGAAAAAGTAACTGGCGTATTATTGTTGAAAAACATAGTTGGTTGAAAGATAGTTAAGTGGACTAAACTCCCTGTGAAATTAATCTTTCTGGCAAGCTATCATTTTGAAGTAATCAACAAAAGAAGGCCTTCCCAACGATGCGTCTTAACCATAGGAAAATTTAACTTAGTAGTTCGTTTTGTTATTCGGTGCAGCGCGCGCAAGCATTGGCATGACGCACAGGCGCGCGCAGTTGCTATAATTCGTCAGATCAGTGCGCGACATCGCGTATAGCTGCAATTCATAACAATTCCAAACATGATTCAGCAACTTTTGATTTGAAATCAAGATCCTAGAATGCTGTTTTTCTCGGAATATACAGCTGAAGCTTAGCTGAAACTTCATCAGGTTAGTTGTTCAGTATCCTTCATTAGATTTGAACACTTTTGTTGTTTCAAATGAACAAAATGCACAAATTACAAATGATGGACTATATCTTTAAAACCTGACATGATCACCTGATTTTCGGGAGACCAGCTCCCCCTATTCTTGAGAGATGGTATGTCCCACAGTGCAACCACGCCCGATTGCTGAACGGTGACCAATTGCTGACCGTCCGGTGACGTGCACATCTTGTAGATACCGTCCTGAGTGGGAAGACCAAAATGTGGACGTCATTATCTACATGTGGCACATCATTTAGTCGTCAACATCATTTCCATTTAACGTCCATTTTTCCCACGCTGTGGGTGAGACGTTGTCTTTCTTTAACCCTCCTGCTATTTAAGCAGTCACAGACAGTCAAAATTCACTTCCACTTCCCCTGCTGAACTTTTAAAGGGAAGATACAACATCTGCAAACATCACACAACGAAATTATCAAATTATCAAGAAATACCTTACTGGACTGTTCTAAAAGGAATGACAGTCTAAAGCATCCTGTAAAATCATGGCTCCTGTTGTGCTGAAATTTTCAAGAAAAAAAGTATTTTTCCAACGCTGGTCGGCCGACCAGCGTTGGAAAAAACTGGTGTTTCAAAAACTGCTCCGAATTTTCATAATTAGTTATTCCGCATTTTCTTTGCAATTGATTACACACATGTGAAGGGGTACAAGTCTGCTAGACTGATTCTCTGACCTTACAATTCCCCAAAGTCTATAAATTGCTCTGTTTCATCTTAAGTGGGGTCAGGGAACAAGACTGCAAGAACATGATTGGTTTTCTTGGTTTTTCCAGAATCTACAAGCCCAAAACATGAAAAAAGTCATTTTAACAATATTTGCTGTAACAGGCTAATACTCAATTTTTGAATGAAAATTGCAGCAAAAGCAAATGCTGTACATTCCTTTTAACAAAAGCTAGTCACCAGCAGTCAGATCATATGTCAAGCAAGCACTGTGACTAGTCAAACTGGGTCGACAGACAAAGCAGGCAAGTTGTGGTCACAGCTGTTTTATCACTCACCTGGGGGCAAAGCATAGCTGTATCAAGTTACTTAATCAGTCCCAGCCAGTCAATCCTGCTTTATGTGGGATTGGAACTCTTAAGGGTTGAAAACAGTCACTTGATTGATTTTGACTGCAAGGACAACTTGGCACAGAATGTACGTTTCCATGGGAGGGTTAACCCTCTTGCTATCTGAACAGTCACAGACAGCCAAAAAATCAATCCTCTTCCCTGCCATGCCTTTTACACAGGCTAGTCAATAACAGTCAGATCATATTTCACGCAAGCACTGTGACAAGTCAAATCAGTCAATAGTCAAAAACAGGCAAGTGGTAGGCACAGCTGGCTTATCAGTCACCTACAGTCAAAGCATAGATGTATAAAGTGACAAACACAGTCAAAACCAGTCAATCCTGCTTTATGTAGGCTTCTCAGACAATGGAAAAGAAAGGTTTAGAATGCCATTTGAAAAATATAAACCAGGCTACATTGAAAATCAAAACAGATTTCACGTCTATGTGCATTTTAACGTGACACAGATGACATTCCCCAAATTTTAGTTACGCTGTAAACCTATCCGCTCCGTTCACAAGTACCCCCTCACTGGCAAAGAAGGTACAGTTGGGGGTGACCGACCGATGCCATCTTGCCCGACTGTAATTTATTTGGAGCGAAGCGCGGCCACTGCATGTACATAGCACAAGTCCTCTGGTGTGTGTGCGTCACGCACAAGGAACGGTGCGCGTCAACCAGCGAGATGTCCCGTCCATGGGACGTCGTTGCTAGGTAAAACGGCGCCCTCTTTGTCGGCGCAGGGAGCCCATTAAGCCCTTCAGACAACTTCCAGGATTTGAATGTTAGAGTTGGGTTCCTTTAATATGGGTATCCGGGTAACCGTGGATTTATTCCAATGGGGTACCAGTTCGCTAACTACCCGTAAATGCACACTGCTAGTCAAGCCAGGCAATGTAATAGAGGGGCAATAACATGATGACACAAATGAAATCTTGGGAATTTTGGCAACAGGACCCACGAAGTTCCGAGCCCATATCAAGCAGGCTTAAATTCAAACTAATGCACATGTGTGAGGTGGGCTCAGAACAAACTGACTAAATCATTAGCTTCCAAGACTTTGCATACCTTTTTGTCTGTTCTGTTGAATATTGAAATTGATGTCATCTTCCTCAGCAGACGACGGGAACTTCCAGACTGAGAAAAAAAAAACAGAAAAAAAACACCGCATGCCTGAAGTTTATATGATTTACAAAATCAATATATATGAAATACTGCAAGTAAAACTTGCGCCATCCCCCTGGCAAACTTTCTGTCCATGTTACGTACGTAGCACTGTGAGCATAAAATATCTTGTCAAGAAAGTTTTAAATTCTTTAAAAGCACAATCCTCAGCAATGGGCTGGGAATGTACAAGTGTAAAATAGGACAAACAACTTGATGTTATTATCCTGCTTCATTTCCCAATCCCATGTCACACTTTTGTACCCCTTTAGCGCGGAAAGGCCCACATGTTAGAGTCATTAGTTATAATGAGCTGAGCTCTCCAGAGACCTCGTAAATATCCATATTGGAAAGGATTTTTTTGACATTGGCCTTCTCTCCACAGACCACCTTTCAAGTTTGGTTGAGATTGATGACTGAACTTACAGTGAACTGGAACACACACACACTGACACACCGACACACGGACATACAGATGGAACACGCGATCCTCATTAGATGTCATTAGTATCTCTCCAGAGACCTCCTAAATATCCATATTGGAAAGGATTTTTGGACGTCAGCCTTCTCTCCACAGACCACCCTTCAAGTTTGGTTGAGATTGATGACTGAACTTTACAGTGAACTGGAACACACACACACGGACACACAGAAGGAATACGCGATCGCAATATCCCCCTGTCTGGCTTGAAAGCCAGAGGGATAAAAATAAAATCTGTACATTAATATCCATATTTTTCGTGAATTACATAAAATCTGCACCAGTTGGCTGCTCCGTATCTCTTACAATCTCACCTTCTTGATCTCATCCGAGTAGTCAGTCACCAGCTTGTAGTACGGTTCCTCATCCAGCCTCCTCCACGCGCTGATGCCATGTCTTGCTGCCATGGTAACCGCATCTTGCCCCTCCTCCTGCGAGCAGGAGCCAATCAGGAGCAAGGAGCGGGTCGGCAGGTAGACAGCGCTACTGACGCCCAACGGATGCTCGCTGCTAAACTGGAAACTGTGGTTTAGGATGTAACCATCTGTTGGACTGAGGAAGGAAACAAATAAAGTTTAACTTAAAAACATTATTGCTTTAAAAGTATCGTCCATCATTTTTCAATTTGTGCATTATGTTTGCTTGAAGCAACAAAAGTGCTCAACATCTAAAGAAGGGTGCTGAACAACTAACCTGATGAAATTTCAGCTCAGTAAATGCTGTATATCCCGAGAAAACACTATTCGGGGAGCTCGATTTCAAATCAAAAGTTGCTGAGTCATGTTTTAAATTGGGCCTGAATTCAGCATCCGAGACACGTTCTCACTGAGCCGATTGCAGCTACGCCATGTCGCGCACTGACCCGACGAATTATAGCAACCAGGCGCGTGTGCGTTGTGTCAATGCTTGCGCACGCTTCGCGAATTGAAAAAAAACGAACTACTAACGGAAATTTCCTACGATGCTTCTTAGACATATCGTTGGAAAGGCCTTCTTATTTTATTGATTTCTTCAAAATGACAGCTTGCCAGAAAGAATAATTTCACAGGGAGTTTTGTGCCATTACCATCTTTAAACCAAGTATGCTTTTCAACAATAATTACGTCAGTTACTTTTTGGATAGCTGCAAATGATGGACTGTACCCTTTAAAGCTGGAGTCCATCATTTGCAGCTATCCAAAAAGTAACTAGCGTAATTATTGTTGAAAAGCATACTTGGTTGAAAGTTAGTAATGGCACTAAACTCCCTGTGGAATTATTCTTTCTGGCATGCTGTCATTTTGAAGAAAACAATAAAAGAAGGTCATTTCCAAAAGTGACGCATCTTTGGAAATTTCCACTAGTAGTTGGTTTGTAATTCGGCAAATCCGTGCATGGGTGCGCGCAAGCGTTGACATGACGCCCACAAGCACACGCGGTTTCTATTATTCGTCAATTCAGTGCGTGACATCGGGTGGCTACAATCAGCTGAATGAGAATGTGCTCCGGACACTGATTTAATGCACAATTCAAAACATGACTTGAAAACTTTTGAATTGAAATCGAGATCCTAGAATATTGTTTTCTCGGAATATACAGCATTCACTGAGCTAAAAGTTCATCAGGTTAGTTGTTAAGCACCCTTATTTAGATTTGAAGCACTTTTGTTGTTCAAAAAACAAATGCACAAATGACAAACGATCTACCCTACCTTTAAAATTAATCATTGGAAAAGATTGCAGATGGACCGTGGGTAAACTTCTTGTAAAACATGAGAAGTAAGGGTATGAAGAATATCTTCGGTACTCGTTATCTTACCTGACTAAGTAGCTATGGAGGCTGCCGTGGTAAGTTATCACAATCAACTCAGCTGACCTATAAAAATTTTAAAAAGCTGAATATTAGTGGACAAAGTCTAAAAACTGGTGTGAAGTATCCTTAACTTTATATTTTAAACTTATATTTAAACTTTAAACTTTTATTGGAATAATTTGGTATTTGTGTTCTTTGTGTAACCTATGGTGACCCTGCTCCACGCATCTCGTGAACTCCTTGCCGGACGACTTGAGGTGACTTAAGCCGTGTCCGCACTGGACTTTTTTTTTGGAAGGTTTTACCGAGACGATGGTAAAATGAGAAATGGTCAAATGTGACCACTGTCCGCACTTGGACTTTCGACACGGGAAAATTTACCCAGACCGCGTGGGAAAAGTAACCGAGCTGTCACAGTGTCAGTATAATGACTCACTGTACACAGAAAACAAATTGCCGATCACATTTTCAGCCGCCGATACGCACAGTAATATTACACACGCCATTTGCATGCACAACATAATCGTTTACACGATATTATTTCATCTTGACACGCTAAATCTTGACGAAAAGGCCTATAATTCTGACGCATTTGTGATGCACATCGTCGAAGCCATGCCGCTGTACGATGTTCCATGCGGCAGCAGTGCCATCAGTATTCGTTGGTTCCCATCGCATGCTTACAGAATCGAAGCTATGATGTGGGCCAGGAACCAGTGACTAATATATGGCCTACGTATGGTACCGGACCATGATGTTCCGTGCATGACTACAGTAGCGTATCAGGACGAATTTGGATCGTAGAAAATAACATACATCGGTGGAGAAAGAGAATTTCCGCAAATTAATTCTCAGAACGTGATCTCTCTTCTCTGTGTATGTATTTTTCCGTTGAAATATATATTTTAACGAGATTTTACCGCTCGGACTTGATGATACACCGCAGCGTGTTTCTACAAAATGTTCGGCCACTGCACGTGCAGGTTCGTGCGGTCTCTGTATGCATAACAGGGCGCTCGAGCCGGATGTACGCTTTCCTGAGCCGCTTTTACCGACTCGCACTGTCCGCACTGGACTTATCGTCTCGGGAAAAGTGACCAGGTCAGTTTTCCTGGGCGCGTGGGAAGTTTTCCTGGGCAGCAGTTGGCCAGTAAAAGTAACCGCTGGACTCAGGAAAAGTAACCGAGAGGAAAACGTCCTAGGCTGTCCGCACTGGACTTAAAATTGGAAAAGTACCCATAGTCTCGGTTAGTTTGACCAAAAAAAGTCCAGTGCGGACAGGGCTTTAGGAACTGTCTCTCCTTCAATCTTATCTTAAAACTCCCATCTTTTAATAACTGTAACCTTCCCCAACCTTGCAAAATGGAGGATTTTGCAGGATTGAGGCTACATGGCAAAAATGTGGTGCTTTTTTTTGAGGATGCACTGTGTCAAGGTCTTGGGCCGCACCTTGTGTTGTTTACGCTCAGCCGTGCATAAATTGAGGCCTAGATTATACTAGAAATCATCTGCACTGCTCCAGGTTGTCACTGGCCAAGCCTCAACATATTGACAGTGATTGCCGGAGGATTTTGCAGGATTGAGGCAGTGGTCATCCCTCCAAGGACCACATTCAAGAAATAATGGAGGATTTTGGAGGATTGAGGCTGCATGCTATTTTTACATGGAGGCGGTTCGAGGATTTTGCAGGATTGAGGTTGCATCTTTAATAGCAAAAATGCCTAGGGAGTTAGGGTTAACCAATTTTGCTCTAAGACATACTGACGTATTTCCGGGTACCAGCGCCTTAGAATATTTTTATATTCAGATTCTGTGCATCTTAAAGTGCTCCTTATTATTTATAAATTTGTGAGACAAAATGAGACGGCACGGGGCGTAGCGGAGAAAAATGGAATTGGGTGATTTTTTTTTTTTTTTGATATGTTGATATTTATAACCTTCGATATGTCTACCACACATCTTTTATTAAAATCTTGAAAATAAAAGTATTTTTAAGCAAAACCAATTGTCATCTTTCAATTGCACGACTACAAAACTCAAAACTTTAAAGGCCTTTCTCTCAGTATTTTACTTTTTGAAATGTCGGTTAGTGCAAACTTTAAACAGCCGTAACTTTAAACTGTCCGATTGAAGTGCAACAAACAGAATTGCAAGGATAACTGTATCGTATTTCCTAAGGCCAAAAAGAAATGTCTCCGGTTTTTGGTATGGAGCTTGCCCCAAAAGTGGTGCGGCGACGCAGCTTTTTTTTTCTCCTACTTTTTTTTCCTTCCAATGTCGGCTGATATTGCAGATGACGCTTCGATCCCCTTAAAACTCTCAAAAATATCCTTCAGAGTGGAGCTTGAGGTGACCTCAGTAAGACCATAAGGCTTGAGAATTCTGCACCCACTTACGATCTCGACCGACACGAACATTCTTTGGGAAATTTGGATAGTCAAGACAAAAGTCAGACAAAATGGTAACGTCAGACCTTACAGCGACATCGACATCGTGCATGTCCCGCCAGGCTGGTCATTAGTCTGCTCCCTTACATATTGCGCTTATTAAAAAGCGTTTATAGGTTCCAGATACACGACCATCGCTCCCTCAGTCTGGCTTCCAGATGCACAATTACAAATTACAACACCGTCTGCAAATGGTGCCCGACTAAATTTAGCGAAAAATATATGGGAGCCCAGAGAGGCCACATAAAGCTCATACTCGATCGTAACCCAATCTAAAAACACGTTAAAATTGTGCAGCAGCAGGATTCCAGTCAAACCAGTGAGTTTGGCGGTTTTGAGACATCATCTTACATTGAACAATTTTTTTTTAAATTTTGCCAACGCGCATGGCTGCGGCGATGCGCGCGCTGACCAGAAACCGGAGACTTTTTTGGGGGGGCCTAATACCCACAAACCCTCATTTCGACCTGTGCCAAGTTGTGCCTCATTTTGCCAGAACGCCTCATAGACATGTATGATGATGATGGCTAGTAGTAACACTAGCAACAAACTCTGCCTCTTTTTAAAGGGGCACTAGGTCCTGAAATCTCCAAAAATTTCAAGTTTTGGATTGTTTACTTATCCTATTTCAAACATGTGGTTGAAAGGAAACCAACCTAATGTCTTACCGTTCCCGAGAAAAGACGAAAAAAACCTGATTGTTTACATCGGACACGACGGAGTACGAATACGTTTTTCGTGTCGTTCTCATACAGTGTACGATATACACGTTGTGTGTCTCGGGAACAGCGGTGACCAATCACCAATGCAAAAAAATGTGGTTTCTTCAACATCCACAAAAGGCAAACACTTTACGCGTACGAATGAAATCACAACTAGCATCCAAACGGCTCGAATTTATGGGGTCGCAAAAGTGGACCCCGAAATTCGTTCTCGCACGCATAATACAGGAATAACACAAAAAGGCCCAGTTTTGAAAGGATAGTTGTGGGGATGTTTCTATCCTAGTTTTAAATGTTCTTTCTGATTAACATAATCTCGTTCAAAGTACGTTTTGTAGCCCAATTGGGCTGTTCCAGGACCTAGTGTCCCTTTAATGTCTGACAAAGTTGTTCTTCTAAATGAAACTATTTAGGATTACCATTTGGTTGTTTTCTTGTACTCTGTGAAGATGAGCGACGCCACAGCACAGCTCAGGTCTAGCAGGGTTCCTGGAAGCTGCTGCTTGGAAGATGTCTGGCGAGACAGGGGAATTGTTTTAATGGTATTAAAAAATTAAATAATAATAATACCGGAGTCTTATATAGCGCACGCATCTACTAACAATTAGGTACTCAAGGCGCTTTTCTGCTAAAACCGAGTCTGAACGGTTTTAAATTTACACCAAATCTGTTTTATCAGACTTATCATTCAGACTTATAATTCATGAAATTTCCAAAAACTAGAATCTTACCTTGTCTATAGTGAACAAGACGCTGCCCATGAGATCCACAACACGTACGTTGCCACTGCTGTCAGAACAGGCTAGCATGGTGCAGTCTGGACTCCAGGCTAGCTGTCTCCATTGGGGATATGGGTCCTTAGGGACTGCACGAAAATGACGAGATCATCGTTGAAAAAGACACCAATGTGAAAATGAGCCAAAATGCTTAAAGGGAATGCAACATTTGCAAACATCAACAACAAAAAACAACTACCAAATCATTATGAAGTACCTTTACTGGACTGTTAGTGAATGACAGTCTAAAGCATCCTGAAAAATCGTGGCACCTGGTGTGCCAACATTTTCAAAAAAACTGCAAGTGGCAAAGCCACGAGGCCGTTTCTGACTTAATTTAGGCATGTCACGCATCCGGGTAGTAGCCACGCGTGCATCTATAAGGCTAAAGATTGGAATTTTGCTACTCTTAATAGCACAAATCAAGTAATAAAGAAAAAAATAAGAAATTCATGACAAGTTGGAAAAGCTCTAGCTTTGCCACGCGTGTGTGTGGTCTCCGTTCCAGTCACTTCGCTTTTTTGCCACTCCTTCTAATAATACTAGTTAAAGCCACAATGGCCTTAGCGAAAGGCTATACAGGGTGAGTCAAAAAAAAGCGAAACCCAAATGTCGGGACTATTGTTTTAATGAAGTTGAGTATGTAGCACTTTTAAAATCTGGCATATGAAAGCCCAATTCCTAAGCTTTCTTTTAGTACAAGAATCATTCAGATCACTCATGTACTTTTCAAGTTACAGAACTTTAAACACAACAACCGTTTTGAAGTTCTGTCTACGGATCACAAAAAGGGTCCACGTTCTTTCAGCAAAACGAAAACAATTCACACACATCCTAGCTAGCTAATGTGATTTTTTTTTTCTTTGTGCTGAAAGAACACTTACCTTCTTGTGATCCTAGGACAAAATTTTAAAACGGTGGATCTGTTTAAAATTTCATAACTTGCAAAGGTGATTTGAATGATTCTTGTACTAAAAGAAAGCTTATGAATTGGGCTTTCATATCCTAGATTCTGAAAGTGCTACATGCAGAACTTTACTAAAACAATGGTCCCGACATTTGGGTTTCGTTATTTTTGACTCGCCCTGTAGTCTGCGGTGTAGGGTGGGGTGGGGTGGGGGAGGGGGTTGCGAGGGGAGATGTCAGGGTCCAGTCACAGGTAGCAGAGGATGAACAATAACAAAGGAATGCTTTTGTATAAGGGTCATTCCACCGGGTTGGGGAACAATGTGTGACATATGACCATATTAAGAAAAGCATGAATGCCTTGCTAGCAGTTGCTGCACATAATATTTGTTGTTGGGTGTTTCACGACTGCAGAAAGTTTGAAATGATTTCAATGTATTTTGCCAAAAATATGAGCAAAAAATGTCATTTTGGATGTAACATTGACACCATGTCAGTGTTACGTCCAAATGTGACATTTATACCTTTTTTTTAAATTTCTGCGAAACATTACCCAAATTCACTTTGCGTTCTTCTTACTACACATGCAACACAATAAGAAAAGCTTTTGTTACGGTAGTCAGGTATCAAATGGAGCAGAAATGATAGCTTGGTTGTGTGGATGTAACATTGACACGGTGTAAAACCCAATGTCACACTTCCATTGAGTGATTTTTACACCGTTACATCCACACTTACTTGAGGTACTGTTTCTGCTATATTTGAACCCTGACTATACCAACACAAAAGCTTTTCTTGGTGTTTAGGTGTCCAGTTGTAAATATGCAATGTCAGTTTGGGTAATATTTTACATACGTGTAAAAAAATGGCAAAAAAAGAATATTTGGATGTAACATTGACACGGTGTCAATGTTACATCCGAATTAATACATTTTTTGCTCATATTTTTGTCAAAGTACTTTCAAATGATTTCAAACTTTCTCAAGTATTGAAACACCTTAAGACAAACATTATGTTGAACAATTGTTTAGAATGCATTGATACTTTTAATAATATAACCAAATATATGGATGTAACATGCACTGCTTCCCAACCCGGTGGAATGACCCATAAAGAGTTCATTTGAATAGCTTGTGAGTTGACTTGGGTCTGGAGGACTTGTGATGGACTCACTACAATGCCGAGAGTGTTGACCGTTTCTGGCTGGGTTTACAGGACTGAACAAGTTTGCTTTCATGGTAATATGGACTTACTTGAGCATTTGCCAAGACTGGTGGTATAGTCATCCCTGGCTGATCGGATCTCAATACAACTGTCTTCAAGGATAGCCAGCAATCGGTCATTGCTGTTGGACAGATGAAAAATCCAATTTAATTTCACGGGGTGTTTAGTACCAGTGCAATCTTTAATCCAAGTAAGGTTTTTAATAATAATTTGGTAGGTTACTTTGGCGATAAAGGCAAAAGATGAACCCTCCTGCTATTTGAACAGTCACAGACAGTCAAAATTTCCATCCACTTCCCCTGCTGTACTTTTAACACAAGCTAGTCACCAGCAGTCAGATCATATGTCAAGCACTGTGACTAGTCAAACTCAGTCAACAGACCATGAACAGACAGTGCAGACAAGTTGTGGGCACAGCTGGCTTATCAATTACCCAGAGTCAAAGCAAAGCTGTAACAAGTTACATGAACAGTCACGGCCAGTCAATCTTGCTTTTTTTTAGGCTTGGAATTCTTTAACTGTTGAAAACAGTAACTTGATTGATTTTGACTGTTCGGACTATCTGGCAAAGAATATATGTTTGCATAGGAGGGTTGAAGAAACATTTGGCAAAGACATTTTGTGGGGAAAAATGACATATTCTTGTCAAGTACTCGGTATTTGCACCTCAACCTGAAAAATCTACATTGCCGTCCAAAAGAGTTTACACATCAAAGCTCACAAAATATTTAATGTTCATTGCCCAAAGAATTTGCACTTGTGGGACCCCCTCCACATGGATAAACTTCCATGCTTCCAGCAATAATTATTGCCATTACAAATGGCGATTTGAAGGGCAAAGCCTAATTTGATTTACATCACCCTGATGCTCAGGCAAAGATGCTTTGGCTCTCTGCACATTCACAATAAAATAAGTTGTGCCAATTAAACAGTGTCAATTCGACGGAGCTCTCAAAAGTGGAAAAATGAAAAATGCCCGCTCTTGAACTTGAACCAGAATCTGGAGATGTCCGAGGGAAATTAGTTTGATATATTGTTTGTACCTCGTGGTAGCCATATGCCAGTTGATCTGTGCATTGATCAGCTTGATGAGAGCTGCCGGCAAGGAGCAAGGAGTAGATGTCCTGAAAAAAAATCATCAGAACAAGAATAAGGATTACCCTTAACCCTAACTCCCCAGCATAATTTACTAGGAACCATACCCATTCAGACAAATTCAAACACCCACATGGGAAATTGTACACACACATTGTTGGACTTAGTTTCTGGAGGTATGCCAAACCCAATGTAAAAGACCATCAGTTTAGGGGTACTGTACCTATCCCAACAGATTTAAACAAAACCTGCTGTTGAACTTTGATGGGTTGAGTTCGGTTAGTAATATACAACATTTGTAAACATTGAAAAACAAAACTACCAAATTATTATGAAATACCTTACTTGACTGTAAGTGAATGATAGTCTCAAGCATCCTGTGAAATCATGGCACCTGGTGTGCTGTCATTTTCAAGAATAGTGGAATTTTTGTATCAATTTCCAACGATTGTCGGCTGACCATCGTTGGAAAAAACTGACTTCTTTTGAAATGCTGCCCCCAATTTACCAAATTTGTTTGTCATTTTGTTTGCAATCAGTCACACATCCATGAACAGGTGCAAGCTAGTTAGTCTGGTTCCCTGACCTGACGATTCCCCGATGTATATAAACTGCTGTTTCATCTGAAGTGGGTCAGGGAACCAGACTACAAAAACAATTTGTTCTCCTTTGTTTTCCAGCATCTTTGAACACAAAACATTACACAGATCAGTGCAATTTTGCTATAAACTACTAACCCCCAAATCCATCCATTTCTGAAAATCGCAGCACATGCAAATGTTGTATTACCTTTGCATTCATGGACAAAGCGACTTGTCAAATAGTGGTCATTCTCCCATGCATTTTGGTATGACACACATGCAATGCCTTCATCAATACATACATGTGCACAGACAAACTAAAGAACACAATGCCCATATCTCCTGCCACAATAAACACAGGTCGACTACAAACATGACCTTGTTTTATTTTATTGTATACTGATGGGATAGATAACATTCGTACAAGGACATAAGGTTGCAGACCAGTAAATCGGTCCGAAATTGCCTACGCCGGCCAAATCATGATTTGCATGCCCTCAAAATCTTCAGTATTTGAGCATGCTGTGGGCCATGAACTTGAGGGTTTGTAAAATATATGGGTGGAAGTCGTGCACAGGACTGGGAGCTTGTAGTTCCGTTCAATTTGGATGAAATTGGGGCCCTTAAAGTGCTCTATTTTGCAATGGAGTGTAGGCATCGTTTTTCAAAATGGCGATGTGCTTCAGGACTATTTTCAGGGGTGATCATCTTCGGATGGAAATTTCTCCTAAAAGTCATCAGTTAACCCCCCAAAAATTGAAAAGAAAATGAAAGATGATGAAATAAGCTTTAATTTGATGTGTGTCTCGAACACCTTGGAGAGTTGTGAGTATTTTTCCCAAATTTCTGAAGTGGGAGCATTTACCATTGGGGTCTATGGAAGTTTATTTACTGGTCTGCAACCATAACCATTGCATCAAAGACTGAGGGAGCCCTCTATTGATGACTCACATAATGGCAGGCAAGTTACATGTAGCTCTGAATTCCTGATCAAATTTAGAAAATCCAATCTGGATGCAGACGGTAAGACTTATCTCACCTTAACGGTAATCCTGTGCTTCGAAGGAACGTCCATGCTGACCCTTCATATGGAAAAGACAAAAGCTGATCATTACACACCACAAAAAGTTGCAAGTAGCTGATATAGTTAAACCCTCTTGCTGTCTGAACAGTCACAGACAGTCAAAAAAAATCAATCTTCTTCCCCTGCCATGCCTTTTACACAGGCTAGTCACCAACAGTCAGATCACATTTCTTGTAGGCACTGTGACTAGTCAAATTCAGTCAACAGACAAAAGCAGGCAAGTGGTAGGCACAGCTGGCTTATCAATCACCTAAGTCAAACATAACTGTGCCAAGTTACATAAACAGTCACAACCAGTCAATCCTGCTTTATGTAGGCTGGGAGCTCTTAACAGTCGAAAACAGTCACTTGACTGATTTTGACTGAAAGAACAACTTGGCACAGAAAATATGCTTGCATAGGAAGGTTAGGGCTAACTCATTTACGATAACTGTGTTATAATTTCACGAGGATCATCCAATTTGGAAGTAACAGAACAAACACGGTAAGTCTAACACTTATTAAAAAGGGTAGAATGGACAATTTGTCATTTGCGCATTTTTTTTTTCATTTGAAGCAACAAAAGTTCTTAAATTCTAAAGGCGGGTAATTAACAACTATCCCGATAAATTTTTATCTCTGTGAATGTTGTAGGCCTCGTAAATATCCATATTGGAAAGGATTTTTGGGCCTTCTCTCCACAGACCACCTTTCCAGTTTGGTTGAGATTGATGACTAAATTTTACAGTGAACTGGAACACACACCCAAAGACACACAGAAGGAATACGCGATCCCAATATCTTGAAATGTGGGGGGGGGGGGGGGGGATAAAATGTAACTTACTGTAAGCAGCCGATGACGCCTTTCCAACAAGGGATCCTTTAGGCTTCTCGGCAATGACCTTTGTCTGATATGAATATGAAGAAATTTGAAATAAAAAAAAATACTGAGCTTTTAAATTAAACACAAAACATCAAGTAAGTATTGCTTAAAACTGCCTAGGCATTTTTTCCTAGCATGTAACCTCAATCCTGCAAAATCCTCCAACTGCCTCCATGTAAAAATATCATACATGATACAGCCTCCATCCTCCAAAATCATCCGTTATGAATGTGGTCCGTGGAGGGGTGACCACTGCCTCAATCCTGCAAAATCCTCCGGCAATCACTGTCAATATGTGATGCGATCAAGCTAAATGAGTCGTTTGTTGGGAATTTTCATTTGGATATTCAGGCCAAAATAGGGCCACTTTATCACATCACTTCATCACATCTCTTGGTGTTCCGAACTTCCGACCTCCATAATTTTTGAACTAAAGATGGTATCAGCATGCGGTTTTCACAGCAGTAATGCTAAGATCGTGCTCTTTTCCAAACATTGGAAAGATTTCCATAAACGAAGTTCACTCAACACCCTGTGTACAAACCCTATGAGATTGGACTGAAAAAATTCTAAGTGTTTTCTAAGAAAATGCTTGTATTTTCTCACTGCTCACATTGACTTTGATGACATGAAATTGCTATCTGGGGGCTTGTTAGTCAATACAGACGAAAATTAGTGAACTTCGCATATGGAAATCTTGCCAAAAAATTGACCACGGTCGACAAACGACCAGATGTCTATTTTTTGTGAAATTTCCACATTCGTTTGCACACGTTTGCGTATCAAAATTTCGAAATGAAATTTCACAAAAATTAGACATCTGAAAAAGGCAGCACTTTCTGATTAGCCTATAAAGAGGGTTAGTATGCTTCTAAAGCAAAAAACAAACTTAGCCTAAATGTGAAAATCAAAATTTGACAAAGTTCGACATGTTTTTGGTGGAAGTGTGGCCAATTTACGGAGGTAGTCCAGTAAATTGGCCACATATATGGGGCTAACTCCAGCTGGATTGAGATTGACAATTTTTGATAGAAACATGAGAAACAAAAAGAAAGCAATGACATGTAGATGGATGGGAAAAAATGTTGCAACCTGACGCCACTTTCGCGATTGTGTGTACAAAGTCTATGGAGAGTCAAGAAAATTTTCTAAGTACATGATTGAAGTATTTCCTAACAAAATTGGAAATGTTTCTCAGTCCAAGATTCATGTCTTATCATCATGTTTCACACGATATAATGGCATTTTTAGGTAATCCTTACCTTAGGCTTTAGGACCCCTTTCCTATATAAGGTTACAGACTCACCAAAACAGCTGACTAAATGACACTCAAAAGTGACATTCTGATATTTCTTGGCACATTTGAACATTTGGCAATGACACCTCTTAAATATCAGCAGGTTTAATTTTGTAGAAAGAGGACAGGTCTTGGATTTATGAGGGGTAAAAGACGATGATAACAAACAGAAAATATATTAAAAAAGCAAGATGGCGAACTGCAAGAAAAAGGTAGAATTTAGTCACATTTTCTTTGAAAGTGCTTTCAAAATTACAACTATTGAGTTTGAAGAAAAAAAGACTGCTTTAGCCTGCAAAAGTCACTTTGGTACTGGACAGTCATCTGCAAAAGTCAGTTTTGAACAGAACTCGCACAAATAGAGGTGTCCTAAAAGTAAGGGTAATCCTTACCTTTAGGACCCCGTTCCTATATAAGGTTAAAAGACTCACCAAAATAGCTGACTAAATGACACTCAAAAGTGACATTCTGATATTTCTTGACACATCTGAACAGTAAGCAATGACACCTTGTTGAATATCAGTAGGTTTTATTTTGTGGAAAGAGGGCAGGGCTTTGATTTATGAGGGAAATAAAGGGGTAAAAGACGACGATGTCAAAGACTCAAAAACCAAGATGGCAAACTGCAAAAAAGGTAGGAAAGTCACATTTTCTTTGAAAGTGCTTTCAAATTCCAACTAACATGAGTCTATCTGAAGAAAAAAGACTGCTTTAGCCTGCAAAAGTCACTTTGGTACTGGACACAGTCATCTGCAAAGTCAGTTTTGAACAGAACTTGTAAAAAATAGAGGTGTCCTAAAGATAAGGATTACCAAAGTAAGGATTACCCATTTTTATGTGAATGTGAATCCTCTCACAATTCAAAAATGATAAAGCGGGTCAATGAAATATCTGTCGGAAATACACGGAGAGCGCATACCGGTTAACGCCCGTTCGAATAGCATCGGTTGGTGACGTGGACCACAACTTTGCCATTCTTCAGTGAGCAACCTAAATTATCAAATCTCTTTACCCCATGACTTCTCAGTTTTCCGAAGAACATTTGTACTTACTAAAGTCTCTGGTTCCTGCGGCCATTCCGTGAGTACTAGCAGGTCGTACAAGATATTATCGGCGTCGTCTTTATCTGAATTTTCTTCCATGGGAGCCGCCATCTTGATTTGTTTGATTGTTTGTGTAACAGCAGCGCACTCCTCTCCACGGGTGTTTTGATCATCACAAAAAAGTTTTTAAGTTTCTTTTTGAAGTGCATTTAATAGGGGTCACTTTGTTTATTTGGGGCTGGGCTGGGAAGTGGGGGGGGGGGGGCCGTTGTATTATGTCTCTTAAATAACTTAATCTCCAATCTTCTGGAATGTTGGGTAGATTTATGTACAGATATATGTAGCTGATTCAGATCCTTTTTGTTAGTTTTGGGGAAAATGTGACCCACATATCTCATCACTATAAACCAATGGGCCCAAAAAAAACCACACACACAAAAAAACCCACTGAGTTATCTCATGAAACGTAACTTTATTACAAGAAATATCAGTGCTTCGAATTCCGCAGCATTTCCAACCCTTGTTAACTGTATTGTTAAATAAAGGTCATGTACAACATTTGCAAATATCAAAAAACAAAACGACCAAATTAACCACAAAATAACTTATTGTACAGTAAGTGAATGATAATGTAGGTTATTAATAGTCAGACGCATCCTGTGAAATCATGGCACCTGGTGTCCTGTCATTTTGAAACGTGGAATAATTAAAATTCTGCTTCCGATTACGTTGCATTTGAAAATAGGCTATTATAAAGTAGGTAGGGGCTTTTTGGGTTTTTTTGTGTACGATCATATGGAGGTGTCCGCGTGTAACCAAGGGTAAAAGGTAGAAATTGATGGTTTTGGGGGGGTTCCCCCCTCATTTCCCCCCCCCCCCAAAAAAAAAAATTAAGGTAGGGGCTGTCAAAATAGGGTAGGTAGAGTGTTGGGAAACAGAGTTATTTTTTGTTTTGGCCTTAAACAATTTGGATTGGTCGTATGTAACAAATAGCTGCTTATTACTGCTTACTTATTTACATAAAAGTAATTTCGGCTGATGACCCATCTTTGTTAAGCACTGGTTAATTCCGGATTGGACTATAAGCCCCGCCCACTTTTGTCTGTATACATTTCTCACAGTGCTTATGAATGAGGTTGACCAAGCTACTTGGGTCACCCGACTAAAAGCAGTCATCTAATTGGTCAATGTTTGATTGACAAGCAGGAGAGTTTCATTCACACAAACCAAAGGTGGACGGGGCTTAATTATCGCCAAATATGGAACAGTCCATTAGGAAGTTGACTTTTGTGGTCACATGGCCAGAAGTCATGTTGTAATTGGTCAATGTGCAGGGTTTGATTGACAAGCAGGAAAGTTTCATTCACACAAACCAAAGTGGGCGGGGCTTATGGCCAATGGAACAGTCCATTAGGAAGTTGACTGAGTTTCTGTGGTCACATGGCCAGAAGTCCTGTTGTAATTGGTCAATGCACACTGTTTGATTGGCAGGCAGGAAGAGTCCATTCTTTCGGTGCCCCACAAAATTGACTTTCTCAGAGCCATCCAGTGAGTGATGCAGTCCTGGTTTCCAAGGCAACATCATCATCATCAGCTCATCTCTTCTTCTTCTTTTTCTGCCTCCTCCGCTTCCCTCTTCGCCTTCTCCTCAGCTTTAGCCCTAGCTCTTCTGGCTAGCACAGTACTCATTGGGTGAAGAGGCAGGAAACCAGACAAACCTGAAGATGATGAAACAGAAACAAAATGAAGATTAGTATCAACATGACAATCAAGTAGAATATACAGTTCAATGATATTTAAATATTGCTCAAGGGAATTTTTTTTAAAATCAGGATGCCAGGATAAATTCTTAACTATCCCAAATTCATATCTTTCACAGATGGCTTTCATAAACCCTAACTCCCTAGGCATTATTGCTAGGATGCAACCTCAATCCTGCAAAATCCTCCAACTGCCTCCATGTAAAAATTGCGTACAGCCTCAATCCTGCAAAATCCTCCGCTATTTCTTGAATGTGGTCCTTGGAGGGGTGACCACTGCCTCAATCCTGCAAAATCCTCCAGCAATCACTGTCAATTATGTTGGCGCCAGAGCCAGTGACATCCTGGAGCAGTGCGGAGGATTTCAAGTATAATCTGGGCCTAAATTTATGCACGGCTCAGCATAAACAACACAAGGCCCGGCCTTGGCATCCTTCAAAATCAGCCACACGTTTTTGCAATATAGCCTCAATCCTGCAAAATCCTCCATTTTGCTTAGAGGATTTTGGAGGATTTGGGAAGATTATTTAAGTTAGGAAGTTTATGTACCTAGCAGCATGGCCACGGGCCTGGTAGGTAGGGCCCCCCTAGCCAACCAGTACTTGATCCGCTCAAAGTTGAAACTGACGAGCTTCTCGTTGTGGTTGTTAGGCATTGGGTCGTAGGTTCCGAGCTGTTCAAGGTAAGCTCTGCTGTCGCGACCTCGTCGATTGTGGATGGCTACGACGTGGTAGAAGGGACGGTTGGTGCAGCCGTGACGAGCCAGCCGAATCATCACCCTGAGTTTGGCCGGCATTTTGATTGTGGTGTCTCAAAATCAAATATTCTGAAAATGAAACCAAACAAATCATAATTTCATTCTAGGTTAAATTCAAGCTTAATTCTGATTTTGACCTGGAAAAGTAATGAAACAATATTATTAGAAGACAATTGATTGAACAAAAAAATGATTAAGGTAGCATAATTCTAGAAAAGGGGCACTATTTGTCAACTCCCCCCCCAAAAAAATAAAAACACACATCAGAGTTTACAAGCGCCCTCTCGTGTTGTAAATATCTCGTACGCCGTTTCTTTCCAAGACGAACGCCTCAAAGTCAAAACGACATAAATACATATATCATATGTTAACAATTTAAAACACAAATTACTGATAACCCTGTCTGTTACACTGAATGAAGATTTGTTTACTACCTTTAGTTCATAGGTAAAGCTTTCTCATAAAACAGTATTTTTCGACAAGTATTTTTCTTTGCGCAAGCTGTTCCGATTCACAAGTTTGAGAGGTACCTGACTATCGACTACGCTGATATGATTCATGTTACGATGTCTGGTGCCCAGACACTCAAAATTGCTCGCCTCAATGATCTAGCTCCCTGACTCGTACCCATAAGAATATCACATGGAAGCAGATTCTGACTAAATTGATAAAAAAAACCACTCAATTTTATTTCATCACAATCATTGAATCATGAATCAACGATCGTGATCACGCAGTTTTTAGTCGACGTGTAATTCACCGAATCGCCAATTTTGTTCTCTTTACCCAGTGATTTCTTGTCCACCCTGCCTCATTCTCCAGAGAGATTACTTCATATAAGTTTTACGTCGCAGAAGCTGGAAGAAACAAAACGAAGAAAATCTCGTATTTCGTAACGATGGTTTGTTTACCGTGCATCATCATCCCGGTTCTGTTGTGGGTGTTTCACCGGTTTTTACAGCCGTACTTAATGCCTCTGATGCCGGCGAAGATTCGGAACTGGTTCAGTGTCAAGGCGGAAAAGATGGAACAGTTTGGCGGACCGCCACCGGGAGCAAATTCGTCTGAAAAAGAGGTTTGTTTATTGTGAATTAATAATTAATTGATCATTTTCCCCTGGCCTTAGTTTACAATGTAAGCCAGTCACTTTAAACATTGTCAGATGTGATTATTTTTATAAATTCGTGATTTTGATTGTGAAACTAAAACATTCAAATTGATAATTAAGATACTGATACATGTGCTTTCACAGTTTCACTGTTGACATGGTTGAAAATGAAATACATTTCTTATTTTCTTAATAAATTTTGATTAGGCCTACCATTTAAAAGAGGTAACATCATTTAAACATGTTAAAAGGGACAGAATATATCTTATTAATTTAAACTAATGTGATTTATTTTTTAGTTTCAATAATATTAGAATGGTTATAAGTGTTTTTTATATGGAATTTTAATTCCATTTATATTGTGATATACGTCTCTGGCAACAGTTTTGTTGTATTTTTAAAGCCAGTTTGATATTTCAACTTTGATGATATGGGTCACACTCCTTCGGCATAATCGAATGCTCATTGAAGGCACATGAACGCACAAGGAGATGTTCGCACGAGGCACGCGCATAAATTACAAGCCGAATGGGCATTTAGATTAAACATCACGTCGGCGATTTTATCCCGAAAGACCTTTGACCTGGACTACTTCATCAAAATACATTTGTACCGAACTGGCGTATTATTATCAATTGTTCAAAATGACTACCAGCATCAGTGCGCAATTTAAATGCCTGTTTGAAACCTCAAGAAATGTTTAATTGTTCCAACTTCGTTGTAATGATGCATGTACTTGAAAAAAAAAAACCAATTACCCAAATTTTAATTCGTACCAGCAACATTCATGCCCATGTTTGTTGTTAATTAACCTATCGCGGTAGAACCGCGTCAATGCAGCATGTGGCGTATTGTTCAAGTACATACAAATGGACGCGGAACGCGCAATAGCTGAGACAAACAAAACTTAAAGGGAAAATACAACATTTGCAAACATCAAAAAATAAAACTACCAAATCATTTTGAAATACCTTGCTGGACTGTTAGTGAATGACAGTGTAAAGCATCCTGTAAAATCATGGCACCTGGTATACTGTCATTTTAAGAAAAGTGGTATTTTTGTATCAATTTCCAACGCTGGTTGGCCGATCAGAGTTGGAAAAAACTGGCTTTTTTTCAAATACTGGCCCCAATTGACCATCGCACTTGTTCGTAATCGATTACACACCTATGAACGGGTACAAGCCAGCTAGACTGGTTCCCTGATCTTAAAATTCCCCAATGTATGTAAACTGCTTTGTTTCTTCTTATATGGAGTCAGGGAACCAGACTAAAGGAAAATGATTGTTTTTCTTCAACCTCAAAAAAGTCAGTGTAACTATATTTGCTATATATTTCCAACCCCCCAATTCCATCCATTTCTAAAAATTACAGCAAAAGCAAATGATGTATATTCCCTTTAACGTACAGAATTCCATAGGTATGTCTAGGGGGTGTGGTTAACTCGCAAACCGCGATAGATCAATTTGGTTTTATGAATATATCTTTATTAATTATTTTCATTTTTTTGTCCTTTTTTTTTTCTAGAAAACGGGTGACGCAACGACTGCAAATGGAGCCAGCACAGAAATCAAAACAGGAGATGACAAGAAGACAGACTGATGGATGTGCAGTGCAAATCCTGGAACTTTGTAAACATGGAAATCATTTTCTTGAGAGACTACCAGATGTCAATTTTATTCTGCGCAGGACAAGAACTTTAAAATGTATTTATACTGTCAGCATATTTTGGATCATTTGGATGTACAGAGAACTAAATTAAATTTAAATACATATCTCACAAACCATACAGTTCCAATCCTGTAGTTTTTAAGTACGTAAATGTATCTTAACCACCCTTTGTTTTCCAAAATCTACCAAAATCCAACGTCCACTGTGCTGGATCGTTTTGATGGATTTTGATGGTTTTGGGACTATACAGCTCAGCTAGTGTTACTTTGCATGGGCATTAATTCATTGGTGTTTAATAGTCGGAGAATGTGCAATAGGATCCGGATGCAGCACTTGTTCAATTTTGTTGGATTTTGATAGAGTTGGGAAGCTGGCCATGCTGGCATAAGAAAACACGGGTTGTTGAACTCTATCCCTCCAAAATGTCAGAGAACTTTCATTTGATCAGACGTAGTAATGACCTACATGTATTTCTGTTTTTGCAGCAACAGATAGCTGGTGAATTGAATGGGCAACATATTAGACTTGGGCAAAAAAAATAAAAATATTCGGTCTCTGGTCAGACCAAAGTTCTGGAATTGACGCGGCGACGCGGCTTTTTTTTTTTTTTTTTTTCAAGCTTGGATTGTACAGACAAGGTGGGGTACTACATGTATTTTGCTTTTTTGGTGTCCTCATGTTCATTGGTGTCCTTCATAATTTGCTTTGGTGCTCTCGATCATTTGCCGTGGTGCAATTTCTCATTCCTTGGTGCTCTTTGGTAAAACAAATTGAGGAGGTGCGGCAATAGAGGGCTTTGTTGGAGCTACCGCGGAACATTTTGGGAAAAAAAAAGATTGACGCGCATGATTAAAATCGACGCGCGCGCTGACCAGAGACCGACTGTTTTTTTTTTTTTGGCCTTATCCAGATCTATATTTATGCACGGCTGAGCAAAAACAACAGAAGGTCCGGCCCAAGACCTTGACAAAGTGCATCCTACGAAATCAGTAATGCGCTTTTGCCATGTAACCTCAATCCTTCAAATCCCTCCCCATTGGCAAAGAACATTTTGAAGGATTCAGGGCGGTTATTATTAATTAGTGTATTTATTCTAGTGTCGTAGGTTAAATTACATACTGGACGTGATTCTGTCCGTCATTTTACGTGATTCGAGTATTTCAATGACATTTGGTTGTGAATAAACCCGAACTTGGAACCTAATCACTGCTTCATATGTTTGGAGTGCTCTCAAAATGCTAATTTTAATAAACTTTTTCGGAGTTCCAACTGCGCGCATTCGTAACCTGTGACAATGCACATTGTTTGTCTCAAATGCCCTTTGACAGTACCCACAATGCACAAACAGCCGTTTTGTAAAGTCAGTGGGGCGATGATGTCAAAGGCCATTTGAGACAAACAATGCGCGTTGTCATAGGTTATGAATGCGCAGTTGGAACTCCGAAAAGGCTTATTGTCTTCTGTAATGTTTCCCCCCTTTTTTGTTTGCCCTTTTCTGTTTGTTTATTGCTAAAATTTATAAGAAACCAAAACAGAACAGAGCAACTGTATTGTCAATACCACACTTGATTACTTTTTATTCATGGAAATTATACAAATTACTTAATAAATTAAAAATAAATGCAGCACGTTAGTGAAATTAACACAAAAACCATTGTATATTGCTTAAACTGATGAGAAAACAAAGATACAGTGCCCTTTTCTGTTTGTTTATTGCTAAAATTGATAAGAAACCAAAACAGAACAGAGCAACTGTATTGTCAATACCACATTTGGTTAGTTTTTATTCATGGAAATTATATAAATTTACTTATTAAATTGAAAATAAATACAGCACATTAGTGAACTTCACACAAAAACCTATGAACTATTTTTTAGGGGAAGGCAAATACAGCTAGTGACTATTTGGCTATACGGTAAGTTAATTAAACACAAATACTACAGATCGTTGCTTGTTTATAGCACTAAAACTAACTAATCTTATCAAAAGTAGACCTTAACAAATATCGAGGTTAAATCGTCAAAAGCAACATTAAATATAATAATTTCTCACTTAAAATCAATTACAGTCGACTCTCGTTAGTACAAACTCTGTTAATACAAAATTCTGGTTATAACAAACATGAAGCCTTGGTCCCGACTGTGTATTTATGTGCACAATGAATGAGACTGATGTTTCTCTTAATACAAAATTCTGATATAACAAACAATTTGGCTAGGTCCAAACGAGTTTGTTATAACGAGACTCGACTGTAATTTGACCGAAATCATGAGTAAGTTAATCAGACCAGCACCATTGTCATATCATACGTATGTTAAAAATTTTATAAACATTGAAATATAGAAGCTTTTTTGGTGTGGAAAGAGGTAACGATTGGTTCCCTGCTATACAACCTTGCATAATTAGACAGGGTTGTAAAAAAAAAAAAAATCAACAATATCTTGAAAAGCAACAATTAACAATATGTACATGATCTTTGGTCCTCCAGTGACATTGTAATTCATATCAAATTACCAATTTTTTTTTCTCTGCTTCACTCCAACTATTAAAAGAAAATCATTTAAACAGATTAGATAACTTTATGTAATATTTGACAATATTTGGTTAAAAAATATATATTCTTAAGGTCACCTGACAAGAGTCACATGACTGCAGGAGTCCAGGGCATGAATGGAATGTACAAAGGAAATTTGCTACATTGAAAATAACTTTTGTTGTCTGGCCAAGTCAAAGAAAAGTTGTGTTTCGAATGCACAAGATCCAAAAGTAAATCGCAACTGTGTTAAGTTTGGCAATTTTCATAAACATACAGTCCAATAAAGAAATAAAGCAAAATCCTCCTTAAAGGGAAGATACGACATTTGCAAACATCAGAAGAAAAAAAAGAATGATCATATTATCACGAAATATATGTACCTTACTGGATTGTTAGGAAATGACAGTCTAAAGCATCCTGTAAAGTCAGAAAACCAGACTATACAAGAACATGATTGGTTTTCTTGGTTTTTCTAGCATCTACAAGCCTAAAACATGAAACAAGTCAGTTGAACAATATTTGCTATAACATTCTAATCTTCCAAATCCATTTATTTGTGAAAATTGCAGTGTTGAACCTAAACTTTGATAAGATAATTATATAACATTTTTCACTTATATTATAAGGCTTTTCTATACAAAGATGTATTGGCTTTCAAATCACATTTTTATATTCTGGTTAAAATGGCACCTTTCAGGAGTGTTCATAATAACAATATAAAAATAAAAATGCATCTGTAAAAATGTAAATCAGATTTGTTAAAACTTACATGTAGATCAATTTTTGGTATTTTTATTCAAACAGTCCCGGCACATTTAGATCAATTATGTAATGGATGAAAAATTTTAAAGGAATAGAAATAAAAAAAGATACATTTTGAGTAATATTTAGGAATTTTTTTTTTGGGATACAGACGTTGGTTCAATGTTTACAAATATTCAATACAATGTAAGTAGTTGTAAACTCGGTGAAGTTAATGCAGTCACTGGTTCACGGCTTTAAATGGTCAACAACAGTAAATTTTTGCGGTGCAACCGCTGATAGCATTGTTTTATATGAAGCCTATGAATTCGGGTGATTCACAATGTAGTGCGCCACCAAGAGTTTGCCACGGAGAGTCCACTTTTCAAATTTACAGTTGACAAAACACGGCCCATTTGAATGAGTATCAGTAGACAACTTGAGCTAATCTGTCATTGAATGGGGCATAGCGTTCTGCCGCCTTACAAAATACACGATATTGATAAAAAGAAAAGATAAGGGCAAACAGATACTCGAATAATACGCTTACGAAACTACTGACCGGACAAACTAATAATTTCAAATGTCCCGCGCTGCGAATTTGTCGCCCATCCCCCACAATGCACTGGGAAAAATTATCTCTCCGTGGCAAACTCTTTGTCTTAGTTGCGCACTGCATTGTGAATCAATCGCTCAAATTCTACAAAGGTCTGTTTAGGACATGGAAGCACTCTAAATATTAGCCACATCTGGAAAAGCTTTTTTTAAACTAGGGAGTAGTTGGCTGAGTGATAGTAGGGTCTAGGAACAATGTACCAACTATTAAACTAAATCCAACGATAGCGCAAAGGACTTTGAGAAGTCTATCTCCCGGTTGGCTCATCTCCATCGGAAGCACTTCAAAGAACGTGATGTACAAGAAGGTCCCCGTCGCTAAGCCTTGTAAGATGCCGCTAATGAGGTCACGAGCTGTGCTGCTGTATGTCTGATCCACCAGGATGCCTATACCGATCCCGATGGGAGCCATGATAGCGAAACAGATGCTGGACTGGATGACGGTGCGCGGTCGGAGGTTACTCTGGACAAAATTGATGCCCAGACTCAACGCCAAGATGGTCTTGTGGATGAGGACCGCGGTGAAGATGCCGAGAAGTTGAGCGACGTCGTTCTGCAGGCCCAGCGCGAGACCTTCAAAGACGGAGTGCAGGGAGAGCGCGAGGAGGAGGAGTAAGGAGCGAAACGCGGAACTGGTAACCATGTCGTGGTTGTCGGTGTGTTGGATTAACGCGTCCGTGCCGTCAATTTGGGTACCGTGGCTGTGCCCAAGGTTGCGGCTTGGATGATTGATACTTCCTTCACTGTCACTATCAGTATCAGTGGTGGGCCTATGGTGAGATGGGCTACTCTGCCTCGGAGCACCATGATTCAAAAGAGGGCTGGTCTCGCTGTCATCTTGTATCAGCTGACTCGCATTATCCCCGGATTTCTCTTTGTTGTTTTCCTCGACTCTCACCACCGCACCCTCGTCTTTCCCCCTGCTTGCTCTTTCCTTGCAGTCGTACGCGATCTGCTCCACGCTGAGAATCAGGAACAATCCCACGGCGGTTATGAACTCCGCAATGGGGAAGTCCGTCCGGACGTCGAGCAGCGCGAACACGTCGCTGAGCTGGCGCTCCACATCGGGCAGCAGATCCAGAAGACACGTCGCGAGAAACACCCCTCCGCCGAAACAGTTCAGAAATCGCAGCACTCGCTCGACGAAATGTCTGCGGTTGGCACCAGCCCCACGCTTAATGGCAACGTTGACAAACTTCAGGGGTAACAAACTTGCAACGAGGCATGAGATAAATAATGAACACAGTACAATCACTTTCAAAACTATGATTTCCATGTTCACAGAGTAAGCCTATCGCCAGTCTTTTGCAGATCTAAGTTACAGTATGGAGCTACAGTTACATGTACAGTACAGTAGTCAGTACAAGTCAGAATATTTTGTGAAGCCTTGAAGGCCTGTTAAATTGTCTGATTCATCAGCACAAAATCAATGTTCTGACCATTGGCATTTACAATTCACTTAACCATCAGTGGCTCATACCGCAGGTCTACAGCTTTGAACAACACGGAAGGACAATGGTCTTCAAAGTTGGTTCACCTCTGTAACTGAAAGTGAGGCCGTGTCCGAAACGGGCTTCCAGAGCTACGGCTACTTCTATTGTCAGCGCGTCTCCGCGTATTTCTAATGGAGCGAAGACCTAGACCTAGCTCTAGACAATTCGGATGCAGCCTAACACGACCTGGCACCACTGGGCACCAGTCTAATGTTTGAACAAGTTTGATTACGCAAGCTGATCAGCTGATCAGCTGATGAGTAGGGAAGTCCAGCCTTCACCACCGCGAAACTTGTTGTATTTCCTTTATCACCAGATGATAAAGGCAACTTTACGACCCTGAGCTCAAAATTGGCCTTTGATCCGAGAACAAATGGTGAATGAATTCATCATCCGGCGTAGGGAACAATGGGGAACCCCACTGTGGTGTTTCGGTATGTCGCGTCGCAAGCGCAAGTTAACGAGGCAGGGTGACCGTAAAGTCATGACCAAAATCTGCTAAACGCACTTCAAAAATCTGTCAAATTTATCAGAAATCTGCCAAATTACCCAGAATTACTCGAATTACGCTAAAAACACGTAAAATCACATGCAGATGTTGTGACATTGTCTTATTTAAGGTTCAAATTACATTATAAACAATCTATGGTTACTTGAAGATGTTATGAAATTGCTTTAATTCTGGCAAAATGCGGTTAGTCATCCGGTTCCCAGTGCATGCTGTCAGGGAACCTCAAATTGAAGACTGATCAGCTTTATTCTTCAAATCTGCATTTTTTTCTGTCAAATCAGAATTCTGCTAGAAATCTGCTAAAAAAATTCATTCTCCTAATTATTTGCCGTCAAACTTTTTTTTTAACATGCTGTAAAATTTAGCCGAAAATCGGCTACAACGGTCACTTTGACGAGCAGAGATAGGTTACTCTTCACAGGTTTGCACGTGCAGCCCTAATCACGCTCGGGAACCAGACAACCGGTGTGTGCACGAACTGTGTACGGAAGCCTGAGCATGACATTTCTTTTCTGTTAATCGACACAAAATTAATGATCCAACCAATTCATTCTGTTTACATTTTCAATAATTGGTTGAACATTACATTTCAAGTAAAGTTTACGAAAGCTTGGACGTGTTGGGTTTTTATTCTGGTAGCAAATTGAATTTTGAACAACAACTAAGTCACACGCATCTCAATTTACGGCCGGTGGAAGTTAAAAAAGGAAAATACAACATTTGCAAACATCAAAAAATAAAACTACCGAATTACATGTAGTTTGAAATACTGTTAGAGAGGGACAGTCTAAGGCATCCTGTAAAATTATGGCACCTGGTATACTGTAATTTTCAAGAAAAGTGGTACTTTGTTATCAATTTCCAATGCTGGTCAGCCGACCAGCGTTGGAAAAAAACTGGCTTTTTTCAAATACTGGCCCCATTTGACCGTTTAGTTCGAATTTTTAGGTCGATGAAAGTTGGTGAACAAGCAATAATATTTAAATCAGCGATTTGAAGGGAACTGAATATAAACATCTGTTCCTCTATGAAGATGTGCAGCATATCGCAGATTAGTAAACAAACCACAACTTCAAGCACTAATTTAATATACGACACCACCGCGGCGTGTTTTTTCTTTTTTTACACGACTCTCTCTTGGTGAAAACGGACATTTTTTCATCATAATACCATCTCAACGGAAGTCAGTAATGTTGAAAAGACTTGAGTCTGGAACTGAGAAACATTTGGAATTTTGTTTGAAAATACTTTATATCTTTCCTATCGGAGGTGCCGAGTTGGTTTTTGTACAGGTGCCGAGATGGAGGGTGCTGAGTTGGCAAGGTGCCGAGTTGACAAGGTGCCGAGTTGGCAGGAGCCGAGTTGGTAAGGTGCGGAAGTGACCGGGTGGGGGGGGGGGGGGCTACTTTATGTCACCAACCCAACTTTTTACAGTGTTGGTGGTGGAGGGGGGTGATATCGTTTTCCCCCCCCTCCCACCCCCAACCCCTGTCCCCCTCCCCCCACCCACCCCACTTTTTTCGTCCCCGAATAAAACTGTAGCCTATTATACATGTAGTTGGATTGTGTAGCTCGGAATAGCTGATTCAATGTCTCCAAACTCGAAAATGATGTTTTAACGATGATCCTTTGCTCAAAACAAGTTGTTTAAAGTGGTCAGACAGTGCGTCAGATCGCACCACAGAATCAACATTTGCTGGGCCCCTGGTTACTGGGCTCCGAACCCACGCTGTGTACTTGGCGTTACGCTCGCATGAGTTCCAATCAAGGTATATCCCCCATCGGCCCGTCAACCCGACTTTTGAGAAGCGATTGACGTCCTTAAAACTACAACGTCATTTTTTTTCCGCGAACGCTTTTCCTACGAACTGTTTTTGTTTTGTTTAGTTAGTTTGTCGTATTTTTTCCTACGAACTGTTTTTGTTTTGTTTAGTTAGTTTGTCGTTGTATTTTGTTTGTTTATTTTTTTTCAAGCCGCAGAAACATATGACCACCGCATAGTACACCACTATTAGGCCTGCCAAATTAGATCACCAAATTCTGGTTTGGTTGATCGCAAATGTAACAGTAAAACCATAACTACCTGGAGGAGCACCATAAAGTAATTCACGATGAATCGTTAAACATTAGATGAGAATCAATATACACGTCTGTTATTTTTCTTTTCAATGTAGTCCCCCCCCCCCCTAGTTTCAAACACGTCTCCAAATAGTCGAGTATTCGATTCTACTTTCACCGATAGAGGGCCGAGAAATGCAGTGATCTGATAAGTTTTGTTCAGTTGTCGATTTGATTCATTTTCCTAAATGTTTCCTCAAATCCCGATCAATCACAAAGTAAGGCCCACAACCTAACATTGAATAAATCACGGCCGGTGTAGTACGTCATAATTCTATCCACCAATCACAGCTAGTCACCCAACTAGACGGTGACCACAAGTGAGTGGTCTGTGATTGATAGGTTGTGTGTGTCAATCACACAATCACGTGCTTTGTCTGTGTCACCGACATCCGTTCAATATCCACCAATAAGATGCGAGCATGTCAATGTCGGTGACAATTGTGGTGACTTTATATAGTCTTATTAACGACATTAACATTAAAGTTTGTCTCATATGAAGCGACTCATGCAGTGATGTGTGATTGACAGTCCCTCAGTCACTGCTCAGGAAATCCATTGCAAGATTTAAGGCAGATGCGGGCCGCTTCTCCCCTCACAGCTCACATCGCCACCTTCGGACGACAACCAGAGAGAGAACTGACTGCAAGAACAAGATAGTGCTCGGTGAGTGTTTGAAACAATTAATTTTCTTCCCAAGAAACTGACAGTGAATTGAATCAATGCGGGATTCGCTTTTTGTTGAATGTTGCTGATTCAATTTCCAAACAACGAGCGCGGTAATACACTCTAAAAAATAGTTGCTCAATATTGGGTAAAATTACTACCTTTTCGAGAGTTAAAAGGGAACATGGTCGTCAACTTGTGTACCTTTTTTTACACAACAGCTAAAGTGTAGAAAAGTACCCATTTCAGTGTAACTTTTACCCATAATTGTGTTAAGTGTTTGCACAACAAAGTTGGGTAAGAAAGTTTACCCATGTGACGACCATGTTCCCTTTTTACTCAGTTATTGGGTAAACTTTACCCAACCCTCTTTTTACCCAGGTGTTGTGTCAGTTTCTTACCCAGATATTGGGTTCTAATTTTTACCCTGCACTGTTGGGTTCTAAATTTACCCATCACTTGGGTTGTTTTTAAATTAGTTGTTGTGTACCTTTGTTATTGATCCTTGCGGTTTTATTCAACTTTGAACTCTGCAATGTGAATTGCATGCTAGAGACAGCAATCGCGAGGGATTTCAATAACCGAGTCCTGGGTTGGAAAGTCAGTAAAATGAATAAGATGATATTTCCCCCAATATGGTGCTGATGCATGAGGACTATTACGAGGAACGTGGGCTAAATGATGGGCAGGGGTGTTAGAATTTCCCTCAATCAACTCATTCAAAACAATTCCCCAAATGTAGGTCACTTTGCTCCGTGTTTCTAGAACTGAGAACACTCACTATATACGGTACATGAAACGCATGCATTATGTGCATGGAATCGTGGTTGGCAGAGCCGTGACGTCCAAGTTGCAAATAAATGTCTAAATAATAAGCATGTCACTTCTCCAATCTCCCCGATATTAATCCTCATACATCAGCATCGCATTTGGAGGAAACAACACTGAAATTCATTTCACTGACTTACCTGGAACAAAGAAATCACGTCTTCAAAATCCCCAAATTATTGAAGGTCTCACAAGCGGCGGCCATTTTGTACATGAGTGATGACGCGTGCACAATATTGGGTAAACGTTGTCACGTGCGTCAGTTTACCCCACACAGTGGTAACATTTTACTAATGTCGTGCCTACTCTTCGACGTGTACAATGACATAATTGTTAACACAGTGGTGGGGTAAATCAAGTTTCTTTAACCTATCACTTGGGTAATAATACCATTATTTTAACTTTTTGCCTTTGCTGCCGGGACTTGTAGTCAATGTTGGGTACTATTTTACGCGTTACATGTGTAACACATTTGACACAAGTAGGAGGTACAAGCGAAATTTTTATTTTGCTCAATATTGGGCAGAAATGACACAATCTTTTTACACAACAGTTTTACACAACATCAATTTACACTTCTTTTTTAGAGTGTAGGCTTGATATTTCCCCGCCTTTGCGTGCTTGTGATGTAGTTGCCAGTGTTGTAGTACTCGTACTCGAGTACTTTTTTAGAGTACATGTACTCGTAATCGTACTTGAGTGTCACTTCTCGTACTCGACGTGACGGTACTCGTACTTAATTGGGCAGCAATAAAGTACTCGTACTCGACATGTCGAAATTGTACTCGATCATCAAAATACTCGTACCCGAATAGCAGTACTCGAAAAAAAAAATGATATATTGACTTGACTTACCCGCAGCCTTACTTTATCGATACTTTCAGTTTGAAATGGTTGATTGGCATGCAGCGAAATCGAAGTTTCCTGATTTTTCTCTGTGC